GAATATTGCCGGCCAGTCATGCGAGGCAAGAGACGAGGGCGGATTATTTGCTCTAGGCAATAATCTCGGTCTCAGGCGGCGGCAGCAAGGTGTCTATTCGGGCGCGGATCAACTGCACTAATACGCCTGGCGGCAACAGCGACATGAACGGTCGAAAAGAATAACGCCTAGATCGGCTTCATCTGGCGCCCAACATAGACGTATTCAAAATAGAACACAGGTAGGGGTAAGTTGGGTTGGGGGTGCGCGATAACTAGATTATACTTCGTAGAGAGGCAGGTGTACTACTGTTGAGTTTGCGCATTTTGGTTTTTGGAGAAGCGTTGTTGCTCAATTGAATTATCGGACGACAGGTTAATGTTTGTAATTGTGAGTTTGACACACTCATAGAGCATAATTCTAGCGATACCTACAGGGTGCTCGAAAAACAAAACCTTTATTATTTACGCCGGTAACCAGGATGGGGACGGAATCTCCGTAATAAGGAATGATTGTATGCGTCGTAAGACAAGAGGCCATATTGTGAAATAAGAACTCGAATAAGAAAAATTAGAAACAGTAGTTTTTGTGCATCTGTGGATCTTTTGAAAAAATGCCCCTGTAAAATTCTTGAGATCCTTCCTGGTTTTCCCCATTGCGTTACTTACAGCGTGAAATCAAAGTGAATCAATTCATTTCTATTGCATTATTTTTCCAGCTAGGATAATTAGAGTTCAGAAGACATGCAAAGATTTACAAGCATTCTCTGTTCTATGTTAAAGTATCACAAATCTAAATGATTCCCGAGACTCTTCCACCCTTCATCGCTGTAAAACAATAATAATTCGTTGATCTCTTCAATGTCAATTGATTCTATGTGATTTTTCGATTATTTTCGTATCAAAGGGCAACCTAGAATTATTGGTACAGAGTGAATACAGAAATATCACTGTAGGTAACTCAACTGGAACTGTCTTGTATAAAGAAATTTCTGCGTTCAACCATCACCTTCTAAATTGGAGAATATAACTGGCTGAGAGTGAAAGCTATCATATGTCTTTTGTCAACGGATTTTTTGATTTCCCTCAAGGAATAAACACTTGTATTTCATGAACTATGAAATCGAGACACACAAATTTGACTTGTCCCAGCACCAGTGTCAACTACATCGATTTGTAGATTTTTCACTCAATCCCTGACCGCTCAAGTTCAGTTTTTCACATCAAAACGGTGAAACAAGATCAGAACAAGAATAAACAAATGAATTGTTTCATGTAAATTTAGTTGATATGTGCCGATCGAACTCTTGAAGCTCCGTATTCATGCATAGACTTGGGCATAGGGAAGTGTCCTATTAGTCGAAATGAAAATAGTATGAAACAATCCACTTTATCTGTAGGGACACGTGATCATAGCCGATACCACTTGCAGAAGAGGACGAGATTGTAAAACCAAAAACCAGACTTTTCAGTACCAATTAGAATAAGGTCGAGTTCTGATCTTCAGTTGATTGCTCCTTTCACTGTGTTCGATAATTCATTATTCTCAATCCTTTTGTGTAATTTTGACTAATATACATATTGAACAATGGTTACGCGTTGTTCAGTTTGTATTACTTCAAAATTTAGGGCTGTGCAAAAATATCGATACATATACCTTTATATCCTATATAGACAACAACGAAAAGAAATAACAGATTGGATGCTTTTAATATATGACCCCATGCACCCATGAAGCACATATATTGGAATTCAACAGATGCAACTGGCAATTTAACAGAATGATTCCTTTTGGTTTGAATAACTGGAATAGCCCCAATCTACTTTTTGGCGCCCAACTTACGGCCAGATAAGGCGTAAACGGGTCTGCCAAAATAACACTCGTGCCTCAGGTATCCTCCATTTCAATGAACGTAAAGGAATTTTCCTTGCGTGTAGAGCATCATTTAAACGGAAACACCCAGTAGGTGAACGAGCACACGCCCCTGGCTAGTGCTCTCTATCACGACACCCACCGTATTCGCAGCGCTTCCATGCACAATGATTGCTTCAGAGTTCATATTATACCGAGTATTAAACCAAGTTTCACAACATCAACGAGAAATCAATGATTTTTTGTACAGATTAACCAAATCCATAAATGCGGATTCATCTCTTTTAATACTATATTATTATACGAGTACGACGAGCGAAGCGAGGAGTGCTCCAAATGAAGTACATAGTGGGACAATATGTCTTATGAAACGTGTCTAATATACTATTTTGTCTGTTTTGCATTCATGTGCTCTTATTTCATAAATAAAAACATCAAATATTAAATAGATAGGAAGTAAGTAACAATGAAAAAACATTTGAATATTTATTCCCAAATTTGACAAATGGTAAAAAGATTATTGAAATTAGCATCATTATTCCAGTGATATAATTTGAAATTTTTAGTCTATTTAAAATCTGAATTTTCTGTTTTGAGAAAGACTGAAGAGGCAAACTTAAGTTGCACCCCTCCTGAACTGGGGGAATTTTCCCACACGGCTAATTGTTTTCGGCGTTCTAGTGTGTCCAATTTACCAAATAGAGGCAGTGATTTGGTCACTATAACAAAGGTCCATGGAGAATGGAAATCCTCAGCAGTTGCTGAAGGTTACATAGAAGCTTCTGTGAAGAGAAAAATTGAGGTAGCTCAAATGTTTTCTTCTCAGCCTTCAACTTCTACAGCACATTTTGATGCCTCTACCTCACAGTCGCATTGCACAAACAATAACCTGATCAGACTAAAATGAGCACAATTTTGTGTCAACAGCAGGCCAACAAAACTTATCAGCAAATTTTATAATAAATACAACATGATCTCTGATGACATGGTTTCAGAAATCACTTCTCTACCAATACGACAGTAATAGCCTTTTATGATATCTTTATGATATGATATCTTCTATAATTTCCTGGAGCATAGAGAGTGTCCTGTTCTTCTGTGATCTCAGCAGGGCATTCGACTGTGTAAATCACGGAAAGTTGTTGAATAAATTATTTATTTGATATTGGTGTACGAGGAACCCCACTTGATTGGATTGCATAATTTTTGTCTGACATTAAGCAATTTGTTTGCATTAATTATAGAAATGAGAGAGGAAATACAAATGTCTCATCATCACTAGCAGACGTTAACATGAGGGTGCCACAAGGATCTATATTGGGCCCTATGTTGTTTATCATATATAAAAATGAAATAAATGCCATATCACCCAATACCAATTTTATCTTATCTCTAATACTATCAGACAAAAGTGTGTCTCTATGGATGAATGTTTCAACTGGAGATCTCAATGCTCGAATCTTGTCTCAACATTATCTTCTATTACATTTCTATTGCGGAATATAAGATTCTTACTGGAGAAACAACAACTTTTGAACTTTTACTTTACTCAAGTAGACTCTCGACTCGCTCTCGACTGAACCGAATGATGGATTAGAATAATTTCAGAACAATATGCAGTTTGTTTGTGGGGTAATTCCTCGGGTAATTCCGAGGGTAATTCAGTAGCAGTGCCCGACGTGTTGGTAGCACGAAAGAGGATATTACGATGTATGTTTAATATGCTCAGAGAACTTCTTGTAGACCGATTCTCAAGGAATGCAAAATTCTAACTGTCACTGGTATATTTATATATATAAATGTGTATGTTTTTTTTTAGGAATAAGGAGAAGCTTAATTCAAATAGTGACCTTCATAATTATCATACTAGACAGAAAAATAATCATTATGCACCCTTTGCAAAACTCAAAATCAGAGAGAATGCACCAAATTTTATAGCACTGAAGCTTTTCAATAGACTACCCAATAATTTGAAGAATATCGTGAAGATTAACTGTTTCAAAAGCCAAGTCAATGAATTCTTGACATCATCATGTTACTACTCCCTTAAAGATTATTTAACTTAAGGATGCAATAATATTTCACTGTTTTGCTCTCTTGACTATTCCTATATGGTTTTTGTGACTATCAAAAGGAAAATAAAGTTTATTATTATTATTATCATTTGTTGCGCCCTGACTCTATAGACGCAAGTGTGTCTGACACTTCTGACAGTTTAACATTGCCTTTACCAACTTTGAAAAAAGAAATTCAGTGTGTCCTAATAGACGCTGTTTCGATACGCATTCGAGTGTCATAATGAGTTCAATAAAGACACAAGATAGAAAAAGTATATTTTAGGTAAACTTATTATGCAAAACTCCTCAATCCTTCATGGACAAAAATTCAGGTAGAGGTATAACAGAAACATTGCGTGTTTGTGCTTTTTAAAATGGAATTTCAAGATGGTCAAGTCATTACAAACTTCGAGTACCTATTTATTTTTTTAAGTTTGTTGAATGTTGGTTCACGTTATATCAATCAGTTTCGATACGTCTAGATTATGAAACAACTTCAAAGGAATGCAATTGTACTGAGGAATTTAATTTCAATAAGTAACTTTCGATGACGGGTCATTGGATCGACGTAAAATCACAGATTCTTGGTCGTGTTAACAATGAATCATTACACGAATATTCCTGTTTGCGTCACCCCATTGTCGAATGTAGAAAGTTTCTTTGTTGTTTTGAAATCGGCAGATAACAGAATAAGTATTGTAAACGTTGAAAAACTGCTTCTTGGTTATCTACATCTACATTTTCCACTGAATTTTTCAATGCACCTATTGACAAATACCTATAGCATTTTAATCGGTATTCTGAAGCAAAACATCCGATGTTTATGAGTTACAGTAATCTTCCATTGTCAACCAATGAATAGGTAATCTAATTTAAATTCCAAACCGAAGGAGTCATGCTTTATACTTATACGGAGACTTATACATACAATTGATCTGATATATCTACCTATAAATTTTGAAAATTAGACAGATCCATACGAATTTAAGTCACGAAGTAATTATCAATGGAACCCAATTTGAAATACTTATCAAAGCTTCAATTATTTACACGATGTTTTATAAATTTTTCTAAACATCGCACAGAACTTACTTCCGATGAACCTGAAGAGTAAAATGGTTTCCTACTTGCTTCACTATTTTCGTCGGACGTTGTATTCATTATCTGCAACTATTTTGAAAAATAGACGAGACAGGACAACTATATCTCCATCAATAACGCCTGATTTTAAAACTTGTAGAACCTTCTTCATTCCCATTATTTTGAATACTTATTAAAATAATTTCTAGTATCTTTTATTGCAATATCTTCTTTTCCCAACCTGAAACTGAAAAAAAAAACTATATTTTTTTACAACTATCAACAAGACATTGAATGTTTTATACAGGGTGTCCCTCCGGGAACTGCATCGATCAATATATTATTATAGAAAACCATAGGTGGGCCGAAATTGAAAATTTTGAAATTAACTATTGTTGATAAGTGCTATCCGGCTGAAATATTTTGAAGTTTGTTGCACTTCCGGTTATACCGGTTATATGTTTTAAAATACGATTTTCTATAGAACGGCACAAGATATAGATTAAAATAAAGTATACCTTTTTTGTAAATAAAAGATGAAAGAAATCAAACGGTGGGAGTAAAACGTTAATTCTTTTTTATATTCTTACTTTCAATGTCAATAACTCCGTAAGGAAGCGCGATAGAAATTTTTTTATATATGAAGTATTGATATTATTTTGGCTCATTCTATCAGCCTCATCATTTACGACATGACCTTTCCGGACACCCTGTATTTATTCTTTGGTTCATAAGATCGTTCATTGGATATACAAGTAATTATCTAACCATATTGTAGGGATCTAAATTAGACTTTTTCTTCATATAAACAAGTGCCCAAAAATGCACCCTTTTCGAGCTACACCCACTGTAACTTAGGTAAAAAAAAAGATTATCCTCGAAATTATCTGGAAATTGACATCCCCTTGTATTTTTAGGCACTTCATTCCCTCCTGCTTCAAAAATTATGTTAACCCAGTTCTGGGAGGAGGTGCAATTTAGATCACATGTTTATATGGAGAAAAAGTCTCATTTTGCTACAAACAATATGTTCTTGAAATATTTTCATCGAATTTTGAATCACCCTGTATAATGCTTGCATCAGCTACCCTGGAAAATATAGATGTCCTGTTGTCTTATACTCTTTCAAAATAGGTAAATTGCTTATGAATAAATGATATAAAATCTCCACGGGATAATGACAATCAAAATCATTCAGGTGAATTCTTGGAAATTTTGCAGTTATAGTGTCATTGGTCCTATTAACGTTGACGAATTAAAAATATCACTAGATTTCAGTACTTTTTTGTGTTCTTCAAACCATCGAATTGATTTTTTCAATATTCGGAATTAGATGCATGTGTTTGAAACAATCTCCTAAAATTGACAAAATACTGCTGATTCAGTTGAGATAGCATCAACAAATGAGAAATCTGGCTTATCAACGTTATAGCCATTCGGCGTCTTGTCCATTTGTCGTCATTCAGTTAGTTAGTCAATAAATCAGTTAATAACTTGAAGTTGCAGGAAAATCAATTTAAAAAAAACGTGTTATACGATAGGAAAAACATGTAGCAAATTTACCTCTCAGAAAATGGCTAGCATGAACTACTTTAGTCAGACTTCTGAAAAGAACTCCGACGAGATCTATCTAGAATTCTCATGCGTAGGCCAGAAACTTTGGTATCCAATAAAAGTGCAGTCCATTATCAACTTTCAGAAATTGAATTATCTCGAATCCGGAATACTGGAACCGTCTTGCTCCAGTCCTTTCACAAAGACCAAAGAGCGGTATTTATTCACGAGCCGAACTATATTATGTATATGGTAGATGCATTCGATGAAATTGAATTGAACATGGACGTTTTTGTTGGAGCTGCATACATCCAGATTTCAAACTCATATTGGATTCTCAACGTTTATCCATTTTTTCCATTCAACTGAACTGATTTTTCATTAGCAGAAAAGACTTCTTGAGTGCAGGAAATTCATATTAGAGGACATATTATAGGTCCTACATTTATCCATTGGAACCTTCTACTAGTTCAACCAGCAACCAAACACAGTTGATTTCGCGTATTATCAGAGATTTGTTGATACTAATTTATAAAATAATATAGAATTGATTAGGCAATTGATATAAAGTTCATGTCTTGTACTCAAGAGACGCAAGAAGAGAAAATTAACGTAATTTGTTGAATGGTATTCATAAAATATGAAACCCACTGAACACAATAACAAACATGACCTTGAATTACGTCCTTAACTGGTTCAAATTTGCCCACCAGGTGCCGTATCGGAATCGTCACCTTGCCAATTAATAAATCATTCCAGAATTACGTCATTTGACAGGTTGCTGAGGGGCAAACATTGTATTTTGTCAAGATTTGTCATATGAAACCAGAATTAGTGGGATCCTTTTCCTTAGAATCCGAGTTGGAACCCGAAAGAATTTCATAATTTTGTTTGGTGAAACTTTTATTATATTGTGGATGTGGCAGGGATGGCTAGGGCTATGCTCGTCAAAGGTAACCTAACAGATAGTTTGTGTGCCCCTCAAGAAACCATGTCAAAATCACGTGTTCTAGAATGATCAATTGTGATCGAATTTGTGACCAATGAAGATAAGGAATACATTTTGCGATTTAGCCGCATCAAGGTTGGTAGAACTGATTTTGATCATAGGAACCACGCCATCTAACATTCAATATGTGAACCCCACGTCATCGTCTGAAATTCAATTGTTTATATCAAGAACCATTCTGACGAAAGAAATGAAGACTGAGCGCACCAGAGGTTTATTTCATCAATAATTATCTATTATATTGTAGCATTTTTCGAGTTTTTTTTTCACTCACCACGTGCACGCTGCTCTGGATGGCCTCCTGCTGCTTCTTGTCCTTCGTCTTGGTGACGCGCTTCGCCTTCGAGTCGAGGAAGCGCTGCTTCAGCAGCTGCGTGTCCTGCAGGTTCTGCTCGCACAGCCCGTTGAAGGACTGGTCGAAGCGCGGCATGCAGTCGCTCTGGTGGCGCCGGTACGACTCGATACGACGCCGCAGTCTGGAAGAGAAAAGATTTTTTTTCATCTCTTGGAGCGCACCAAAGAAAATTCCTCAAATGTTCGTAGAACATCGCGAGTACGTATACAAGGTGATTCTAAAATAGGTGGTCAAACTTTGGGAGTATATAGAGTGAGTGAAATAATTACGAAAACCTTGGTGACATTTTCTTCTGAAGTGCCCCCCAAGAAAGATACAGCCCCTCAAAGGGGGGTCTCGGAGAATAATTTTGTACTATTATCTTCAACACCTTGTATGATGAAAATCTAAAATTTTGTTTATCCACTAACTATTCAGTGCCGGTTCGAATGGAGTTAAAATCACCTCAAAATTAAATACAGGAGTGTGTCAAAATAGGGAGGTAGGGGGTAAAAATAACCCCAACTTTTTTGTTCATCGCAATTTCAGTTTTTTTACATGAAATTATGAAATCTCAGGGCTATTAACATAGAAAAGGAGCTCTTGTTGAATCTCGATAGACTGAACCATTAGCGAATAAAATTTATTTTTACAAGATTTCATTTAAATTGCAATTTTGGTATGCACCTGAGTTTATTTATCGATTTAGTTGAAATCTTGCAACTGAATTTTTACCTACTTCTAATCGTCTGATCAACTTTGAATCTGGCATATGACAGTTGACAATGCGTTATGGACTTTTTGATAGAAAAAAATATGGCGGCTCCAATGTGAATGACCGGATTTGTGATTATGGTTGGATTCGATTCAAAATTGGTTTGTAAGAGTTTTTGGGGTTGGAAATTTTGAATTCGTTGTCGGAATTCATGAATTAAAAATAGACGACGAGTTTCGTGATTATGGTCTGATCCTATTGAAAATACTAAAATAAATAATATTGTTAAAAACGACCTTTTTTTAAATTTTATTCGCTAATAGTTCATTTTATCGAGATGCAACAAGAGCACCTTTTCTGTGTAAATAGCCCTGATATTTCATAATTTCATGTCAAAAAACTGAAATTGCGATGAACAAAAAAGTTGGGGTTATTTTTACCCCCTACCTCCCTATTTTTACACACCCCCGTATTTTATTTTGAGGTGATTTCAACTCCATTCGAACCGGCACTGAATAGTGAGTGGATGGACAAAATTTCAGATTTTCATTATACAAGGTGTTGGAGATAATAATACAAAATCATTCTCCGAGGCCCCCCTTTGAGGGGCTGTATCTTTCTTGGGGGTCACTTCAGAAAAAAATGTTACAGAGGTTTTCGTAACTATTTCACCCACTCTATATGCACCCAAAGTTTGACCACCTTGTATAGGGAAGACAGGGAGAAGAGGTAGGTGTTGGAATTTATTTTCGAACTTTTGGAGGTTATGAGTTCTTGGGAATACTTTCATTGGCGCACTTATGTGGAGTTGGCGCCGACTTTTTTGAAAAACAGAATTTTTATCGGAGTTCTGGGTAAATACGATAGAGTTCTGAGTTCTGGAGTTCCTGATAAAAAATTTCAATAGTTCTGGTCTCGGTTCTGGTTAATTGTAGAAAATCACCGAAAAACAAAATCGTGGGTGCTAACTTCCCGCGGCGCCTCTTTTTCCACAGAAAAGAGTTCTGATGAGAAATGTCGACGTATTTGAAAGAGCTCTGGAGTTACTGATATATTTCAACAGTAGTTCCGGCGAAATAACATAGTTATTCCTATTTTTAATAGGAACATTCATACGCTCATGTATAGCATCCACCACTTTCTAAAGTCTTGATCGGAGTTCTGGGTAGCACCATACTATCTAGGTAACTTTTTTCTCTAAAATCGCAACCAGTTTTCATGAGCGAAAACAAGGGAACGACTGAAAAAAAAGTTTTGTGAAAGATTTGGAAAGGAGAGACAATAGAGGAGTTCTGATCGGAGTTCTGGGTAGCACCAGTCGAGTTCCACATAATTACTATCTAGGTAACTTTTTTCGCCACCCATGTTTTTTTCTGAAAAATGACACATCAACACCCCTTAACAGTGCCACTGGGAGTCAGAAAGACTAAATAATGCTACCGATTCAATCACTCTCAGATACTGAATGATTCAAGAGAATTTGTTTTACCGGTGCGTCGAAGTGCGTCCCACATATTAAGAAACACCTGTATAATGCATGAAATTCCGAGAATCTATCATTTTTGCAGTTTTGCTGGTGCAGCAATGCCCATTTCTTGCGCAATGAAAACTACTACTTTTTTTTGGAAAATTGCGAACTGTCAAATAAGTTGCATAAGCATCTCGATAAGCATTCATTATTTTTCATTCAATCAATAGTTCCAGTTTGTCTTGCAAAAATGGCATGTTTTATTTTGTTGTGCTTCGACATTCTAACGAAAATAAGAACTGTATTTTATCGAGGTATTTTTGTTACGTTTATGTATTTTGTTTAGGTAAATAAAATTTGATTTTTTTCAAAAAAGCCCGAATTAATTCAAAAAGTCGGACTTTTTTTAGTTTTTCTTAAAAGTCATTACTTATTCCAACCGTAGTTGTTGTGAGGGTAAAAAATTAGAGGTCCGCCAAAGTTTGACGTCACAATTGAACAGTAAATGAGTCATTAAAATTTGTGGTATTTCATCGGGTATTTCCTAGATGAATCGTGAATTTACTACATTATAATAATGTCTGTAGCTGCCACCGAGGCTACCACTACTGCCATTAATAAATGTAATCGAATTGGTGAAGATTGTGAAGTTTTTGATGATGAAGTAACTGATAATTCAGAGATAATTCTGTCTGGACGTACACAGTGATATCAATGTATAGGACGCATATTTTGTGTATGAGCTGTAAGTTCAGGACAGATTATACGATATTTTCGAGTTTTATTTTATTACTTATATAATATTCTACTTGTGATAGAGAGTTTATTATGAGAATCTAGTAACTTTTATTAACACATAAAGGCTGCGTGGAACATAGAATGCGAGCATGTTAGATGAATACAATTTATAATGCATATAACAAGATATTTTCAACAAATATTCGATCAATCAGAAGTGCTACTTAAATCGAAACTCATTTTAGAAAAATAAGGTTGTGACTGTGACGACCTACCTTCCTGGTTCATTTGTAACAATCACAAAGTGGCTGACCTCTACTGCCTAACATTTAAAAGATGAGCTCTGATTCTATTTGGCACATATTTCATACGCATAAAAAATGAGCATAATAGCAAAAAGCGAGGTAAAATCGAAATAGATCGAGGATTAACTATCGGAAAGTGCTCTTCCTGATGGACTGACATTTTTCTTTACAAATCTTCTCTTGTGGCTGAAGCATTATATAAGAAATGCAGAAGTGGTAGAGCCCAATAATAATTATAACTCAACACCTACCCATGTAATGAACAAAATGCCGATTGCTCGGCTATTGTGATTTTAACAATGCCATTATCCAGCAATTTTATTCAATCATAATCAGAGGCCCACTATAACGTTCAACAATTAATAAGTTATGCGGATTATTTCCACCGATTTCCACAGTTTTCTGGAGATATTTTTTAATTGTGAGCTAGCTATTTACATTGAAACCATTTGGCAATTATTTGTCGTTAACAGGGCCGGATTAACCACAAGGCACGACGGGCAACTGCAAAGGGGCGAATTCAAAATTGAGTGCGAAAATTTTGTCAAAAAGTATCATAAGCAAAAGACGAGTCAAAAGACAAGAGGATTTCTCAGTGATCAAGGATTTTATTCCTTTGACGAATTCCTCAACTAAAAGAATTATAAAAAAAATAAAAAATATTGATGAATTCAGTATACAGGGTGTTCCTGAATGACATGCTGATATTCAAGGGGGCGATTCTTAGACCAATTTCAGGAATAAAACTTCATATGAACGTATGTCGTGAAAGTCCCTAACTTTTGAGATACAGAGGGTAACAAAGTTAAACACATACATGGATTCTTTTTTGTCCACCCTGTATAGCTTTTCCTGATGGCGAAATTCATTCTGCTATGTGACTTGAACGGTGCAAAAATTTCAAAATTCTACATACTGTGGTTATCCGGTAATAGATGTCCTGAATGGAGAGCGTCCTATCTTTTTTGTACAAAATTGAATTACTTTTTATAGCATTGTATGAAATTTGGAAACATTCCTTCTTTGCTCACTTTCAAGTTTAATATAATCAATCAAATCCCTCTCAAGGCGCCACTGCTAGAGGAAAGGAAACATTTTATACATCAAAAACTGCACCTTGATGCATAGAAGATATCTACAAAATTTCATAAAGATGTATACAATATTATCCCAGTTATTATACAAAAGCTGAATATTTTTTCAAAACTTCATCACCCTGTATCTCAACAGTTAAGACTTTTAGGACATACGTTAGTAGGAAGTTTTTTCTTAAAATGAGAATTAAAGAATCACCTCCTTGAATATTAGCATGTCTTTAAGGAACACCCTGTATATCTATATTTGTGATCGTATTTCCATGCCGCTTTGTTGACATTTCATAATGTAAAATGATCTATTGGATGAATGAAATATTCTATTCTACTCATTTTATAATATAATCATCAATAAATATCATGAAGTTAGTAAAAAAAATCTTAAATTCTGAGATCGATCGGAAAAACCCGGAAAACACTAAAACCTCAGGTTTTGATGGAGATTTCGATCGATATCAGTCATCAGGGCCTAGCGACATTTTCCTCTCAAACATCGAATATGATTTGCTGATAAGTCTTTATGCGCTTGTTTTATCAAAATGTCGAAATATATAGGGTGTCCTGTTTGAGAATAATTAAGAGTCACGTGGTAGAATCTAACGAATTTCCTCGCGAATTTCGCAATCTGCCTGCAATATCAGAATAATAGCGATAAGTACAACGAAATTATTAGGCATAAAACACTTTGAACATGCATTTGCTTTCAAATGAAGAACATCATACAATAAGTGTAAGTATAGGTACTTAGCTTATGGCTTAAATATATTTTTACGTTTGTAGCCTCCAAGGTAGGCTCGTTTGTAGCTAAACTCGTTGATTTCCCGAGTTCATATTTTAATCTCCGCAGAAAGCGATTTCAGATTTTACGGGGTGTTTCGAGTTTTTTTTTTTTGAGGATTTGTTTTTCGAGAACATCGAAAATTTCGAAGGCAACTATTTTTGTCCGTTAATTCAATCCTAGATTCCTTCAATTTGAATATTGATCCAACTAAATAAAATAAATAATTAAGAGTATAATAATCGAGAAAATGAATCATCAGGTATATAACTGACAGGGTTTTTGCCTACACCTCGGCCTACTCTATTTAAAATTCTTTAATTCACGATTTTGAATTTAAGATAGTAATAATTTTTCTTACATTTTTTTCTAAAATGCAACCTCACACCTCGTTCTTCATGAGAGAACAGAACTGTATCCTTAAATTGAAATTATACAGGGTGTGCATGGGCAGAACTAAGATTGTATACGATGGCTGAAACATTTTTTCATTGCAATAGGTAGGTAATAAGCTCGGTAATAATAAGTAATCGATTCTCGATTTTTATTATCATGGAACTGTTCGGAAATGAATTATAATTATTTTGTTAGGTAAGTATTCGGGTATATAGGAGGGTTTATATGGAACCGAGTATGGTACTTATACCTCGACTTATACCCACCACGAAAACCTCACTTTCGGTAAAAAACAGCTAAAAGCACAATTTATGGATTGATATCAGCAACGTTTTTTTATCGCGCATCATTATTTACGAACGTACAACATACCGATGAATGGTCGTACTGAAAATAAATGTGGCGATTTCGCGTAGTTATTCAAACTGTATCACGATGAGTACCTACCACACATAAACACACACCAAAGGAAATGAGTGCAGGCCACGTGACTGACGATTTATGAATAATTATTAATTACGTCCAATTGTTATCGTCGTACCTTTTAGTTGAAAAAAGGTTGGTGCATTATCAGTCACTATATGCTTCGGAATGTTGTGCAGCTGCAGATACTGGTGCAGATTGCAGATAACAACTAAGGAGAATATGGAGGAGAATATAATCCAGAGAATATCTCTGAAAAGCGCTGAAAATGTCCAATTCACAATTATTGCAATTAATTACAAAGTTTTATTATTTGTAGATTTGGTTCTCCTCGAATCCAGAGATGGATCCCAATGATCCAAGGAAAAAATGGCTATAGGTAGGCATATAGTAAGTTACTACGTTATTACTGGTTACTACCTAGTAGCCTTGCTATTCGCCTTGCTTATTTATTCGGAACCCTTTTAAACTGGTCTTCAACTCATCAAGACATTTTGCAATTATGAAGTGAAACTGACAAAAATTGAAACATCAATAATGATTATTGTTAAACACTCGATTGAACAGTTGAATATTGATGAAATCAGATGAGATAATGAGTAGATGATCCGAGAGATGAGCATATTTAGCGGTAAAGATGAATATTAATCGCGGTCTTAATTAATTTTATGCACGACCGGGCGTAAAGTACCACTTTACCGCCAGTTTTGCGGGCGTAAAGTGGCTCTTTACGGCCCACGGACTGCTTTAGCGCCCGGCGTGATAAGCATTCACGTATACTTCAGGGCATTTATGATGGTTCATTATCTAGTATTATAGTTCTCTTGATATCCCTGAGATACGAAAATATGATATGATCAAACCCGAAATAAGTTTTTTGTGATGACATTAATTGACAGCAGATTATATCTATCCACCTTGGTCTACTTCTATTTCAAAAATTTTACCATGGTAACGTTCATTACATGATGTATTTATATCATTCTTGAGAGGTGAAGAGGCATTCACAATGAAAATTCAAAAATTCTGGTGGTGCATAAAATGTTCTATGTATTTCAGGCAAAAGTTGCTTTCATTGACCTTGGCGTGTTGATACCCCTGGCGCCCTCACTATTGCTGGGGCTCTTACACATCATAGGCCATAAAAGCCTATTTCACGCCCTTGATACATAAATAACTATTATGTAGATGCAGGTAAATCAAGGTTAACTATATATTTTTCAGGATAGATAGTTAGAAAATATTATGCAAATGATTTCTAAGGCCCAACAGTGACTCTATACAAGATACTGACTCAACAGAAGTCTACACCTCTTATTATGGAGGGCAAAATATTGAATGCAGTTGCTCTTGTTTGCAGTTTCTCCTTGTGAAATGAAAATTCGAAAAAAATTACTAACCTTTCAACTACGGCTTGTTTGGGTGTTACTTCTGGATGTAAAGGCAGTCCCGGGAGTCCCGGGGGCTGTGGGACGACGGGGGGCACAGTCCCACCGCCGTCTAGGCAACCCCCTGGACCAGAGTTAGCTCGATCCAGCGTGTCGAACAGTCAGGCACTATCACATCGCACTAATACAGAGTTTTACCATCAAATAGGTAAACATAACTTCTATCAGTTCACAGGTCAGAACGTTCATGAATTTTGGGGCCTAAACACCATGTTTATTGACATGAGATTCATTGGAAACACTTCCCTGTTTGTACCGGTTAATATGGGAGTACCTCGGGGAGTTTCTGGATGGAAGTACTGTTTTTGCTATGACAGAAATTCTGACATAACCTATAAAAGTTCGTTAAAAATCTTGGGGCGAAATCTCACTGCAGATAAGTATGTTGCACTTGAAAATTGGGGAAAATGTTTAGTTCCTTATTGGATTATTCTTTGCGATATGTCCATATGCATCCTGGGACCTTTTCTGGTCTTCATTTCTCTCATGCGACCTCAGTTAAAAAACAAAATAATCACTTTTTTTTAACAGGTTGTTTTAACACATGTCATATTTCCAGAGCACATTAACACGTAATTAGCAACACTTCGAAACAACAACAATAATTATAATTCATGTCCAATTTAATCTTAAGATTATTCAAAATAAATAATCCAGGTTATAAACACTACTTTGTCAATACGTTACAAGAAGTTTTTGAAACTACAACAACGGTGTCGGTGTTCTCAATAGATCTCTAATCTTCATCACAATATGATCTGCATACGTTCTCTAATAAACAATGCGTTAATTTCGTAATAAAGTTTCTCAATCATTTCACAACACTTTTTAACAACGAAACAGACACTGCAGTACAACTTTCGCTCGACTTCAATCCGCAGCCATCTTTCAGGCATCTAGCGTGCCAGTGTAGCCACCTGTCACATAATAAAATAAAATAATAAAGAGGGTAGGCAATCGGCAAACACCAAACCGTCGCGTCGGCAGCATTGCCTGATCTACTGTTTTTACAGAAGATCTACTGTTTTTGTGTCCGTTGATCTACTGTTTTTGTGTTCGTTCTACTGTTCTGTTTTAGTCATGAATCCTACTGTTTTGTTCATCAAACCAAAAGCAAAATTGAAAAATGACAGAATTTTACACAAGCGGTTGTAGAAATAAGACAAGTCACCAATGTTTCCCAATTTGGCAAATTTTGTTCTTCATTATTTATTAGGTTTGCCTCATTCTTCAGCAAACGTAGAGAAGATACCATCTTAAGTAAATTTGTTAGAGTTAAAGCAGCGTCATAAGATGAGTATATCGTGCAGTGGGTTTTCTCCTCGGTTTTCTCCATACCAAAACATTTATTTATCAATAAGGCAATGGTCATATATTTTGATAAAACATATGTTATATTCTTTATTACATATATGTAATAAAGAATACGCGAGTGGACTGATATTGAATTATTGGCATTCAATTACAACACACTCGACTGTGTCGTTAGTTACCTAAATTGATTTTTGCAACACTTCTCAGCTTCACGCTTTTTTATATAAATAATGAGTCTATGCGTTGTTCGTAACTGTTGTATTTCAGAGCTAATTTCAAACGTAGCGTCATGGCCGCCATGTGGCGATACCTACGTCAAATAAATGGTGAAGTTAATTTTTTGTTATTGGTCAGATAATAATCTCCCATTCCCACTCACGGTTGTCGCCAGTTTTAACCAAGTTATCGAAAAAATTCAAGAGTCCTGTCGTTGAATAAAACATAACAGGAGGAACCCATGATATATTATAGTTCATTCTTGACTTTTTCGAGCAACCAGCATGCCCAAATATTTCTTATACTCCATAACAAAATATCATGTGACTGTTGGAAACTTGGCAACGTTGTGCTGAATGCTGAAAACTGACGACAAGACTACGCCCACAATTCGTGCGCCATGTTGCCCCGTTTACCGCTTGAAATGTCTTCTAGTGTGAACCAATATAATTACTATTTACACGAATTTATTAAAAGCAATAATAAGTCATAAATCATAAGAAAACATTTGAGACGATCGATTTTGTATTGTTAAATAGGAATATTACCAATACATAATTGAGAATTCATGAATTATTGTATAACTAATATTTCTCTGAAGTTTCTAATTGTATTTCAACACATGGCAATGATCTGCTGCCCAGTGCCCCTACTTACGTAATCGTGACTTCAGTATTTACTCGCGGTAAATTGGTATCCTATAGTTTTGATGATCTACTTTTTTTCCCAGCGGCACTGCGGCACTGCGCCATAGAATACCCATGAGTTTACTGTTTAGTAGGTAAGTATTTACTCTGGCTCATGGTGGAATTAGTATATATTTTCACTATGCCTCTGGCTCATTACTCGAAATACTCATCTCTGATTCTCTGAACGAGTTATCGGACTGATCAATGAATGTGCATGTTCATAATATTTCAAAATGAATCAGCCACGGCATTGGAAACCATTTCGTTTTCAAATCCATAGCTAATTCACAAAAGCGTGTTACTTTTTGAATTCAAATTTTATTATTATCTTCTGTAGCTATACTAATAGTTATTTATTATACAAGGGAAAAAAGTAGTAGATTTTAGCTTCAGGTTGTGTTGTCTCCCGACGCGTAGCGGAGGGAGACAAAAAACCGTGAGCTAAAATCTAATATTTTTCCCGTGTATAATACACTATTTTTTTCTGTGACAGAAGGAAGGACGAATCAATATTGAGAAGATATTACATTATTTCGAAATGTGAAAATTATCGACGTGAAATTTCAAGTTTTTAACAGTAGGGACACCTGCGTTTTATAGACATCTTTATCATTCTTTTGAAGTAATCAAATATCTGATGTCACTTCTGTCAGTTCAATTCTGTGATTTAATTTTAAAAAATTGCGAATTCAGTAGTTGTTTAGTAATATACGAAACCGCGAAGTCGAATGGAAGATAAAAGGACATGCAGTTCTTTCTCGGAGACGATATTATTGACTCATTTTTCGGAACTATAGCACAACAAAAGCCATTAACAGAGTATACATATGTGATATATATCCGGGAAAGAAGTACTCACTTTTTTCCCACGGGAAAAAAGTAATTTATGAAAAGTGACATTTTATAACCTGCCAACAGAGATGAAATGCCAAACTTTTTTCCCGTCACAGAAAAAATTATTTTTCAGCGATCTAGACAGTCTAGCGCAGCTAGCTAGACAATCATGTCTAGACTTTACGAAACGTAGATCTTATGTTTCTATGAAACAGTTGGCAACATTGGTATGAGTACATATGAGTCGGCTATGAGTATCGCTCAATGAATAATGAACTCAATATAAACACCATCGCTCCGTCCTTGGCTCCGTAGAGCCTGTTTATGTTCGTTGAGAGAAGAATGTCCTTAGCTTCAGTGTTCCAACATGAAATATTGAAAATTATGCTGGCAACACTGGAAATGAATATGATCTTCTTCTCCATTTTTTCCCATTTCCAATATTACCAACATAAAATTTCTATTATTTTAGGTTAGAACACTGAAAACAAGGAAAAATGGGAATACATTTTTCCCTTAGATCATACATACATTCCTGTATGATCTAAGATTTTTCCTCTCTCCATGCTAGCTCAGCTTCTCTTCAAGAAGTAGTTGATACGTTGTCTATCAACAGAAGACAGTTTTTGAAGAAAATAAATCAGAAGAAGAAGTAAATGAAGAAGAAATCTTGAAAACCGTTTTTGAGGTTAGAATCGTGTGGAATCGTCTTCTCATTTATTTTTCTTTGCGTGTGAACCAATTGAAGGCAATTAAAAAAGAAAAATAGTTCACCTGGCTGAGGTTCCAAAGAAATTTAGGAGTAGGGGGAAAGTAATAAATATGTAGAAGTCATAAGAACTGTGGCCGGAAGATCTAAGGGCCGGATAGTCATGTCCTCTCAGGTAATCCTGGTATGCCATTCAAAACGAGAAGAATGAAGTGTGGTCAAGGGTCAAGGGCATCGCCCTAGAGTGCCTTAGCGTCTCAAGTAGTAAGAGCAAAGAAGATTGATAGCGTTAATTAATTTTCTATGGTAAGAGTGAGGCGAGGCATTAGCCGTTCGATATCTCTGAAGTAAAGCAGTGTCGAGCGCGGTTTCGCGGTTAATAGTTGGATAGGTGACCAATGACCATTCAAAGAAACGCTGCGTAATCTCGCACATCTGTAGCGAAATAGCATATCATAGCTACAGAGCTACCATATCAATGTGCAGCAATGAGCACAAGATATGGCACGGATATGCTGTCCTTCGCGGGGACGTTAAGCCGGCGGTCCCGAGGCCATTGATTTGCATTGATGTTGGACTCGTTAAAAATCCCTATGGATGAAAAAAATTCCGGTTGGGGCCGTTGGGGATAGTGTGCTCACCGGCGTCGCGGGCGTCGGTGATTAGCCTCAGTAGCAGAAAAAGGCCGACGGTGAAAAAACAAGGAAGAAGAAGAAGTGTGGTCAGGGTCAGGCCGGTCAGGTTATGTTATGAATGTTATGATTGTTTGCTGACTGCTCTGATTCTCTGAAGTCATCCTGAACACTGAAGTGCTCCTGCTGATAGTGCTGATATCTTTTAGAGAGGTTTATTTCATCATTCTCAGAGATCTCAGAAATCAGAATTATCTGAAACGTTCATTTTCCCGTTTTCTCCTACTTCTCTAGCTTACGTTTTTGAAAGGTGTTTTGTAGTTATCTAGTAATGAACAAGAAATAATGGATTCTACAGATTTTATTATAGATACTTTGGGTGATACCAGTATAACAACAACTGTTGAAGGTATACAAAATCGAAGGCTTCAATAACTAAAAATTAATTCTTTTGAATTTTCCAGGTTCTACTTCTGGAGATGATTTCCTTAAGGAACTTTTCAATGACATTGAAATGCCCCCCAAAGAACAAAGAAAGAAAGTAATTCACAAAGAGAATGATTTACTGACTGAAGTTCTTGATGATCTATATAGGAAAGGAAAAAATAGGAAAAGAAGTAAGGCTGGAAGAAATGGCTCACCAACAGAAGCGCCTGTCAGAGAAGAAGTAACAAAAATTATGAAAAAATCAGTTTTGACACCAGAGTTTGAAAAACTCAATTTTGTTCCACCATATGAAATTTCAGAGAAAAACTTGAGAGAACAGAGAAAGGTGAGCATTTTCCATAGTTTCATGGGTCCATGGCAGGCCAATAGTAAATAAAATATTCACTATGCCAAATACATCATTTTATTAAAGTCAAAGAATTAGAATTACTTCCTAAATTTTTGAATTAATCTCAATCACCTTCACAAAATACAAGAAGAAGGCTACAGAAAATGGTTTTTATTTTTTTCAAAAATCTCGAAGCATTACATAATAAAACTTGCAATTGTCACAAAACAAACTTATGGAAAATAAATAAATGAATTCATATGCAACTTATTACTCATTGAGAATTTTCATTAGGAGAGTTAGTTTTCCCCTGTTCATGGGCACTCCATCAGACTTGATTCATATGAATTAATTTGTGCCAACCCTGTCTAGCTGATGTTTAGTGTTTCATATCAAAAATATGTTCAGATAGATTTCTCCAATATGGACTTACTTCATCCATTGAAGTTGTAAAAATTTCAGAATCACCCTATGTGATTTAAAAAAAAAACTAAAACAAGGACACATTTTGCTAATGATTCTCCAAGTAGTATACTCATACAATAAATTCACATGTAAGCAAATCATGACAATAAGTTTAAGAAAAATTTGGAAGTCTCATCATTTGTGAAGGTTTCACAGTGAGGTAGCTCTGGTTAAGGTTTAATTGAACTTGTTTTCTTTTAATTCTCCATTTGAATATTAACCCTGACTGAAGCAAGTAAAATTTCCCACAAACCAAGAAACTGTTTGCATCACACATTAGATTAAAAATAAGTGCATAAACTCTTTAGAAAGAAAGAGAGAAAACCAAAGGGAAAAAATGGTATGGTTTACCAGCCACAGAGATGACAGAAGAAATTAAAAATGACTTGGAAGTGCTTCAAATGAGATCTGTCCTGGATCCCAAACACTTTTACAAGAAGAATGATTTGAAAGTTTTGCCAAAATATTTCCAGGTAAGAAATATGATTAACAACATTACATTTTTGTATATCTTAGCAGACAAAATGTGAATTCTTATGCATTGTTCACACTGAAAAAATAGTCTATTCCTACCAAAACAACATAATGAGATTTGAGGATAGAATATGAACAATTTTGTTAATTTTGGTTCCCAATGTTTTTTTATGAGTTGAATTCAAGTAGCATTTCTTTTTGTTCAAGGTTGGGAAAGTGATGGATTCATCAGTAGACTTCTATAGTAGCAGAATTCCTAAGAAACTGCGCAAGAAGACATTGGTTGGAGAGCTGTTAGCAGATGCACAGTTCCAGAAATATAACAAGAGGAAATACAAGGAAATTATTGAAGAAAAGCAAAAAACACATTACAAAGCTTGGAGACAGGCAAGAAAATTGAAGAAAAAGAAGTGAAACAATTTGAATGCCACAATAATAATCTTTTTATTTGAGAAGTTTCTTTTTATTGATTCCTATCAGTTATATGGTGCCATGCTGAGATTTTCCAATACTTTATGGAAGAAATTAGTATCATCCTGGTGTAAATACAATTCACAGGGTAAACTTATAACAAATCTGGTGGTAATTGCATAGGCACCTGTAGCTTAAAATCCTCATGGATGCTTATCTTTTAGTGACATTTACAGAAATTTGTTAGAGAAGCTGTAGTTTGGATTGAACTCAGGTGGCAATGTTATTATTGTAATGCCAAATTCCCTTAAATTGAAACTTTTTTGCTGGGTGTTGGAAGCTGCATATTTTGATGCATTAGATTTTCATTTTTCATAGATTTATTGTAATTACAAAAAATTTTGGAGGTTACTTGAAATATTTGATAATTGAATAATTCCATTCTGCTGATATCAGTACATGGTTGAATAGACAATGAATATACCTTCCGAAAAAATTAATAAAAAGGAGATGTTCCCATTTAAAAAAATAATCGATGACGTCACTACAACTACGCGGATTACGTTACAAACTCCGTATGTATATCAAGAGGTGTCAATTTGAAAATATAAATCGACCTGTCTCAGGATTTTTCTTCAAATTCATATGCATTGGAGATAATGAATTTATTCCATACATTTCCACCATACTGTATACTATACCTATACTGCCTCACTTACAAATCAAACTGGGCTTAAGACTCCTTAAGAGATCTAATAACTGAGAAGGTGAATGGACGACATACATTTTGATGTAGGAAAAAGTGTTAATATATCTAATTGAACAGTAGATATGCACTGAAATCACTGATGCCAATATCCTGTAACTATGCATTATATATGGTTAATTATATGTTTTTATTCTCCAAATGCGGTCTGTTTTTTCAACTGTGAATTGGAATTTAATCTTTTGTTTGAATCTAGCCCAATAGAAAAATAAATCATTTTATTTTATAATGAATATTGAGAAACCTTTCTTTGATGTTCAATTTTCGAGAAGAAGTTGTGCTGTTGGAAAGGTATGACGGAAATAAATCAACATAAGTATAAACAAATCTATAATTATTCGTCTATTCAGTAGATATACTTAGCTAGCTCATCACAAACTGCTTAATTTTAAATAACCATAATTTTCTTTGGTATCATTTTAACTGTAATAAAGTAATGGTATACAATAATAAGCTCATTCATATGAGAGATACAGCAAAGCCACTGAAACAATTTATTCAATTTTTATTGAATAAGTTCAATCTAGCCTCAATTTGAACTTTGCATACACAAGAATTTGTAACACCATATTATACACTAATTCAATAAATGTTCATATCATTATTATTTATTATTCAGTCTGCTGACTAGAATATTTTCAGATGTATATAGTTAAACCACGTTAAACTGCTAAACAAATGTGAATACCCCATAGTTGGAGTAAGAAGAAACTCCAATGAGATTTCATTTTCACGTTAATATCTCTTCTTCAATGAAAATTGTTGCTAAAAACATCAATGCACACAAATACGAAAATTATTGACTATTTTCAATCTAATATCTCGGAATGTTAATGTTCACCAAAGCATCGATTCAACTTCAACTTCGTACACATAGCTGGGCTTGAACAACCCTCTAAACCAACATCATGCCCTGTCCATGAGTTTGTAGTTCTTCCTGAAACTTCCCGTCACAGCATACGTTTCGTTGCTATACGCTCCGACATCAGAGCCAGTCGACCTCTTGAAACTGGTTTCTCTGGTAGACGGTGAAGACACATCAGGTTCTTCCTAAATAATTGAAAAAATGTGCACAAAGTACCTCCTTTTTCACTTCTAGAAGTGTTGAATTTAAAGTGTATTGAATAATTGAAGTAGTACCTATAATTTTTCATATACTTGCACTCTTAAAATTAGAAGAAGAAAGCAATAATTGCGATTTTCAGAAACTCATCAAGGTCTGATCATCCTGAATCACCAAATCCGTGAAGGAATTCTTGCCAAATACTGAACTTAATTGATTATGATTGATTTACTTATGAAAATAAGTAATGAGCTATATAAATTCAATAATTTCGAAAGGCAGAATATCTTGTGAACCAAACGAAACATCAAAGTTGATCAGGAGAGTCGAAATCTGGTCAGTGGCGTAGTCAAAAAAATGTCTCTCGTTATATGGGTTATATGGGCTCCGTGGCCGAGTTTGTCTATGCGCTGATATTCGCTAGATAGCCGTTCACGATACAGAGGTACTGTCGGTTCGAATCCGGCTATCGGCTGAGCATTTTTCTTTAAAATGTGTGATTCATGGTTGTAATCCTGGCAGCACCTCGATGCCCTAGAAGTGGTTCGGATTCCACTATAAGCTGTAGGTCCCGCTCTTCCTAACCCCGCACAAGTTTCGACTTCTGGGGAGTTGGTTCCCAACTTTGAAGTAGCGATATACAAATACAAAAAATATGTTTTCAACGGTACTCTAAATATGTACCACCCTTTATGTCGATCGAATTAGCGAACCTACAAAATATCAAAGCTGTATCTATAGAAGACATTGAAATATTCGAAAATTTTCGTTATGAAAATTCTAATTTCACAGCCCTATCACTCGATAATAACATACCATTTTAGCAGAAAGAATTGAGTAATATTATTTCATCAAGTTCTATAGATTGCTAGACTATTGGTCTTTAACACTCGATCACCCTGTATTGCAAATTTTAGCCAGGCTGTTTTGATTTTGAGAACAACAATACAGACATTTTTGATCGTTCAGAAAATCAATCGTTTCATCAATGATATTAGAATATCGCTTTCTACTGGTTTGGAATATAATATTTAATTGAATAAATTGGTACCATTGTAGCCTCGAAATTTAACACAAAGGAAGTATTTTTAATGGAAAATAAAGATTTGATTTCGACTTTTTAATCAGCTGCTGGTTCCTCCAAATAATTGAGCATATCACTAAAGATATTATTGCTTCTCATGCATAATATATTCTGTTGTTGGGTTTTTTCACGTATAATTATACTTTTCAACCCAAAAATTATTCCATCTCATTATTTTCTCATGAAATTACTAATATTATTTTGTTTGGATGTATGACAAATTGATATTCATCATACAGGGCGTGGAAAGAAAAATTCTGAATTGTGAAACCCAATCACGAATCTCCGATTAGAGGTCTATAAAAATAACAAATAATGGTCCAGCGTTCAAATTTGAACCCCTTTTGATTGGGTATGAAAGTATAGAAAAGGAATATTCTCAGATATATTGTGAACATGAAAAAATGGATATATGTAAAGAAATATATTGTGAATTATCATTATTTTGTTTCCAAAATACATTTATCCGATAGAAGTAAATAATGGCTCTTGAATTTTTGCTTTTCACAAATATTTATTGTCAGTAGATTCTGAAGAAAAAGTTACCTGTTGGGTGTTTTCTTTAATCTCTTGATTGTGATGGTAGATTCTGGTGCAGTTGAGGATAGTGGAGAGGAGTACCGAAAATTCGATAAGTACCACCACCAGCCCAACCGCGAGGAATGTGACGTAATGGTCACGGTACCACTGTTCCAGACTGTCACTGCAACCCTGTTCAACAAAAACATCAACAATTGGTATGCATATAATTCTCATAAGTGAACTGTCACTTTATTCTAAAACACTATTATATAACTATACAGGGTCGAATCAAAATGTATACATATAATGGTTATTAGAGGCCGTACGTCATGTATTGGATTGGCCACAGTGTATGTCGTGACAGTAAATTTAAAGTTTTTCCGTGTTTTTTATGTGAATAAATATCGTGGACTTCTATAATTATTTGAAAAATGTATGGATCTTGATGGAAATGTGTATGTTCAGATCCAAATTCAATTGAATTGTCAGAATTTAGTTGAACAAAATTTTTGGCGTTCTTTTCAAAGCTCTGTTCGCAAAAAACGATTGGTTCCCAATTTTGATAAGCATGTAAGATTCGAATAATATATCGTATGTTACAGCTTAAAAAACAGAGTTGATAGTGTTGTAGAACGCCTTGGAAAATACCTACAGTGGTAGATTTAGAGATTCCAAGTGAAAAAGAAACTAGTTCAAAACATCTAGGTTTTCGGGTTTTGCTTGAAAAAATAACACCCCCTTTTATATTCAATAATCTAATAAGAAGAATGATTCATCAAATAATTCCTTGCCATAATTTATATATTATCCCTTATAATAACTAAGATATCCTTGTGAAGCTGAAAAAAACGGGCACTCTCTATTTATTTATTTCAACGACGACGCTATATATGTAGAAGAATTATTAACCGATTACTAATCATACAACGATTTCAACTGGCAATTATGCAGATGTCAATTACGCATGATCAAATGAAAACAAAAAATATTCAGTGCGGAAGTTCAAGCTACTATAAGCTAGTGTGACGACTGGAAAACGGTATAAAAAAGTCTTTCCTTTCTGTCCTTGTCTTCAAAGATCCGACGTAAACTGTGAAGTAATAAAAATGAGATGTATGAAAGAGCAGGTTCACCATTTATCCTAATTTTTCGTGTTATCAACATCAAATTTTCATAATTTCTCTTCGGAATCCTGACGACAAGGCTGATAGCTGATTTCTTTCATTATAATGTAATGTACCTATGTATTCATTTTGGTTTTATTGTTTATGCAAAGTCAGTTGGAAAAAAACATCACTGCAAGCCGTCGGTCCCTTTGAAAGTCCAAAGAGTGCGGCAGCGCGGCCCAACATTCGTTTGATGATCTGTTCAACTGACTTTGCAGCATAAACAATTCCAACTAATACGCAGGGTATAACATGTGAAGTTATAGTCATGTTGTAGCCATCTAGTGGCAAATCTCTAAGGTAGGATCCAGAGATCGTGACACACTGTATGGCGCTGCCATCTATATTTTTACCGTGGTATGTCGAAATCCTTCGTGTCTGTTTTTCTCGAGCGCCTGACACAAGTTGTGGCTCACAGGTTCTGGATTCAGATACGATTTCGTTTGATTGACGTTCAGTAACTTGCAGCATGACAGAGGCACGGCCAAAGACGGACCCAGAGCTTGGAGCTGCCATAAGGATGTGTCGTATTCGTTGGCTGACTCTATTCCACAGCAGTTGAACTATTGAGAAAATCAATAGGTAATATGATAATTACTAATGATACTCGAAGGCATCTCCACGACATTTTAATATGATCAAACAGATCAAATAACTTGGTACATGCGTTTCGGATACAGGATACAGTGTGTTACAATTTGGTTCACCCCACCCCTCTACTTTCGTGTATAGTACCACGGGATAGTTGAAGACGGCTGTGTTAGTTCTCAAAATTATCTACTTATTTGTCGAGCCAAGATTTTCTAGTCTACTGCGACCACAGGAAAATCAAAGAAAACGGATTAGCCATTTTTTACAAACATTTTGATAATGGCAATCGTTTCGGACTAGTCACAAATACTCCTATATCAATTTCCAGAACAATATCTCATACGGGGTATTTTTTATCAAAATTACAATTTTTGGAACCTCCTGACAATAACAAACACAACAAAAAAAGATTCAGTGAAATCGGTCAAGCCGTTTACGATTCTATGAAGAACATACAAACATTCATTTATATACAGGGTGGGTCACGGTGGATGGCCTATTAGAAGTATCTGGAAAACGAAAAAACAGAACATTCTAAAAATTGGGCTGCTTCGATAATTGAACATTCTCTATTCGGCAAAAATGTTTTCATCGATACAGTGTTGCCATTTCTATCAGAAACAACTAGCAACTTCGTTATTTTAAATGGAGCACCCTGCGTTTTTATCAAAATGAAAAGGTGTAAACTTTTCATAAAATCATATTAGGAATTTGTTTTTATCTCGGAGTGCTCGAACAGAAATTTCCATAATGTTCGTGGAATATCGTAAGTACGGAGGATAGGGAAAGGAGGTAGGTGTTGGAATTTTTTTAACTTTTGGAGGTTCTTGGCGATACTTCCATTGTCAAAGAATTCCAAAGTTTCGAGGTTCTATAGACGAACTAGTTTTGGGAGGGTGTTGTTCGACATATTTCAAAAAAACAAACAAATCTCAACAAAAAAGTGGACGCCGCTTAGCTCCAGAGAATACTCCTTTTCTCCCTCTTCATTTAAAAAATTTTTTTAAAATAATTCCATAAATGAAAAACTCATGAGCTTGGTGGCAGGTGTTGATTCTGAACTTTGATCATGGAGGAGGGGGTTAGGTTAGGAATTTGAAAGAATGATTTTTTTTCTATCAAGCACTCTTATATGTGTTATGTTTTCTTACCGTGGTTTGTGCTAAATCGACAGCTACGGTGAATTGCTCTTGTCCCCCAATACCATAATTCCTCTGTAATGATTTGATTAAACTTTCGTTGTCTATTCCTAGTCCGACACAGCTAGGCCATACCCATGCTATCACGTAAATGGCACATTCTCCCACTAGGACTAGCATGATCACTAAAAAATACTGAAGAGAAAAACGAAAAAGATTGAGTACCCATTTCGAATGATGAATGATTTTTGCATCTGGGTCATCCGGAACATAAAAAAAACTCGACAACTATAACTTTGGGACTTTGGGACTTGTTCATTGTTTCTAGACTTTCTAGCTCATTCATTGAACCTGAACAATAAGTCTAGTCACCTATGTCAGCGTATACAGAGGCTGTTGCCTTGATATTGTGAAGACTTCAAGGGTTGACATGTTTTGCGAAAAAAATTGGAAAATTTCCACAGTTTGAATAGAACCAATACACTATGGTCTATTTTTGCTATACTTTTGGCCTCAGAAAAAAAATTCTGATAGAAGATCAGTCACAGTTGGATATAAATATATATTATCTCTGGACGATTTCGGAAATTCGCAATTGAAAGATGATTGATGAATTCTTTCTAGAGTGATATGCATTTGTTCATTGTATTTTATACATGAAAAGCACTATAGCTTAGTGTACAGGGTGGACTCAGATTATAGAAAATTATTCAAATATTTACAGAAACCCCAACTTAGTGTTTAACAGTGTCTTATCAATACAATTTGGTATACATTTACGAATTACTATTCACAACATGTATCTATCTATGTATTATGTATTCCTAATTTGTTCCTATCCAGAATAAATATCTAGTCTATAGTAATAAAGATAATAATAATAATTATTGGCATAGATGTCACTGATAGACATTCAAATAGTGGCTCATTTGATAAAAAATATTCATGAACTTCTTTTTCAAAGTTCATTGCTCTTGGGACTTTATCAGAAATTTTTGATGTCGAAAAAGGAAGAGTTATGAGCGGTCCGTTACATATGTGCTGAGAAATAAATGTAGTTATATTCTATATCAAGGATTTTCAGCAAACAAAATTGATGATCTAAATTTCATTCGATAATAATATATAAATGATATTTTCATTTTTGAAACCAGATTGACGGGCTCCATCGAGTTATGGAAAAAAATATGGATTATTTCAATTGAAGAAAAAAGTTTCTTGAACCACTCTGAAATTTGTTGATATGGAGAAAAAGTAAGCACAGATTCAAAAAAATCGTAAAAAAATATTCCAGAAAAGTTTTCGAATAACCGAAATATGTTGAGAATCACGAGGATATATAAAGGAATGTGACATTTAAGTGGGACACCCTACACCATGTACCTACAAATTGACTAAAAGACGCGTGTACGAACAACTGTCAAAAAACTAACTGGAAGATGGTGTGCACGAATAACTGTCAAAAAAACATAACAAAAAAATTATCTACACCTGACTGTTTCCTTCGAATTTTGTAATTTTGGAAGTATTACCTATGCCAAAATATCAAGTGTTGGAGTTATATAGAATTGATTGTGCTGCACTAATCAACAAAAATAATACAGGGTGCAACTTGTTAAGAATAAGTAGTTTGACAGAAGTTGACCTCGACACAGTGGCTTCAGTCAATTGGGTTGGACAAAAGTGTAATTATTTTTTTTGCAAGCAGAGCATAACTGAGATTTTGAAGAAGTGTAATAATTATTTTTCAACTCAATTTCATTTCTATTTTTGAACATATGAGTTATATCCCTACAACGTACCACATATTCCTGGGGCTAAAACAATTCAATCCAAGCAAACTTAACTACAAAGTTGTTCAGTTTGGACGCTAGACGGCTCTGAAGGAACAATTTTTAAATTGTTTTTGCTTCATAACTTTGAAACGGCTTATGAGATTTCACTCAAATTTGGTGCGTAGGCATAACTTTATTGGGGCAATGAAACTCATATAATGATCATGATGAATATCATTCCATGGGCGTAGAACTTGATTTTTCCAGTAAATCAACATCTGAAACTTCTACGCCAATGGAAAGAAGGGGGCTGGAATATGAAATTCAGATTGCGAAACTTGTTTACTATGAAAAAGGTACACTTGATTGAATTTGATTCCGCTCATGGTTTCGACAAAATTTGAATTTTAATCATTCAAAGCATATAAGTCAACAGTGAAACGATTATCATATATTTCATGAAAATTATTCGAAAAAAAAAAAAGGATCCTCACCATTATTTATTGGGAGATTTGTGTTGGTATGCTTTATTTCGGGACGTATTGCATTTGTGCCACACAATAAGTATACACCGTGTCCCAGCTAAACTGTCCCCCCCCTGTAAAAAATCAACAGCGCGATCGAATGACTTGAAATTTGGTCACCCAGTATGTTTGATGATGCTCGCTCTGAATATGCTATTGAATGAATCGTAGGTATACAGGGTCACACCGAAGTGCACCTAAACTTTCCTTTTTGAATAGGGACACTCAGTATATTATTCCATATTCAAGTAGAGTTTATTATTACAAATTCAACAATGCCGGGTTTGATAAGAATTTTTCAAACGACTACGAAGATATGGCAACAAATGAAACGATTCAATGGAAAATCGAATAACCACCAATTGTCTCGATGGTGATAGCAACTGGCCAGCTCGGTCGCCAGATCTCGCCCCACTTGATTTTTTTTGTGGAGCTATTTGAAACAACATGTTTATGAGTCGCCAATTGTGAATATGGATGAAATGGAAGAGAAAATCACCAATTAATGCGCACAAATTGATCGCAACGTGATACATAGGGTCACAATGAAAGTTTTATCAAAAGAGCTAGGAAATGTTTGCAGCAGAATGGACGACATATATATTTTTTTCTTTTCATTCGATTTCAATCGTGTTATATTGATAAAATCTAAACATAAATTTTTTATTGAACCGTTTATTTTTTGCCATATCTTCGTTGTCGTTTGAAAAAATCCCATCGAACCCGGCACTGTTTGAATATGTAATAATGAACTCTACTTGAATATGGAATAATATATACTGGGTGTCCCTATTCAAATAGGAAAGTGACCCTGTATACCTACGATTTATTCAATAGCATATTTCGAGTGAGCATCGTCAAATATACTGGGTGACCAAATTTCAAGTCATTCGATCTCGCGGTTGATTTTTTACAGGCTGGGACATATTTTAGCTGGGACACGGTGTATACACCCTATACCATCGGACAATGACTCCACTCACCAGCGTCAGCAAGCAGTAATTGTGCAGACAGGAAGCCCAACATCCGAGGATGCCAGTGGCGGCGAGCACGACGCCCAGCAGCGACACCCCTATCGAGACGTAGTGCAGCAGCGGGTGTGGCAACGCTGCCAGCTGGCCGGTCGACAGCAGTCGCGAGAGAAGAACCCTTTCGCCGTCGAAGAGCACCAGCATGCCCCCTATTACCAGGGTGAAGCCGCATGCCTGGAAATTTAATACACGGTACAAACTGATAGGGATCATTGCAAGTTTCAGTCGGCAATAAAGGGATTAAAGAGTAACATATGTATGATGCAATTGTCAATCTAGGGATCATTGCAAATTTCAGTTGGCGATAAAGGTTATAATACAAGTTTCAATCTAGAGATTATTGCAAGTTTTAACTGGCAATGAAGAGTATAATGTGTTTAATATGCGAGTGTCAATCTAGGGGTCATTGAAAGTTTCAGTCGGCAATAAATGGTATAATGCAAATTGCTTTCATTCGACAGTGAAAGTTATGATGTAAGTTTCAATCTAGAGATCATTGCAAGTTTCAACCGGCAATAAAGAGTATAATGTATAGTGCAAGTGTCAATCAATAAGGGATCATATTGCAAGTTTCAGTCGGCAATATAAAGGGAAAAGGTAAAGGGTAAGTTTCAATCTACAGATCCTTGCAAATTTCAACCGGCAATATAGAGTATAATGCAAGTTTCAACTTAGGTGGTGTCATTGGAAGTTTCAAACGGCAACCAGGGTATGCTGCAAATGCCAACCGACAATTTGGGATGATTGCAAGTTTTCACCACCAATAATTTAAGTTTCAATATAGTGATCTTTGCAAGTTTCAACCGGTAATAAGGGTTTAATGCAAATTTCAACCGACAATTAGACACCCCAATCGAGACGTTGTGCAGCAACGGGAACGGCAACGCTGCCTACTGGCCAGTCGACAGCAGCCGAGGGAGCACTCGGGAGCAGGACTTCACCGTTGAAGAGCACCATCATGCCACCTATGACCAGGGTGAGACCGCATGCCTGGAAATGTAATGCAAGGTACAACTGATAGGGATCATTCCCATTTTCAACCGGAAATACAGAGTATAATACAATTAGATCTCAAAGGGATCATTGCAAGTTTCAATCTACGGATCCTTCGAAGGTAAAACCGCCAATATAGAGTATCATGCAAGTTGCAACCTAGGGTTCATTGGAAGTTTCAACCGGCAATAACGGTACCTATAATGCAAGTTTCAACCGACATTTAGGGATCATTGTAGCTTTCCTCCGCCAATAATAAGAGTGTAATACAAGTTTCAATCTATTGATCATTGCAAGTTTCCACCGGCAATAAGGGTACACTTCAAATTTCAATGAACAGCTAGGGATCAATGCCAGTTTCAACCTGCAATAAGAGTATTATGCAAGTTTCAGCCGGCAATAAGGGCATAATGCAATTTTCAACCGAAAATTAGACACCCCTATCGAGAAGTAGTGGAGCAGCTGGAGCGGCAACGCTGCCAGCTGGCCGGTCAACAGCAGCTGGGAGAGGAGAGTCGAAGAACACCAGCATATAATGATGCTGCCTATGTCCAGGGTGATGTCATATAGGTAGGTACAATATTGTACAATCGATAATTGACAGAGCCGACAACTAGAGATTATTGCATGTTTCGAATGGCAAAATAATTTGTGTAATGCAAGTTTCAACGGGCAATAAGGGTACAATGCAAAATTAGAACCAACGATAAAGGGTATAGGCGAGTTTCAACCTATATAGGGATCAGTACAAGTATCAACCGGCAATCAGGGTATTATGTAAGTTCCAACCTAGGGATATTTGCAAGTTTCAGCCATCAAGAAGGGTATAATGCAAGTTCCAACCGACAAATTGAAGATAATTGCTAATGTCATCCGGCAATAAACGGTAAAGGCGAGTTTCATACGGCGGTATCGCACCAACCGTTCAAAATTACAGAACCAAATTTGTGAAACAGTCAGCTGGAAATCCAGGCTAACTTCTGATTTCCCATGGATGCTCCCATTTTGAACCATATGGACGTAGGCGATTTTCAAATGTATTGAAATATTGCCAAAAACTCAAATTTTCAAATGGTACCTAAATTTTTTTGACACCATATGATAGTAAATTAAATTTGAGTTGAAGTTACTCAAGCATTGCCTATACCCAAGTCAACTCCTTGCACCTGATGACTATTATTGTATGTAGGAATAATTTCAGTTTCAACCTACAATTTTTAATAATTTATGCAAATTTCAACTGAAATTTCAGGATGATCACATGTCGCAACCATCAGCTATAAAAATAATCGCAAATTTCAACCGATATATACATACTTATATGTATATAGAACAACTCGCAATTCAGGTACCACAACATTTAATTTTGTTTTCCATGTTATCCAGACGAAAACCAATTGATGATAGTCAGTCATAAAGTATCCACTTCAATTATTATGAACTACACCCACAACGCGTAGGTGAATAACAACTAGAATCGTTAGTACACCAGCCAAATTGATAGTAAATAAGATTAAAATTCGTAGAAAGTAATCAGTCTCATTAAATTACCCCCTTTTATGGACGGCATTGCACACATAATCAGTGGATATTAGTAATTTAGTATTGAGACATATACCTACCTCTATAGGGTGTTTTATTATTTATTATATTATACAGGGTGATTCAGGTTTAAGCCACAAACTGAAATGGAAGATAGATCTCATCATTTTAATCAAAAAAGTTTATGTAAACATTAGTCCGATCTCGTTCAACAGCGGAGCTACAGGGTGTCAAAGCTGAATTATTTTCTTCTATTAGTTGAAATATCTCGCTTACTTGGCAAGATATCATTTTGAAATTCGGTGTGGTCAATACTTCCTAGAAGATGATCATTTCAAGCCATCTAAAGATTTTCAAAATCTACAGGGTGATACGTTTATGGGGGTAGACGCTTCCTTATTCCCCCCAAACTTTTCCGTTATATACGCCTCTGGCATCTTTCAGTGATCAAATTATGTGGATCGTTCAATTTAGAGGCTTTTTTTGCTCTTCAAGTTTTATCGATAAACGAACCGTTTTTGAAATAAATAAGCATATACGTTCTAAAACATGTTAATTTAATTAAAACAAGAAAGCCTGTAGATTTTGAAAATCCTAAAATGGCTTGAAATGATGATATTCTAAATAGTATCGACCACACCAAATTTTATGATGATATCTTGAAAAGTAAGCGAGATATTTCAATTAATAGAAAAAAATAATTGAACTTTGACCCCCTGTATCTCCGCTACTGAACGAGATCGAACTGATGTATATATGAACTTTTTTAAATGATGAGATCTACCTCCCATTTCAGTTTGTGCTCTAAAACCTGAATCACCCTGTATAGATGTAAAGCAATTGTGAGAAACTGAGAAAATAGAACTATACAATTCCAACATGAGAATATTATACTTACCAATAAAAGAAAATTGCACAGCGCCAAAATAATTTTACTAGTAACCAACGACGTCAGTGCCATTTTTCACATGAATCACACACTTTATTACCAACTAAAACTACGAAGAAGTTGCACCTGCCGAATCGTTGAAACCGCTCTTCATTCGATAACAAACTGTGACTCAAGTCAACTGGCACATCCTATTGTCCTTCCTAATTGTGCCAATCAGCCATTCTCAACCTTTATGGTCCCATCGCTACCCATTAGTCACTCTCGAATCAGAATCAACGCCAACGAAAGCCTTGTTATTACTCTACCACTAGTCTTTTTGCCGACGAAATCGAAACAGAAACAACAATGAGATGGAAAAAGTCCGAGTCGAAATCATGAATGGAACAGGAAGGATATGGCAATTAATAGAAGCAGAGCATAAAGAAGAGTGGGCATGGTGCTACGCATGAGGAGATGCCATATGGAAAGTATACTTTTTATGAAAATCAAATGTTTTCGACCAGAGAATCAATCCAAAATGAATAGTTATTAATTATACAAGGGAAAAAAGGGGTAGATTTTAGCTCCAGGTTGTGTTGTCAAAAAACCGTAAGCTAAAATATAATATTTTTCCCGTGTATAATACACGATTTTTTTCTGCGACAGGAAAAAGGACGAATCAATATTGAGAAGATATTGAAATCAGAAAATTGACGACGTGAAATTTGACGTTTTTAACAGGAATTAGGGACACCTGCGTTGCATCAGGCATCTTTATCATTCTTTTGAAGTAATCAAATATCTGCCAGTCTAAGAAAGAACTGCAAAAGTCGTTATCTTCCATTCGACTTCGCGGTTACGTATATTACTAAACAACCACTAAATTCGCAATTTTTTGAAATCAAATCACAGAATTAGACTGACAGAAGTGACGAAGTGACATCAGATATTTGATTACTTCAAAAGAATGATAAAGATGCCTACAACGCAGGTGTCCCTACTGATAAAAACTTAAAATGTCACGTCGATAATTTTCAGATTTCAGAATAATGCAATATCTTCTCAATATTGATTCGTCCTTTCTTCTGTCACAGAAAAAAATACACAACCTGGAGCTAAAATCTACTGCTTTTTTCCCTTGTATAATAAATAACTATATGAAGTGACATTTTATAACCTGTCAACAGAGATGAAATTTCAAACTGCTTTCCCGTCATCTATAATAATGATATTTTTGGAAGTTTCTATATATGCATCAAGGTGTCCTGAAAATAGTTTAAAATACTCTACAACCGGCTTCTAGATGAAAAATAATTCAATCAATTCTTTCTCATACATCATTTCAAGGAGTCATTCTAGTTCAGTTACTTTTAAGTTAATCAAAATCGGCAACAAATAACGACACTATGGCTTTAAGGCCGTTCTTGTCAGTGCACTCGATCATGTGTTATTAATTATCGGTTGCTCATACATTTTGAGTAAAAAAATGCAACTGGATAATATTTCCTTCATCGTCATACATCCAAACATCTGGTATAGTGGGTGATAAATGATTCAATGTCTGGTAGTTGGATGGCAGTTGCCAAGTCAACAGCAGTTGTTAATCGAATATTTTGTCAAGCAATGGTCACGTGGTCACGCCGTAGGATGACAAAGAAACGGGGTTAAAACTTAAACAGGTTGATAAATTATGTTCGTTCTAACATTCGAAAATAAATAAAAATATAATTACTTATTCACCTTACCTGTCATTTATTTATTGTACACAATCATAACATAAAATATCAACTAAGAGAGTTACATATACATCGACCATCCCAAATCATTGTACTCATCTCATTCTCATCTAGATCTAGGTGAAAGTAAATATGTTTCAATCAAGGGAAATTTATTTCGACAATGCTGCTGAAGAAGTATACCTATATAACACATTGTACTTCAAAAATGTAGATCCTTTTACCGTTTTCTACACGTACATCAAGATCGAAAACGCAGTTAATTAAACGTTTTTTTCCAAATCGAACACTATACCCGAACTATTGATTTTACAAACAATTGTAACATTAATCAATATATTATTTTTTGTGAAGAAATATTAGAATTTAGAATGGTTTTCAATCTCCTTTAAATGCATACCAGCCTACATCCAATTATTCCATATTATGATAATGCCGATATCAAATATAAGTAGGTATACTTAGGTGTCCGAAGTAAAAGTAACTTAAACATTTAATATTATTATATTATGTATATGAATAATTAACTTCATCAGGGAAATCTCAATTATTATATCCATAGTACGAGGAATATTCGAGAGTTATTCAGTCTACATATTTTCACATGATTGTGATATTTAAATATATTATCTTTATATTATATATCGATAACTATAGGCATCTTAAATAACTAATGAAGTTATATCTACATGTATAATTATCCAAATAATTAGTTTTTCAAAAGATTTGTCATAAATAAACGACTTAACCAATGTTAACTTCAACCTAATTATTAATAAGCTGATGAATATGCATTGACACTACACTTTTTTCACAAACCAAACCGAATTTTCCGTTTGTGGTAGAGCAGTTTATAGTGTGGTATTTGTGCGAAAGGTTAGCCAGTCTTCCTATTAACCCTTAGATAACATGTATATATTACATATACCTATAGCAAACAGTGTGTCCATATTTGATCAAGAGAAAACTTGAAATGACAGTGTTCTTCAGTATTTTGAGCCACATATTTTGAAAATATTTTCAAATGTACACAAAGACAGGCAGCTAGAATATCCTTATTCAAAAATGATACTGATACCACAGTACAATATCATTGTGCTGATACTCCTCTTTTAATTTGCTTTCCAACCGTACTAAATGAAGCACTAGATATTTCATCAAACCTGATCAACTTTTCAATTGAATTTCCTTAGTTTTTGATAACATCGCTATGATTCCTTTTTTGTATAAATGCAGTGAGAGCACAGATCCTTCGTCGTCTGAAATTCTCCGGGCCAAACTAATCGAAAATTTGATGAAAAAATGGATAGTTGAATTCTGTACTACACATGGTATATCGTGAGTCCCCAGCAATTTGGTTTCCAAGTCGAGAGAATTACTCACAACCGATTCAATGTTCTCACTTCTGAAGAAAATAGGTATATATTCTGGAACCATCATGGATTCAGAAATATTTTCCTCCAGTGATTCAAATCCTGTCTATCTAGTAGTAATCAGTTCGTGAAGACATCAACTCGCTCCAATATAATATAAACAACATTGATTGCGGAGTTCCCCAAGGTTCTGTACTGGGTCTAATGCTCTTTCTTTTGTATGTGAATGATGCAGTGATATCACCGGTGCAATTACACTCTTCTTGCGGATGATACCACATTACTATGGAAACACAAAAATGTGGATGACTTGCATGACGATAAAAACATGGTATAAGGAATTGGTGCGAGTCTAATTTTTGTTGTCATTCAATATTGAAAATTGAGCATAGTCACCTTCCATAGCAATTTACCTGATGTGATACTTGGAAGTACCAGCATTGAAAATAAAACATCATCTAGATTTCTTGGGCTTTAATTTGACAACAATCTCAGATTCGAAAATCACGTTGAAAATGTTTGTAAAAAATGCAAAAATGCAGATTCACATATCCGTTATGGAATTACTTTTTTAGGCCTATACGCTCGCTTTTGTCGAACAAAAACTTGAAAAAAGTTCACTTATCAAGCTCCTTTAGGCTCTCTGATTGTGACATTTTTAAAATCATATTTTTAAACACATATATACATATATTACACATTGTCGTTACTACTTTTTCTGTTCTACAAGATGGGGTTATCAGATTTTCAAACCGGCGTTTCGTCTTTGAGCTGCCATCACCAACTTTGTTTTTTCAAATACGGCCCTGGATTTTTTATCATGGATTTTGAAGCTTTTGATCTAAAATCAACGGTGTATCGCACTAATTCGAAAAGTTTATATTTATTTTATTTCCCATATGAACTCATGTGTGAGAGACATAGAATCGATTCTTAATAGGATTCGAACCGTTGATTCTAGGAGATTGAAAGCTCTCAAAATCCAGGGCCGTATTAATAAAAAACAAAGTTAATGATGGCAGCTCAAAAACGAAACGTCAGTTTGGAAATCTAATACTTTGCCAGAACTTATCGGAATTTGATCGTCAAAATAAAAGCGTAATACCCCGTAACCATTGGAATATGACATGTTCATGGGACCTTGATAATACTACTCAGAAGCAATACTCATCTGAAAGTCATAGATACATAGAACCATCATAGCTGACTTTGCAATAGTAGCAACACTTCTATAAATAATTCATAACATGTCAACACTGCCACGGATTTTAAATTTTTTGACACAGTTGAAAAGGCAATGAAAAGAGGAATGGAGGAAACCATTTTCAAAAATAAGTACATTTCTGAGCTGCTCTGTCTTATTGTAACCTTCGGTTTAATTGAAAACATTTACACACTCTCATTTCAAATTCAATAGTCTACGAGATATCTAAGGATTACCTGAGCACTAAATGGACAAGACACTATATTTAAACAATTTCCACAGTCCATCCGATTATAAACGCTAAATAAAACATTTCTCCCTCGTAAACTGAACTGAATAATATATGTTATTAGTTGAATATATCGCAATTAACTGGTCCTAAATGGAAATATATGGGGCGTAGACACAAAATAATAACTTAATATTCATAAGGTCAATCACGTCTATAGCGTCTATATACAGGGTGATGACACATTAGACGTTTCTGAAGAACGCAACTCAAGATTATTCTGAAAAGTTGATGCCTTGGATGATTAGTTGTGTTTTATCGACCTAAAATATTCTCAGCGTTGCGACGTTGCCGCTTATATTGAAAAGTAGCAACAACTTTGATTTCTTCAATGGAACACCCTGTATATCATTCCATTTTCGGAGTCTCCCTGAAGAGCTGATTCCATCGATCTATCACACTTGGGGTCTAGCGGGAATGATAACAAAGATATAGGGTGTGATAAATCTAAATTTTTCAACTTTAAAAATTTGTTGTGTCGAAACTATTCATAGTTGGTAAAAACGGTTTCCATGTCCCTATTTTAACTTTTCATGTACTATCAATTGATATTTAATTGAAATAGATACAGGGTGGTCAACAATCTTAATTCTTTGCAGTTATTTTAATGAGAACAGACAATTTTTGCCAAAAAAATATCTGTAACCATTTTTCAAAAATACCTTTTTTCGAACACCTTGTAACTCCGAAACGAAGACAGACATCGATATGCAGTTTTCATCATTGAGTTTTTCATGAGAATCGACCCTCAGGCACCGACATCAGTTTTCTTCCATCTGGTTCGAAAATAGGACTTTCCCATTAAAATTGTCCAATTTGACCCACCCTGTACACCCTGAATATAATAATGATATCGAAATTTCAGCCTTTAGAAAACTGTCACTATGTTTCCACTCACCTCTCGGTCTATTATACTATGTATAGTTCACATTGATTCATCCTTATTCTTTTATAATTATAATAGGTATTATAATTATTCAACATCCTTCTCATTTATGATGGTTATGATTCTCGAGGAAGAACCTTTAAAAAATATTCTATAAACTTTATGAATACACACTGTATATCATTTGACACCACGTATTTACCTCCTGTCCCTATCAAGTTTGTGTTGAAGTGACTATTTCTAGAATCGAATGTTTTCATTTCATTGGTAGTTACATTCAACCAATTTACTTTATTCACATAAAACAATATCTCAACAGTATAGGTACTTATTTAAGATCAGAATTAACTATTGCATTACAATTCGTAGTGGTAAAGATAAACATTTGAATAATTCAGGTAAATAAATTACGATTTGATATAGAAAAGATAAATCTTCCGGTCTGTAAAAGTAGGTAACTAATTAAAATATTTCAATACCTATAACTACCTGTAGTGGAAAGGTAGGTTGCAAATAAGGTATCTCTTTAACTCAGTGACTTTACAATTTCCTGCAATAAGTTCTTTTAATCACGGCAATCGCCAAAACCAGTCCGAAGAAAAAATGAAGATAACTGGATGCTGGTCGACGTTTCCATTTCTGATGTTGTGCCTTTTATTGTATGGAACTGGTGGAAGTACATCGTTTGATAAAATAACAACAAATGAACTTCGTAAGTACTAGAAATAAATCTAACGACCACATTAATTGTTCCATATACAGGGTGATTCAGAAGTAAGCGACATCCTTTCAGGGGCGTATTCCTTGCATGAAAATAAGGCAAAGAATTCGTATTAATCCGAAAATACTTCCTAAGGTTAGCTACGCCCCTTCGAATATAGGACACCTCAAAGACAATTTTTTTCTCTATAACTTTGAAATATTTCACATTGAATTTTCAAAATTGGTGTACGGCATGAACATTTGATGGTAAATAAGACTCTGAATTCAAAATTTCAGGATTTAATTCAGGATGGGTGGGTGTAAAAACATCCTTTCTTTTGATATTCAAGTTATTGTTATTTACGCAAATCAGAAAGTTTTCAAAGTCGATTTTCTCCTGTACGTTCTATCGAAATGAACTAAGAGTACCTTTTTCACGTGAAAAACTCTAGAATGGGCTTATATCACAAAAAATTGTTATTTCATAATTCGATAGAACTCACCCAAACTAGCTCACCACCGCAAACCGTTTCTTGCTGTGAGTTCCCTACGTTTTATAAAAAATTATTGAAATCCCCGATTTTTCGGACCACTTAAAACGAGGCGATGATGTGACGTCAAGACCCTAATACTGAAACAAGATTGTTCCAGACAGATGAATGATACATGATTTCTGACAGAGTAAATTAGCGCGAGATCACAGTTTGAAAGAATTAATATATCATTTGCCTCAGTCTCCGTCGGGCGATTGGTATTTTCTTCTAACTATGGCGAGATGAGGTTTCTACGTCATAAGAGGGTCCGTTTTCAGAAGGTACTATTATTTATCTCCAAAAATAAAACATTCCAGTTGATTTTTCGATGGAATTATGTCGTCAATCATTATTTATGTATGAAAGAATCATTATGAACATGGTTTGAGTTAAAAGTTCTACTAAGGTGTACACGCCCATTTTATAATTTTCAAACGAAACCACAATAACCTGAATATCAAAAGAAGGAGGGATGTTTTCACACTTACCCATTCCCGCATATAACACCCCTGAATAAAATTTTAAAATTTTGAATCCAGAGTCTTTATTAACCATCAAATGTTTCCAATTTTCGATAATTTATTGTGAAGGATTTTGAAGTTATAGAGAAACAATCATCTTTGAGGTGTCCTATTCAAAGAGGCGTAGGAACCATTTTCCGACCCTTATTAATAGGAACGTTTTGCCTTATTCTCATACAAGGAATACGGCCCTGAAAGGACGCCGCTTACTATTGAATCACCCCGTATGTATCATGTATCTACATAGATATAGGGTGATTCATGAGGAGTGTCACATAGCCAAATGGGATACAGGAAATCAATACGAGTTGATGTATGTAGGTATATGAAAATATTTTTTGGTCATCTATAACGAAAATACAGAGGGTATTATGTGAAATTGACATAGAACTTTGATAACCGATATTTCAGAAATTATTCATCCTAATTTGTTGAAATTTGGCACCGACGTTACTCTACTGAAGATATATCCAAGATGGCATATTATGAAACTAGGGAAACTTCATGTTTTATTGTTATGTGAAAAATATGACTTTGTAATCAATTGTCTCGAAAAATTTAATCAAATTCAGAAATATATCAGACAAAATGCCATATGAACTGAACTGAACACTTTGACCCGTAATATGAAACAAAATATTTCGAACAAGATATAATATCAATTATTTTTCAATTTTGATTATAATTGATATTCGTGGATTTTCCGATAGAATTCTGATGAACAAGATCTGGGCTTATCTTCTGAGGCATATTAATTGTTATGTGTAATCCGTCAGTTAGGTACTTTGATGACATTTGTCCTACCTTTTTTGGACAAAATACAACAAGGAATAAGAATTTTTTTCTGTGACGGGAAAATAGTTCGACATTTCTTCTCTGTTGACAGGATAAAATGTCACTTTTTATAAATTACTCTTTTCCCGGATATATGTCACATATATATACACTCCGAGAAAGAACTGCAGGTCCTTTCATCTTCCATTCAATTTCGCGGTTACTTAAATTACTAAACAACCGAAAGTTCACAATTTTTTTGAAATCAAATCACAGAATAAGACAGACAGATATTCGATTACTTCGTTAGGAACCTCATATTTCACAATATTAATTCGCCCTTTTTCCTGTCACAGAAGAAAATAGTGCATTATAACGGGAAAAATATTAGATTTTAATTTTAGCTAAAATCTACAACTTTTTTTCCTTGTATAATAAATAACTATTTCAATTTTCAATTCAGTTTCTGTACGGCTCCTTTTTCAATATTGAAATCATTCACTTTCATAAAACCTTGATTCTATATAACCGCATATCTATTCAATCACGCGGCAACCTATCACTTCTTAGTTGGTGAATATTCCAATGAATCATGAAAATAGAATAGAAAAATTGATTTTTGTCTGTGACGAAAAATAATGGCATTTAATCTCTGTTGACAGGTTATAAAATGTCACTTTTCATAAATTACTTTTTTCCCATGGGAAAAAAGTGAGTACTTCTTTCCCGGATATATGTCACATATATATACTGTGTTGATGGCTTTTGTTGTGCTGTAGTCTACGAGAAAGAACTGCAGGTCCTTATTTTATCTTTCATTCGACTTCGCAATTTCGTGAATTACTAAACAACCACTAAATTCGCAATAGGTATATCAAAATCAAATCACAGAATCAGACTGACAGATATTCGATTACTTCAAAAGAAAGATGAAAGATTGAACTATATCAATAATCATTCGTCGAAGCAGGGACAAGTCGAATTGATTTTAAATGGCTCAATTTTTCAACTGACTGACTAAACACCCTAAATAATTCAATATTTTCATCCTCACTCTTTGATCAGCTGAACGAGAGAGTTAATATACTTAACATTAAAATACTTTGGGATGCACAAGGTATAATTCCTGTTTCCCACAAATATATGAAATAATGTTAAAAATAGTGGTCGTCATTGAGTGGTCTCTATGCTATATATTTATATCATTGGGTGCTATAATTTTTCAACAAATAAAAATATGAGAGTCTCAGTGATCTTATCAAAAACTCCCAAGCGATCTCTTATAGGTATTATCTGTTTCTGATGCTAAAAACAATGATCTGTGAGGGATTTTTTTTCCAAAATATGGTGAAAAAATATGAAAATAACTATTCTGGAGACATATCAATGATGGTAGATGAAAAAGATAATATGCGTGTAGGTACCTATATTCTACCTTATTTTTCTGCTCACCTCATCGTTAAAAGTTCCATTCCAATTTTCAGTTGGTATACCAACTGGAACCACCCATGGAATAATTGTGATTTGGATTAAAATGAGAGAAAATAAGAGTATACAAGGAAAGTCTTTCATTCTGTTTGTAGGTTGCTTGGAGAAAGAAATGGCATTATCCTTCAAAATATTGAAATACAAAGAAATGGAACTGAAAGATTTCCAAAGGGAACTCGACAACCTGAACTTGACTGAACCACTTCATAGGTTTTTCAATCCAAAAGGAACGTTGTGCAAGCTGTGTCAACTTTTGATAGGTGCATTAAAAAAGAGGACGATCAGAGTGGAGAATATCGCTAGAGCCATTTGTAATATTTATATAGCCCTTTCTACTTGGACTTTGGATGATTTTTGTGAGGATATCATCGAACTGAACATGGTAACTATGTAACTAATATAAGTGAAAGACTGCCAGATCTAACATTCGGATTTTCCGACAATCCCGACAAGTGATTACTGGAATTCCAGTTTCAAATGAAAACAAAAACAAAGTTGGTACTAATGATGTGCTTTACGAAATTATCATGGAATGAAAAATAAGATCTATACTTTTTTCGAGTCTTTAATTAAGAGTAGGTAATTTTATATGATGATAAATAATAGGAATGTATCTATCAAGGGAGCGAAATACGCTTTTATGGGTCCATAAAATACCTACAACATTTTATGCTAGAATACCTCAATTAATGTCATCACAGATATAACTTATTTTCGGTGCAATCATATATCATTTTGCATCTCAAGAGAACTGTAATGTAATGAACCATATCGCACAAATCAAACATAAATGTCCTGAATTATACAGAAATGCTTATACGAGTTACTTATACGCCCGGCGATGAAGATGAAGTCTGCGGGCGGTAAAGTGCCACTTTACGCCTGCAAAACCGGACAGTAAAGTGTTACTTTACGCCCGGTCGTGCATAAAAAGAATTTATTCAGTCAAAACTTCATCTACATAGCGCGGGTGTCCCAGATCTTTTCGTACAGCCAATACCTCAGTTATTCTCCTTGAAAGAAAATTTGAAAAAATTATACTTTTGTCAAACCCATATGACTTAAGCCGTTGTGTCAAAGTCAACTTCTGTCAAACTACCCCTGGAAAACCACCCCCAACTTCAATTTTTCAAATTACACCCTATACACTTTTTTTGTTGATTTGTGAAGTGCTATAATAGCCACCTTAAGTGCAATCAATTCTAACTTCAACACTTGATGATTTGACAGATTTCCAATTGACAGAATACTCATTCGAAGTAACTTCCTAAAAGAAGCGTGCACGAACAACTCCCAAAAAACTCTTCAAAACAACTGAAAAAACATCATAACAAAATGAATGATCTACACCTGATACTGTTTCCATAGTTCCCAAAGAATTTTGTAATTTTGGGAGTATATACACGTATATCAAAATATCAAGTGTGACACATCGTTGAAGGTAGTTTTTAGTTCCTTGTAGCGCACGAAAGGAAATTCCTATAATGTTTCGTGGAACATCGTGCGTATAAAGTATAGGCGTTGGAATTTTTTAAACACTTTTGGGAGGTTATAAGTTTATATGGAAATACTTCCATTGGCAAAGAATTCCGAAGCTTAGTCGTTCTATTCGCGGTAGCCAAGGTCATCATCTGATGTTGCGATGATGTCTAACTTTCAATCTGAGCCAGGAGTTAGGAATATTTTCCCGTAGTTTTCATGGAACCTTCCAGAAACATTTCAATTCTGCCCTATTGTGGACTGTTCGAAACGTTACCTACTTGAAACGTAACCAAGACGTTTTGTCCAGGTTTCCCGAATATTTTTTAGTTGCAACAACGTTTGAACGGAAACAAAATGAAAAGTTTCAAGTAAAATGCAACCATGTAAGAATTCATGGTCTAAAATGCTGCTTTTACTGATTTTTCATGTTTTTTGTTGTGTTGCCTACACCTATTCTACATCATAATAAATGCCTATCACTATAGAAAATATAGAAAATCCCAAATCAAAAAACAGCTGCTGCTACTATATTTCGTATGTCGAATTTCTTGTTGCTGAAGAAAGTTGTCATGGATTGGAGAGGCGAGTGATGTGAATGCGAAAAGGGGAAGGATCAGTATCGGTACAAGACAGTACAAGCAGGTCAGAGGGAGACGACTGAAACAAGACGAGAGTCGATGATAGCTTAGACAGCGTGAGATGAACGTGAGCTGATCAACACTCGATCGCCCACTAATGCTACAGTCCTACTTATTTCGAGTTTGCGTAATACCTAGTCACTGTTTCTGATTCCTGAATTTATGTGTGGCAGTGGTAGTCAAACCTGATAGTTAATTTGTGATCCATCGTATCCAGTTGCTTAGTTTCAAGGAGCCAAAAAGGGTCATCAGGATTCACAAAGTATTTTATCAAGAATGATTCCATATCCGAAGAAAATGTGGATGATATTGGTGAACGGCACGAATTACCATCATGAGAAGCTTTGGGGACAGTATATTATGTTTCAGATATTGTTGAAAGTGTTCATTAGGGTATGTTGGGCTAGTGTGGACTTGATTAGACTATTTTCGTTTTGTATTTTTTCTCACATCTGTGTGATGGGTAATTGCCTACTGTTTGTGAAATAAGAATAAGTAGTACCTAATAAATTTGTCTGTTTCTACTGACGATGTATCTTTATTTCAACACCATATCTACTTTCTTTGAAGATAAAATTATACAAAATTTGAAATCATTATGAAACGTGTCCAGGACAGTTTTTTTGAAACGCATCCAAGACAGTATTGTTGGATCGTGCCCAAAACAGTTGTCTCGAAACGTCTGGGACGATGTTGTTGAAACGTTCCATGAAACTCCACTGTGGTAGGACATTTATCTGCTCTGTAACGTTTCTGAAATTTCAGAGATACTCAAGTGGACAGGTTTCAGATACCTATCCGTTAGACACTTCTGAAACATTTTTTGGCTATACCACGAATAGATGAACGAATTGAGGTAAAGTGTTGTTCGACATTTTTCAAGGTTAACGACGAAGGGATGTGCTGACTGGGCCTGTCGAGTGAAAGATCGCCGACTTTTCTGCGGTGTTCTAATGTGGCCAGAGTTGGTGAGTGTGGCGTCACCCACCAGGCGAATGGCTCTTCTCTGGCTGGAACCTAAGAGCATCAGCGTATGTTTGGGTGCTGATCCCCATACATGAGAACAGTATTCTAAAACTGGCCGTATTTGTACTTTGTAGATCATGCGAGAAACTGTTGAGGAGTGGAGAAGATTTTCGCACGGACCAATAAACCGAGTTTTTGTGATACAGCTTTTGCTGTGGATTGAACAAGATTTTCCCATGATAGATAGATAGATAGATAGGCTTTATTTAACACTGTTACATGTAAATGTTTAGTGCAAGTCAAAATGTAACATGAAAGAGTATTGCTGATGGCAGAGATTATGAGGGAGTGTATAATCTCTGCTGAGAATATATAGTGGTATAGGTATACTGAGTTCCGCCTTTCTAGAGAAAATACAGGCTTTGGTGGCGTTGAATTCAACTAGGTTGTTGGTTCCTCAGGCTGTAATTTTCGCAAGATCTTCATTGACAGCCTGCCTGCGTTGCACTTTACAAATCAACAAAGAAATGTTTAGGGTGTAATTTGAATAATTGAAAAATTCAAAGCCCGGAGGGGGCAGAAGGAATTCTAGCCTTCTTGGGGTTGGTTTTTCAGGGGTAGTTTGACAGAAGTTGACTTTGACACTACGGCTTGAAAGTCAAATGGATTTGACAAATGTAATTTTTTTTAATGTTTCCAAGTAGCATAACTGAGATATTGGCTGATGTATAAAAAGATCTGGGACACCTGGTATATATAAGCAAAGATTGCTTTATTTATCAACGTTGGTCCGCTGAAAAAACTACTCATCGTTGCTTTTTAGCCAATTATTGAATACGTCTTAGAAAATAGCGAAATATTCAGTCCTGAGTTAGCCTGTACTATACTGCTTCAAAACGACAAATGCTATTACCCCGATTCAGCTTTGACATGGAGGATGTCAACACCTTCTACTTCCTTGGTAAAATTCCCACAGGTCTGTATGAAACCATGCACCATACATAATGTAATTACTTTTTTATCGTATTGTGTGTTCAGCAAATCAGTATATATAATACTATATCAGTAAATATATATTCAAATTCAATGCAAACTTGTAGGGTCTAGATATTGGGAACGAATTCATTTTTTAGGTTATTCTAAGACAAAATGCGAAACGTTTGAAAATCCTACACCTGTCAGATTTCCACATAACTCCAGATTACGAGATAGGGGGCATCAGCAACTGTGGTTATCCCACTTGCTGTAAAAAGGGCTTGGGGAATCCAATAGGATCGAAACCAGCAGGTGTTTGGGGTGACTATGAATGTGATGTGCCTCCTTGGATGTTTGGCACCACTCTGGATCACATCAAGTATGCTCACAAGGTAAAGTATCTCTTTTCTTTCGAACAACAGCTAGGTAGATAATACTCTGGAGTTTGTTATACCTAGACCTAGAACATATTGTTTGTTTCAAAAAATCTGTACCTATTCTTATGATTTTTCTTCGAATGTGGTATCAGTGCCTGTACGATTTTATTGTTCCTTGCAATCAACCCAGCTAGCACAAAAACATCTCAGAGATGTTAAAAGTACGAGATGACGTGACATTAAACCTCCACTGCGATGTCCTCTTCACACATGAATAGAACTTTCATAGAATAGCCAATTTCCGCCGCGGTCGGTGTTTATAAAGATATACTTGGGATGTCACAAAAATACATTCTGCCTGGTTTTCTTGATAGCCTTTTCATGGACACAACAATAGGCGGTTTGCACACATTTGATCGCTGCAAATAAAGCTTTCCTGGTGGGTATATTATAGAAAAAAAAAACAATTAAGAAAGAGCTTTTCCCGCTGAAGAATCGAACCTATATACTCTCTTGTGAGTCTCTTGTTATTACCTTTTTACAATCCTTATCCACTGCGCTATAAGAACTTTATTGATGAATATGATATGAATAGACATAAATTAACATGCACTTCATTATTATAGTAGGATAATAATTATTTTGAGGCTAGAGAATAATAAGGTGAGTAAGGGCATACATTATAAATATTGATAAGAGAATAACATCGATATTTTGATACGATTCTGTATATTCTCAGAATATACTGAGATTATGTCAAATTGAATATTTGCTCATGGAATATTTGTTGCCAGGATGAAAAGATTCTATGATCATTCTGAGACATTCGATCAGAATATTCCAATATAAGTATACGACCGTTCTGAACGTTGTCAGAAGTCTTAAAATATTTTGTGCTGTTTGAAATATTATTACGGATTATGGACGACACGTCTGATGGTCATTTTTGATTAGAATGAATAATACTTGCTTCGTGCTTCTGTTCTGAGATAAATAGGAAGTCGTTTGGTATTGTAATAACGGAATAAAAAGACGCTGCAAACGCGAATGCGAACAAAAACAACAAAATCGGAAATGAATCAGAAATAATCGTATTGTGACGTAAGCATGAGACGTTGTGGTGGGGTAAACAAAGAAATGGCAAAGAAGAACAAAAAGAATACTTCCAATATCCTTCAAGACCTCTTTGGGAGGTATGCATATGACGTCCCAAAAAAACATCCTCATTCCAACATTTTTGAAACATCCCAAAACATCCCAGGGATACTAGGTACCTACCTCAGTAGCCAAACAAAGAAATGCCACAGAAGAACAAAAACAAAGACAAAAAACATATTTATGTCAACATTTTCAAAGCATGTTTGTGCTCGCTGGGAAATATTCATAGTTAGGTTGAGGTTGAATCAGGTGATAGATACTATATATATTTTCGATATCAAAATGAGCAATCTAATATGCGGATACCCCATTACATGGAATCAAGTGAGACATATCAATATCAATAAATCTCCAAGATTATGAAATTCATCAAAACATGAATCATCCTCAAGGAGAATGTGGATGAATATATTACATAGAGATAACTATATTGAAAAAAATACTAATGTAGATAGAGATAACTATAAAAAAAACTAATGTAGGTCATGATATGTTATTCATCCCTGTTCTCATGAATACTTATCTCCAAAATTATTTAACTCAGCACAACAAACTATAAATCAGTCATAGTTATATATGTAACATAAAATTAAAATCATAGTAAATGTAAATAATTCAAAGATGTAGGTATGGAATTGAATACAAGCAATATACAAGAAAACTGATTATTTTTTTCATTTCCAGGACATAGATATAGTTTATTTCACAGGTGATATAATAGACCATACTGTATGGCAAGCATCGAAAGAACAAAATTCTAGACTCATTTATTACACTTACAAGGCGTTATATGAAACCTTTCCAAACATACCAGTGTTTGCTGTCATTGGAAACCATGAAGCTGCACCACTGAATGCGTAAGTTTTCCCCACTGATTCACATGATTATTATAAATAACCTCATAAATATCAGACAATGACTGGTGCTGTTGAAAATATACTGGTTAGGGAAAATAAAGATTCTCACATGGGTTTCATTTCAAATTGAACAATTATATGAGGGCATATTTGAAACACTGTATTCTTTTCACTTCAAAATGAAGTAAAGATTAATCAATACTGAATCAAATTTTTGGTAAAAATCTAACTCTCTTCTGAAACAGTTGTTTGTTACTCCAGTTTACATGATGTATAAACATTAACTCCAATGATTTTATTGAAAACTCAATTAACAATAAACCTTACAACATTGCCATTTCCTAGCGATCTATTTTTTATTCCGGCAGATGATTCAGGGGCAACATGGGTAGAACATGTAATTTTATTTTTAAGCCCTTGGAGTTTTTTTATTATACATTTAATTCCTGAAATTTCACACACCATTTCTTTGACTTCATGTGGACGTCTATTTGAATGTATTGCATTACACCAGAAACATCTGATATACAGATAGACGCCATAGCGCCGTTATTTATTGTCCAATTTTGTTGAACTAAATAAATTACTGTTTGAATACCTACTGTGAGAAAGCATATTGATTACCTTTTTTTTCAACTCCAACATTATTGACGTCGACGTTCATTTTCTCAAATTCGAATGTATAAGTATTTTCCATTTTTTTTCTTGAGACAATTTTTCTGAATTTCATACAGTACTTCATGATATATAGTAAAGATGATAAGTTAAAACCTCAAACTATGGAGAAACTGGATAAATATGACTCAAACTAAGAATTATGTTTACTGCATGATTTTATCATGCTTCAACATTCCTTGAAAAAATCAAATTTTTGCCGACGGGGCATTTTTTTCTTCATTAATGTTGAGAGAAATGCAAATTGTTATACATCATTGAATTCAGGAAAACTTTCTATTTTTTCAATTAACTCGGCCGTTACTTGATGGAAATCGATGGCAAATGTAAAAACTTCACAAACGATAAGATTTCAACAAAATTCTCAAACACATGACATGTTTTGCTAACACAGTAGCTTCATCAGGCGATGTACTGGTACAATGAACTAAACTAACCTTGGCTTGCCTAACTTTTATATATCCTACTTTCCCAACCTGAAGGATTAGTTACCTGTGGACAGGTTTGATAAACCTTCATTTTCGGAACTTAGGCACAATATCTACATAAAAATACAGTGTACTGGATTAACTTGAAAGGGTTGATATGAAATAAATATTATTACCTACTAAGAAAATAAATTCAACAGTGGTGAACTATTGAGGTCTAGTTGATCGTTAAGTGATTTGTCAGAATTTTTGAGTTTGTTGTGTTTCAATCCTTTATTTTCTACGTGTAGAATTTCGAAATTATCATCAAAACTATAGTTTTCTTCTAATATATATGGTTGGCATATGTTGAATTTGTTTTCTTTTCAAAAAAATTCATCTTATGTTCATGAATGCGCTGATTAAACGATTGGCCTGTCTGACCGATATATACCTTAGGACAAGATCCACAGTTGAGTTTGTATACCCTTGATTTTTCTAATTTGGAAGCTTTGTCTTTATTATTTCTGATAAACCTTCCCAACGTGTCATTTGTTCTATATGCTACTTTTAAGTCTGGTTTATGTAGAAATGAAGCTAATTTTTCAGTTGAATCTTTCTCCATAAGAGCAAATTAAGAAAAATATATGTTCTCATTTGAGAATGAAATTGGTAGTCCCTGAAGTTGAAAAAAAAATTGAATCAATGCTTTCAGATCTTATTCAAATTTACTTTTCAGTTCATTAAAATCGGAAAGTGAATAACGGCGGTATGGCTTGTCACTCTGAATTCATTGATTTTCAGTTTTGCCCCCCCTGATGCACCTGTAAATGAGAGTCTGTCAACTCAGTGGTTGTACACTCTCATGTCCAAAGCTTGGAGACCCTGGCTGCCCCCAGATGCTCTGAAGACTGTGAAAAGACAAGGATATTATGCTCATTCAGTGAACAAAAAATTGAAAATTATTGGACTGAATAATAATGTCTGCTACAATTTGAATTGGTAAGATATTATATGACTTCAAACCACTTTATTCAGAAACAACATAATGTTATAATGAGACCTTTTTCAGATAAAAAAAAATAAATGAGCATGAACCGAAAATGTTATTTTATCAAAAAATGCGTCTTGAAAATTGCTATTGTTTTTAATGAATGTTCAGTTCCTGAGTAGTGTATTAAAAGCACATATTACATATCAACATGTTGATAACACAATAATGATATACTTATCCTATTTTCAAGAAGACACTAATAGCTATCACTCATTAGATACAAATACAACACTTCACAATCTAAAAATTTCTTTCAGGTGGCTTCTGTACAATACAGCATATTTATCAGAACAGCTCAAATTTTTAAGTGATGAACTGTTGAAATCTGAACAAAATGAACAGTTTGTTCATATCTTGGCCCATGTACCTGTTGGAAATGAAGAATGCATAGAGCCCTGGGAAGAAAATTATAATGCTATAGTGGAAAGGTCAATATACCTGATGTATTTTTCAAAATATTTAAATCAATAATTTTGGTTTATATAATCTATAAAAATGAATCATGTGGACATTTTTGTTTAGATTTTCACACATAATACAAGGGCAATTTTATGGACATACACATACAGATGAATTGAAAATATTCTACAAAAATTATAGTGAACCAATCAATGTAGGATACAATGGTGGCAGTTTGACACCTTATACAAAATTCAACCCCAATTATAAAGTGATGACAGTTGATCCAGATTCTTATGTAAGTTGAATAGGGGGAGTACAGATATTTTGAAGAGCTATAAGGAGCTAAATGAATGAATGAATATTTCTAATGCCCATTTAATTATTCAGTTTTATGCAATAATAGCAAAAAAATCAAACAAAAGAAGTTGAGCATTACATATGTTTTCTAATTATAATGATATTCCAGGAAGTTATAGACGTTGAGACATACATTTTCAATCTGACTGAAGCTAATCAACATTCCAATTTGACTCCAAATTGGTTGAAAATGTATTCTATGCAAGAAGCATATGGACTGAACAAACTGTCCCCTCAGAATTTTGATCAATTAGTTGATGACATATTTGAAGATGAAAATCTTGCAGACTTGTATTGGAGGTAAAATGAGATGTAATTTTGAAAAACCTATATTTTCAAGTGATTATTGTTCTTTTTGAAGGTTCTATGTAAGATTTGGAGATCCATCACTAGAAGATGGTTGTGATAGAAAATGTAAGAAAGATCTCATCTGCAAGATAGTTACAACTAGATCTATGTTTCCAAGTAAACCAAATTGTAGATAGCCAAGAATATGTCATTTTTAATATTGTATGGATGTTAAGTATTTTTAAATTAATAAAATTTATATAGTACTTGTTGTTTCGTTTAATATCAAATTTCAGTAAACCTCGTATTTTTCAATAAAACTCGTATTTTAGACAAGTTCAAACCAAATCTTATCTTTTATTTCAACAACATTCATTTTTTTACAATGTCAATCTGGATATCAAATTGTGTCAAACATATATAACATCTACAGGATGTAAAACATCTACAGGATGTAACATTCTCCCCCCGGTGAAGTATCTCAGCATTCTTCATCTAATAATAGTTTGCACAATTTTGTTACTGGGCGTTTGTAAATACTATTATTTATTCGAACATCGGCTACACGAATATGGCCGTCAATACCGGGATATACAGAGACTATTTTTCCCATTCGCCAAGAACTTCTTGGTGAGTTGTCGTCAACAATAATAACAATGTCATTAACTTTCAAGGGTTTATTATCATCTGTCCACTTTTTCCGCTGAGTGAGGGAGGGTAAATATTCTTTCACCCATCTACGCCAGAAATTGTTTGCCAACATCTGTGACTTTCGCCATTCCTTCTTCAGAAATTTCCCTGAATAAAAATCTCCAGGTGGCCCTTCAGAGTGTGCATAACCTAGGAGAAAGTGATTAGGTGTTAGCGCCTCAGGATCTGCTGGATCAATTGAAACATGAGTCAAGGGACGAGAGTTGACTATACTCTCAGCCTCAGTGAATAGTGTATACAGAGTTTCATCTTTCATTGACTGGCCGTAAACCACTGCACCGAGTGATTTTTTTACTGATCCAATCAGCCGTTCCCAGGCTCCCCCCATATGTGGTGCTCCTGGAGGAATGAATCTGAATTGTATACTTTCTGAGCTCATCTTGTCTACAATCATGGACTCATCTAGCTCTTTGAATGCGAGTCGTAGTTCTTCGGATGCCCCTCGCAGATTGGTCCCATTGTCGCAGAAGATACTATCCGGATGTCCTCTTCGAGAAATCAGCCTCCTTATTGCCATAACTGCTGAGTCTGTTGTTAGTGAATGTGACATCTCTAGATGTATAGCTCTTACTGCTAGACATGTGAACATGACGCCCCATCTTTTTTCTCGTCGCCTTCCAACAGAGACAAAATATGGGCCGAAATAGTCCATGCCCACATTTATAAAAGGCCGAAGTCCAGGAGTGAGTCGTTCCTTTGGCAGCTGTCCCATTATTGGCGGCTGAGGTTGTACTCGTAGCTTCATACATCTTTTACAATTTCTTGCTGCAATTTTGACGGCTGCACGTGCATCTAAAATCCAAAATTCTTGACGAATTTCATTTAAAACTGTTTCTACTCCTTGATGACTAAACTTCTCATGAAAATGTCGGATTAACAGCTTGGTGAAATGATGTTTTGGACATAGAATATATGGTTGCTTAGTCCTAGCTGCCAGAGAAGATGACAAGTTAGTTCTTCCTCCAAGGACTAGAAGGTTTTGGTCATCAATTGCAGGGCATAGTTTTCTCAGTCGGCTTCTTCGGTTCAACATCTTTTGTTCTCTCAGAGTTCGGATATCTTCTGAAAAACTATCTTCCTGAGAAATTCGAATACAGACGGTTTTCGCCTTGGCTAGCTCTTCCACTGATAAATACTTCTCAAATTGCTGTGATCTTTTTAGAATTCTATTTTTCAATATTTTCCCAAATCTCAAAACCCAAGCAACAGTCCTTATCAATTTCAAAAATTTTGAAAATCTAGAAAAATCTAGAATTCTTATAGGTTCGGTTTCCTCTTCGTTGACATTTCCTATAAATTCGGATTTCAATTCCGAAAAGTCCTCAATCATGTCTGGATTATCTGGATCTTCGTCATCTTGGCCAATTTCCTTCGACCAATCATCTCTAGGTTGTCTCAGAAAATCTGGTCCAGTGAACCAATTTCTACTGAAGATCGCATTTTCCTCGTCGATTTTATACCTAGTGGCCGAATCTGCGATGTTCAATTTGGTGCTTATCCAATGCCAACTTCTTGGATCTGATCTCTCCTGTATCTCCCCAATCCGATGGGATACAAACTGCGTGTATTTTCGCCCATCGCTTTTTATCCATTTGAGGACGCATCTTGAATCAGACCAGTAGTGAATATGACTGATATGTATCTCTAGTTCTTCTTTAAGGGTAGATGCAAGTCGACTTGCCATGACTGCGGCTTGCAATTCCAACCTAGGTATCGACAGAGGCTTCAAGGGAGATACTCTTGACTTTGCCATGACTAGGGCAGTTTCTATTCTTGTGGATGTTGAAAATCTCAAGTAAGCCAAGGATGCAAATGCTTTCTCACTGCCGTCACAGAAGATGTGTAGCTCTACCTCTGAAGGACTGGAAATCAGTGTCGAATAGCATCGAGGAATCCTCAATTCAGTAGTTCTTTTGAGCTCGTCTAGCCATCTCAACCATATCCTCTGAAGATCCTCAGGTATTTCATCATCCCAGCTGGTACCGGCTCGCCATATATCTTGCAGAAGTATTTTAGCTCCTATCGTTAGACTGCTGAGAAGACCTAGAGGATCGAACAAAGACATCACAATTTTCAAAATTTTCCTTTTAGTAATCAACCCTCCTGAAATGTCGCTATGTTGTACCTTGTACCTGAAATCATCAGTTTTAAAATCCCACCATACTCCCAAGACTCTTTGCATTCGTTCTTTGTTATCAATGAAGCATTTGGGATCAACCACATCTTCTCCAAGAACATTCATCACCTTGGTTGAATTCGATGTCCAATTCACTACTTCAAATCCTCCTAGCAGTTGAACACGTCTCACTGCATCGATTGTATGGACTGCCTCCTCCTCAGTGTCCTTGGAGTCCAAGTAGTCATCGACATAAAACCTTCGGGTTATAGCTGCCAAGATATCAGGTGAATCAGCATGCTCTTGTGCGTTCAAATTTTTAATATACTGGGCACATGAAGGAGAGCAGGTCGCTCCAAAGGTCATTACCTGCATCTCGTAGATATCAGGGTCTTTCCTGCAGTCTAAGTTTCTCCAGAGAAGCCGTTGTCCACATCTATCCTCTCGTCGTATTTTCACCTGATGGAACATCTCCCGAACGTCTCCACTGAAACCAACCTTCCTTTGTCGAAATCTCAACAAAACCGCTACCAAAGGTTGCAATAAATCAGGTCCAGTCAACAAATTATCATTCAGGCTTATACCGTGTGACTTTGCTGCTGCGTCGAAGACTAGACGAATCTTTCCTGGTTTATTGGGATTAGTGGTAGCAAAATGTGGCAAGTACCAGGTGTGAGGTGGTTCTACAGCAGCTTCTTCTGGAGTCAACTTCTTCAGATATCCTTTCTGGAGGTATGAATCGATTTTCTCTCTATAGGCTGTTGCAAATTCCTTATCTCGTCGACATTTTCGTTCCATGCATACTAGACGTTGGAATGCATTGAATCTACTTTCTGGGAGTTGTGGATTATCTGACCTCCATAGTAAACCTATTTCAAATCGATTTCCTATCCGTTTGGCTGTCTTCTCCATGATGTCCAATGCTTTCTTGTCCTCACTATTCGGTTTTCTTGTTGTGGGAAGTATTCCAAAGGACTCAGTTGAGAATGATTCTTTCACTAAGTCTTCCAGTCTGTCATCTTCCGTCTTTTCACACATATGCAACGTATGTGCCACTATATTTCCTTGACTAGACGACGGTCCATGTAATGACCACCCCAACTTACATTTCGTGGCAACAGGTAGTTGGTTGTCAGAACTTCGTGTCTGTCGTGGAACGATTAAATCGGCATTGTCCTGGCCTATAAGAATCATCGGAGCTTCATTCACAAAATCATCGATAGGAAGATCGCTCAAATAGGAATATTTCTTCCATGTTTTCATCTCGACTGACTGAACTGGTAAAGATAAGTCTCCTGACGTCCTAGCACTTGATATTTCAAATATCTTCGAGTCATCTTTTATACCTGAGATTGCTAGATTTACCTTACAAGAGTTCTCCAGATTTGATACAATGTCACCAGTCCATCGTAGACAGAGTGGTTCTGCTATGCCAACCAATCCAAGTTTATCTACCACCATTTTGTCCACTAAAGTAACTGTGGATCCTTCATCGCATAATGCCAGTGTCTTCAAACTGCCTTTGGGTCCATACAGTATTACTGGAATCATGCGAAGTAGAACAGTTCTTTCCCTTTCTTGGACCGTGTAAACTTCTCTACTGGTGCTTGGAGTTGCTACTTCAAATCTTGGTTCCTCAGACCTTTCTGAAACTTTTTTATGTAAAAGTGTATGATGTCTCAATTTGCACCCGTTCGTGCCACATTCTTTCTTATTTTTACATTTGAATTTGGGATGTCCATGTTGAAGACAAGAAAAGCATAGTCTCTTACCAATCACAGTGTTCCAGCGAGTATCCACGTCGTCTGCTATCATTTTCTTACATTTTCCTATCACATGATCTTTTCCGTCGCAGTATTCACATTCCTCTTTCACTTCCCTGGTATTGAATATTGCTTCCTGGCGCTTGGGAGGATAAGATACTTTCTTGAAGATTCTTGCTGTCTCAGTTGATTTAGGAATTCTAGAAGAGGTGACGTAAGATGCGGCACTCGCAGTCTGGGTTAACCACTGGGAAAGATCGATCATATCCACTGAGCCTCTCTTACTGAAAACTAGTTCTCCCCATTTGAGTTTGAGAACATCCGGTAGTTTGCTTACAAGGTCTTTGATTAGTTGAGGATTCTGCATATGACCTAGGGAATGTAAGGATTTCATGGTTGCAACTAGATTTCCGACTTCATTGGAGAAAATTATCAATTTATCAATATTCACCTCTTTCATTGAAGGCAACGTATTTATCTTAGAGATTATTACTTCAATAATGAACTCAGGCCTACCGAATCGCATTTCAAGTGTATCCATAATAAGATTAACATTGTCTCCCGACATCATCATTCCTGAAACTGCGGATCTCGCTTCACCTCTGAGACATTTCCTCAGCTTGATGACCATTTCTTCTTCGCTGTAGGCACACATACTGGATATGCGATTGAAGGACTTGTGAAATAGAGGCCAATCCTCAGGACAACCATCGAAGGTGGGAAAATCCTTCTCAACGGTTTGCCTAGCAATGATCTTATTCTGGGCAGAATGATCTGGACTAATACTCTGGACCAAATTGGAAATCGTTTGACAAAGTAACTTAATATCTTTATTCTCAGATGGTGGACTATCGTTATTACCCTTTTCAGAAAATTTAATGACATTGTCACCGTGACTTTTGTTAACGACAAACTCACCTTTAGTAGACCTCGCTTTCGAAATCTCAGGTTGATGCAGATTTTCCGGATGGCCCAGGTTTCCAGGATGCCGCAGTTTCTCTACCCATTCCTCCGTCGCTTCTGCGTAGATCTTCTCACCGTCGTCCCCTCTCTCTGCTTCCTGGAGTTCTCCGGCTACCTCTGCTTCCATTATCTTCGCTTCTTGCAACTGCCGCCCCAATTCTAGTAGACGTAATTCATTTTCAATCGCCTTCTGTTGCAGCTCTAGTTTCTGTCTTGTCTTCTCGGTCTCTACTTCTAACTCTAACTGCTTCTTGCGAAATCTCAAACTGGCCTGGGAATTCGCACTTATCACAGACCTAGTATCACTATGAGCTCCATCATCATCTCCATGGACTGCACCGTAATTGAAATTCGTTACTACTGACCTGCTGTCTTCGTGGATTTTGTCATGGTAGTTAGAAGATGTCTCCTTTCGACTTTCCACACCTTCTCTTTCCTTTCTACCAAATCCACTAGGCCAGACATAATTCAGGGACAAACTTCTATTGATACCTGCTCCCTTTCTAGTACTTTTCCTTAGGTTTTCCATCGCTTGATTATCGTATTCGGATTCAAAGGACCAACTGTTGTTTCGTTTAATATCAAATTTCAGTAAACCTCGTATTTTTCAATAAAACTCGTATTTTAGACAAGTTCAAACCAAATCTTATCTTTTATTTCAACAACATTCATTTTTTTACAATGTCAATCTGGATATCAAATTGTGTCAAACATATATAACATCTACAGGATGTAAAACATCTACAGGATGTAACAGTACTGATAGTTTTTGAGGATTTTACTTATTTTATATAACTTATAGGAAACCCACTCTCATTTCTCAATTTTGTGCTCTATAGGAAGAAGAAAATGACACATCATTATTATCAAACTTATTCCCTGGCTTATTCCCTAAATATTACTTATATTTACACTTACAAATACTTATTTCATGGCTCTTTAATAATTGGTAACCACAATATTCTCTTCTCTTGTAATATTTGATCTAAAGGAACTCTGTCTAGCAAAGCTATCTAAAAATTAAAGAAACAGTTAAGATAAAACAATAAATAAAACTGAATTTTTCTGACCTGTTTTCTGATGTATTTCACAATTTTTTCTAGATTATGTACATGCACATCCTGCATTTGATAAAATCTTCTCCATATAGCACCTGCCATTACAATATCATCTGATAGGACTCCCTCATCATATGATATCAATGTTGCTTGTAATTGTTCTGATAAATCCATTACCTCTTTTTTCATACCAGAAGGGTTACCAGCCTGAAAGATTTGGTAAATATATTTCAATAGTCTTTCATAAGAACTATAAATATAGATTCAATGTTTCAATTCAGGTTTTAACTGACCCCAAGTTTTTTAACTCTCTGCATTACATCAATCCATAGAGCTTCTACAACAGCATTTCGGAGAACCTCTCCCTCTTTCCCTTCAGCCATAGCTCTCACTGAGAGCATCCAAATGTATAATTCAGTTATCACAAACCAAGAATAAAATGTGTCTGGTAAGTCATATTCCTCAATGAACTGGACATAATTGAAATCATCAACAATTTGTTCATATAATATGAAAGCAGCAGCCTTTATTTGCTGAAACATCACAAATATATAATATATATAGAATTCTGTGTTCCAGATTTGTCACCATTTCATACCATTTTTCGTATGTTCAGAAATGGGATTTTCAACAAGATTTTTCTCACTAAACTATCCTCATTCTGCTTGGGTTTGACTTCAAAAGATGAAACAAAGTTAACTTGAGTGTTATTAGGAAGAATTGGCAAGACAAAATTCGAATTCTTGGATGTACAACATATTTTAAATCCATTTTGTTTGGTCAAGCCCACCTAAAAACAAAAATTACAAGAAATTTCACATGAAAAATATGTATTACCAAATTACCAATGGTGGTCTCATTAGTAATCTAATTGATCTTGTAGAATTCATTGCATTATGCATTTTTGGCAAACTTCATTGAATTCCATTCATTGATTCATTATTGCATCATCAAAATGATCAAAATAAACTAAAAATATAAATAAATAACGATTTAACATTTTACCAATATTTAACCTAACATTTTCGGCTACTTTTTTAATAGTTCGGAAATGTCATACTGCTGGGGCCACCTATCTCTGATTTTGTTAACTAAATTCCAATTTGTGGTGAATTTTTGTGGTGCTTGGAAATGGTGGACAGAGGACTGATTACCAGCGAAGGTGCGTGAAAATATACTTTTTTACCTGTTTTTACCATATTTTTTGTCGTTTAACTCATATCCTCAGATTCCTCAAATTATAAAGAAATCATTGACAGTTGTTTCTAGTTGAATGCTCCACGAATTTTTCCTAAATTCGAGGGAGAGACGTTATTCATCATGTTATGACCTTCTTGCAAATTCAGAACTAAGAAGGTATTTTTGCTGAGTGGTTGGTATTTAATGCATAATATAGTTCTAGATAGATACTGATACTGTGGGCTCCCAAAAAAATTTTTGGGTTAGATAACAAAAAGAAAACATCAGTCAAAAAAAGTATATGTATATATATGTACCTGCTATATCAAATAGGTAGAAAGCAAGTTTGCCTCTGAACAACAGCTCATTTTTATTTTTATTATGAGTAGATATAATTATGTGTTTGATTAGTCATAACTTGTCATAACATAGAAATTATATCATTGATACCTGTAGGTATAGTGAACCATCCAAATAATGTGTTTGATTAGTCATAACTTGTCATAACATAGAAATTATATCATTGATACCTGTAGGTATAGTGAACCATCCAAATAAATAATATAGGTAATAATAATAATATTTATCCAGTTTCAATAAAACATGGATATCAGTTGGTCATCACCATCTCTTTTTGAATTACCTACTTTGAAAGTACTATTATAAGTGATTACCATAGATCTAAATACACACTTAGATCTATGTGATTACCCATACTATGAAACTCTGTAAAATTGAATTATTTGCCCTTGGCTAATTCCTATTCAAAGATATAATGACATGAGATATAGTTTATCAATGTTGTTCAATAATTATAGCTTCAGGATGACTAATAAAGGCACCAAAAAGGGCAAGAAGCCCTTGCAAACAACACTAGGAAAAGCACCAGGGCAAAATGAAAAGGAAGTGGATCTATCTCATGTTAGAAAACCAATAGACACCAGTGTTTTTGGTCTCAAACAAGTATTGTCACTTTTCAGCACTGCAACTGAAGAAGTGAGTATACATTAACCCTAATGAGTATATTTCAATATAATATGCATTCAGATATAGCTAGGTAAAATGAGAACTTTTGATAATGATTACAAGGAGGTATTTGAATTTATCATTGAATTGCTCAAAACCCAGTAGTAGCCAGTGTATTGATATAAATATCTATCCATATTTTAATATATCAGGAACCCACATATTTATATAGGTAGTTAATGATGGAGAATGATACAGATATTTCTAGGTGAAAGACTACATTACATATGAATGTGATATTATCTATGAGTGTAGGATATGCAAAACCATATTCAGAAGTTTGGCCAACTTCATTCTACATAAGAGGAGTTTCTGTTGTGATAAATATATCCCAATAGGAGTAGCAAGCACTTACTGTAATACAAAGGCAAGAAGTTCTGTATTTTCTAATTTTGATAATTTCATCCAATTCACAAGATTCTCTTTGAGCAAGACATATTCAAGCTTCAATCTAATTGAGATTATTTTTTATATGTAGGAACCTTCTCAACCTCCACATCCTCCTTCAACTACTAATCTGGAACTAAGGGGCCTGCAAACTGTAGAAGTTCTTGACTCAGGCAAACTTGTAGCTGCAAATCCAACATCTAAAGGTTTATCACCTGTTATTGCAAAACTCAAAGAAAAACAAGAAATATCCCGGCTAACACAAGAAATCATAAATAAGGACTTCTCTAATGAAAAAACAGAAGAAATGAGAATGGGAGCAATGACAAATAATGATCTGCTATTGGAAGAAATAGCTACTAATAATGCAGCTGTTTTCCAAACTATATTGCATGATATTCCAGAAAAAACTATTGGAAAACCTGAGTTGATAAAATCAGAGGTGGATAGTTATCACCTGATAATATACTTACTATTTTTGTGAATCCTAATTCATTTTTTCTAGGTGATGGAGATTCATGGTATGTTAGATAGTGATGAAGCAGTATTAGGAGCAGATGGGAAAATTTGTAACTTTCAGACTAACAAAATTAACAGCAATCCAATCATACCTAAACTCAAACTGGTGTGCACAGAATGTAATATGCAGTTTTCAACAAAGAAGACTCTTACATTCCACTTGAAAAATAAACACAATGATACTAGTCTGGTTTATGTTTGTCCAGACTGTAAGGATACCTTTGCAAATTCTTGGTGTGTTTACAGACATCTCTACAAGGTTAGTAGTTTTCCTATTCTTTATTCAAAAAAATTATGTTCTATTGAGGCATACAATTTGAAAATCTTGTGATGTTGTAATAAAATCTTCTCAAATTATATAGTCCATGGGTATATCATGTTCTAATGGCTAAATAAATATTCATACAACAGTTATAATAACATGAGTTCAAAAAAAAATTCTGACACCTACCTCCTCTTGCTATCCTACTTAGGTACACACATTTTCACATTCCATAACAAAATATAATAATAAAATTCATTGAACAAAGTTATGTTTTTTCTCAATAACATTGTAATAAAAATATTATATATGTTATTTCTTCAAAATACTTCTTCTATAACCTTGAAGCAATTGATATCCATATGGTTAGCTTGCAGGCTAAAATTTTGTTGTGCTTCTTTTAGGTTCATCGCAAAACCTCAGCTCAAGTGAAAAGACTCAGAGAACAGGTTCATAAAAGTGTGATCAGGAAAGACTATGAACCACATAAGAAACTTGACAAGAAAGAATCAGAAAATCTGGATAAGACAGATGAAGAAAATCAGGTAAAGACTCTAAAAATCGAAATTATTTCATTTTTGAAATTAATATTGAGAGTTGAATGCATGATGCATAAAAATATGAAAATTTAAGGAATTGAAATTATTATGCTATGTATTAAACAATAAAACTCTAATATTGATAGAGCATCACACTATTTAAGGGAAATTAACTCAAATCTGGAATTATTGATGATTAGCAAACTGAAAAATCTCAAATCCAAACCACCTCAATAATTTGCAATTGTTGAATTTGAAAAAAATCTAGTAGATTTCATCATAACTCAATGTATTCAATTCAAAGTGAATCCTTTGTATCTATCCTGTATAGAAATAATTATTAAACTAGGTAAGTTAAGCAGGTCATTGTAGACTTGTTAATTGAACATTTTATGACTGAAGAAGCTAGTGTTTTACTGAAACAGGTATTTTTTTGAGAATCTTACAGACATTTTGTTTTTTTCCTGTAGTTCTCTCAGTTTTATTTTTAATTCCAAGAAATGGACAGTCTTTTATCAAGAATGCACATTCTACCATCATCTCAACCGATTTTTTAACGCCTGAACAGGTGTTTTGCTGACTGTGTGAGCATTTTCAGAATATCAATATTTTATACTATTGAAAATGATTTGTACCAAATATTAGAAAATTATATAAGGTGGTTCATTGAATATGATCCTACAGATATGAACAACCTTGAACCAAATACAGATTGTAAAACTGAAATTCATCAAGCCTGACTGCAATTTACCAATTGCCATCCTTTTTTCATTCTCCTATAAAGGGTGTAATTTAATTGATTGTTAAAAATATAGAACATTGTTCCTCAGCTCACTTTAAGAAGTTGAGTTTATATAAACATAAACATTTTATTTTCTCCTTATTATTGACTAGCTCCAGCCCGGCTGCGATTTTACTAAATATACTGTATGCTAGCACATACCACGCCCACCGTTATATCTCATCTTCACACTTCACAGTACTTTACTTAGGCAAAACTCAGAGACTATTTATCCTCAACGAATTAACCTATCCCTGATTGCAATATTTTTGAGGAAGGAAAACTGAATGGAGTGTAGAAACACATTGATTAATAATATATTTCAAAAGTTGAGTTCTTCAACAAAATTGAATAAAATGAGACTGTTTATCCTAAACGCACTAACCTATTTGACTTCAAATATTTTATGAAAAAGGAAAACCAGAATGAAGTAAAAAAACATTGGTGAAAAAAAAAAGTTGCAAAAAAAAGTTCAAGTTCACAGCGATTCGAACCATGGACCTTCAGACTGAAAGTCGACAGCGCTAACCAGTAGACCATTTGGGTGTATGAATTTACTGCGTACAAGAGATTGACAACGAGAGAGCTTCAGTCGAATTCGTGTCAAAATCATAAAAAGTGTATTCTTGCGTTGGAGCACAGTATATTTAGTGCGATGTGCTGACTCCGAGTATATCGGTAATGTTTGTGCTAGCGTGCAGTATATTCAGTAAAATCGCGGCCCGGCTTCACATGGTTAGTGTACCCATTTAAAAAATATTTGTTGCAGTTGTTCATTTTTTTCGAGATTTTCTTGTTATTTCATTTTTATTTTTGTGCTTACCTATAGCTACTATTATATACTTACACCTATTTTCATTCTCTCAGTATCTTTTGTATTTTTTTAAAATGTTTTATGTATTAAAATTTTCAACCCAATCGGTCAAGCCGTTAAGTAGCCGTCGGTACGACAGCAGCGTCATCTACCGTGTCTAATTGTATTTTTAAATCATCCAGGAAACCATTGAAATACCCATATGAAATTTCAACCCAATCGGTTGACAGGCCCGGACTGGCTACTATTTTGCTACCGTGCATTTTCTTTGACCGGCCCCCAATTTTCAGGTCCGTTTCCTTGGGTGTAAATAATCGTAATTTCATTATGATGATCATAGATTAAGAGTCGTCAATCTATATGATGATACAAAGTGGGGCAAAAATTGCGCATCCAGAGCAGCCTTCGAAAATTTTCAAAATCATTTAGTTTTTCAGTTATATCGAAGAGAGTTGAATTTTGATTTTGTGTTCACAGATTCTTAAAGCTTTTGTAACTGAATACAACTAAGTATTATACAGAGTGGTTTGAATGTGTTTCGACCTAGTTTTAGCTATCGTCAATGTTTTTTCGAAATTCCAAAGAAAAATTATTATCAATATCATTTATTGTGAAGAAAATTGAGTCAACACACTAATACATTACATTGAGCGGTTCGAATTATCAGAATTACTTCTATTACCTATGACAAGTACCTCCAGATGAATACAAATACAATTATTGTTTCGATGTCTCAAGTTTTTTCAAGTTTAAGAATGGAATAATTCGATCTATCAAATAGATCAATACAGAATAAGAATAAGGTATGCGTTACATAAGAGTAGGCATTGAAAATCGATCAGAATTAAGTGAAACTGGATGATATTTTTCTTCGAAATTTGGAAGAGACATTGAATATGGCGAAATACATTTGAACTATTTTGTATAATACATTATTGTATTACTGGTATTCAGACTGATTGAAGCTTCCAGAATCTGTGAACGCACAATCAGGACACGTCAGGACGGTATTAAAAAAAAATGTATGGTGCTACAAAAAAGTTGCTATGGAAAATTATTTCCAGTCTTACTGTATCTTCAATACCGAAATAACACCGATCTACTTGAGAAATGACAGTCGACTATTGAAATATAAGACACTTCCCGGCGAGGTGTCTAGGCGGCTGTACCATTGATGGGAGCACTCAGCTATCAACGTATATGCGCTCGTGAATATCCAACGGATGCAAGCGCATTTACGTTGGTGACTGAGCGCTCCCATCAATCCTGCATTGAAGTTTGTTGCCGCTGTAGCACTTTCTAAAACAATAATGGGGGAGACTACTGATTTTTTAAAATGACATTATCGTGAACTCTATACTGGAAAACTACCAGCGAATTAATTTTGAATTTTGTCATTCATGCTGAGACGATGGAAAAAATAAATTAGAATATGTCCATTTCAAAACACACAATTCCTGCGCCATTTGAAATTTTGTCAATTCATTGGTGTGACTGGTGCGACGTCTTATTCCCAACACGCCTATTGTCCTTGAACTGACCAATCACGCTGCAACACTGCAGAATGACGATGTATCAGAGAGAGGCAGCTACAGTTCGGGACTAATACGTCACGACTCCATCATCATATTTGGCTGTTTGAAATATCGAATGAAATATGCTGATTTCAAAACGATATAGATTCGATTCCCTTCAACTTTAACTCATAATATTGATTGTACATCAAACGTAAATCATCATTCGTCGATTGAAAGAGGTTTGCACGGATTTCTTCTCTCAGTGGTCTTCCCCATTCAATCACTGCTAATGTGTATTAAGACTGGCTGGCGACCGCCTGGACACTCGATGGAGGGAAAGTAATGTTGGGCCGATGGTTGGTGTTATCTGGGTAGTAACATCTCTTTTCTCGATATACTTGCTTGAAAAACTATAAAAGGCATTTGCCCGGTTGCCCGCCGATCCTGTCGGTTCAGACAGTTAGAAGTTATGTGAAAAAGAAGGATAATTCTTACTACCCGTTTTCCCGTAGGTATGAATCAGTTCCCTCGATAAAAAGTAGCCTATGTTCATCAGTTTCAAGTCGTCTTCTGATGGTAAAATAATTTTTCAAATCGGTCCAGTAGTTTCGGAGTCTATTCAATACAAACAAACAATCAAATCTTTCCTCTCTATAATATTAGTATTGATTGAAAAAACTTTCACAATGTAAAAAACTGCCACGTTTATGAATACTTGTCAAAATAAGACCACAACGTAATCGACCAAATGTCATTATTTTGAACACAAAATAGCACACCAGCCTACTAGTTCAAAATAATTTCATTATACCACAAATGCATGAGAATGACTATTATTTTTTTACTCGAAAACGGTGCATTGGACGGAAAACATTTGAAGAGTTAGATAGCTCCAAAGTTAAAGAGATTTAGGGCATATATTCATATGAACTTTCCTTCTCAAAATGAACATATCCTGTATTTTTAGACATCAATTGAATTACACCCTGTATAAAACGATTCGATAAACAATCTATATGTCAGTATGAAGATAGTGTAAAATTATTCAGAAACACTGCTTATATATATGATTCAATCTTTATAATCAAATATTGATTATATTTGTTTTATGCTCCAGTGGTTGAACAACATAGAGGGTGATAACGCATTCCAAATGTGCGGCGGATGCGGCAAACGTTTCGAACGTAAAGCCGCTCTGCATTCACATGCTACCATGTGCATCAAAAGAATAGCCGTGTGCAACACGATAAAAGAAAACAACGCCAAGAAAAAAGAGGAAGAGTCGAGAGATGCAAAGACCAAAGCCATAAAAGTTGATAGAACCATTACAGAGGGAGCACCAATGAAAGGGGCTTCTAAAAGGAAGCCATACTTGTTGAGAACTTATAAGACCATCGAAAAAATCGACCAAGTTCCGGATGTGAACGATAACAAAATAGTCTGTAATGATACAGAAATGGTATTGGAGAGTGAACATTCCCTAGAAGATAATAAAGATGATGGTCCAATAATTGATATTATGGACTCTCATGCTTTGTCTAGTATCAAAGATTTCGTCCAGAACGACAAGAGTTCGTTCCTGAAGTCTGACAACGATCTAGAAGAGCACTCGCTTCTGAAGAAGCCACAAACTGTTAGCGAGTTTGATCTGTTCTGCAAACGGGTACTAGAACATCTAAGACAAACTGGAATAAGTAAAAAATCAGAAAATCCAACAAGTACTGACTGCATCTCGGAAGAGCCGAATCAAGACAATAAGTCCGACACTGTCACTAGAAGCGATGACATATTCGTGGAATCAGTTACCCATGCGGAATCGGAGCCCGAGCTGGAGATGAATACGAGTTTGGAGGCAGCTGCCATATCCCCATGTAGAATAAGCATCCGCAGCTTGGACGATTTGATCGGATTTTCCAAAGAGGAACAGGAACAGAAAACCAAAATTCCCACCATGAAGACGCCGTCACCGACTCGCAAATCGCCTAGGAGCCCTAGGACTCCGCGGAGCCCGCGCACTCCCAGGAAGGTCGTGCAGCGGCTGATTAGGAGGAAGCGGACGAAATCGTTGGATTTGGATAGCAAGGATTCTAAAATGTCGGATTTCGAGGCGATCTCTGACGATCGAGATCGTGTCTTCATGACCAGGGCCGCACCTTATATGGACGGACTCAATTTGATGTGCAAGTCTTGCCAGACCAAGTACCCCACATTTTCGAAGTTGCTCTGGCATATGTCTGCACATTTTTCTTGGTTCAGGTGAGGACTGGTACTGTAAATATCCATTAGGTGTATCCCTTTTGAAAGGAAGAACTTTCCAGAAACTTGTCTGAAACTGGGTGGAAAAGTTTCATAATAAAATATAAATGGATTTTCATGAATTCTATTACAGATTTTCTCATGTTCATGTGAATATAGAGCAAAGAAACTTTCGGAATTATGGAATTTCTTGAATTATTCAATCTCTTGAAACTTCATCCACTATCTTCCATGTGATATCTTTTCACTGGCCAAATTCCAGATATGGAGAATTTGGAACTTCTGTGAAATCAACAAATATTCAATTCTGCATGTAATTTTGGCTGTGTTTTTAATTTTCTTGAAAAATTTACCAGCGACTCATTTTCTCTTTGTGACTAAACTAAAGGTCATACCGAAATGAATTTCTATTTATGACAATAGATGATTATTATTATTTGAATATTTTTACATATTCAAGTAACGATAACGTCATCGATATTTTTCGCGAAAAGATAAGAAAATAACAATTTTTTTTCTTCAAAAAATGTTTATTCCAGAAAAATTAAATAAATATGACAAAAATCAGGTATTATTCTGCTAAAAAGAATCGATAACTTCATTACTTCGGTTTCCAAGTATAAAAAATATCCAAATTTGACCCATGGGTTTCACTCAATCCCATTTGAGATCCTCTTCTTTCTTTTTTCTACATCAGGTTTCGTTCCTACTGTACATAAAATGACTAGACAATAATGTGAAATATTCATGAGTCATATATGAATATGTGTATAACCTGAATAAACAGCAAAAAAACGGTCCAGGTTTTTCTACATGATGATGATGATGAAACATGACTCATTGAAAAATCGCCAGAAAACGAGTAGGATGAAAGCAAATATGTGATACACCAAGTTTCGTTTTAAATATCTCACTTGTTAATTATGTCAATACATTGTCCATTGGATCAATAACTATCAATATGATCAATTTTCCTGAGACATGTGCCATGCTCATATCTCTATTGAATAAATGGTCGATTCTTTGAAACATTATATTTTAAGCAATTTTTTGTAATAACTCAGGCTTTTGAACTCCCAGTATCATTTTTGTGAATGGAAAAAAAATAATATTTACTCGAAAAATGATGAGTTTAACGAAAAAGTGTACAGGGTGTAAATTTGAAAACTTTCAATGCGAATATCTCGCGAAAGAAAAACGCCGTTTGGCAAAAATGCCAAAGAGTTAAGGGGAACTAGAACCACCATATTTCGGTCAAGGGATGAGTCGGCGCGACACACCCCAACTTTGAAATGTCAAATGGCACTACCTTTTTTGTGATGCCTCAAATGTGTCTCAGTCAGTAGTATTCACCTGTACAACATTTTTTTCCACCCACTACAGGGTGTACGAAAAATATAAAGTCGAATAAAATAAAATGAATTGTGTTAAAAGGATATTTTATTTGATCAGATGTTCAAAATGCATTCCATTTTGTTCTAAGCTATAGTATATTCGATGTTCAAATGCCATTCTAACATTTTGGAACACATCTCTTGGAATATATCGGCATTCTGCATTTTATTTTATTCGACTTTATGTTTTCCGTTCACCCTGTAGTGGGTGGAAAATAAGTCTTGTACAGGTAAATACTACTGACTGAGACCGTTCATTTGAGGTATCACAAAAGAGGTACCTAGTGCCATTTGACATTTCAAAGATGGAGTGTGTCGCGCCGACGGGGTGACTCATCCCTTTACTGAAGCATTATGGTTCTAGTTCCCCCTAACTCTGTAGCATTTGTGCCAAACGGCGTTTTGCTAACTGCTTTATTTAGCGAGATATTCGCATTGGAAGTTTTCAAATTTAGACCCTCGAATTAATGTTTTTCGTACACCCTGTAGTGGGTGGAAAAAAAGTCTTGTACAGGTGAATACTACTGACTGAGACCGTTCATTAGAGGTATCACAAAAGAGGTAGTGCCATTTGACATTTCAAAGTTGGGGTGTGTTGCGCTGACAGGGTGACTCATCCCTTCACTGAAATATGGTGGTTCTAGTTCCCCTTAACTCTTTAGCATTTTTGCCAAGCGGCGTTTTTCTAACTTTTTTATTTCGCGAGATATTCGCATTGGAAGTTTTCAAATTTACACCCTGTATAAGATTCTAAATGGAGGCATCGTAGATAGACATAATTTCAACACTCAAACACATTTTTATTCACTTAGGACGGCTTGTACAAAGATGACCGTTCATAACAATACAACATCGACAAGTGATTCGTTCTGATGGTACGATGCTAATGACTAAACCTGCTTCAATCTTCGATCACACGATGATTACGAATATCGATGAGTCGTCGAGTCTGCTTGTGATAAGGCATTCCTTAGGCGTTCTTCTCATTTACGGGGTGATTTGAACAAAATTAGAAATCAAGTTCTCACTTTTTTGTTAGTATTGAAATCATTCAATATATTTTCATTTTTGAGAAATTAATCTTTTTTCTCCTGTACTTCTCTGCATAAGTTGTCGAAAGTGAGATGTTTGTCGAAAGTATGGTAATTTGATGAAAAAAGAATCTTTCTCGCAAAACTACTTGAAATGTCTCAATTGATTATACAGTGTGTCCCACTTACCATGCTCACCATGCATGGGTATCTTTTTAACGGTGAGAGATAAGTCGGTTAAATGACACCAAATGTGGAGTTTGTCAAGGCCAACTGTAATGTGAAAAAATATTTTGATAAAATCTATTAGTTTTTGTTTTATACACAAAAAACAGATTTTGGTCATTTTCATGTCTCCTCCGTAACTTCTTTATCTATGAAAATATTCAAATAGGAATTTCACATTCTCATGGCAGTTTTTCGAAGTGATTTTGAAAAAAATATGAAATTTATACCAACTCTTCTAGAATTTGAGATATCAGCACCAACTTTAGTTTTTCAAATGTAGGTCGTAGCTCACTATGACTTATTTACAAATAACTTTTTTTTCTCTTACAGATGATACGTCGCAGTAATAGTTTTGTGTTGATTAACAACGGAGTTATCGTCATTTATACAAAAACAAAAAAATCATGATCTCCGACCTCAAAAACCCCCACTTACCAATTTTGAATGGAATCAGACCAAATCTTGTCCGCCATCTTGGAGCAGCAATTTTTTTCAATTTCAACAAAAATTCCATAATGTATTAACACCGTAATTATGAACACCTGCCAAATTTCAAGTTAATCGGAGTTAATGGCGAACAAGATTTGGTCCGATTCAATTCAAAATTGGTGAGTGGGGGTTTTTGAGGTCGGAGATCATGATTTTTTTATTATAGTTCATAAATTCAAGATGGCGGCTTCCAAATAATTTTTTGTTTTTGTTTAAATGACGATAACTCCGTTGTTATCAACACAAAACTATTACTGCGACATATCACCTGTAAGAGAAAAAAAAGTTATTTTTAACTAAGTGATAGTGAGCTATGACCTACATTTGAAAAATAAAGTTGGTGCTGATATCTCGAATTCTAGAAGAGTTGGTATAAATTTCATATTTTCTTCGAAATCACTTTTAAAAACTGCCATGAGAATGTGAAATTCCTATTTGAATATTTCCATAAATAAAGAAGTTACGGAGGAGACATGAAAATGATCAAAATCTGTTTTTTGCGTATAAAACAAAAACGAATATATTTTATCAAAATATTTTTTCACATTATAGTTGGCCTTGACAAACTCCACATTTGGTGTCATTTAACCGACCTCGTATCTATCACCGTTAAAAAGATACCCATGGTGAGCATGCTAAGTGGGACATTGACCAATCACATTTCAGGTTCCAATGTAGCAAGTGCTCCTTCATAACATTCAGCAAGACCGATTGCGCAGAGCACGCCGAACAAAACCACAGCGCAGGAAAAAGCGAAATCGGTAGCATAGTACTGCCCATACCCAATTGGAAGACTGCCCTCATGTCCAACGAATTCCGCGAGCTGAGAAACGACCAAGAACTGTGCGGGATTCACACGGACGAAGTCATGATAGGCAGCGAGAGCGGCGAAGGGGTAGTCAGAGACACAGAAGAAAACATTCAAGACAACATCATCGACACCCTGTTTATTGACTCCGATACGGAAATGACGGACTTAGCCGATGAAGTGATACCATTCCCGGCGCCAATCCGAGGCAAAACGGATTTCATCAAAGCAGAGAGCATCGACATTGTGGACGAAGACAAAGACTCCTTCCAGTTGGAGATGCCCGACGAAATATACACCATGGACATTTTCGAAGTAATTGAAGTTGACAGCTGGGAGAATGACAGGTACGGCGATCGGAACGGAGCGAAGATCAAAAGCGAGCGCCGGGACAGCGACGATTTCGTTATACCGGGGCTCGTGAACGAGGAACCACCTGTTTCGGACTCGAAAGTTATCTCCATCAAGACCGAGGACCCGATCGGCAATATGAGGCCTATAAGAAACCGGATGAGGAGCATAAAAACGCTGCAGAATGACTTTTTCTATGACCTCACTGGGGGAAAGCTCAGCGATCCCGCGGCGAGTAAGGTGAATGGTTTGCCGAAGTTGAAGAGAAACCCAAATGCTTGTCCTAGAAAGGTAAAAGGTATGAGAGTTTATTCCAAGAAATAACTTGTTCCTTTTGAATAGTAACGCGGTGTTATTGTAAATATCTCACAACATTTGTGAAGTAAATAGTTTTGTTATTTATTTCTTGTTCATATTTTTGTTTCGGTTTACTATTTATTGATAGGGTAATGAAATAATTATTAATTTTAATATATATTTTTTTCATATTCCAAATGGTTTTCTTCTGCTCAACATGAAACATTTTCTCTAAAAGAACTTGCTCAATTTTGGTCATTGAAAGAAGAAGCTGTCCCCACCAACTTGAATCTTTTGTGAAAAATGGAGATCCTAAGCAAAACATTTTCAATTTCAACGAGCTTGCACAATCTTTATATCGAGAATCAGTCGGGAGAAATCCATGAAAATGTGCATGCTTATATTTCAGAATACGCTCTCTTCATTTAAAATATTGTCGACATGCAGTGTTGCCGCTGCTACTCGAAAGTAGTAGCAACATTGATATTTCAAATGTAACACCCTGTATTTTATCGCATTTTCTGATTCTCTCTGAAGAGCTGATCTCATCGAAGTATCACAGTTGGTCTATCGAAAATGATTACAGAGATATAGGGTGTTCAAAATCGAGATTTTTCAACTATAGGATTTGTTTGTATTCCTTATCGGTCAAAATGGCTCACATGTCCCAATCTCAACTTTTGATTCACTATTTACTGATATTCAATCGGAACAGATACAGGGTGGTTCAAGATTCAGAATTCTGATCACCCTGTATCTGTTCCGATTAAATATCAGTAAATAGTAGATCAAAAGTTGAGATAGGGACATTTGCGCCGTTGTGGCCGATAATGAATACTTTTGACACAAACAAATCCTAAAGTTGATGAACACCCTATATCTCAGTAATCGTTTCCGATAGACCCCAAGTGTGATGTATCGATGGAATCAGCTCATCGGGGAGAATCTAAAACTGCAATAAAATACAGGGTATTTTATTTGAAATAACAAAGTTGTTGCCACTTTTTCATAGAAACGGTAACACTGCATTGCTGAAAATATTTTAAATGAAGAGAGCGTATTCTACAATATAAGCATGCATATTTTCACGTATTTCTCTCGACTGATTCTCGATATAGAGATAGTTTACCCTGTATATGGCGAACATTTCAAAGTGAAGTTAATGAGTGCTTCCTAACAAAGAAGAATAGAAAATGATGAGACCTTATGGGAATCATAACCTTTTATTTTATACAATCAGGACATGGCATATTTACACTATTTGTCTATAAACTAGGAAGTCTACTCTACAATATCACATACATTTATCAAATATACGGAAATATACTTTGGAATGCACAATAATGCACATGTATATTGTCTACAGATGCCTGTGCTCTTAATTTTTTTCATATTTTACTAAATTATTGTATCTGGATTGTTTGCTGATCAAATATATAAATAATAAAATAAATAATATCATGAAGGAACATTATAAGCGCTAAGAATACTTATTAATTCTCATATAATTGGTAATGGTCTTTATATTCTGGAAATTATTTCAATCTTAATTGTTAGTTTATAACTAAATACTGCTTTCAAGTCCTGATATACAAGGGATTGTCCTGAACATTCCTATTCTAAAGAAATAAGTGAAATCATTGAAGAAGTTCTAACTCTTTTGAAAAGACTATCAAATTCCCAGATTACAAGAACAGTTTGAAATATTGTCTAGAAAAAAATGGAGTATTTTCAATATTGCACAAGCTTCCAATTTTTGCTTTCATAATTTATATTTGTATATTTAAACAATTTCGCAGGCAACAAATATTATTGTTCTAAGGACATATTGCTTTGCATAAAATATTTGACTAACAAAATTAGTCAGAAATCTGAAACTAAATAAAAAGTGCATGCCTCACAGAAATGGCAAAACATGGAATATTAGCAAAATGAAAAATTCATTGGTGATTAATTAGATTATAAATATTTTATAAGTAATACTTGGTAACATTACAATTATACAAAAAACATGAAAATAATATCCATTAAAAGTATAATATAAATGGCGTGTAGATATATCAATTAATAAATAAAAATATTTCAGGATATTGTAAAACAAGTTTAAAAGATAATATTGAAAATAACAATAAATATAAAAACAGTTTCAATAAAAATATTCAACAATAGATTTTCATAAATAAAATTGAATTAAAATGTTTCTTCACATTCTATAAAATTTTCAATGGTATCTATACAGACTTTCAGATTATTCTTATTTATTGGGCCAACAACTCTGGATATATCTATATATCATAAATTAATATTTCACAGAGCAATTATTGGCCTAAATTTAATACTTTTAAACTTAAATACAAGTTAGGGGACACGGAAACACCGCTACCCTCTAAATTGGATAATATAACACTTTCGCATCCGCCAAAAAGGACAGGACGATCGAATTTCTCAAAAATACAATACTTATCATGAGGTCTCAAAAACTCGACAGAACTATACTTCCAGTAGAATTTACTAAAAAGAAACCTGAGTTATTTTTGTCAGGATTAATGTAGATGTATACCCAAGAATCCGCAATCAGAACTACAATAGGAGAATTTTTAGTTTTAAGTAGAGCTTGAATATTAGTTCTTGTATAATTAGGAAAAAACTTTTAGATGCATTTAGGGAGAAAATTCACAGAAATTTTCTCAAAAAGTTTACAATTTTTCCCCATTGTCCAAATCCCATCAGGCAGGACAATGACGTCACAATGATGTACTTTGTTCAGACTTGACCAACTGGAAATTACACGAGAGCCTAAAGTTTTCGAACCATTCCCAAATCTCATCGTCAGATTGTAAAATTTCCCAAGAATACATTTCAAAAATTTGTTTAGTTCAGGTCCTGGAAGAGCACGAGGGACCTTTACCTTTATAAGTCTGACGAATATTATTTATATATGTTAAGGTCCCTCGTGCTCTTCCAGGACCTGTACTAAACAAATTTTTAAAATGTATTTTTGGAAAATTTTACAATAACCCATTAGGGAACTTTTTCGTTAAATGTATGTCTGTTCCTAATTCCGTTTGTACCATAATGATGTCTTTGATCTCGAATTTTTTTACCTTTTTGTAAATACTTGACGAGTATAGCACTGATGATGGCTTTTTATCCGAAAGCGCTTTGCGATTTGATAATGAATTTTACACGAAATACAAAATCTCTTCATTTTATTGATCAGTTACGTGTATGCAGCTAGTACGGATCTTCAGAATAAAACTCTCTGAGCAAACTCAACCTCCACAATTTTAATGCGAAAAATAATAATGAAAAAATCGTGAATCTTAACATAGCACGTGATGGGAACGGTTCGAAAGATTTAGGCACTTCTGATATATCAGCTTGCGCTCATAGACGGTAAATGCAGCCCTCGTCCTTGAGATTATCGATTAAAGTATGAAGAAAATGATGAAAACTAGACGATTATTCGTCACGCTCTTCAAATATCTGCCCCAGTGTCAATACTTGCCCCACCATCGCTCACCGCCCGTCTGCCCAACCTCAGCGGTCGCCCTTGAGCTGCGCGTAGCACCCCTGGCACACTCTGACCGGCTTGCATGGAGGTAAGTAACACGTGGTATCGCCGTTCAGAAGACCGTTTGCACCCCGATCGTATTTATGAATGTAACACGCGGGCTGGGCGTCCATCTAGCGCTATCGAGTGCTACTTTGCGCTTGAAGAACATACGCAGAAACTCCAAAAATGCACTGATTTATTATTCATTAGTATTCAGTTGTCTTCGTGATCTTGCAAAGGTAGTATCTATGATGGAGTCGTGCTTACCAGATGGCTATTGTTATTTAAAACACAATAATTATATTATATAGCAATGGGAAATGACGCACAAACACACTTTTTTGTTCCTTTGTTAGAAGAAACTATTCTGGAAACGCTACTGATAAGAGTGTTATGGATCTTGATGAAAGACCGGAGAAACAGAGGATAAATTGAAAGAATGGGCGTGTACACCTTAGTAGAACTTTTAACTCAAACCATGTTTATAATGATCCTTTTATACAAAAATAATGATTGACGACATAATCCGATCGAAAAATTAACTGGAATGTTTTATTTTTGGACATAAATAATAGTACCTTCTGAAAACGGACCCTCTCATGACGTAGAAACCTCATCTCGCCATAGTTAAAATTGACACTTATATCCGAGAGATCGAAATTGATATTGAAATATCTTTTGATATCCACTACCACTACTGCAGAAAAATATATTATTCAAGTAGTCGATTGTAGGTTGAATCATTGTAATATAAACAATCTCTAGACAACGAAATGTCTCAATCTCAAAACCATTTGCACCATTACAATTTCACAATTATCCAATATATTTCATAAACACAGCAACATTGCTTTGATGACCCGTTTTACATGGATATGCAAAAAGTTAATATAGGTTAGAATTGATCGTCTTCTTGTTCTTATTCTTTGTCCCAAAAATCAACTTGCCGATTTACCAATCTTAGTGCTTTTTCATAAATCATGTATCATTCATCTCTGTCTAGAATAGTCTTGTTTCAGTATTAGGGTTTTGACGTCACATCATCGCCTCGTTTTCAGAGGTCCGAAAAATCGGGGATTTCAATATTTTTTTATAAAACGTAGGGAGCTCACAACAAGAAACGGTTTGCGGTGGTGAGCTAGCTTGGGTGAGTTCTATCGAATTATGAAATAATTTTTTTTTGGGATATAAGCCCATTCATTGACCAATGAAGAAATTTGGTAGACGATCCACAACCCTTCCAACCAGCAGCAACCATAGAAGCATTAATGAAACACCACTTCAATTATTGCATACTTCTATTGAAAACAATAAGCCAAGTCATGCACCAATAACTAGAAAGGAAAAGAAGATATCAGTGCAGCCCACAGCAATAGCAAGAAGACATTCGAGATATAAAGGTATGAAAATATCAAAAAGATTTTGAGGTATATCACTAATTTTCATTTTCTCTATCTCTCCAGGTAAAAGATGATCCGAAGCGGCTAAATCTGAATGGGGGAAGAAAAACCCAATTGCACCGCATTCGCTCGACAAATGAGTGAGAAGCAATGTAGGATTGGGTGATAAAAAAATAGCGAAATAACTATTCGCTTCATTACTATGGTACTCACATTCCTTTCAATTTCGTAATAATTAAACTTCTTTTCCTAGATAGTTATCCCTTATTCCACCTGCTTTGAGAAAAAATGGCTTCTTTTCTATTAATGGTCTCTGAGGAATTGCATAAAATTTTTCTGAATCTCGTTTTATCATTACTGTAAAGTAGCACTTGATAGCGCCAGACGGACGTCCAGCACGCGTGTCACATTCAAAAATACGAAGGAGCTACCGAATGGCGATGCCACGTGTTACTTACCTCCATGCGACCGGCTTGAGGATGCGCAGGCACGATATCGCTCTCGAACGGGCAGCACTTCGAGCAGAAGACGCGACCACCGTTGAGGCAATGGTGCGTGCGCTCGTAGACGGTGACCTTGACCGAGCAGCCGGTGCACCGGTCGCAGCCGTCGTCCTTGGGATTCCCGATAAAAATATGAAGAAAATGATAAAAACTAGACGATTATTCGTCACTCCCTTCAAATATCTGCCCAAGAGTCAATACTTCCCCCAGCATAGCTCACCGTCCGTCTGCTCAGCCTCAGCGGTCGCCCTTGAGCTGCGCGTAGCACCCCTGGCACACTCTGACCGGCTTGAGGATGCGCAGGCGCGAGATCTCGCTCTCGAACCGGCTGCACTTCGAGCAGAAGACGCGGCCGCAGTTGCGGCAGTGGTGCTTGCGCTCGTAGACGGTGAACTTGACCGAGCAGCCGGCACACCGGTCGCAGCCCTCGTCCTTGAGCCAATGGTCGGCGGCCGCGCGGCCCGGCACGTCGCTCACGCTCCACGAGAAGACGCGGCCGCGCGTGTCGCCCACGTACACGCTGCGGTGGTCCCTGTAAAAGAATCATTCTGCTTGACTTTTGACATTTGAAATTTTCTGACGTCTGTCATGTCAATTTTCAAAACCTTTTCATAGTTTCGAGCACATGTGATGGGTTGCGTGCAAGAACTGTCAGATGACCGACCCTGGAGGCACAACATTGAAACACAACCTCACTTTTCTTATTCGTTCACAAGTGATTGAAATAGTTTTTCACAATTATTTTGGCATACGAATCGTATTTTTCGGCTTTTCATTGATTCGCTCTTGCCATCACATTGTGCTGTTGAACAATGCACAAAAACTGCAGTGGAAGACGAAGGATTCCGGTTGGTACATTATTTAAAAGTGAGTACTATAGTCACTCGCATAGTTTTCATTTTTGAAATTTTCAGATTTCTCAACAGGATTCCTTCTGCAATAGGAGCTATTAGAAATACTCGTGATATTTCTCAAATAATGCAAGAAGATTGGATTCATGCAATAAAATGGGAGGAATAAGATCATGTGTGTTGTAGACATTTTCAATCTATTAGCAGTATTAGCTTGTATTGCAGAAGTGGCAGAAGGCAGAAGGAATTTCAATAAGGAATGACAACATTTCATAATGAAAACTATGTGAAATTACTATTTACCTGAAAAATCATATTCCTTCGTCTCTCGCTACACTTTTTGTGCATTGTACAACAGCACAATGCGAAGGCATGCTTGCATTAATGAATAGCGCAAAAAACACGTTTCGTATGCCAAAATATTGTGAAAAAATATTTAAATTCTTTGATTCCTCTGTAAACAAATAAAAAAAGTGAGGTTGTGTTTCATGTCTTACGGATAGTATTACAGCTACAAAGAAGCCTTTCATCAAACCTGTGACATTCTGTAGGATATCAAAATGACCCAACCATTTCAACTATCGGTGAATTAGAAAGAAGCTGATATATTTGCAATGGCAATGGACAATCTCAGCACAAAAACTGACCAAACGCGCATGTTTACACTTCACTCAGCTCTGGACTCAGCTTGTGCCTCAGATCCATCATACATTCGATACCAAGACCAGGAGATATTTCATATGACCACAACATGCTTATAGCTGCAGCCCCAGGGAAGCCCTTTTAAGCCAATATGAAGAAATAAACATTTCAACTCACAGAAGTTTCAAGTTTATCAGTGATATGGAAATTATATCTCTCACAAAAAAAATAGAAGGTTCCAATGGAAAAATGTAGGACCTGTAATGTCTTTTGAAATGAATTTCCTGCACTTAAGAAGTCTTTTCTGATGATAAGAAATCGGTTCTGTTGAATGGGAGAAATGGATAAACGTTGAGAATCAAATATGAATTTGAAAACTGGATGCTGGCAGCTCCAACAAAAACTTACTACCTTTCTTCACTTCATTGGTCCAATAATGAGAACAATAAGGTGAATTTGTGATTCATAGATATATTTATTACTGATAATTGACTCTTATTTGGAGTGCCTATCTGAGAGAAATGTTTCTTTTATTAAGAGGAATCTACAGTTTTTCGTTGTGACACTTATTTGTTAACACCCTGTATACAGGGTATGTCACGACGACGACGTATGTCTTTAAGTATATCGAGAATCAGTCGGAAGAAATCCATGAAAATGTGCAGCGGCAACAATGCATTGCTGAAAATATTTTAAATGAAGAGAGCGTATTCTAAAATATGAGCATGCATATTTTCATGAATTTCTCCCGACTGATTCTCGATATACAGATAGTGTAAGCTCGTCGTGACATACCCTGTATAGTAAATCAGACATAATAATCGTTAAAGTAAAACTTGGAAACTCCATGGCCCACTAGCAAAAATCCATCATAGTCTGATATGTTTTAGTGTTTATTAGGATTTCTGGAAATCCTATGTATAAAGTTTTATGCGTCATTTTGAATGGAAACAAAAAACGGATTCAACCTCGGATTCAACCAAATGATAATAAAATGCATGTCGTATGTCCAAACTCATAACCTCTAAAGAAATAGAGTACGCCACTGAATTCTTCGCAAAATTCTCTGTTAGACGTAGTATTCGTAGTAACTCAGCACAACCTTCTTTCCAATAACTTCGTAGAGTCTAAGCCAAAATGTACATTTAAATCTGAAACACCCTGTATGCCTCCTTGTGCATTTTACACTCTTCGAGAAATTTGATAGAGTTTTTCACTACTTCTGACTATAAACTTCGTTCAAATCAATAGAGATTTTCGTGAAAATTATATTTTTAGCCTGTGTTTAATTTTTTCAAATCGAGACTCGAAAATAATAATGCCAGTATATCCGTGTTCAATTCTTCATCTTATATCTTGTATACTATATATCTGTTCCCCCTGTATAATTTCATTATCGTCATTAGTCATAGATAACTCATTTGTTCGGAAATTAATCGGTTAACAGCATGATTCAACTTATTAGTCATTCATTCGAGACCAGAGGTGGTGAATCAAGACAGTCTTATATTAGATGTCATCACGAACAGTCGAATTTTGTGATCTCAATTGACAAATACGCGAAAGGAATTATTTATCGTTCCAAGCGGAGTTTTCATTTAAAAATAAGTGCAAGAATTGTGTTTTTGTGTTCCTCATTCAATTCAGTGATTACATTATCGCGATCGTGTGCTGTTCTGGTGTTTCGTGATGTTTGATCAAATCTTCGCATTTTTCACGCTGGTGAGTAGAGAGAAATTCTCTCAAGTTTTCCTCATATTTCCATCTTTACTTTCAACTTCATTACCTTATATGTTTTCACAATCACAAAGGTACCGTTTGTTGAATATTTTACGATGAAGATATACTTTCTTCTGATTTTCGTACTTTCCGTTCAGAACGGTATTTTTTTAGAAGAAAATAATACGAAAAGAGCAAACCAGAAGAAAATAAGACGATTCGAGATTATTTCATGCAAACATATTTTTTTGGTTATACAAGGTGTTTCAGATATAAATGTACATACATCGATGTGTCTACCATCTTTTATAACTGTGATACAGAACGTAATCTTGATTTTGGTCAGTTCATAACTTTTGAACCATGGTGTATAATCGATTCATACTCGATAGGGTATAGGAACTTTTTGTAGTAGGTACATATTTATACATCCAGTTTTCAAATTCACATTCGATGCTCCACGATTATCCATTTTTCCATCCAACTGAACTGATTTTTCATTTTCAGAAGACTTCTTGAGTTTACTAGTACAACCATCAACAGAACACAGTTGATTTCTTGGTTTTTGAGTGATATGTTGATTCATGATTTATAAAATGATGTAGAATTGTGTTGGTAATTAATATGAAGTTCTTGTTCTGTACTCAAGAAAATCATGAAATCAATATCAAAGTAATTTGTAGAATGAATTACATGAAATATCAAATGAATGAACAGAATAACAAACAATAACAAAAATGACCTTGAATGCCCTGATAAACTGGTTCAAATGTGCCCACCAGATGACGTATCGGAATCATCACCTTGCCAATTGAAAGTATTGACATTTCAGTATTGACGTACCGCAGATGCATCAACATGATTTTCAACCAGTCAAATGTGAAATTCACAAAAACTAATTTTTCTTCTGAATAACTTTCATTAGAAAGCTGAGTGAACTCCTACAATCAGATTTCACCAAAATAAAGCTATTTGAGTAATCAAACCTCTATAATATTGCTTCTATACTGGTAGAGGTTTTTAGGTTGGCAACTTGGAGCGAAGTCCCCCATTGGAAAATTGGTTCACAGACAGTGCTTTCGTAAAATACTGAATATATTCATTTCTAGCCAAACTATCCATTTCTGAGAAATTTCCTGAGACAGGTAGATTTTTATTTTCCATTTGCCACATTTATGAGGAAAAATGAAATAAACAGGGTGATTCACGTTTGATTTATGACGTCCGTACCAATTTTTTCAAATATATACAGGGTTTTTGGATGTATGACTGATTGATATTCCTCATACAGGAAATGAAAAGAAATTCTGATTTGAGAAAACCTAATCACATATAAGATAGAGGGGGTTTCGTAATATGTGGGACACACTCCTAGGGATGATAGAGCATGTCAAAAACATAGGTCGTACAAGACTTCGTTTGCGAGATACAAGGTGTTAAATTTGATAAGGCTCTTAATTTTATTCGAAAATAAGAAAGAGGATGCAATGTTGTAGATAAATGCACCAATTGTTGAAACTCAATAAGTACAGGGTGAACAACTAAGAACAACTTTGATCGTCAATATCTTCCGTTCGTCAATATCTTGATCGTGTAATAATATGCATGCAATACATTTTCAATTCACGAGATCTATTGATACTCCAGAACACGCCGACAGCCGTTCTTAGTTCACCGGGTACACTTTGACAGTATCAGCATGTCTCGTAGCCTTTGCGTACAGTGTTGCCACAAAAATTGTTTGCATGGAGTGTAGTTGACATTAATTTTTGTGATCATCATTATTAATTATTTGTGAAATTCAGTCTTGAATGATTTGTCAGTGCCAAGTGTGCAAAAACACTTGCAATGGAGCAAAATAAAATTTAAAAAAAACAGCTGTTTAAAAGTAAAAATTAACTAAGGACAGGATGACTATCGACACGGTATGCATAATTATATTTTTAACAAACTTATCCCAAGTATGAAAAAAAAACGTTTTTGTCAACTTACTTTGACACTGCAAGAGCCGTAACAGATGCTGGTTCAGCATTATCTTTGCGATCGTATGCTGTATGCATTGTCAGTTTACTCCTGAATACTAATTGTCTTTGCCACTTGAAACCTGAGAAAAACATCAATTGTCAGCATCTTAAATCGATTTACGATAATGATACACTTTAGTACCTGGTCTGAGCGAATTCATTGGATTAATATGTCTTTTCTTTTCTGAAACCATGACGAAAGAATCGGTGAGACTCGTGTCAGATTTACTGGTTCTCATTCCAGATCCATCATCGACATCGATGCTGGCGATATCTGCACTGTTGCCACCTAAAAATTCAAACCAAATGACATATACACGTCTGGCAAAAGAATTATTCTCATTGGGGAAACCAACCGCCTAGAGGTTCACGAGTATCTGATAGAGAGAAAAACAAAACAACGAAACCACACTGCCTGCGCCTATGAGAAGAATGTGATTGGTTGATTTCTTGTTTGTTTTATTGTTCATTCACAATTTATTTTCTCAAGTTCAATGAAACTGGAGTCGATTTGTCTATTTATATATAAATATTGAAGTCTAATGGTCGACAGATCACAATTAAAGTGACCGTAGACAAGACAGAGAGAAATTAAATCTTTGTATACAGGTTGTTATTCAAGTATGTGGCCAAACTTCAAGAATCATCCAAATAATCACCTCTTGAAGTTTGGCCACATACTTAAATAACACCCTGTATATTGTTCTACTGGGCGCATAGAATGGGTAAAAATGTGCACTTGATCTTATCCGGGTGTGAATCTAACTCGTCAATCTATGTCTACAGAAATCTACGTAATTTCATCCCCCCCCCTTCTCCCAAGAAATAAATTTTTGATGATGATATATTAATGAAATATAATAGATCCTGTATTTGTTTTTACATAAAGAAAAGGAGAGCACAGATAAAAAAAAATCGTAAAAAATTATTCCAGAAGTTTTTGAAATACCAATAATAATAATGATAATAATAATAATTTTATTCATCCTTTATGATCACAGAGTACATGATATAGGATAAGTCATTAAAAGAAAGTGCTAAACTGTATATACGCTAACGATAGTATCGTCACGAATATATCTCACATTCACCAATAGAATCAACTATGTGTTTGGTTTAAAAATTCAGATAAGTCATAATAACATGCATCACACATTCGCTTGAATACACTGAAGTTGTTTTCTAATCTCATACAGACTGGCAAACGATTTAAAAATTGGATTCCCTTGTACAGTGGGCTTTTTTCATACAAACTGGTTCCATGTTTTGGTGGCCTAATAAGTTTCGAAGATCGAGTAGGATAATCGTGATACTCAGAATTGAGAGAAAAGTGTTCATAATTACTTTTAGCATAGGGAATGCATTTGTATATGAAACGTCAGAATTTCATGTTCCTCAAAATGGTTTCAACATGTTTATTTACTGTCTAGATTGAAAATCGGACGTTCAACCCTTTTTTGAGATATAAAACTCTGGATGCACCCCTTGCACTACCTCAAATAATGATATTGTAGGAAATATGCCAGTAGGCAATAGTAATATTCGTTTTACCAACTTTGACTGAGATAAACCAAGATTCTCAGTGCAGCTCAATAGCTCAGTTGTATTACATGTTTCATTTATCTTAGTCTGATGTGAGTAGTCTTAAGAACTTATTGAAACTTTTTCTTCCCCCTGACTCCAAAACTGAGCTTGCTATTCATATGTTGTTGTAGTGAGGAAAAGGTGAGACTGGATTAATTCTAGTAATTCTATGGTCCTGTGCTGAAAATTGCGAGGTTATATTTTCATTTTGACAAGCTTTCAGCTTCGAAGTTTCAGTCCACAGGTTAAATCCTTTGAAAAAAATAATTTGTTTGTTTCCAAAATTCCTTGATATAGGTGATGAAATCCAATCCTGTTATCTTTATTCAATCAACAACTCAGATCCGTCTCACCTCCTCCTAACTCAATTGATCTCAGTAGTGAGAATGTAACTAGGTAAAAAGAATATTGCTAATAGCATAGTAGACATATCAACTGACTCGTTGAAGAAATATTTTTCAATTGCATTATAGCAAAATAACCACTATTTAATTTCTTGCGAATGTGATTAATATTAGTATTCCAACTCATATTGTTGTCGACGAAAACACCTAAAAACTTTGTACATTTTGAAAAAGAAACCACAATATTATTAACAGAAATTCTGGTATCTTGAGGAATGTCATTTCTGGTGAAGAACTGCATAAAAATAGTTTTGGCAGAATTGACAATCAGAGAATTCCTCTCACACCACGTGGTAAATTCTGTTGACAAAATATTCATTTTCCTGATCAGCTCATCCGGCGATTCCGCATCAGTTGCCAAAGTGGTGTCATCATCATATAAAACCAAATGTTTCGTGCAGATGTTTTTTGGTAGATCATTCACGTATAATAAGAATATATGTTAAGAATTACGAGGATAAAATAACTTACTTACTTAAGTAGGACACCCTCCTGTACATCTTTTACTCACATTCACTTTTCCTGAATCCGACTTGCACTCTCGATTTTCGTCTCCTGGCTGGGGCCACTGGCGGAGCGCAGTCTTCAGTGTCGCTGCAAGTCTCTTTCTCGTCTTGCAATTCGCTTCTCCATTCTTTGCTGCTACCCTCGTCGCTTTTTTGCCTGTCCACAGAATTCAATCGAGTACCTTCTTCGGAAAGGCTACTTTCTGAACCGGATTTCATCAAGCTTCCTATAATAATTGACAGAAAAAAAATTCTAACATTAAAATTTTCATTCCTCTGTATACAAGGTTTTTGAACTCAAGTCGGCACTATTGCTAACTTGGTTATTATTGAAGCTACAAAATCAGTTGAATGGTCAAATTAGTAGTATTTTTTCCGCTGATTACGATGACGGAAACTAAACAAAAATCTAACATCGCGTCACGAGTTACGTCAAGAAGTACAATTTCTTTAAATGGGACACCCAGTATAAAATATTCTTGATAATAGTTTTATTCTAGATTCGAAAATGACTTCACTTTGACCACTCACTCATCTCTCATTTTTGAATTTAGGATAAAAGGTTTTCGGACATTTTTTCTACAGAATCGAATTTTCTATCAATTGAGATTATTGTTGAATTCAACTTTTTGACATAACTCGTTTTCGTCATCGTAATCAGAAGAAAAAATGCTACTAGTTTGCGTATTTAACTGACTTTGTAGCTCCAATAAACACCAAGTTAGCAATAGTGCCGACTTGAGTTTGAAAACCATGTATACTGAACACATATTTTTAATTTTTTTCGTGTGATCTAATTGGGAATCAGAAAAAATCGTGAAGATATAGTTGCGGCTCCTCCAGCATTTTCACAATGATGCTAGCAGCTCATTAGCAGCTTGTTTTTATTAAAATCTCTTCAAGAGATTTATATCAACTTATGTCTGGCAACAATGGTTATAAACCATACTAAGATGACATCAGGTCATAGCAAAATTATTTTTGAGGTTATCAGTGTATTTTGTTAAGTTTTTTGTTGACGTGATTTTTCAACTGAGTTTGCTATTGGACTGTGATCTGATTATTTGAGTTGCAATATTTGTGTATACGGTATACCTACTTCTTATACCTGGAGTGACCTTATAAATATAGTGACGACAGTAGACATAAATGGCTGCCATTTCCAGAAAGTCAAGTCACTGAACAGCTAAAAATCTGCAGGGTATCTCCTAATTAATGAATTTGCGCCTTCGAAGTGCCCACCTGATGTAAGGTTTAGATTTTCGATATTTTTATTTCATCATCTAAATAATCTAAGACTTACGAATCCCATAAGCCGAATTCTAATAGTTAATATCCAAGGTACTGACGTGTAGAGTTATAAAGTTTCATGTCTGATTGTTGGATGTTTTGTGTCCAAAGAGCAAAAAACAAAGACAAAGCATTGACAAAGTGAAATAGAATGAGTAGAATTGAATAGAGAAAACAAGACAGGTGGATGCATCTCCATATTAAAGTCTGACCAATCAAAAAGTGTACAACTATTGTCGCCACTCTATTCATAGTCACTCTACTTATACCTACTTCTGGTGGTACAGAATCTACCTTGAATTGAGAGAGACAGGTGGATGCATCTCCATATTAAAGTCTGACCAATCAAAAAGTGTACAACTATTGTCGTCACTATTCATAGTCACTCTACTTATACCTACTTCTGGTGTTACAGAATGTACCTTAAATTAAGATTTTGCTAACGGAAAATCTATATTATTCAGATTAAATTCGTCTCTCGGTTGTTGTATGAACGTTTTTTGAATGTGGATTCGATATTCAATCTCCTGAATATCTTGGGAAAGGAAGTAAAATAAAAGCCATCAAAGTTGAGTAAAATATTTTTGTGAGGATAGACTATACTGACGGCTTTCTTCTTATCCTTATTATTGAGTACATCAGTTTGAAGGAAATGAGTGAAGAAACTTATTATAGGCAAATTTCCACAAATGTCACTAGATCTAGGTAGTACATCATAGTCTGCTCCGTTAATAATTGTGAATTGCTGTATTTTGAAAATTAAAATTATTTAAATAATAATTTTATGATAATCCGAAAGGAAACTTTGTTATTTTGACAGTCCGATCTAGAAAAAGTTTAGCTGAATTTGACTAACGACTTACCAATTGACCCAGTACTCAATACGTGGATTTGTTTGACAAGCCTATGATGAATAGGTGACGGTTTAGCTACGGTCTCGTTACTCGGTTTCGGCGAATTCGGAGACTTGGGTGGATTTTCTAGAGGTGTTGAGGCAATTTTATCAATACTGTTTTCGTCCGGAACCTGAACGTAATCTATCGACCACATCTAAACAAAAAAAAAAACAGCTTGTACTTATTCTCTGGAATTTTCTGGAATATTTACCCTGGTAACCCCGTCTGTTGAACCAGTCATAATAACATTCAGATGGTCCCATTCATGGGTCTGGGAAAAAGCGACACACAGGATTTGCTGCATTCTGTCTGCTCTTCCGACGCAAGTATTCACGCTGGCCAACTCATCTCCATTTATATTCCAAACATGTAACCTGAAAGTACAAAGATTCCATCTTTCAAATTCAGTTGGAAGATGTTATGTTCAAGAAGATGGCTTCACCGACATAACCTACTATTCAGACAGCTTAACGTCATATTTCTTCAACCCGGAACTCTTTTGCGCTAGGTGCAAAAGAATCCAAACTGTCATTCATGACATTGACTCACGTCACTTGGTATTCGGAAACATGATTAAGAGTGAGTAAGACATATGACAGGTACTGAATGCGTATGGACTCTATAGTATCCAGTTCGATCTTGTAAATGGATGGGTTTTTGTCTTATGGTATTAGTGTTCTAGGTAGTAGGTTATTTGTTTGGAGACTTGAAAGACCTGCTTTGTAGAAAGAAACATGTTTTGCCACTTGTTTCATTTGTTTTTTTATACACGTTTTTCAAGTTTGAATTGAAAAAAAATCTAGTTTCCTAGACGTACTTGGGAAGTCATTTCATTCGAGATGGGGCATTTTATGTCAATACGCCCCTGCATAGACATATTATGTTTGCAGAGCGGGAAGATTTAATATATATATATTCATAACATAACCACAGTAAATCACATTTTATTCAGTACAAGATTCACAAAAATCATAACTTTGAAAATTATATCGAGTTCTAACCTCGAAAAAATGCTTAAATGATAATTCACTTCCAGACATCTCTCCTGATCATGACAATGTTGCCGAAATTGATATTTGATTTTAAGAATCAATATGTTTGGAAGTTTGGCATGTAAATAGAATATTACCCTCCATTATTCACACTAACACAATGAACCATCCTGATGAGAGCAATAAAGTCAGAAGTTCTATTTAGTAGGCGCATTTTTTTAGGATCTAGGTTTTTCTAGCTATTTTTCGATCGCACATTGGCGTTTTTCAACAACTGGTCGTTGGCAACGCTGTCGTCTTCCGTCGAGTACGTAAGAAAATGGACATAGACACGTTCACCCATTTTCATGTCTTGCAGATGTGCACCTTGTGGTAGTCTTTTTTGTGGCTTCCCCGGATATAGCAAAAATGAAACCCAGTTTTGTTATTTCAAATATTAGTATCATGATGTTGTAAAGTTTTGGAGCATCGGCTTGGGGATAGTCTGCATCTAAAGTGGCGCATGGAGTTAGTAACAAAGCCTACAAAGAAAACGCAGAGAGAGATGATGATGTGGTTGTGAGAAGAAGTAGGACGGTGTATGTAGGTGGGTGTGGAAAACTACCAGCTGAGCGTGAGATCGGGCCAATGCTACTTAGTGGACCTCGGTCTCTAACGGGGGTTAACAAGAATATATAGCCCACAAAACACACCCGAAAAACTCTGAAAGAGAGCTGATGAGCGGTGCCTGAAAATGATGTTAGCCAGTTATCTTAAGCGAACCACAACACTCATTGAAAACACCTTGGTGCTTGCAAAAAGGCCCCATTCGGGACTAGTTGCTGACGTGCAAACGTCCCCCTCCAGTACCAGTAGTAGTATTATCATGATGTAACCAACCTTTTTTTTATTCCCAAGCAAGCATTCCATTTTATACACTAAGTCACATTCTTCCTATGACACAATTTTGATTAGGCTGTGGATGGACATAACATGTCGTGGAGATGATTTCCGAGTATTATTTCGTAGTTAATACATTACTCCACATTGAGAAACCATGGACTTCTAGCAAAGATTACTTTATGAAGTATGTTAGTCTGTGCCGCCCGCCTTAGTGTAAATACTCGAGGATTCTACTCACCAGGTAGCAGCACAAGTGGCGATATCTCCGGTGAGATCGTTCACGGCCACCGCGGCCACCGGTCCCGCGTGTCCCCTCAACTGTCTCACGAACACCCCGCGCGACAAGTCCCAAATGATGGCGGTGCAATCCCGCGAGCCGGAGATGATGACGTTGTAGGCCGGGCTGGCGGCCAGACAGGTGATTGCGTCGTAGTGGCCGTACAGGCTGTGTTTGATCGAGAGGGTTTTTTTTCGAGAATCGTACTCCCATACTGTCACCACCTGATGAATTAAACGAGATATTTGGATCGATAGACAAACAAAACATGATCTGGTATAAGGAAGAACATAATTATATAGCTATAGGTAAACATTTCATCATTCAAAATACATCAACAACTATAAATTATTGGCGAACAAAGAATAATATTTTTAGAAAAAACATAACATGACCAATTTTAACCAGGTCGCTCAGTAATAATCAGTTTTATTTTTATTTTTGGATGTACCTATATTTCTGCAGTTTTTGATATTGGCAGGTAGTTTATTGAACTCAATTAAGGTTGAATGGAGTATGGAGCTAGCGACGTCAAGGTGAAACAAGTTATATTGTCTATATAGTTCCATGATTATGAATTTCAGAATTCCATAACAAAATAATATTCGACTTCAATTTTTTATTTATGATATTATATAAAATATTAAGTTCCAATTCTATATATTTGATCTGATGAAAACATATTTGTTATTTCATACAATTGATTGGTTGTTGGTTGGTGTATCAAATGGGAGACATACAGTACTTTTAACGATTTTCTATATAATGTTGATATTTTATTGAAATTATTTTTTGAACAAGATCCCCAAACATGTATCAAATAGTTGATACGCCTAAGTATATGAGAGTAGAGAATCATGTTTCCAATTTTATAGTCAAGTTTGGGACATCTCAATGCTTTTCTCTGTCAAAACATCAATATGTTTGTCCCACTTCAACCTGTCATCAAACCAAATACCAAGATATTTTATCTGATCAGTTTGTTTTAAGAATTCATTTTTCATTATAAGATCGACGTGATTTTTTTATTGAACAATCATATATTTTGTTTTATTAGTATTTATCGATAAAAGCTTGGAGTAGCCATTTTTCAAATATTTTCAACTCTTCATTTATCATCTGCATAATTGGTATATTTACTTGCTAGACCAATTTCACTGATATTTTGAACATAAGGTAAATATAGTATTGGTACAAAAACAGAGCCTTGTGGAACACCCTTATTGATTGATAATTTATTTGACACCGAGTTGGTGAAGAGTTGGTGAACTACGTATTGATTTTCATGTTTTCAAGATTTGAATTCAAAACATTTCTTTCGGCGAGTCCTATTGATTCCAAATTTTCTAGAAGTTTTATACGATCAACTGTGTCGAAAACCTTTTTGAGATCAATGAAAACAGCTACCACATAATTTCCTGAGTCAAGTCCTTTCTGAATACTATGCTACATTCCAAATAGGATGGTTTTCAATGATGTTTTTCAAGTTGGAATGGACGACATTACGTAAACATGAATAATTTGAACAAAAAATACATGAGAAATAAAAAGAAAACTGTCCATTTCATTGGCTGAAAACACACTACACTGTTTTATTGGCTGAAATATTCATCAATTCTCAAGGATAGAAATAGTTCCTCGGAAGAAACACGAGATGAGGTCTAGATTTGACTCACCGAACTTGTACCTGCGGTGACTATCAACTTTGGAGATGGACAGACGCAGGCTAAAATTTCCCCATAGTTTTGTACGACGCTTTCCGAAACGAACACGGCCTTGTCGCTCTCGTAATTCCCGATTCTGAGCGAATGGTCAGCGAAGCCCCAAGCGACATATCTGTTGAACACCGGCGGCATCAAGACTTTGTTCTGTTCGACTGCCAGGACTGCCCTCTCGACGTGGAGAATTTGGCCTACCGGGCTCTTTACTTCTGTGAAAAAACAAATGGAAATTTTCCTCCACTTCCGATAGGATGTTGGTTTTTCAGGGATCTTTTCAGATTCCAATGTCATAATAATATTTTTTCTATTTTCCGTCCATGATGAACTCATTATGACAACCAGAAGCGTATAGAAACAACTTCTATTATTAGGACACGCAGAATTCCTTTTTCCAAAGTTGGTAATGGTAACGTAAAACTTTCAGACACACTATCGTTTAGAAACAGGACAAATAATCCATGAAGAGAAAATAACCTCAAAAAAGAACGACAATAAAAATTGAATACATTAATTATATTATAGAACTGCAGAACGATGTTTCAATGAATGTTTCACATATTATATGTTATGACTGTAATAATCCATAATTATCATGTAATCAATAGTTGTTGCTTTGAAGCAATTGTTATACACATTCAAGTTTAACATTACAGGTATCTTGAGCATTTATTATCAAATTTGCTGGCAAGTTTTGTTGGGCTGTGGTTGACACAAAATGATTATTCGGGTTATTGTTGATGCAAAGCGATTGTGAGGTAAAGGCATCTGAATGTGCTATAGAAGTTGAAGGCTGTGAAGAAAACATTTGAGCTACCTCAATTTTTCTCTTCACAGAAGCTTCTATATGTAACCTTCAGCAATTGCAGAGGATTTCCATTCTCCATGGACCTTTATTATGACCAAATCACCGCTAGCCGTTTGGACAAATTCCCTCAGTTCAGGAGGGGTAAAACTTAAGTTTGCTTCAGTTTTTCTCAAAATAGAAAATTTAGATTTTCTACAGACCAACAATTCCAAATTATATCACTGGAATAATTGTATTGATTTGAATAATTTTTTCTACCATCTGTCAAATTTGGGAATGAACATTCAAATGTTTTTTTTAATGTTCCTGTTACCAACCATACTTCATATTTTTTAATATTTGATGTTTTTATTGATGACATTTTTCAAACAGGAGAACAAATGAATGTAAAATGATGGATAACATAGTATCTTACACATGTGTTATAAGACATATTGTCGCAGGCGTTGTTTGGAATACGACGAGCGAAGCGAGGGAGTACTAAAAAAATAGTGTTTATAACACTTGTATAATTATATACCAATCTGTAGTAGTAATATCGCGAGAAGAAATAAATTTTAAAGAAATTGAACAATACAACAGATCCAAATACTTCTGGAGAGGTAATAGACACGATCTCAGACTAAATATCAACAGTTATGCACCGCGTTTCATTCATGAATCATTGAAAACTTTACGCCAACACTCCACTCCGATTATTTATTGAGTAGTTCTATATATCAATTGGTCACTATGGAAATAATTCTAAATTTATGATTGACGGAGTTACTCTACGTATATCCACGTATATTCAAAATTATACAAGGTAGCTTGACACAATTGAACGTTCTGATTGGTTTAAAATCATATGAGAAAATTATGAATATTGTATAATCACGCTTCTACGTACCTGTGAAATATCAGGTTAGGATATTTTTGTAACTAACTTTTCTCTACAGATTTGATGCTGCCGAACCATATTATTCACGAAATAGTATTCTTTAGTTTTATGATATTGAATGAGTTATTGAAACACCGAAATCTGATCACACAATAGACCGAAAACTTTACGGTGCTGTTACGTACATCTTTAAACAATTCATATTTTTCATATCATAAGTTCATTATTTATTATGTTATGAAGGCTGTTATATTGGTTGTCATGAGCTACATATGCCAAGTTGAATGGGGTGTTTTTATACCAAAAGTCCTCTTGAATCATCGATTTGGCAGCGGTTCCACAGAGGTCCTTAGAATGTGACGTCTTTTACGCAGAAGAAAAAGCAAAATAAATCTCTCTTTTCAACCAGTTACTCTGAGGACACGATAGTCCAAAGGGCTGGAGTGGATTTTTTTCTTACCTTTGATTGGTTGTAGTGATGGCCTCAAAATATCGAGGTGGTGAAAGAACAATTTCTCAGGTTGTGGTAGGCTGAAAGCCTGGACAAGAGACCCAGTATCGATCACAGAGGTCCTGCTGCCAGGCACGAACATCTTTTTGCAGGGATGCGGCTTTTTGAACAGCTGTTTAGGAATTTGGCCGAAGTTGTTTATGAAACCGATGGTCGCGTTCTTCTTCAAAGGGTCATCGATACTAGAAAATTGAAAATTGCACAATACCTGTGAGTTTGTTGATGACTAAGGAGAAGGGTATAAACAGGTTTAAATAAGAGGATTTGAATCGGCTCAGTCGTTATTCCATTATTTGAACTATAAGATTTCCACAAAATGCTATTCTTTGTGAGATAATGGTACAATAAATATCCAAACATTGACTTATCTAATTTATATACAGAGTGATTTAATTCACGTAGGCCACACATCAGAAGTTTTCCAACTTGTAGCTTGCAGTTGGATTGAAAACTTGAAAATTGGTATGCTGTTATAGTCGATCATTCCCAGTATATATAATAATTTTGATCCTCCTGCTATACAGGATGTGCCAAAAGTCGGCACTAACTTTCTTATTTTGAAGAGAAACCTAAATTTTTCATAACCTAATTTATGTCAACTTATTTATCACACTTTTCGATATATGATGATTTCTTAGGAAATAATTACAGTCGTAGCAGTTTTCGAAAACATTTGTATCTCGCAAACCATTAAAAATTAGAGCACTAAAGTGGAACAGTTGGTAGTCCAGGCTAGAGTTCCTTAATATTCTTGACACTGCTGTTTTGACGTTTTTGTATATGACAAGCACTGGCAGTCAGACATAACCACAAATAAATATATGGAAAAAGCGGGAACTGACAGTAAACGGACGTAAATGACATTAATTTCAAAGGTTTGTCGAATTGAGAAAATTGGGAAAAGTTTGTGCTTCTCCGAACAGTGAAAATACTGGAAATTTTGTGAAACATAGTTACTTCGTGGAACTTTGATGTACCTATTTAGGAGATGGATTGTTTGTGTATCAAAGTTGAAATTTTTTCTTTCAGCAAGCAGAGCTGAACTGAAAGAAATGAAAATTCAAATTGAAACTTTCTTGAACGCGATTTTTTTTGTCTCTGGAACGCACGAGAGGAATGTTTAATTATTATTTATTTATTTATTCATACACCACTCAACAGAAACCATTACAGAGTGGGAGTAATCATGTTCGTGAAACATCGCGTTTACCTAGGAAGAATTCCAAAGATTCGCCGTTCTATAGACGAACGAGCGTTGTTCGACATTTTTCAAGGTTAACAACGAAGGGATGTGCTGACTGGAGTATTGCTAGTGATGGAATCATAGCAGAGATTTCTGAGGAACATTTCCCGTGGCAGTATCTAGTCGCGGGAATCAATGTTACCAGGTGGCGCTCGGTTTTCATCGTTCCATGTCAAAGCCACGTCAAAACTGGGGGGAAAACAGGCTCAATCCTCACTCACTCCCATTAGTGCCATTAGCTTGTGTACTGTGTGTGATAAGTTTTTGAATTTCTTGACATTAATTGTCAATATTCGATCGAAAACGCTGATAATGCCTGTTGTTGATGTTCTTTTGGCAGATATTTTGCTCTATTTAGATGGAAAAAGCCGACCAGTAGTGGAAGGAGAAGCAGTTCTCCGTGCTAATCATGTGATTTTGTGTGAGGCAGAAGACTTCAACAAAAGGCACATTTTTGCACTTTGTCTACAAACTTCGGCGATGAAATCTTTCCCACATGAAGTAAAATTGAAGTTGGGGTCCAGAGCATCTCCTGTAGAACAATGAATTTGTATTTGTTCATGCAAAGCAGGACAATCTGGGTATTGTAAACATGTTGTAGCTGTTCTTTTATATGTCAATTGCTTTGCTCGTCATAATTAGTTGAATTGTTTGAACTATCTCCAATTCTTCACCCGGTCACTGTTCACTGAACTAATAAAAATGTAATAATGTAAAAAATTAACCAACCCAACCATCATCACTACCAACAGTGCCAACACTTTATGTCATTGACAAGTCTGACTACAGCTACAGCAAGCTGAATGCAATGTAGTCTATGGCACTTTATACATAGACAACAGTTTGTTGTCCCCCAGTTTGAAGTTCGTATTATGTAATTTAGATGTCGCCCACTTTTGAATCTCGCGAATAGAAAAGTGAAAGGTCGCCGACTTTTCTAAGGTGTTCTGATGAGGTCAAATAGTCAAAGAGTCGAATTGTCTTGGGTGATTATTTTTCAGCTCATAAATGCACTTACATTTGTAGCATCTGAACTCAATCAAAAAAACATCACCTGCAGCCTGCAGCGCATTTTTTGTTTGTTTCTAAATTACAAAGATAACTGCCCTGATAAAACAATTTCAGTTCCCTCTAGAAATTGTTCTGTCGACGCCTACGATTGATAACACTGCAGTGACTCACTTGTAGATATCGACGTTCCCCTCATAGAAAAGATGATGGAACACATTGACCGCCTCCACTGCCGGTTGTCCCTGTTGCTTGCACCCGAAGATCAGATCGATCCAATGGTGCAGATTCTGCGACACATAGTCGCACTCCAGCGCCATGCGGTGCACCCGGATGAATTCGCGCGGGTCCTGCTTGGCCCACGCCGGCAAAATAACGTCGCCCAAGGTCACGCCGTTCTGCTTCACCCCTAAAATCAATCGAATGGTGTAATCACTTCCGTATTCGCGATAGAAAAATAACACGTCGCTCCACCTGACGGCAACAACTTGAACACTTCTGAGCCCTTGGTTTTGATGGAGTGACTAATAAGCTCAAAGAAAAAACAAATGTGACCAATGAAAATAAAGTGAACAGACCGCTTTGACGGCTTTCCATATGCGTACGCATATGTTCTATCGCGAATTTGAAGGAGTTTGGAAATCTCGTGATATTGCCTACTTTGTAAAAATGACGAGGCGTGGGAGTCTTACTAAATTTCCGAAGTTTCAAACTACATTTACAGGCATCATGACAGATTCATCGGACTTTGCATTTTCATCTTTACAGAACCCGAACTCAAAAAAATCCTGTGAAAATAATTTCTATAACAACAATGTGTTTGGGATCACACGTTAAAAGGTAAGACCCCCGTCATTCCTTGCTCGCACAAGTCTCTTGAAGACTTCTGAGGGTTGCTCGTAAGGGGGCAACCGAATGATGAATAAGAACAATTTTAGAACAATTTAGAACAATGTATATTACCATTTGAAATTTGAACAAAATCATGAATATGCCGAAAGTAAAGATGTATCGAAGCATGATTCTTCAATCGTTGTCAACCTTGGTTGCCACAAGAGTTGAAGAGAAGCTAAGTCTTATAAAGACATTCTATATCCGAGTCCTCATTGGTCAGTTGGTCACAATAAATCACGTGATACATTTTGGACGACTGTGCATTCGCTCGCTTAAAAAATTGTTGGGGACTCTTCAGATTCGAAAGAAGGGAAACAAATCCCTGAAAGTCCAGATCAACTTCATAAAATTCGAAACGCATTTTAAAATTTTCCATCGTTCACGACATTCATCATCGAATATGACAACTCCACGTTCCGAAGTCACATTCAATTGTTAATAGTATACATTTAAAGTGTGGTCGACCGACTTTGAGATATTTGTTGTTTTTCTTTTGAAACTACTTTGAACCACTTTGAGATATGGATGATTTTCATGATTTAATTTATATCGACAGTTAGTCTGACCATTGTCGATCTGAATGAAAACCTAGTAGGCGACCTAGTGTGAGGAGGATAGCTCCTGCCTACTAACTACCTAACTAGGTTGTCATCTAGAACGACAATGGTCTGACGAAACAATTGAAGAGTGGGCCTATCCTCAGGCTAAATGGACAGACTCCGCCATTCATTTGTAAATCATCAAAAAGTATACGCCAACAATCCTAAACACCAAACACGGATAAATGAATGAAATCACGAATAGTGGGGATAACTCTGCGGAATCATTTCCAAAGAATTGATTTTCTTTATAGATGAACCGCAATGTCTATCAATGTGTGTATGTGCATTAATAAATTAACTCTCACGTGTTATACATCCATCATTTTCTGAGTGGGGTTATTTGATATATTCAATATATTAAACACGCTTTTCATCAACAAAAGCAAACCCTCGAACAAGATCGAAGTTCTAAGTACCTGTGAAAAATCAAGATATTTTCAACACGTCAACTGCGAAGAAGCCCAAACGTTGGGTTTCACATGGTTGGTTAAATCGGCTCCGAAACCCTAAAGCTGGCTTTCATAATACATTTGCACTTCATCCGATGAAGTTCGACGAGTGGGTTTCAGGAAGCATTAAAGCATATAGAGCGATATTACGCGGGGCCTGGTAGACCTAAATAATGATTAAAAGTTGATTTACTCAAGTATTTGATAAACGAACACACATAAAAATACGAATACACATAATAAAATTGGGATAAAATGATTTTTTCACAGTTTGGATGCTTGTGTCCTTCAAAAAAACATGGCAAACAAAAAAAACGCTCACAATGTTGACATTTGTATCTTGATTTTGGCGTCCTCAATAGGGCTACTTTTCTTCCTTCTTCCTGCTATTCATCAAGTGTGATCAATAATAACCTTTACTGCACATGACGGGGCTTAGTTTTGCATGAAACCCCCATATGGGGCTTCTACTTCAGGATCCGAAACCCAAACGTTGGGTTTCATTTTCAAATCACTTTTTTCTCGTTGATTTCTATATTTATGATGAGTATCAAACATGAATTACATAAATGCAACTAAATGATCGATTAGCATTAAGTTTCGTCCAAATGTATTGTGGACAGTTAACATATTCTAACTAACTCTTCTTTACATATTTGACACATGATAATAAATGAGTTACTGAAACACCAAAAACTAATCACTTAATAGTCGAAAAACCATCAATAATGACAAAAACAACTAATGACATTTTTTGCAATGATTATTGCTAGTCTACTACGAAACTTTGCGGTGACGCCAAGTTCATCTTCGAATAATTCATATGAGTGTATTATTATGTGATAAAGGTTGTCCTATCTTTAATATTCTATTATTCAATTATCGATTTGGCAGCGGTTCCACCGAGTTCCTTAGAATGTGATGCCTTTTGCGCAGAAGGACCAACCAAATTAATTCACTCTTTTGAACTAGTTACTATAAGGACCCATCTCACCTAAATCGAACCGGTTCGCGTTGCTCAAATACTCGTCCAAGTAGAAAAACTCCGGTATGAGCTCCTTGACGTCGGCCATGTTGTGCTTGGAGGCGGACAGCCAGGCCTCCTTGACCGAGTGGAACATGCGGTCGGCGAGGTCGAAGTGCCCGCCCTGCAGCTTGAGGAAGTGCTGAGTGAAGGGCTCGAGTCTGACCAGGTACGAGCAGACGATCATCGCGCTGGAGTAGTGGGTGCCGTAGTGATACGGTGGGGTTTCTCCGTGGGGGTCGTCCCATTCCTGTGAAGACCACGAATATTGTATCCTATGTTAGGCTAATCCTAGAATATGGAGGACAAGTTTGGAGCCCGGAATTCATTTGAGATCGTAACATGTTCTGTGCAACAACGAGCAACTCGAATGTCCTTTGGTTTCAGAAGACCATGATACCAAAAACGTTTGAATTAGCTAAGCCTGATTACATTCGAAGATCGAAAACATCGTAGAGATTTTATTCTAACTTATTGGATTCTTCATGGATACCCACCCTCACTGTCATATGTTCCAGATAAACGCTGATATACGATTGAGAGGACATAATTTCAAACTTTTGAATAAGGAACAGTTCAGGACGTCAAAACGGCAGAACTTCATAGTTGATCGCGTTTTCTTGGCATTGAACAACCCAACACAGTTAATGCACCCTCAGTTTCATCATTCAAAAGTCTATTAGATCGTACCATCGAGTAAATTGTTTTTCACTTTAAATCGCATTATACCCGTTAGTTTAATTTTAAGATGTTCAATTTCTAGTCAATATTTTAATTGTTCTTCTTTTCTATTTAAACGTAATTGTTTGTCTGGTACTGTACATGTACATAAAAAATAATTGTTTCTTTGTGTAGCATACCTACTTCATGTATAAATGGGCTTTTATAGGTTCACATTTCAGCCCATTCTCACATTTTGATAATAATAAATGTGTTCGCCAAAGAACAATAGGGACATTTTTGATTGATACAATACTTCCATCAGCGTAATTATGGAGTGACTCAAGATTATTAAATTTTGGCAGATTGACCGTTTCACTCACTGTGTTCTCAAATGGGAACAGCCTGTTCTAATATGATTTTTATATGGCTCAGACTGTTTTCACTCTCATATCTCATCAAACTCTCATCATGATATTATTTCATTGAAAATGAACACGCTTGCAGCCATATGAGGAATATAGTAATGGATTATCAAATAAAATAAGCAGTATGTATGAGAGTGAGAATATGGCCTGTAGTTTTTCTCCGTGACGTTCCAATTGCTGCAACTGTCAAAGACACTGTTGTATGAACAAAAACACGCAGATGAATTTTGAATACTGATTATTTTATCAATTATTTTTTGGGTATTTCGTACAGGATTTTTCAGCACGTTGTACTATTTTTTGTATACTGTAAGTCAAGGGCACAAGCTAGCAAGGTGCACATAACCCTATTCTGATTCACTTCTAAATATTCATAATGTGTGATATATGGCTGAAAGAATTCAGAGGATACTTATCCCAATGGATCACTTTGTCCCTATTTGGAGAAATACACTTTGACCCAAAGGGTCATTTCAAATTAAAAATTCAATATACTAAAACCATAGAATCTATACAAAAAATTATAGATATTTATTTATTCTTGAGCGAGAACTGAAATACCCTGAGTCGGAGAAGCTTTGCTCCTATTTTTACTCGCGTATTTAAGAGATTTCAATTGAAAAAATTTGATAGGCGATAATACTGGAAAAAAATATATGAATCATAGAAACATGTCGTTTTCAAATAAAAAACCATAATAAAACCACAATACTACCAAAACTCACTTTGAATCTTTTTTTGAACTGTTCTAATCTATCTGGACTTTGTGCTCCCATGGGCCTGGAGAAATCCCGAAAGGTGGCGGGATCAGTCAGATCCAATTCTTCTGAATCATAATCCGCCAATATCCAGGGAAATACTGGGTACTGCATCAGATCGTTGTAAGATCGTCCAGCTAGGGTATTCAGGTACATGAGGTATTGGAAATTGGATATCTCGCCTCTCTGAAACACATAAAATGAATACTATACAGTTATACAAATTCGATTCGATCAATATACGAGTTGGTTACATAAATTTACAGCCGTGTACTACTTGCAATGAAGAAAATTTGGTTCGAGAATGCACTAATCATTTGGAAATTACTATAACGATCACCCAGTAGCCATGAGAGTCAACTTGTTAATGGCATAAGTGGCATTTGACATTTTTTGAAATTATTGAGGCGCTCTTATCTCAATCATGAAATATTTATAGAAATACAACTCGTGATACTATTTTTCTTGGAAATATCCGTCGATTGACATACTAGTCCAGTAACTTCGTCGCCTGAACATATGGGGGTAGTATGCGTCAAATCCGGTAGTTCTGATTTTTTGCAGACTTGTTTATGATGTTGACCTAATGAATGATCCAAATTTGTGACCTCGAGCACCGAACGCAACTTTGTCAAAAATCGAAAAAACCGCAAAAAAATCGTATTTTTTTAAATTTTGGCGATTATAACCCTGAAGGACTAGTTTTTGAAAAAGAAATCTCTCAGGACGTTTTCAAAGCAGATCAAATTTGCTACAATATGATACAAGAACTGTCTCTGTAGACCCAATAGTTTTCGAGATTAAGCCTTTCAAAGTTTTTAATTTTTTTCGAACTTCGCAATTTTTTGCAATGTTTTAGGCGTCACTCGAATATACTCTAGCGAGATAAAGTTTCAATTACCTCCGACGGAGTGTGCTAGTACTGTTCGTGTGAAGTCACGAATGCGACCCAGCTGTAGCACATTTCCGAACTTTTTAGGCAATCTAAACCACGGGACTTTTTAGCTGTCAAGATGGCGCCTGGTTGTAGGGCCATCACATATAATAAGTATTGGTTTTCTCTCAGGTACCTGTTACACATCCTTTGGTTTCTCATGATTGATTCTGTTGTTAGATCCTTTCTCTTCATGGCTGCTATCCACATTTCTCTTTTTATTCTTGATAGATCTTTTATCTGTGGATAATGGACAGAGTTTTTCACAGAATCACAGAAGGAATGTGAAAAAACTAAGCAAATTTTCCCGATCTGCAGGGCTTCCACTATCCACCACAATACATGTTACCCGCATTTTTGTTGAAATGGAGGATGACTTGTGGGCAAAAGACGTCGACAATTCATCACCATCCCCTGATGGGGATATGCCATCCCAATACGTCTTTCCAGATCCAGACGAACCTCAACCGGGACCTTATTCCAAGAGGGCTAAATTAATATGATTTTTTGATCTTTAATTTTACTCTATTTCCTAACAAATTAACTCATTAACTTTTGTTGTACTTATCTTTTTTATTTCATTTTTCGTAGCTCAGCCTAAACATCCTCGTTCACACTCCTCATTTTCTTTCTTATCATCTCATCATGAAAGTACAGGGCTGCGATTGTATAATCAGGGTCAAAATTCAATCAGACCGACAGGATTGCAAAAATTGCGAAGTTCGAAAAAAATGATAAACTTTGAAAGGCTCAATCTCGGAAACTAATGAGTCTACAGAGACAGTTTTTATATCATATTGTAGCAAATTCGGTCTACTTCAAAAACGTTCTGAAAGAGTTTTTTTCAAAAACTAGTCCTTTAGGGTTATAATCGTCCCTAACTGAAAAAAAAAGTATTTTTTCGCAGTTTTTTCGATTTTTGACAACGTTGCGTTCGGTGCTCAAGGTCACAAACTTGGATTATTCATTAGGTCAACATCATGAACAAGTCTGCAAAAAATCAGAACTACCGGATTTGACGCATACTGTGATGTATAAAGTTACTGGATTTGCTGCTTTAATTTCGCTCATGACAATGTCATTCTCGAAAATAATTAGGAAACAAGCTGTTCTAACAATCGCCGAATATTTCCTGCAAAATAGTATCACTTGTGGTATTACATATGAAAATTTGAATGTTGGGAAGCTCATTTAAAATGGTAAACTTACCACCCATCTTTGAGTAACGCTGGTATCCCCGATCAAGTTGCTCAGCAAACCGGCGGCCTGTTCCACGTTGGCGGTGCGTTTCTGGCCGGCCACCGACTGTTGGGCGCTGTCGGCGATACCGGTGGCCAGCGCCATGAACCTTTGGTACACTTTGTTCCGAATTTTCCTCGGAAAGGCCAGCAGGTAGTTCCTGCCGTCTCCGGAGAACACTTCCAGGCCCATCGGTTGCAGGAGGTACCTCCTCTTGTGAACTTCCCTAAAACAGAAATTCGACTTTGGTGAAATACAGAGTTAGGCATATGTGTGGAGACAAATCGAATCAAAATTTGCTTTATTGTCGAAAGAAAAGTGATTCTCAATGACAAAGCATATATGTTAAATAAACATCATCAAACATTAACGGTAACAAATACATGAACATTGGAAAATAAGTCACCAAAAACAATATTTGGAGCTGTACAATATAAACTGCCCCACATTTGAAGTGAGACAAGGAAAAATTTCTATCATTTTCAAACCGTCATAACTTTGGATTGCATCAACCAATTTTCAATTTCTTTCAAGATTCTGATAGCTCATTCCATTGAGTAAAACGTCAGTTCTTTTTTGTTATTCCACCTTTCCGACATGAAGACTTACAGGGTGATATCTGAAAATGTGAAAATTTTCGAAAAGTTTGGGATCACCCCGTTTCACCGGGATTTATTTTTATGTCTTATTGAGGGCGATAAAATGAAGGACAATGAGTTTTCCCGAAATGGTTCTGAATTCGAGAGGATTCATACAGGATGTTTCGATGTATGGAATTTTTCACATTATATTGCAATTTACGGCAAATTTGAGATCGCCCCGTTTGGCAGGGATTTTCATTATGTTTCATTGAGGGCGATATAAGATGGAGCATAATGAGTTTTCTCGAAATGCTTTCCGATTCAAGAAGATCCATACAGGAAGTTGTGATATATAATTTTTCACAATATATTGCATTCTGATGTTCAACGTTCAACCCACATAAACTCAACTTCAACAGAACTTCAGATTAGCTTATCCTGCTCAACGCTATCACTATACAATGTGTTGTACATTTTCAAACATACCGCGTATCATCGAATTTGTCAGACAAACCATGGTTTCCAAATTACGATTACGAAGATATTCTCGTTCGAAATTTCAATATGCTCAATAAGACGTGTGACAAAAATTGTTTTTTTTAGGCAATATTATGTTGTCTTCTAACTTCAGCGACAATTCTCGCACGATGTGGTAGTTCATTATTATTGTCATCAACCAGTATGAAATTGTCACCAACAGTTTTGGGCAACTGGAACGACAACTTCCCTAACACAATGAATGTCTTATTGATACTGAAGAGTATTCATACTCTTTCTCAAGATAACCATCAACGTGGGGCAACGATTTATCATGATACCGCCCCATGCTAATTTTATATACTTATCATTTTCTCATTATAAATATTGTGTTGATAATAATTATTAACGGCATTTTTTTTGTAATAGGTATTTCAATTTATTTCTACATCCCCTATATTCGAAAATGTACAACACATTGTGTAGTAATGGCGTTGATGATATGCCAATGTAAAATTCTGTTGAAGTTGAGTTTATGGTGGTTGAACATATCAGAATGCAATATGTTGTGAAAAATTCCATACATTCAAACATCCTGTATGAATCCCCTTGAATTCAAAACCATTTCGAAAAAACTCATTGTTCGTCATTTCATCGCCCTCAATAAAGCATAAAAAAAATTCCCGGTGAAATGGGGTTATCCCAAACTCTTTGAAAATGATCACATTTTCAGATATCACTCAGTAGGTCTCCATGTCGAAAAGGTGGAATAACAAAAAAGTACTGACGTTGTACCCAATGGAATGAGCTATCAGAATGTTGGAAGGAATTGAAAATTGGTTGATTCACTCCAAACTTATGACGATTCGAAATTGATAGAAGTTTTTGCTTGTCTCACTTCAAATGTGGAGCAGTTTAGTTGAAAAACAAAAATAAATAACATGTACTTAACAAAATAGTGCGTCGATAACTAACTAACACACAAAAGCACAACAGAAATGTAGAAATAAAATAAGATGAAATAAATGAGGATATAAAATAATATAAATTTGAATATAAAATTGAAGGAATCTAGACTCGAATGTAGATTTAAAATGAAATACAGTGTGACCCACTTCTAATGGAAACACCCCTGTATCTTACGTGATCGTTGGGTAAGGATCCTGAAATTTGCTGGAGCGAGAGATATACTAAAAATGCACTCTATGACCAAGTGGGGTCATCTTCAGTGATAGACACTGCTCGCCAACAGCGTAAGCAGCAAAAGTACATAATGTTTTGACATCATAGGTTCATTTCATTATGTTTTCTTGGAATTCGTATAGCATAAAATGAATCTTAAACACATCTATTAATATAATACTGAATTTTTGACAAGGTATATTTCCTGATGGAATGAAAATTGAACTGGCAACCCTGGTCCGCGCGGAGAGTGAGTTGACAACAAGTGTCTTTTGCTGTTGTCAAATTAATCATTCACGAAATCCGATAGATTTCAAGTCAGTGAAAATGAGTGTTTGAGGTCGACACAAAAATGTAATATGCACCTCGTCTGTCTATTGTCTCGCATGATTGCTAGACTCGACTACACTAAAGAGTGATTCGTCCTTGGTACATAAATAACTATTATTGAAAATGTCTACTAACCAAAATTTTGATTTTGCTTATGACTGTTTTTGAATTTTTTTGCATGGATGTTTAGAGTATCTGACACAGAATGATATTAGGGAAAAATATACAGGGCGTCATTTGAACAAAAATGAGTTGTAGAAACATCCAATATACTTCCGACACAAAGAATTATATCGATTACCTTCGCCACAAGAAATTCTTTCTGAACTTCGAAGAGTGAATATTAATTTTCAATGAATTTGATTATTTGATTCCATGACCTAAGAAATGTATAATTCCTCTGAGTTTAAAATGTTTTCTAGGTAATCAAGTATTTTTTCACATTACAAATTCAAGTAAGCACCTTATATCTTCATAGGAGAACTTGGAACATTGTCTCATAGCCCTCGATCTCCTAGGCGAGCCCGGATTCGGCAAAATCGGCTCATATTCATTGGTATTTTGGGGCACACTGTCTATATCGCGGATATCCCTATTTTTTAGTAACGTAAACCCGTCCACGATGTAACAATATTCTTGGCCGAACAGCAATAAACCTTCTGTAGTGTCCAAACCTTGTATTCGAGCACATCTGAACATATACGTGATCTGAAAAGGACAATAATTAATACAGTGACTTGCAGATTATACACATTGTAAATATATATTTTCCGAATAATTCTCTTGATAAACTTCATTATTCATAAAAAAATCTGCACCTCTCCAAACTTATAATGATCGAGCCTAAAATGCTCAAAACTGACCTAAAATATACTAAAACTCAAGAAACTTCTTATTCAAAATAAATGATTCATTAGCAACAAAGGAATTGTACTAAACAGAATTAGTGAGTGAGGCAGAGTGTTTTTCAACTGATTGAGCTTAGTTTAAAAACTTTGTAAAACAACGTAAAAAGATTATGTTATGCCAAAATTCAAGTAGGTAGATGAAAGATTCCATGATTCATAACCGAGAACAGTTCATTTTCAAGATGCTGAAATTTCAAGAAGGAATAAGTTTCGTTATAAACATTTGGAGAACGCTCTATATATTTGGATATTTGTTGAAAGCATACTTTGTACCTTTCAGAGTGTACTGTGGATTACCAGGGACGGGCCCTCGGGACAAGTGACTTATCTTCGTGTAAGAAAAGTAACAGGCATTAGATTTTCAATTATTTCCATATTTCTAAAGATATAGCCTTTGAAAGTATAACTTTTTGGTATTTTGATAACATACCTGTCTGTATACATATATTTTCGAGGTAAGAGTCCACATTAAGAAAAATCAACTGACCAAAAAATCGTGTTTTTAATATCATAAGGATGTTTTATTTTTTATGCTCAGAAATTCAACACCATCTATCTTGGAAAATGAGAACTATTTTTCGGTATATTTATGTACAATCTGACTATTTTTCTTGTTTCTATTGAAGCTTCCCCTGACTATTGTCGCTTAACACTCTGTATAACCCCACGTTGGGCGCCAATTTCTACCTTCTCGTTCTCTTCGAGTAACCTCAACAACGTCTGGTTATCCGGTTGGGGGGTCGTTTCTTCCTCCACGTCCGTGTCTTCTTGTTCGACCTCCGGATCAGACCGCAACCTGGTCAATTGGGGTAAAGCGGGGGTGTAGGGTAGCGGAGAAGGTTCCTCGATGACGCTATCCGATCGTTCCGGCTCCATGATACCGCTCACTCCGACGTGTTTCCGAAGCTGGAGGGCAGTGTAGTACTCTTTGCTGTGGTAGCTGGTCGCTACCTTGTACTTCAGCATGCCCTTTTCCTCGAACCTGAACGGGTAATGCAAATAGAATAGGTCGTTCCTCATGGTCTTTTTTCGCATTCTGTGAGGTCCCTCGGTCATGTCGAGCATCCATTTGTCCAAGTAGCACGGTTCCGGCGAGCCCCACAGCCCTCTTTCTCGGGTCAAGTCGTTCTCGGTCTGCAACCACTCTTGGTGTACGTAGCGCTGTGTGTGTTGAGTCGTGTTTTCGTGTTGTTGACGTCTCATTTCAACAAGATCTCTGAAAATGCAACAGATTCCTTTATTTTTCATATATTTACATATGAATGTGATGTTCTCGAATCCAGTGTTCAAATGTTCTATTTGATCGACTAACGTATTGAGACAAAACCTACACTTCTCGAAACACACTTGTTCATATAATACAGGTCTCCTGACTTCTGTAATTTATAAAATCCTCAAGTTCACTAGTTGGATTATCTTTTTTTTATGAAATACCGTGGCTTTGAATGATTATTTGAAAAAAAAATTAAAGAGCTTTAAGGAGAAAACAGTTTGTAATAGATAATAGAATGGTTAGGTACTTCATAATAATATAAGAATGATTTATAGTGAATTGTTACCATTGCTTTAATATATGTACAGTCAATGTGGGTAGTGAATTGTACTTACTTCAACAAACCAACATGTGTCGAAATCCACGTAAACACCTGCTTCTTCCCCATCCTGATCCTAACCCTCATTGTCTCGTCTTTCCTAACCTTAGTCCTGCTTGCCAACCTCGTCAAACCGCCAGTCACTTTATGTATCTTCGACTGTATCTGGTTGTGCAGCTCGTAGGGTATCCTATAAACAGCCTTACGTTCCACCTCAACATAATTCAACCACAACTTGGACGCCGAATCGAATACCTGGTCCCTCACTAACAGGAGCTCTGGCGCTTTGGAGTTGTGGTGTGACATCAGAGTGACCTTGAACACCTCCTCGATGGCGGGCTTCTTGCACACGTACAGCTCCTCCCACACCCTCAAGGCCGCTCCGGCCATTAGATTGCGTCCCTGGTGGCTCTGGAGCTGTTCGTCCCTCGATTCGAGGTCGCTGCTCGGGTTCACGTGCCACGTGGTCTTCATGTTCGAGTCCAGCATGATTTTCATGTCGGAGGTCAATTGGAGAAGACAGTAGGTCAGGCATCCGATGAAATCGAGTTCGTGGTTGCCTGACCCGAATACAATCAATCTGAGAACACAAAACAAGCTATTGCACTTCTGATGGCATTGATAAGTACCGATTGATGAGTGATGATGAGTAGAATCTCTTCAGATGCAGATAAGTTAACTCCACGTTGGGCGCCAAAAAGAATAGTTCTTATTTTCACGATGAATTCTAGAGCGATGAAAACGTATAATGAGAGTGCAAAAAATGAAAACTAGCATATTTCACATAATCAACCTAAAAACAGGAGTTTTTTTTCTTCATGTTCGAGTCCAGCATGTTTTGCATGTCAAGGTCGGTTGGAGGCGACAGTAGGTCAGGCATCAGATAAAATCCAGTTCGTGGTTGCCTGACCCGAATAAAATCAATCTGAGAACACAAGACATGCGATTGCACTCCTAATGGCCTCGAAATGTTCCGATTGATATAGTTCTGGCCAGCGGTTGGGCGCCATGAATATAAGTTCTCATTCTCACGCCGAATGCTAGAACCATGAGATAAAAATATAAATATATATCACATAATTGAACAAATTTCAGGATTTTTTAAAATGTGAATCTCACCGGTAGGAAGGAATGCCTTCCTTCCTGTGAAATATTTCACTCCACATTGGACTTCTACCGAAGATTAAGATGTAAATCGTTTATGGAACTGAAACTTGTGAGCTCACCTCTCGGCTTTGTACTCAATTTATGTATTAAAATTTATAATTTTTGCTGATGAATGTAACCATAATGAATTGATGACATGAAACGATTAAATAAAAAAAAAGATGCTGACAACATTTTACCTGTTTGTCGTTAGTTTGTGAAGGGCCTCCAAAACAGACATCTGATCGGCAATACTATCAGTCGGCCTGGACAGCAAAAACAGGATGCTCCTATTTAAGCAGTGGTACAAACTTTCCAGACTCAAATTTCCCGTTCTCCTCTTAGCTTGCCCGATCAATTTCACGATGAAATCGAAAACGTCGTGGGGATCTTTCGTGAGAGAGCCCTGCCAAAGTTTATCAACTATCCTCGCCGTCAAATAAAAAACGTTCGGAGCGACATGTTGAATATGGGCTGTCGGAAGTGGCACTATGGGTATGGCAGCCTGGTCTCCTACTAGCATATCAGCTGCTAGTAAGTGGTCCATCAGCGTCACTATCACTTCCGTTTGATAACATATCTGCTGAATGGTAGATGATTTTTCCGGGTAGGCGTCCAAGACCAAGTCTATCACAGGCGAAGTTTTACCAGTCACCGGTAGACTCAATGAATCCACCACGATTACTCTGATAAAGTCGATTATGAACTGTCTGGCTGGATGGGTTGATAGTGGTTGTTCCTCGGGTGGACCCAACATTACTATGGTTTCTGCTTCTTCTCCTACTGGGGTTGAGGCTCCACTGCTCTCTGTGCTTTCATCAGCAGAAGGTAATGGGAATAGCACACCTGCTAATGCTCCAAGAACTTCTGATGACATGAAAATCGGCATGAATTCGGGCATGTTGTGGTATAATTGAAACAACACCTGAAATTATCGTTTCTAAAGACGAACTTTCGGCACCATGCACACATAACAGAATTCGTTCACTCAGCAAACCGATTTTCAAATGTCTCAACAAATTTCAAGCTTTGAAATGATTTTTGGTTAAACATATGTAGGATGAACTAGTAGACCTATCGAAACTAGGTTATAGGACCAACTATTATTTATGAATTTATCAAAAAGGGTGAAGGACCTATTATGTACACCCTTTCCTAAAAACACAAGATTTCCATTGGATATCCGTTTTGTGTCCAAGGTGTCCATGGACATATTCTGGACAACAATAGGATGTCCACATTAAGTTATCCAATGAATGTCTTGGAAAAGTAATCCATATGGTGTTCATTCCATATCCCCTCAAATTATGTTTCTTAACACAACCGTATCGGGGGTCATCGACATCGTTCGGCTCTGTCGGTGACCACAGGCCTACAGGGACAGCCGGGTCAGAGCAGTGAGCCGTGGCCCGTGATGCCGTCCATTGTTGTTATTAACGTTGATGCATCGATAAGGATACATATCTGAGACTACTGAGACTGATAATCTCATCATTTTCAGATATATACCGTTCTGATGGTATTCACATAATTTGTTCGAATTTGTATTGAGTGATATTATTGTAATAGTCTGTTCCTTAATATTTGTGTTTTGTTAGGCCATTTCGGTTGAAGCATAAATAGATCACTTGAAGTAAAGCGAGCCATTCCATTATGTGTTGAAGAAGATGTTGAAGAATTTCAACTAGCAGATCGGATCTGAAATTGAGTGCCTAATAGTGGAAAAGTGGACTTGAAAAATTTGTTCAGACCGAAATCATATTGTGTCAACTCTACAAAACCGAAATGGTGAAGGGGGTTTCAAGAGAAGCAACATATCACATCAATTTGATAAAGAATATTATGTTCTTAAATATAATCACATTTTGAAGTATCAACCAGATATTATTCCTATATGAATATATATGTTTTAGACATTCTATGGATGTCCATGACTGATACCATATGGATGTCCATGACGGATAACATATGGATATCTAAAAAGTCAGGTAGATGGTAGAGAACAAACTAGATTTCAGAATAATATAGTTGTAATCTCCTCCTGACATATACCAACATAATTAATGGCAGACCTCTTGGGTAGTTGTTTAAAAATCGATTTGGTGAATGGTTCAAAAGAGTCAGTGTTTCTCTGTGAGATGTCCATTTACCTGTACGATAGAAGTTGGGTGTCTTTGCAACCACTCAGGAAACGACCCTTCTTCCGTATGCACTATGGCCCTAGTCATGCCGAGTAACACCACGACAGCTTCTGAGCACAAATTTATTCTCGGCATAACGCTGTTGATGCTCTGGTTGTTAATGGAAGCACCCCACAAGAAAGCCCAAACAGAATCCAGATCGAACTTTGTTTCCGCCGGTAATAGCTTAGCTGGTTGACCCATCATCAAGGATGTAAGTAAGAAGTAAATCTCAAAAATTTCCAAGTGATGGGGCAAAAGCCAGCCGAGGTATTGGAATCCAGGAATTTGAAGAGCTTCGGATTTTATATCGTTACAATGAGAATTGTTCAATTGGCAACCGAGCACCACAACCATCTTGTTGTGGGAAACAAGTTCGGTGTGACGTAGCCAGCCTCCACTGCTACTGGCCTCCCGAAAACTAAAAAAAAAATCTTCCTACTGCCCAAGAGATACATACATTGTTATTTATCATCATTACTCACCGAAACATCAACGACGGACTAGAACAAATGGCAACCAGCATCCTCAGAGCCCAAACTATGGTCGTGGAATGCAAATGGGGCTGCATGAAGAGCAGGATCCAATCAAACCCCAACGTTTTCGTAATCTCCTCCCCAATGTGATTCCTGCTCGAGAATATCATAGAATGTAACAGGCCCAGACACCTGTTCCTGAGCAAAATATTTTCTCCTTCGCCATCTCTATCACCATCGCCTTCGCGAAGAACTAGGTTCTTTTCGTTTTCTATAGAACAAGAAGGCAAAGTGGATGCGACGAATTGGCCGAAGAGTAAAAGATCATTTTGTCTCGGCTGGCCACTAAGTAAGACACTCAGAACAGAAAATAAAACTTGTCGCGTAGCCGGATGTTTCACGTCAGGGCAGATATGTAGGAGCTTCTCTACGAGTTGCAGATCCCTCATGATCCAGGAGTTATTTCGTTTTTCATTGGACTCGGCTGCTAGCTCGTACAAATGTTCCAAGTGGGACCGCAGAAGTTCACCTGGAGCCTCGTGCCACACTTCTAAATCGCAAAGCAAGTCCTGAAATGCAGTTTTATTGGGTATGGCAGACGACTCTCGTCCACTGTCCACAGTTCCCACAAGACTGAATGTTAGGTGCAGTATATGCGAATTCAGTAGGTTTCTCTTTCGTCTGAGCAGCATCGCTAATGTTTGATATCCTCTTTTTCGGTCCATCTCGGCCTGAGCTGCCTTGTTACTCCTTACGACACAAACCAAGGCTTTTACGCCGGCGTACAAGCTTTCCACATCTTGAGCCATCGCTATCAATCCGAGTAGTACTGAACAACCTCCGACTGTATCTATTGTTGTTGCTACAGGTCTTGGACAGAACACCCTAACCCCTGCAGAGTTTAAAATATTTAATATTTTGCGTCTATAATGAGCTCATTATGAGAAATACAATGCGTATCCAAACAGCTTCTTTTAGAATACGCATATTTTTTTTCAATGTTGGTAACATCAAATTGTGAGGTCAGATGTGGAATGTTTTTTATCAGAAATTGAAATTATCAAATTATATTGAAAAGTTCTGAACGATGAAATTTGGAGGCAAATGGCAAATTACTGAAAACCGAAACTGATCAGTACGATGAATTTTTGTACCTAAATACCCAATTATGACTCCTCCCAATGTCCTTGCAGATCCAGCCAGATGCCCTGCAGAGTTGTGCAATATCCTGATGGGAGTGGCACTTTCGTGACTCGACATACCGAGCTGCTTTGCTATGGACTTATTGTCAGTCCTGCTGTACACTTTCCTGATTTTGTTCAAGGTTAATTGAGATACCGCTTTTGCGTTCAACCCGAAAACGACTTTTTCTTCGGTAACCAGTTGCATCGTATCTGGATTGTTGAGATTGGGTGCCAAGAATGAGCCCATGTAGTGGGGGCCCAACTGATACATGCTCATTACGGTAGATGGCGGTAAAACCTAAAATAATAATGGGTCATCAGTTTATGATGCGTTGGGATTTTCAGTCGATACTGAAATCGTTCCAACGTTGGGCGCCAAAATTCACGACTTTTCAGGATCCTTGACCGAGAAATAATTGACTAACCTCTTCGAAGAGATGACACGGTCCCTGTTTCCAGCACAATCTGGAATACCTTCGCCACGCAGGTGGAGTTCCAATATACCCATACACCGACGAAGCCACTGTCAAATTGGCCGAAGCACCCCCAGGATTTTGAGAGATGTAATGCATTTTCTGAGAGTGAATCTGTTGGCCATCTAGATACAGCGAGAACGACGAGTTTTTCAATACAGCCCTATTCAAAACTACGACCACGTGGTGCCACTGGCCTTCTTGGAGGATGTCAGGGCACCAAACCCTGGCACTGTGTTCGCCAGAACCTTCTGGTTCCCAATCCCCAATATCTTAAAAAAGAAAGTTGAGTTTTGGTCAGTTAATTTCTTATCAGGTACACTCACATGATTTTTTCAATAATCACAAATTTGTGTTGATTAATAATATCACTACAATACTGGAAACAAATATTTTGTGTGCCTTTCTCTAAACTCAGAATTAGAAGAGATTCACATTTAAGTCACCAGATAAGGTCAGACTTCGTAACTTTTTTATTCATGGAGCGACTTTCACGATTTTTTTTTAATGTAGAGGGGGATATGGTGTATTTTGAAGCTAATCGGCTTCCAAAGTTTTGAAAAACCAAAGCCTACTACATCACATTCAGATGCTGAAAGATCCACAATCCATATTAGCGATTTTTTTAGAAAAACCGCGTACACCACTGGAATTGGCGTCCTCTTAAATATATTTGTACCAAGTTTTTTTATTGAAATAAACAGGGTTCGATTTTTATGTATTTATTAGGAATTTTTTGTAAGAGAACTATCTCCATGTGAAAAAAATCACCTCGTTCCAAATTGACGGAATTTGCTAATTTTTTCTTCATTTTCAATCACGGGAAAATAGTGGACCGCAACTCTTGGAAAGTTCAATATAGCTCCGGTAGGTAGAACATCGTGAATTGAAAGAAAAAACAAGAAATACTATTTCATCGTTTTGGAGTAAATAAATATTTCGTTTGCAAAAATGTTGTTCAGCTTTGCCTCTTTTTCTTTTATCGGAACCCCTTATGGAAATATGGAAAATTACATATGCGGGTTAGAAACAATGAAGAACAATATTATGAGGTCAGTTTTCTTGTAAAAAAAAATCCTAATTTGAATTCATAAAAAAATTTCCACTTTTCATTACTGAAAAACGCACGGCACTGGCCAAAATGATGTATGTCTCTGAAAAACTGATCCTTGATATTCATTCATGGCCGAAATTGACCGGTCCTAATTTGGTAAAGATCACTATACGAATTGCTGAGATATAGAGATGAAACTTGATATAGATCTATTTCAGAAGGCGCCGACTTCAGTAGTATACGCGGATTTTTTCTAAAAAAATCGCTAATAGAGATTTTGGATTTTCAGCCTCTGAATGTGATCTAATAGCCCTTGGTTTAAAAAATGGACGCCACTTGGTTCCAAAATATACCTTTACCGCTCTACATTCCAGAAAAAAATTGGTGAAAATAGCTTGATTTATAAAAAATTTATGAGGGTGGCCCACTTCTGTACATATGGATATTTATATACTTTTTTTTCTTGCATGTTAACGATTTCTTTATAGTGAAAACTACTGTAATCAGAAGAAAATAGGGATTGTGTATTGTATGCTACTATGTCTCTGTAAGAAGAATCTACTTACTCGGAAATTTTACTTTTAAGGGGATTTCTCAATGATTTGAATTAATGTTAACATCCAGCACATTCATAGCAGGTTTTATTATCGATTCATCCCTTTGAATAGTCAAGTCATTTGAAATAGAGGTGTTCACTGGACAGTGGCGATTTCGTTCTTTTTCTGAGGACACATCCAATCTAGCATATCCAATCGAGTACTTACGATTGGGAATATGTGTCTCCTGAGTCGAGACGATGATAGCCTTATCCCTAGCACTCAGCACGACAGACAGGCACACCAGATGGTCTTCTCTCGCCGCATTGAAATTCCTCACCAAGGTCAGCAGCCTAACGCAATGCGGGTCCGATCTAGAATCGGAAAACTTGTCGACGCACACCCAAGTGGAATAGCTCAGCCCGGTCTGCGGGGGAAACAGCCTGTCTCCAGCACCGATCCCCCCCAAAATACTGCTGTCTACCGCCGAGACCACGCTAGGCGCAGAGGGACTCTGCGGGGCGATGCTAGGCAGATAGAGGCACCCGAAGCCTTCCGCAGACATGTCGAACTCCACGAAAGGCGGCAACGTATAGGAAGACTGCGCTCTGAAGTCTTTAGGGGTGGTCATGGAGACGAGAGTTTTGATCCTGGTGAGGGGCACCGGGTGGCCCCCGGCCTCTTTCGATCCGAGAGGCAGGCAGCAGAGGGGGTCGCCCAGCCTCAGGAAGTGTCTCAGGTCTTTCGGTTCGATGGCTTGAGCGGCCAGTCTCTCCAGCATGTACTGGAGGGAGCCGTGCAACGGGTGGTTCTCGTTCTGTAGGGGTTCCGAAGCTATGAGAAGGATGGAACCGGCGAAACCCTTGTCGCACATCACTTGTTGATTGCGTTCGCTTCTCACCAAGGACTTTATGATTTCGGAGACGAACAGTTGGAGGCTCAGGTACATTTCGAAGTGTTCGTCCTTGATGCAAGGCAACAGTTGCAGCATGCAAACTACAACACCAGGATGGACTATTATGGGATCAGGAGCTGGTGGAACCAAGTTCAAGGAATTGACCTTCGACGCTCTTCCGTTTGTGTTATCTCCCTAGAAAGAAATTGTTGCTTCAACTTCGACACTCTGTATTTGAAGTTTACCGAATGAATTCAAAATAATGAATTTAGAAACGTAAAATGTATTCTTCTCTGTATATGAGATCCTCCAAGTTGCTTAGTGCCATAGTAGTACCTCAACAGTAGCAAATGAATATATTGGAGTTGACTCTACAAAAAAGGTGGGTGAATTTTACTCCAGAGATTTGACAAGGTAATTACAGGGCAAACAAGGATGAAGAAGTTTGTTTTTTGTTTCAAGTCAGGTTAGGTCCATTTGAATCGCAGTATATGATTGTTTTCATATCATTAAAGCATTCAAACTTGGTAAGTATTTTTTAACATCATATTACGATGTTGAAAATCATCATGAAATCTTAAGAAAATGAGATACTGTTTTAACCCGTATCATCCTACAGTGAGGTAAGCTCTTGAAACAAATACATGTTTTCTGATTTATTAACTTATTTAGTTTATGATTTAAGTTCACCCTAAATTTTCAACTTTGTGATTTTCTGACAGAAGATGTCTGATTCGACAACTATTGAATAAAAAAATCATGAACTTCATCTTGCATTATTTCCGAAGAACTGTTCATGAAATTCTAATTTGCACGAACTGAAGACTTCAACGGTGACACTGTATATTGAATTTATTTTAACACCATCCCGCATACCTATAATAGATATTGGAATTAGTAATAACTGTTCGGGAATTAATCGGTTGAAAGGATGACGTAACATATTTGTCATCAGAAGATGAATCAAACCAATATCAAACCAATCAGCAGTGTCGTTCTAGATTTCATCGCGTACAGTCGATTCAAGTAATATAAAAAAGGAGTCGAATTATTCAAAAGTAAAATTGAAATTCCTCTTCGGTTTAGTGATTGTATTCTCATTTGAGTGTATAGAAGTGGTATTTTTTCATGATGGTAAGTGTTTTTGTATATGAATATGGGATGGGTATTCATCACGTTGTTGGTATTTTGCTTCGGTATATTTTCATAACGATGACAAAATTTGAAATAAGCTTTCTTCACCCATATATACAGAGGAACACTACACTGTGTTTCACCACTTACCAAACCGATTTTTTTAAACGCCTCGAAACATGTTTCGCTAACTATGTTAGTATCTTCAGGAGAAGATTAAAAATTTAATTTTAAGCCTTTGGGGCCGTGCAGCAAAATTTTGGGATTTTTCACTTTGACATTGACCTCACGTTTGAGTAACGCCCACTGGCGAGAATGAAAAGGTTTGCTCTCATTGGGTCTCGCTGATTTCTGACAGAATTATAATCAGTATTTGAGCACTCATGTTAATACTTGAGATAGTTTTTGTTCATACCGAGACCGAGCTCTAGTGCTCGGTTCCATTCTCTTACTATCGACTTACTGGAACGGAAATGGATGAAGGTGAAGTATCTGTCCTATATTGTAACTCATAGGAGTGGAGTAAAATTCCAGATCCACTTGAGAGGTAACTAATGAAAGAACGCACAACCACGGAGATTAAAATACATTAACAGTGAATGTTGTCCACGCATGGACCGATGCTCGTTCAGAACATCTATGCTTGTTGTGTTCGGACTACTGTGGTCGGACTACTGTGGTCGAACTACTGTGGTCGGACTACTGTGGTCGAACTACTGTAGTCGGACTACTGTGGTCGAACTACTGTGGTCAGACCTGTCGCTGAACGTAGCCTGAAACTGAGATCTCTCTTTTATATTGATGTCATATTTTCGACAGGATTTTCTGCAAAATATGAAAAAAAAAAACGATTTTGAATCCATCAAGTAGTAGTATTTGAATAACAGGGCGATCGTAGTTCATATTCAATAAAAAGAAAGTGATAAATTTTACCGGAATACTGGATTGTCTGGACAACGGCGGCGACTTGAACAAAATATTCGTAGCAGCATTGCCTTTGTCGAACATATCAAGAGCCAAGTCGTAGAGCAGTCTGTATATTATAGTAGTGTAGGCTAGAGACGGTGATAACTCGTCAGGAATTCTGAAAAACAGAGTTCTACTTATATTCTCTGCGAGACTCAAGAAAACCTTTCATCTTACTTTGGATTCGTTACAGAACCACTAAACAAGTTGTTATAAGTATCCAGAAAATTGTTGACAGGTATTTCAAAATCATTCTCGCTTATAGTCAGCACTTTTTCTGTGTTGAAGCAACCGAGTAACCTCAACGTATCACAAAGGCTGGTTTTGCAAATCTCGTGGTAAAACAATTTCGCATTTGCAGGTTCAAACCTCATTGCTGTACATATTGTTTGAAAAACCAGACTCAGCAAATGTAAAACCTCTGGATTCGTAATTTCTTGACCAAGTTGCCCTTCTAAAGACACTAGAACACTTGTTACATACACAAATCCATTTGCCTAAAAAATAGATAGATTGTTACAGGGATATTTACAATGAGGTTCCGTTAGAAGTATACAGGATGTTACTTGATAGGCTTAGAGGCTGATTCGTGGAGTCATTTGTAAAAAAAATACTGGACTTCAAATAGGTGTCTAGGTCCTATTTCTCTAACGGTTAATTTTCGGTTTAGTGGTTGATGATAACAGTGGTTATAGAATGTGCATAAAGTAAACGGAAGTCGGCAGTTTGCATATTCTTCTAACGGAAGCTCATTGTTGATAACCCTGCATTTATGTATTTTCTTTCAAAACTGCCTGAATTGGAAGTGTTTAGCCTGCTAGGCCGCTAGATTCGACAACCAACCATCTCTTGTTCTTGCTCGAGATCTGGGAAAAATATCATTAAAGCCTTAGTAATTGATTCTACAAAAAGGAATTTACTGTGTGTATTCTAATGATTGATCGGTCGTCTATCATCGCGGTTAGCTGAAAGACTAAGCACTTCCTTGAGAATGGGGAAATTTGAAGTTGATTATATCCATTGTTTCCGAGACATTATTGACATGTGCTTGATGAAAACTCCTCAGAAAGAAACTTCCCCATTGAGACTAAAATGCACCACCAAAAGTAACCAACGTACTTTTCGAAAAACTGTCCTTGTTCTATGAGACTCTTTCAAGCACAATTTCAATGCTTCCAAAATATCAATTTTGAGTTGAAGTTGTATCCTTGGCGCTGAATGCAGAGTATTCAGCAACTGTGACATATCATCATCACCACCTGTAGTCAGAACGAGTTCTTTGATGATTCCTAAAAAAAAAACGCCAAATGATAAGACAAAAAAACAACTACTATTCAGTAATATTGATCGAAAATAAGAATCAACATAAAACGCTCATCATTAGCTTGAAACACGAAAGAGGAATTCCATTTTTTTATATAAATGTTTCAATATCTTGAAAACCATGAGGTTTTTACTGAGATCAAGTTGTGGTTTTCTGATAGGTTATGAACCTGTTTATCACCAATGAACTCAATATAAACATCTGGAAGGGAGACGGCCGTTCTCTTGAATAGCACAAAGTGTGTCAGGGGCAGCTGCAACAAAGATAGCATGATTTACGGTAACCTGTCTCTTTCCTACTCGTGTTGTTTAATGGTGGATTGGTGTTTACGTTTTCTTTTATCTAATAATTAAAGCACTTTAGATTTTTTTCTCTCATCTAAACAGGCAAGAAAGTGAAGACATAAGTTCATTGTCTTTGTTTATGTGAAATATCTATTCATTTGGCGTGTTTTGTTTTATAAAATGGACTGAATTTGTTGGTGTGAACACTGTGAACTGATTGTTGAGAAGGATTTGATAAACAATGGTGATTTTTTGTGTCGCCTTTGGATGCAAGAACGAGCAAGACAAAAGGACATTGTCATTCCATGGGTAAGTTGAATATTGTTCAGATTTTTGGAATATATAGTTCTTGAAATGATCATCAGTTAGGTGTACAATGTTCCCAGTCTCAGAATATGTTCAAAAACTATACCTATATTATTTGTCAAAGTTAAATACTTCCATGACTTTTCCATAAACATATCAAGTAATATTATTTGTTGCAGTTTTCCATTCAGACATTCTTGAATTATGGATTAAGGCAGTTCGTAGAGAGAGTTGGACTCCATCTAAAACCAGCAAGCTTTGTGGAGAGCATTTCCTGACAACTAATTATTTATTTAGACATACCAGGTACTACTAGGTTATTGAAATCAGATGCTGTACCCAGTATATTTCCATTTCCTAAGCATTTGTTACCAAAAAATACTGATCCTTGAAGGACAATAAGAAAACTCATAGGTACCTACCTAGTTGGTTAATAATGAAAAAAAGTATGTTTGGACCTCTTTAAAATAAAAAACTAGCTAGTAATTTATTTTCAGGATGCATCTGTGGAAGTTCATAACATTGGGTCCTAAGGAAGATGTTTCTCATATTATGGACTTTACCATGGGTTTCAGCTCCCAAGTTTCGAAGTTCATCAATAAAGAAACTCAAACTGTTCCTTTGGAGAAGGATATTGTATTGAGAATTGTTTTTTTTAAATTTCTAATAGGGATATGTTTCTAGGCAGTGACCTAATGGTAAAATAGGAACCAATGGAAATTATGCTCAAAATGGACCTTATAGGTAGTAAATACAATTCAAGAACCTCTTTTTAAATTTTTCCTATCGTTTTTATTTTTCTTCTGATAGTGCTAAGACATTGTGCCTCACTCACCCTGTACAATATATTGTGACATTTGACTTCCTAATCCTGAAAGAATAAAAATGAAATTTCATTCTGAAGTCAATACAAAAAATAATAATAATTTTTTAATGATAATTGATTACGACATCTTCCTTTTTTCCTATATGAATATTTTCATTTAATCACGTTTACTCTTAAATAAAAGCAAAAACGAGAAAATATTTCGAATAATGCGAGCGCTTCCCATTAGCGAACATAAGATAGAGAGAGATAGGTATCCGTAAACACTGCGGGTTGCCTGAACAATATTTTTGCCTCACTCGTCGATCACAGAGGGTCCCTTCCAGTTGTTTATATTGAGTTCATTGTTTATCACCAGCTAGCGTATGATTCATGGTTAACCAGACACCCTGTAGCTAAATGCACAAATATATATTTACCGAGAGTCGCATATCTGCATTCGGGGTACTGAACAAGCCTGTGCACACACTTGGCCCCACCGCACTCCCTCAAAACGTTGGCATTCGAACTGTTGCTGGTCAAAAGTATGGTCAACGCCTCTACCACCAACCCGCCTAACTGTCCTTGCCCCAAACTCGATTTGGACTTTTTGTCCTCCAGCAGGTTGGCGTACCGGTTCAAACAAGTCACGAACACTTCCAGCATACCGACCTCTCTGTACACGTCTTTAAATATGGCATTGTACTGCAAGACATTCAGAAGTGTTTGCATGCACAGAATGCTGCAGTCGTAGTGGTTGAGACTGTGCGTCTTCAAAAATATCGACATCGATATCAATTCTTTGCAAGGCACAAAGTTCAGCTGGAACACTAGGAATTTTATGAGTTCAAACAGCTTCTGTTGGATCTCGGCCGGTTTGTAGTGGATTTTCTCCATGAATTGACTCAAGGTATTCTGGTTTTCTAGTATGAAATAGTTAGCGTTATCGGAGTGATAGATACTGGATATTGCGTCGAGTATTGTTGAACATAGAAGAGACGAATTTGACTTCAGGAAGGTGCTTTGTAGTACCTGAATATAAAAGTTAGTAGGTCTAAATAGGTTTCTTCACTTGGATGATTTTCTATTTTCTATTTCTTCAATATATCAAGCTTGATATGACAAAAATTACTTAGGAAAATGTATTAGTTTCCTTGAAATTTCTTAGCATTCCGCATGATATACATATTTGGTGCACAAAATACTGACTGTGGTTCAACGTTTGCTTTGATCAAAAAATGTATGAACTTACGTGAAAAGCTTGAATGTTTCTTATGCTAGTCCCTCGCCCAGAGGGCTGTGGTAAATTGAAGCCTTGCATTTGGAATAGAGAACCAGTTGAGGCCTGTGAAGGTTTCAATTCTATGTAACCACAAGTACACAAAGATGCTACCATCAGAACGAGATTTCGTATAGATTCTTGAGCTTCATTCGAATTATCATTTTCTAACCTAAAATCCATTACAAAATATTAAGTGCTTCACGTTGGGCGCCAAAATATGAAACTCATACTGTAGTCAGAGAATGGATGGAAAATGGAAGTGCACTCACTTGAGTAAGAATTCAGACAGAAAAAGGTAGCCATGTGCTTGTCTGAAATCATCTAATAGAGTAGAAGAAACTTCACTAGAATCTTTGAGAAAACAAAATACTGTCACAAACATTTCAACCAATTCTAAAGGAGCCAACTCAGGAACTTTCTTCATATTTTCTATACATAGTGATACACAAGATTTTGCTGAAATAAGAAAAAATATCAATAAGGAAGTTTGTTGACTATATAAATCAATTTACAGTGAATATATCCAACAACAAGTGGGGTGAGTCCATGTCTAGAAAGCGTCATCAAGACTTCAGCAGCACTCTTTCTCCAAATAACATTGTACTGTGGACACCAGGAAGTGATGGCAGAAAAAAGTAGAGTCAAATCATCTTTCCTTGCTAATTCCTCAGCTGGAATTCTGTGGCTGCAAAGACGTACCAATACCTACAATTCAAATGAAATTCATCAGTAGAATAAATTAGATAGCATTATTTAAGATGATGATGAGTCAAAAGAGTTTTGTTGGATATCAATACCCACTAAAATTAATTTCAATAAGATAAATGTTTGACGTAGTTTTCACCTTTTAGCCTACAAAAGGTCAAAAATATCCAACACCTACTTCCTTTCCATACCCTTCCTGGGTACGCACGATGTTCTTCGAGCATCATAGGAATTGCCTGTCGTGCGCTCCAAGAGATGAAGAAAAATAGAGCAATTTTTATGCCATTTACCGATAGAATTTAGTGGAAGATTGAAATTTCAAATTTCTGTTGACATTCGTTTTGGAAATACCAAAAACTTTCACACCTCATATCTAAAGAACTAAGAATGTGCAAATTTGTTTCTTATTTTGACAAGTATTATAAATCTACCCTGATATGCTGGAACATTCTGTGTATTCATGATTCAGCGCCCATCAGTCCATAAAAATTCTACATTTTCTAAAGAAGTCATGGGATTCCAGGTAGACTCCAAATTTGTAATGAAAATAAATAGTGTAATAATGACGTAACTGTAATTACCTGAACAAATATTTTTTGTAAAAGAATCCTCCGTTCCTTTGGAGTGAAATCACTGTTCGTATCTTTGGTATTTGCCTCCTTTTCAGAAAGTTCTGGTAAGTCGAAGAAAAGATACAAGCATTTCACTAAAGTAGATGGCACTGAAACCTCAGACATAACCTGTAAAGTATATAAATTAAAACCAATTACACAAAACTGGATAGATATAATTTTACTTGAACTAATGTGAAATCTCCAGCAGCTAGTAAATTCAGAGTGGACAATAACATCCAGCCGTTACTAGATTCTTCGCAGTTTTCTATCTCTAGAAATTTGGCAATAGCGCAACTAGCTGTTTCCGTACTTTGGTTTGAAGCCCTCTTTCTTATTTCTGATACCATCAGTATCGACACCTGGTGGCAAAACGCCAAGATATCCCAGAATTTTTCATTCATGTCACATGTAGGACTTGAACCAAATACCTAAAAAAATACCTGTCATATATCTTATTCACTTTCCTTATATGCATTTGCCTCTGTTCACTCTGTTATTGCACTTCATTTGAATTTAAACTTTCTTCACTTCCATAACTTTCAACTAATTATCGGCTGATGATCTCTGATCATTTTAATAAACTTGTGGAGACGACTTTGGATTTTTCATCTATGAACAGTTGCAAGTGTCTTTCCTAAATGCTGAGTTGTGTCCCCAGATGGCATTCATGTATAATTTGGAATAAGGTGATGCAGGTTGGAAAGCATTAGGAACAATAATATGAAGTTAGTTTTCTTGCTTAAAAATCCCAATATGATTTCATAAGAATTTCACCCCCTTTCATTTTGATACGGGTCCCAATTTGGTGAAGATCGCACGAATAATAGCTGTAATAACGAGGGGAGGGGCGTTTGAAATGAGACACGCTGTAGATTCGTCAATGTTGAATATTTCTCCATGAAAATTGGTGCAGATCTATTTCAGAGGACGCCCAATCCAGTGGCGTAGGCGGATTTTTTTAAATCGCTAATATGGGTTCTGGATTTTTCAGCTTCTCAATGTGTTTTAGTAGGACTTGGTTTCTAAAATAAGTGGAGGCCGCTCAGCTCGAAAATACACCTTTGCTCATTCTACATTTCGAGAACACAATCGTGGAAATTGCTCCATACATAAGGAATTTTTGAGGGTGGCCCGAATTCAAATGGGTCACTCTGCATATATGATTCTTCTCTATTTTCATTTCATCATAAATCTGAACTATTAATTTCGTGAACAATTTGGTTCAGTTGTGAATATTATAACAGAAAGTTTTACTGCAGTTAACACCAAACTTCTGAATACTTAAACATATCAATGGAAACGACAACATCGCAATTGTGCTAGCAAAATCATGGTTTAGCTCTGTGGCTCTGTATGTACATAACAGATCGCCGCACTGATGGCAGCAAAATGGCAAAGGTGCAGAAATTTATTCTTTGATTTTTCTTTCTGAATAAATTCTGAGCCTTATAATATAAAACATGCAAATTTAATGCTTTTCATAAACTTCAAGGAGAAATAAAAATCTCAATATAAAAAAAAACTAGAAATTCTTGTGTTTTCACATGAAGCCTAAGAAATTCTCAAGGATTCCAATTTAACCGCGAATCACCCTACAATATTTTATCAACACACCACTTCCCGTGATTAACATCATTACAAATTGCATAATAAATATTAAAGGAATTTATTATAAATAGGAATCGAACCTATGTATGTACAGTAGTGTCGCGATAATCCGTATGCTTTTGTAATCCGCATTGCATTTTCGTTCCATTGAGATACTACGTAATCCGAATTTTAGTTGATTCAGTAATTCGAATTCATTTACGTGACTTATTTCTACATACATAAAAAAATTATGCTGGTTTTTGCGTTTATAAGTGCAGCTTCCTCACTGTGCGGGCTCTCTCATCGAAAATGGCACCTATTGAATGAAAATACAAAACAAAACTTACATTTTAAGGAGAAGTCAGAGGGTAAGTGGAAAATCTTTAGGCCTTAATTAGGTATGGATTAGTGGCGCCCAACGGTAAGCGACATTTAAAATAATATATAAAATTAAAGGATAAGTATTTAACAAATACAAAATGAAGGAATAAAGATACATATATACAGGCTGATTCACTGAATTATTTTGAAAATTTGGTTCCTTGGATAATTAGTTGTGTTCTATCGACCTGAAATATTCTCGCGCTGCGACGTTGCCGCTTTTATTGAAAAGTGGCAACAACTTTGATTTTTTTCAATGGGACACCCTGTATATCATTCCATTTTCAGATTCTCCCTGAAGAAATGATTTCATCGATTTATCACACCTGGGGTCTAGCGGGAATGATAACAATGATATAGGGTGTGAAAAATCGAGATTTTTCAACTTTAAAAATTTTTGGTGTAGAAATTGGTGTGTTTTACTTTTCACATACCATCAATTGATATTTAATTGAAATAGATATATGGGTCAAAAATCTTAATTCTGAACCACCCTGTATGACATGAAAACCGTTTTGACCAATTATGAATAGTTTCGACACAAAAAATTCCTAAAGTTGAGAAGTCTCGATGATGTACATTCTATAAATCTGTAATTATTACTGCTAGACCACAAATGTCACCTTCAGTCAATGAAATCAGCTCTTCAGGGAGAATCTGAAAATGGAATAATATACAGGGTGTCTCATTTAAAAAATCAAAGTTGTTGCTACTTTTCAATATAAAGGGCAACATCGCAACGCTGAGAATATTTTAGGTCGATAGAACACAACTAATTATTCAAGTCACTAACTTTTCAGAATGATCCTGAGTTGCGTTCTCCAAAAACGTCTAATGTGCCATCCACCGTGAATCAGCCTGTATATATCCATGTATGGGTTGCGTGCAAGAACTGTCAGATGATCGACCCTGGAGATGAAACATTGAAACCCAACCTCACTTTTCTTATTTGTCTAAAAATTATTGAAATAGTTTTTCACAATTATTTTGGCATATGAATCGTGTTTTTCGGCTATTCATCAATTTGCGCATGCCATCACATGGTGCTGTTGTACAATGCACAAAAAATGCAGCGAGAAGCGAAGGAATCCGGTTGGTACAATATGATTTAAAAGTAAGTACCTACTATAGTCACTCACATATAGTTTTCATTTTGAAATTTAGAAAAATCTCAAATTTCTCATCGGAATTCCTTCTGCGATATGAGCTAATAGAAATAGTAGTGGAATTTCTAAAAGAATTCAAGAAGATTGGATTCATGCAATCAAACGGGAGGACTCTGGTCTGACGTGCTGACGAAATATGATCGTGTGTGTTGTAGATATTTTCAATCTATTAGCAGTATTAGCTTCTATTGCAGAAGTGGCAGAAGGAATTTTAATGAGAAAAGACAAAATTTCATAGAGAAAACTATGTGAGATTACTATTTACCTGAAAAATTATATTCCTTCGTCTCTCGCTGCATTGTACAACAGCACAATGAGAAGGCATGCGTGAATTAATGAATAGCGCAAAAAACACGATTCCTATGCCAAAATATTGTGAAAAACTATTTCAATCCTTTTTATTCGTCTGTAAACAAATAAAAAAAGTTAGGTTGTATTTCAATGTTTTACAGAAGTGAAGTTGTGTTTCAATGTTTTACCTCCAGGGTCGGTCATCGTGCACGCGACCTATGATTCTGTTAGGTTATGTTGTTGTTTTTCATTCATTTTGGAAAAAATAAGTGAAAATTCTGTCCTGAATCTAGATGTTATTTCATCTGTCAATTGATAATATGAGCAATGTTCCAAAGTGTGACTACGCACTTGCGAGTACCATAATTTAAAATATTGTTGGTACCATAATTTCAAGCTGTTGGTACCATAATCGTGAATCCAAAGGTTGGCAACGCTGCTCAAGTTTTCGAACTGAGGTTGGGACTCGGTTTAGCCGAGCCGAACCATTATCGTTCTAGCTGACAACCTAGTTAGGTAGTTAGTAGGCAGGAGCTTATTATACCTCCTCGCACTAGGTCGCCTACTAGGTTTCCATTTAGATCGACAATGACCGAACGATCAGGTTAGGAATCAGTGAATGAATGAGTCTCAACCGATTTACACTAACTTGATTATAAGTACTTACGTTTCGACTACTTCACTTACTTTACAAAAGAGAGGCAGCATGTTGTACAGCTTGTCGTCCCTCTCTCGGTCGGTAAGCGGCTGCGGCGGATGCGTGTACTCGGAGAAGAGCTTCTTGAGGTGCATCAGCCCCAGCTGGGTGTGCGGCGAGGAGGGGGGCTCGGGCAGGTCCGAGGGGGCAGGGGTAGCCGACGCCCCCCCGTTCCGGAGCTTCCGCATTATGTTCATGTTGGGAGGTTAGTAGCCCCTGGGGAATCTTCGAAAATAGATTACAATGGAATTGTTTCACTCCCAAGAATAGTTTGGAAAGTATAGCCGGAATTTTTCTGGCAGGTGTGACTCCTGAATTTTTTTCGAATTTTTTCAGGATGATGTAATATTATTTTCAGGACCCTCACAATCGTGTTATTTGGGAGTGAAATGGGATTTAAGCTCAGAATGAAGAAAACGCTAATCATGGAGAAATATGCATTTATTATTTATGGTTTGTTATGAAAAGTGACGAAGCAATTACTTTCATTGTTCAACCACAGGCATAGACGTACAGGGTGGGCAAAATTGGGCGTTTTCACCGTCTATCTCAATAACTAGAGGAGTTATCGAAAAACCGATATCCATGATCCGGGTTCGATTTTGGAGAAACCTCGAATGGTACAATCAAATTTCGATATCTTCATTCGTTTTAGAGATACAGGGGGAAATTGAAAATTTGCCGATTTCGATTTTATTTTCTGACTACTTTACGGTGAGAGGTATCAAAAAATTTCAAACGTATATTCATACAGTATGATGCGTGGAATCCATTGGCATCATCAGAAATTGTATACAGGGTGACGTTGAAAAGATACGGCAGCCAATTATGTTTTTTCTAATGGAACACCCCGTATATTTTGGCACAGTTGAATAGTCCCAGGCGTTCTCATCACAAATATATATATATAACCCTACCTTTTCCTTCCACAATTTCAGATAGGATTCAAAAATTCGCAACTGTCGATACAAATGATACACTCATGGAGTCATGGACCAAGTGGGATCATCTGCAATGATAACACTGCTCGCCAGCAGCTATGGAATCATCGATATTTCTGGATAATGCTATCAACAGGCAGAATCGAGGTTGAAAATGACACTCTGTATATATTCACCAAATGTGGAAAATAAATATCATAGGGAATGTAATTTCCAGATAAATGGATATTTGGTAAGAAATGAAATAAGAAATTACGGAATTATGGAATTTGGACATCTTCTATAAGGCTATATTTTTCAATTGAGTAAAATATTGGTCTTATTTCTGTATCTCAAATGTCTTGATAACAATGATATCAAATCGAATAATTTCCCATTTTATTTCTCACCAAATATCAATTTGTCTGGAAATAACATTCCCTATGATATTCATTTTCCACCTTTGATGAATATATACTGAGTGTCATTTTCAACCTCGATTTTGCCTGTTGATAGCATTATCCAGAAATATCGATGATTCCATAGCTGCTGGCGAGCAGTGTTATCATTGGAGATGATCCCATTTGGTCCATGACTCCATGAGTGTATCATTTGTATCATTCTGACAGTTGCGAATTTCTGAATCCTACCTCAATTATTTTTACAGAAGATACGGGGGTGTAACCATAAGAAATGTGACACACTGAATATATTTTTGCGAATATATCTGAAATTGTGGAAGGAAAAGGTAGGGTTATATATATATTTGTAATGAGAACGCCTGGGACTATTCAACTGTGCCAAAATATACGGGGTGTTCCATTAGAAAAAACATAGTTGGCTGCCGTATCTTTTCAACGTCACCCTGTATACAATTTCTGATGATGGCAATGGATTCCACGCATCATACTGTATAAATATAAGTTTGAAACTTTTTGATACCTCTCACCGTAAAGTAGTCAGAAAATAAAATCGAAATCGGAAAATTCTCAATTTCCCCCTGTATCTCTAAAACGAATGAAGATATCGAAATTTCGATTGTGCCATTCAAGGTTTCTCCAAAATCGAACCCAGGACATGTATATCGGTTTTTCGATAACTCCTCTAGTTATTGAGATAGACGGTGAAAACGCCCAATTTTGCCCACCCTGTACATTGCATTTTCAACATCTCCTCCGATCTCGTCCTTGAACGGCTCCCGCAACTTTCCAGTCAGCAAGTCCGTGGTGATTTCGGAGAATCAATGACAGGCCAGTGATCAATTTTACCATATCGTTTGTCATTTGTTGGAATAGAAGCTTCTCTACTTGCAAGAACGGTTGGTTTATTGGCATTTTCATCCACCCACTCAACAAATATTCCTCCCGGCACTTCTACCTGTTCATGTGCATTCAACTCCCACTGGTCATCTTAATTGTGGAATCGATTTCCAGATTTAATCTTATCTGATTCAACAAATCGTAAATTTCATCTTGATCTTTTTGCAATTCAAAATCAATAATGATCATTGATCCGTAGCGGTACGCTCCCGGAGCACACAAATGTGATGGTACACAAGTATGTCCTGAAATCTGATCCCGAAAAAAATTTTGGAAACATCCACTGTGAACCACCATGTTGAATCATGTTTTCATTTGCCATTCAATGCATAAAATCATTCACAATATCTTATATAGTTGATGTTTTTGATTCACTCACCTTCAGTAAACATTTTTCAGTGGAGACCAATTGCACCACACAATGGTTTATTTTTTTTACGCCGCCTGAAAATAAAATAAGCAGCAAATGCGGTTTGCTCCGTGCAAATAGAACACTTAAAAGCATAGTGGCTGGTTCTCAATCCAGCAAAATGATATTTTGATCCTTATAAATGACTTAGATAATGCTCGTACAATTGTGAGGGTACGGGATATAGGACCCCGCAATAGGGGGGAAATTGGCTTTCGGTGAATTTTCTCGAATTTCGGATATGTATATCGTAGAACTGAAAAATAATCTGCATATTTTCAACATTGTCACCCTGTATCTCAAAAGTTAAGACTTTAAGGACATACGTTCATATGAAGTTTTCTTCTTGAAATGAGTCGAAGAATCACCCCCTGGAATATTAGCATGTCATCAAGGATCACCCTGTATGAGGTTTTATAACGATGTGATGAATGTAAATGATAATTAATTGAATCGATTTTGCCAAAAACCAAACATCCTGTTTATAAGATGGATTACCGACTCTCGGGAACCGAATTTCATTATTATTGAAATCTAGATTCAAAATTTTGGCGAACACGCCAGGACACATCTCGATTGTATTGTATGGTATTGTGAATATTTTACACATTAGTCGTGGATAATATACAGGGTGAGTTGTAACTATTTGGACCAAAATATGGCAATAGGACTAAATATGTCTCTATAGAATATTGGTGTAGAAAAAGATACAGGGCGTTGAAGTTGACTTTTTATTTTCGTTTTTTGCCAATATTTTCACTGTATATTCATCAATTGTTATCAAAATTGGCACAGAGGCATTATTTCATGTAGGGAATATTATTTTATGTACTTTTCTACATTTTGATACAGGGGGCGCGACGTGAATGATTCCTGATGATGAAATCGCCTGGTTACTTTTTTTGACGAAACTTTTGAGTGATTTTGATTAAAAATGACCTAAACATCATTTCTACGTAATATTGGTACACCTGTTTGAACACGATATTTTCATCCGCTTTCGAGAAAAACGCTGTTGAACAGTTCAGTCTCAGAAGTTCATCACAAATATTATTTAATTCATGAAGAGTGTGCTTTGAACTGTCAGATAATGTTGCTGGTAATGGCATTTCTTGTCAGAAAATGAATTTTGGTGCGAGTTTATAGTCAAAATTTTTTCGATTGAAATGTCTCGTCACAATCATTTTATGAATGAATAAATGCGGGATGCAACCAGAAGGTATGAATTGTAATATCTCTAATATCTAGACAGAAAGCAACCAAATCACAAAACTTTCTCAAATATATTTCATATACAATGAAATTATCAGCAAAAAACCAACAAAAAATGAAAAAAATTAACTTGAACGCCCTGTATCTCTTTTCACAGCAATATTTTATCAAGGCATGTTTGGCTCAATCGTCATATTTTGGTCCAAACAATCCGCCCTTAGCCTATGTCCCAATAGTTATGACTCACCCTGTATAGAAAACTTCGAGAAAGATGGATGGTTATTGGATTCCATGCGTTTCCATGACTTATTTTTTCAAACTTCAGCGCCCTGAAGCTCAGATACGGAGTACCTCCAGACATATAATTATGTGCATAGGAACTTTTTTTCTTAAAATGGCTAAAGGAAACACCCTCTTAAGTTTCGTACCGTAGTTAGGAAACACCCTGTATATGTAATTTAACAATAACAGTGATAAAATCGGGCCAGTAGGAATGTTACATACAATGTAATGTCATTTTACAGAAATATTTCGAAATCAAAATACCTATTTCAAATCAAATTATACTTTATTGTCCAACAAAAAGAAATTTTAGTGACAAAGCCACATGTGCAAAATACAGTAATCATATCGAAATTGAATAAAAAATATATAAATCATATTGAGGTTGAATCGTTCATCGTAATAATGACTATTAAAATAAAAATACGAAAAAACAAACAAAACATATATAAAACACAAAATAGTCCAGTAACTTTGTCGCCTGAACATAATATGGGGGTAGTATCAGGTATGCGTCAAATCCGGTAGTTCTGATTTTTTGCAGACTTGTTCATGATGTTGGCCTAATGAATGATCCAATTTTGTGACCTCGAGCACCGAACGCAACTTTGTCAAAAATCGAAAAAATCGCGAAAAAATCGTAAATTTTTCAAATTTTGGCGATTATAACCCTGAAAGGTTGGTTTAAAAAAAAGTTCTTTGGACGTTTTTAAAGCAGATCAAATTTGCTACAATATGATACAGAAACTGTCTTTGTAGATCCAATAGTTTTCGAGATTAAGCCTTTCAAAATTTATAATTTTTTTCGAACTTCGCAATTTTTTGCAATGTTTTAGGCATGGACGTATGGTTTTAGGCGTCACTCGAATATACCTACCAGACGTCATTTCGAAATGATTTGACAGGTCGTTAGATTATTATTATTCGTAGCTCAGCTTAAACATCCTCGTTCACACTCCTCATTTTCATTCTTATCATCTCATCATGAAAGTACAGGGCTTCGATTGTATAATCAGGGTCAAAATTCAATGAGAATGACAGGATTGCAAAAAATTGCGAAGTTCGAAAAAAATGATAAACTTTGAAAGGCTCAATCTCGGAAACTAATGAGTCTACAGAGACAGTATTTATATCATATTGTAGAAAATTTGGTCTACTTTAAAAACGTTTTGAAAGAGTTTTTTCAAAAACTAGTCCTTTAGGGTTATTATCGCCAAAAACTGAAAACCGAACGATTTTTTCGCAGTTTTTTCGATTTTTGACAAAGTTGCGCTCGGCGATCAAGGTCGCAAACTTGGATTATTCATTAGGTCAACATCATGAACAAGTCTGCAAAAAACCAGAACTACCGGATTTGACGCATACTGTGACACTGTGATGTATAAAGTTAGTGGGTTAAAAGGTGTAGATGAAAAATTATCATAGTAAATTCAGTTAAATTATAGTATGCCTTATTGAGAAGCAAATTTTTAAAAGACTTCCGAAAACTTCCTAAATCTTTTGTCGTTTAGTCTTCTTTAGGTAATTTGGTGAATGATTGTAATCTTCTTTAGGTAATTTGGTGAATGATTGTAATCTTCAAGCTTTCATAAATGAGCGCATTCTTAGTTAGCGTCGGTTTTGGTATTGCTAGTTGAATATTATGACAGTGTCTGGTATTATAACAATTGCAGAACAAATGATTTTTGTTCCTCTTGTGCAACAAACTATTTCCTTACATTCTATATGGAATATTACAGTGCCTACAGAGTCCATGATGAAGCATAGAAAAGTCTGCCAACTAAACATACTGGGATCAAGTTAACCACCTGCCTCAAGTTATCAGAGAGATGCCAACAGGTAAATTTAAAAATGTCTTGGAATGATTGCTTGGTAAAGGGGCATATTATAGCATTGATGACTACTATGCATGGAACTTGCTCTATGAACTGTGATGATTTGTCATTGTTCTATACATTTTAATGTTGTGTAATGAGATGTATTGTATTTTAGACCACTTGTACCTATACTATGACGTATATATCCACCTATGGTGGTAGCTGTGGTGATATGAATAAATTCTATTCTATTCTATACTGTATACAGTGCTTTGGTAAATTTACTGAATAATTTCTTTACCAGCAAACTATCCATTTATGATCGAACAGATCGATTTTAAATCTCAATATACCATATTTTCAACGGAAAATGAAATATACAGGGTGATGCACGTTTTAGTAATGCGACAATTTTCTGAAATTGGAACACCCTATATATCGTTCAATTTCTAAAATCCATGGATAGCTGGATTCAAAAATTCATCAATCATGGGGTTTGTTTACAGTGTGTCAGCTGATTTCGGTGATCTCTTTTTTTATTTTCTCCTTTGTGAGACCCTGGAAATGGTGGGGGATTTGTTTTCACACTGTTTTCATGCCCATTGGTGGGCCACTTACATTGTGTAAAGATGGTTTTTGGGATTTTCACACACACGACCCTCTAGTCAGTGAATATATCTAGAAATTTATTGACTTTTTATCAGAACATTCTCCACTGTTCCTTCACATTCACAGACAAGAACATGCTTTTACATACAGAGTGTGTCCTTAAAGTAATCTACCTTCTGGTTAACTTTTGAATAACTTGATATTTTCAACCTGAGAGTGTTTGATGGTGTTTGAACATCAAATAATCGTCAATAATTTCCTTGATGATTTCCAAAAATTGAGGTAGAAGTTCAACAGTTCCACTATGAGAGTCTTGCCATTTTGATAGAGAATTTTTATTTGTGTGAAGTAAACTCCCATTGCAGCAAAAAATACCTATTGAGACATTAAAAAGTTAAGAGGAAAGGTTGTATGAATACTTCATAGCTTTATTGAAGGTTAGTTAGGATTTCACTTTAGTGTTTAATGTTTCCTACTGGAATAGTGGAATAATTAATATATACTATGGATACCGAGATGGAAACTTATGTTGAATCATTTCATCATTAAGAATTTCCATATTTTTTCATAACTTTCATGCATATATGAATCTTCTTATTCGGAAATAAATTAAGAATACCATAATGATCCAGACTGATACACAGTATAAGACCTCTTCTCGTAAGAGGTCTTTTATACTTGGGACTCTGCTGTGGTGACTGATACACATTGGTTTGCCCATTTAAAATCACCCTGTATGTGTCAATTAATATAAGGTATAGGAGGATATGAATATACTGGTTAAAACTGCCGAGAAATGCATTCTTGGTACACATTATTCAATTTGAATGCACTTCAAGAATAATAACGCAAATAAAACTTTGAATTATTTCATGGTACAATCATCTAGAAGAGACCAAAAAGGAGGACGAGATCGATTTCTCTACGTAGGTGCGCCGATTAGTAAAATCATCAAGAAAAATGCAGTGTTAAAATTATTTAAATTACCTAATTGTTACAGACACGATGCACTAACATTTTGAAAAACGAACACTCATTTATTCAATAAAACAGCTGACACCGCCTTTTCAGTTTTCACAACAATAACATAAAAAATATAGACATTTTTAGCACACTTCTGATTCTGAACACGAAACTCGAAACTTCAATCGTCAAAAATGCATAGCACAACAAAAATAATGTCAAAATATCAACAGTGTTGTGAAATTGTCGTTTACAGGAAGTGATCCGGCAACAGTGTCGTATCATACTTCTTCTTAGTTTCTGGTAATCTTTCAGTGTCGGACATGTATCTTATCGTTTATTGTCGTCATATCATCAAGCTCAGTCATATCGTGTCTACAAATGGAAAAGTACTGCTTGAGACAATGAACTTTAGATCTTAGATCTGCTTCGTAGTACTTGAGTTGATGAAAAGAGAAGTTGTGAAGTTAGTTTCTATGGTTATGGGATTCAATTTTTGTTTATTTACTTTATTTTAAACTGTTTGTGAAAAGTTGAATGACAAATAATAATTTTAAATCGAGTTTAAAATCATTAAAATATTAAGAACCAGTTCTCAATTGCTTACCAACCAGTATGACTCTAAATAACGAGTCCGAACGAAATTACATAATCGGAACTTGTATGAAGATGTGTCCAGAAAAAGAGATCAAAATGTATTTTCAACTGGAAACGTAGACAATCTTTAATCACAAAACAATATTTTCAGGCGTGAACGTGAGAGATTACTACACATATTCGAAATTGTTCAAGGGACAGAAAACCATCCAATGCCAATAGCTCAAATAGATCAAATGGTCAAGTGTTTTTCACGTTCAGCTGCTGGAAAATTTATGCAAGATCCAGAAAACTTGAGACCCCCGGCTGTCCTTCTAGAAACTGTAAACTACCTTCTTGATAAGTAAGATCATCAGAAGGAAATAACTAGGATGATAATTCAATTCATCAGCATTGCAGGAAGAACTGATGTGTCATGGTTAATCATTTATGATTTTATAATGGATAGACTCAGATCAGTAAGGCAGGACATGGTGATCCAAAATGTCTCAAGAGCATATCAAATAACTATATTACAACCTATAATTAGATTCCTTGCTTATGCTTCATACAGGTGAAATAACTGAATACACATCTGCAAGTAAGCCTCTGATTCTGTTTTTCAGGTTATGTGAAGAAAATGTAACAGATTTTGACCCACATATCAACAACACCCATCTACAAGAGTGTTTGAAGAGGTTATTATGCATGTATGATTACTATGATGAACTCAATGATACTTCAAAAGATGGATCTGGCTTTTTCATTGATTTGTTGAAAGAAAGTCGCCAGTATTTTGAATCTCTATATGTAATTTTCAATTTAGGAAGTACTACTGCTATAACTAGAGCTATCAATTTGAGTAGCAAATGGAGGTCAGACTTTCAACATATTCTAATGATTTTACCTCACTGATCCATGATGATATTTCAGGAGTCATTTAATTGAAACATCTCTGGAAATTTCAATTTCATACTTGAATGGTAATTTTGTTAGAGTATGTAAGGCCATTGAAAGGTTACCAACATTATTAGCTTCACTTGCTACTCTACATTTACCTGAATTGAGAAGGTACAGGGGTCCACAGGATCTAGATTGATGAAATACTAATTAATTTCCTTGTAGGAGTAGCTTCAAAATAATGTCAACTGCCTACCATTCCAAAAATTTAAGATATCCTCTTGATGCCTTGCAGCATCTACTATTATACAATACACAGGATGAGATAATCTATGATTGTAAATATTATGGTTTGAATGTCCTGAATAATGGGATTCAGTTTTCAAAGACTGACTTTGATCAAAATAAACCAAAAGTATCTTATATCCATTATTAAAAATGAGTTTCTACATTTATTTTTTTCAGGTGCATTCTAGACGGTCAAAAGAAATTGATATCAAATTGAGCAATATAGATATTTCAACATTATTACTATTTGGGGAATGAGAATATTCCTCAAATGGGCCAATTAGAGACTGATATCATTTGATTAAATTTAGTATTGTATGTATCATATTGTACACTTTTTTATATTAGTACCAATGCACTTTTTTCTTGTGCCATTTTGGGAATTTATTCATTTATTTTTTCAGGTACAAAAATCCAACTGATGTATATACCTCATAAATCATCGACTTTTTTATACTCAATAAGTTTACATGAATTTGTTATTTTATGTATAATTAGTAGAAATATATGTTTATAAATATTTTCTGATTCATTTAATTTGATGCTCTCAAGAATAAAATAGGGAATTAAAGTAGGATGGAGTAAATTTTTTTATATACTGAAAATTGAACATTATATAGTGTTCTCAAAGTTGAGGCATTTCTACCAGAATAATCCATTTCAGGAAATATCACTTAAATGAAGGTTTTAATTTTCACAATATCGCCTTGATGCGGGCACACTTTTTATACTATCACTGTTAACTAAAATTATTCTTTTTCATCATTCGGTTGCCCCCTTACAAGCAACCCTCAAAAGTCTTCAAGAGACTCGTGCGAGCAAGGTATGACGGGTTTTACTTTTGACGTATATGATCCCAAACACTTTCAAAGGCGATCAGAAAACTTTCTGTGGTCGTGGTGAAAATCGAACCCACATACGGGCAACGTGGATAGAATACTGACGCTTCAACCACGAGGATACGTTGGCCATTAAAAATTAAATTTGCAAGTTCACTTTCAGCTTCAACGCGCGCTATATTCTGAAACTTCAGTATATTTCAGTATTTTCAACCGAGCTTACATGCCTGCATCAAAATATTTAAAAGCAAATTGCGCGCCTAAACTTTTTCCATATTAATTTCAATATTTTGAAGAAATTAACTCCGGTAGTTTACATGATCCAACGTGATCGTTTTCATTTGTTATATAAACTTCAAAATTTCTACATAATTGTCAAAACTTCTCCATTTTACCTTATGTTTGTTTTTTTTTTATCTGAAATCGAAATGTATAGCCGTATTTTAAAATGACTGCAACTGGTGAGTATTAAGTAAATGTATTCCTGTCCGTCTATGAACTAAAAACTTCATATTATTGGCATTAAAATTATGAATATTCTCGGAATTATTTGTCAATGTCAGAGACAGACGAAACAAATTGAGGAAATGTAGACACTTATTTGATATCGATTTCGGAGAGATGGTTCAAATCTGCTTCTGCCGTAGCAAGAAACTTCAAGGAAACACATGGTTTTCATTCTCAAATCCCAGAGAGACCCTTACGTCTGCCCAGTGCCCAGATATTCAACCCCATGAACAATCCCCCGCCTGCAACAACAGTGACTGATACAATCAAAAGGATGCAAGTGTCCCAATCTGGAATTTTGACTACCCTTCGATCTGTGAGAGAACCCATTGTGGGATATCAGGAAACTAGAGGTGTTTCCAGAAATGAGTGAGTACAATATTCTTTCAAATTATTAGCCTTTTGCCAACGTTACTCTTATCAAACAGAATGAAGATATACAGGGTCGTCCGGTTAGTAATACAAAAAAATCATCAGTGAGTTGTACTGGTTGAAATAATAAAAAAAGTTCATATAAACATATACTTTTGAACGCGTCGTTTTCAAGATATAGAGTGTTGAAAATATGAGTATTGATTTCTGATGGAAAGTTCCAAACGGTTTGAGATAAATCAACGTTTCTCATAGATACAAAATTTTCAATGCTCTATAGAAGATGAAATGAAAATTATTTCATAAATTAACTCAGTGGCAACTAACTAAATCTGGGGGTGGTGAAACTTTATCATTGTGTTTTTCCAATAATTATTTTTTATTAGCTTAGATTTCTCTTATTGGTAATCCGGTTCAATTCGAAAATGTTATAAGGCATTGGAAAAATACAACAGAACTATTATATGCAGATATCTGTTTTCAGATTTTGTACTCCAAAATGAAAAATTGAATGGATATATAAAATTTGGGGTGATTTTTTCCTTCACCACCCCCAGATTCAGCCGCCACTGAATCACTCTATGAAATAATTTTCACTTCATCTCATAGAGCGTGAAAAGTTAAGTATCTGTTATAAATTTTGTTGATTTGGATTTCTCATCAAAAAACTTTTTCCGCCCTCACTCATGTAATAATTCAGGTTTGTTCAGAATGAAACATAGTTTTATTAATTTTGAGGAAGAATTCATGATTGGTTCAGAAATTATCTATCAAATAGAAAACAATATGTTGAAGTGAGTGGTACTTGTAGCTCCTTAATGAACATCTCATGCGGTGTACCGCAAGGGTCAGTCTTGGGACCAGTTTTATTTTTGATCTACGTAAATTCAATATCAAACTTGAAATTGAGAGGAAAACTTGAATTATTCGCAGATGACACGACATTGATTTATTTCTCTAGAGATTCAAATAATATTATCATGGACATGAAAAGTGATTTAGAAAAAATATCCTCTTGGTTACTAGTTCATAAACTATCTCTCAATTATAACAAATCCTCATATATGTACATAGCAGAAAGAACACTGAACATTTCAAATAGAACATTATCCTTCAACAATAAACTCATCAAATATACAGATGTTACAAAATTTTTAGGTCTTTATATTGATGAACGACTATTGTGGAATAAACATTCAGATCATTTGAGAAACAAACTTGATCCCATTACAGGCATTCACTTCATTTCACGCTAGTAGAACAAGAACGAAATTTGGTGTCCTTAGGTAAAAATAGGCTTAGATAAAATTTTCATATTTTCGAAAACAAAAGAGTTTTTGAGGTGGTCCATACCTGAAATGCTGGTATACAATAAATCGGGAATTATTTTGATGAGAAGAGTTCAAAATCACAAGGGAATAAGATTGGAAATATATCAGTTTGATAAACTAAATATTCAATTAGTACAGGGTGATTCACCATAAATGTCCCCCCCTCTACCTCAGTTATTTTTAAACCGATTTCAAAATTTGAAATATCATCTTGAATGATTTTTGATTGAGTTTTTTTCCGCTACATCAGAAAATACAGGGTGCTCAGAACAAACGATCTACAGGGTACCATTTGATTTTTTAATATGGAACACCCTATTTTTCATTGTATTTTTAGATTCTCCCTGAAAAGCTGATTTGCTCAATGCATCACACTTGGGGTCTATCGGGAATGATTAGAGAGATATAGGGTGTTCAAAATCGAGATTTTTCAACTTTAGGATTTTTTTGAGACGAAACTATTCATCGTCGGTCAAAACGGCTTTCATGTCCATATCTGAACTTTTGATTTACTATCTACTGACATTTAATAATTGGAACAGATACAGGGTGATCAGAATTCTGAATCTTGAACCACCCTGTAAATGTTCCAATCAAATCTCAATAGACAGTTAATCAAAAATTAAGATGGAAACATAGGAGCCGTTTCGACCAATAATGAATAGTTTCGGGACAAAAAAATCCTAAACTTGAAAAATCTCGATTTTGAACACCCTATATCTCTGTTATCATTCCCGCTAGACCCCAAGTGTGATGCATTGATGAAATCAGCTCTTCAGGAAGAATCTAAAAATACAATGAAATACAGGGTGTTCCATTTGGAAAAATCGAGTAGTACTCTGTAGATCATTTGTTCCGATCACCCTGTATTTCCTGATGAAACGGGAAAAAAAATTCTGAGAAATCATTTTAGATCATCCTTCAAATTTTTAAATCAAGTCAAAAATAAGTGAGCTAGAGGGGGGGACAATTATGGTGAATCACCCTGTACATGTTCTGATGCTAGCCAATATTTTTTTCAGGAGTATTTCATTTGTGGCCCTTATGACATCTCTTTGCACTCATGCATACACTGCTGGTATAACCATACTGGTGATGCTGTGGAATTTAGCCCCCTTGCTGGATGGTTTTGTTTACTTTGCCAGATTCATACTGGACAAATTGATAGACATTTTCGAGACACCTGACCAAAAGGAGAAGCTCTTCAAATGCGCCATTTTCACTGGGGAAATTATTGTGGTGCTTTTTCTTATTTTTTTGATAATGGGTCTGATTTTTATGCCTGTGTATGTATTGACAGCAAGGATACTCCATAAAGTATGGGGCATGCTAGCATGGTAATGGGGTTAAGTTCACTATGGAATAAAAGGGATTTTAAAAAATCTGTTTTTTTATTTATTCTGGTACCATCTCCTATGTAGCTAAGTTGTATAATACCAAATACTTTCATTTATTCATCATTCTTATACAGGTCCCTCCAATACAAATACTTTCCCGTTTTTTTTGGAAATTATATAAGTAATATCACTTACCATATCAAAAAAATATTCTTTTGAAACAAAGTCCATATCAAAATATACCTATTTAGTTCAGTAATACACAACATTCAGTTCCATGATATTTTGGCAAATTCAGTTTATACTTTTCCTGTAATGTTGGAGGTACAAACCTTCCCCCCAAATAGTGATATTTCCCTTTGAAGAATTCTGCACATTTTTTTGGAGCTGTCAGGGAAATCAGCATCTCTGGTTTCATTCCATCTTCTGTGGCACCTGCTTCAACATCCCAACCACTGGGAATGTCAATACTGAAAAAGTAAACTCCATAAAATGAATTATGTGCAGTTAATTGATTACTTGATGGAATAAAGCAGTTTATCTATCTAACCTTTCAAGAGCCTACCTAAACTTCAATATGCAATAATATTTAATTTCAATAATCTTGTAAGTATACCTTGCTATTGGTAGACTGGTGTCCTTCATTAAATCAATAACTGGGACAAAAGCTTCTCTGATAGGTGGCTTGAAACTAAATCCAAATATTGCATCCACAATAAGACCAAACTCACGATTTAGTTGAGATTTGTTTGGCAAACATTCAGTTATTGGAATATTCATTAAAATGCACTGGTTCACCAGCCTCTTATACAAATCCTTGTCAGTTTTTTTAGGGTAATACACTACAGGATTGTATTCAAATAACTTCAGATGTCTTGCACATACCAGACCATCTCCTCCATTATTTCCAGGTCCACAGCAAACTAGAAAGGCTAATTTTAAAACTACCAAATGAGTTAAATGGAAGAGTTTAACTTAAAATGGATTTATTCTGGAGTTGTAATTCTGAGTATGATTTTCCTATGGCAGAAGCACAACTGAGACCTGCCAACTCCATCAGTTGATCCACCGAAAATTGATAGTTATTGAAAAGCTCCAAATCGATGTCTATTGCTTCTTGTTGTTGAAGGTATTTCACCATGTTAGATGCTGTGGGGGTCTGGCTGTATGATACAAAAGCTTTTAAAATTACCTGAAATGTATTTTATATTATGAAGTTGAAATGTTCCAGATTAAAAATATTCTCTTAAAATTCCTACAGGTTTTAGATTTGTTACTATGACTTTGAATTTCATTCCCAAAGCTGTGCCCAGGCCCCCAGAAGCAGAGATAAATAAAATAACTTTATATTTATAATTTTTAAGGTTGAAGGCTTGAAACAAGAAAATTTGTTTTGTGTTTAGGAACAGGGAGAACATTCCTTACAACCTAGCGCCATTAGGTATCACGGAACTTAAGTATTCTCCTCTATCTCTGGATTTGTTCGGACTGTGACTTACTGTGGCAAACGACTGACACTGACAGGTTGAAGTGAAATTAGTAAATTTTTGAGGTTGAACGGACATTGGACTTGTGAAGTGAAAGGAGTGATTTGGATTTTTGATTTATATTATTTTCTATTTCAATTTTCATACGTCATTCCTGCAATAATTGCAGTTTTAAATTTCATATTCTCTACTGAGCATAATTTTAGATGGTCTACTATATGCACGTCTACATATTAATGCATTTTATGTGACTTGTGAGTGAAAGAAACAATAGAGAAAAAACTACCATTATCTAACCTGGTGACACGTGAACTTTAAACTATATCACCTTTACTAGAGAATATCAAAATGTTCAAAGGTAATGCTATCAAAGGTCATGCATTGCAGCCACTGTTTGATTTTTGATTCCAATAATCATAGCTATTTTAAATCACCCATTGATGAAAAATAATGATCACTTACTGGTATAACATTCTCCCAAAACTGATTTTAACATACCACATACCTATACCTACCATCTAACTGATAGTAAGGTCAAGGTCAATGTGAATGGAAGCCCATGATTTGACATCATGTAACATGTAACTGAAATTGAACACACATCATTCAGTCTGCCATGGTCTCCTGTTAGATCTCCTATCATGTCTCAAATATAATGATTGCACAGTATCTTGGACTGTGATAATCAAATACTCTGTTGAAGTTGTGGTGTTTTTCTGCAGTTTTCAGGCAAAATGGCCCCACACAGCTGTAAGGGTTGTTTGAGAGGAATTATTGCTGAAAGAATGGCAATGTCTAGCAAAGAGAAACCTATGGAGGTGAATGGTACTGATGAGAATGGTATTGATGATAATCCATGTGAGTACCTAATAGGTTTAAGTAAGCTTCCTTATAAGAAATTGTATAAAGGTGGCATATCTTCATTTAGGTAGTAGGTATAGGGTATACTTAAGGACTTCCTTCAGGAGACAGTTATAATTCAGAATATTTGTATTTTCATTATTTTCCTTCATCATATAATAGTTGACTTATGGTTTGGGTTGGTTTATTAAGGCCCAGTTTTTTTTTCATCTTCAAACCAACAATCAAAGATTTTTCAAATAACATTGATTATTAGTTCCTTCAGATTGGCTAGGCCTGCAAGTTGCAAAATCCACTCCTCAATCCACTAGTAATACCTGTGAGGATAAATACAGTATAGTATAAGTTTAGAAATATTTTGTAAAATTTTCAATGTTTCACCTCCAATGAAGAGTTTGGAAGCTAATATTGCTTGTTATTTTTTTGTTACCAACATGTTGCATGTGATTATTACTAGATCAAATGTTTACAAAATTCCCTTTTATATATATATACAGTGATATTAGAGGACTGGCTTAAAATTATTGAAAATATTTGTAAAGAAAAAACTAATTCATCACTATATGCAAATACAATTCACCTATGCAATTAATCTGGCGTGAATTGTGATTATCATTTCAGAACAGTACTTTCCATTAGATTATGGTAGCTAAGTTTTCACCACATACAAAATTTGCAAAAGTTATTATAGGAATGTATCAAAATCAAAACTCTATTTTTGTTTTAATGTCTACATCAAATTATATATATCTACAATGGTGTTTCTGATTTTCAGATTTGTATGTTTTCATTCTCAACAGAATGCATTGCCCATTTGCATTTTGAATTTGTTAGTTTAATCTGAATAAAATATTTCCCTATTTTCAGCAATGCCTTGGTTTGGCATGGACATTGGTGGTACCCTCTGTAAATTGGTTTATTTTGAGCCCAAGGATCTGCCCAAAAGTGAAACCACTTCTGAAGTTGAGACCCTGAGAAATATCAGGCGTTATCTCACTAAAAATTCTGCATATGGAAAAACAGGACACCGTGATATACATCTACAAGTGAGTAGAATGTCAGGTATTTTCATATTTGTATTGTATTCATAATATAATATGTAGAGAAAAACAAAGGTTCACATGAAAGATTTATCATTGAAAAAGGTCTTTATGGTAATATTCAATAATCTGTATGGCTATGGATGACTAGAAATGAGATAAATTGGTTTTCATTTGAATGAAATTATTTTATGTAATCAATTTACTGAGCATATTTTGAGAATATTTATGAATATCAATTTCAGACATCATTATAATAATAATCAATTTTTAGTATAACTATAATAAAAGTTACAAGTTCATATTTGGTAACATAAGAAAAGAAGGAACATGTTGATAGTACAGACAATAAATTAATGTCAACATAATATTACTTTATCAAATGAATGGATAAATGGATAATTGCAAAATTCAGATATATAAATAATCTTAGGGAATATTAAACATTCATGTGATGTTATTAAATAATGATATAACTCCCGATTTCACAGGTTGATATGAAAATTCAGATCATTGAGTGTTTTTTTTTCATTCCTTTTTTCAATTCTATAAAAATAGTTTTTTTCTCTACCACATTATTTTTAATGAATGATTTATAATTGAATAATAACTTGGGGTCAAAGGGTCAGCTTGTTTGTTAATGAAATGTTTTAACATGATAATGAAGCAATCTGAATAACTAATGAAGGGTTCATCCAGATATGATTTCACAGCATACATTTGCATTATGAAATCATGTGTTTTCAAGTGGTATGATAACTTGAAGGATACTGATTATTTTTGTCTTCTATGTTTGGTCTTATAACAATGAAAGTGTTGGTTATTTGAATTCACCTTCATCTTTCTACTACAAGAGTTATTTGAAATCTAAACTTGTTTCAACAGTAAGAGATTATATTTAATGTTGAAGTTTGCTGATTGAGACCATGACTAACTTTGATACAGCATTGAGAAAATGAGATGTTTTGGATCCAGAAAGAATTTTTTTTCAAAATTTCTTCTAGAATGAGATTGCATTTTCTGAAGGATACGATGTTTTTTTTAGTTTCAAGGAACAACATTTCAAACACCACCAAAAAGTAGCAGAAAGATTAGGAAACATCTTCATCAAAATTATTTGTCGGATTTGAACGTTTTTTGTTTTGAATGACATATTACTTCCTTCTGAACATTGGTGTGCAAACTGTATACACATGAGAACCTTTTTTTATGAATACCGGGTGTAGCAATTGTAGTGTGGTTTTTCATGAATATTTGTAATACCCTGTGGTGTAAATACACTATGTAGAGCTTGTTTCAAAATGCTGAGTCAATCATCAGCTGATTGATTGAAAATATTCTTCCACGTCAATAAGGATGATAATGAGTTCAACAAAATTATGTTATTGGTGGTTTTTGTACTAAATAATGATCTCTGAGCAGTTGATGAAAGTTGTGAAGTTGACTTTTAGTTGACGACATTTTCCGAAGATTGATATGTATATCGTCAAGAAAAAAAGAACAATAAAACATTGAGACACCTGCTAATACATAGTCTCATCAAAAAAGCATCTTACATTCTTACAAACCAAGGGATCTGCTAGATATTGTTGGACAATTGTGGGTATTCTGTATATTGAATTAATACCCTGTATGTGGTTGAATACCATTTGAGCGCCCGAGAACCAAATTTGAAAAGTAGCTGTATATCACAATTTTTGTTCGTTGCTATATGTATATGTTGTTATATATAAGACTTGATATTCACATATAAAAATTATTGACAACTAATTGCATTTTTTCATTCTGATAGAAAGTACACATTTAAGCATTTATCTAAGCATTCATTATTCATTTAATATCACAAGTAATACAGTCCACCATATCGAAGAAGATTAAGCAAATCTAACCAATTGTTTTCAAAATGAAAGTATGATTTTCATCCATTTCACTGAAAATTAGAAAAAGCACTCCAATCTTACTTTCAATATCAATTCTGATACCCATGAGCATCATACCAGACAAAGTAACAATCTGGAAACTGTCAAATTAAATACCAAATTTGGGAAAATTCATTATATTTTTCTGAAATAAATATTTATAATAGTCTACCCAACAGAATGAAACCTTTCAAGTTCGTCACAAAATTCAACAGTGAACTGAAGAAATATATTTAACTCTCCTTGTATCAATTAATTCTAATTGAACTGCTCATCTTTCATTTTATTACACATTTGATTTTTTCTTGCATCCTTCTATAAACATGTACCTATGTTTCTTGGGATCAATAAATGTTATTATTATTATTACATAATACAGTGTGTGCCATCAGCTTGTGGACCAAACTCAACCTCTCTTCCTCTAGTCCGATCCATCGCGAAAAATTCTTCACAAAAACACGGATTTTTATTCCGTGCTAAAATTTACTTTGCACCTCAACAGCTTCTCATGATCTATAAAGCACAGATACGACTACTTTTAGAATACTGTACTCACATATGGGGTTCAGCACCCAAACATATGCTGATGCTCTTAGATTCCATCCTGAGAAGAGCCATTCACCTGATGGGTGATGCCACAGTCACTAATTTTGACCTCATTAGTACACCGCAGAAAAGTCGGCGACCTTTCACTTTTCTATAGATACTTCCATAGAAAATGTTCCTCAGAAATCTCTGCAATACCAGTCAGACGAACTGGACAGGCCCAGTCAGCACATATTTTCGTTCGTCTATAGAACGGCAAAGCTCTGGAATTCTTTGCCGATGGATTTCCAAGAACTTATAACCCTCCAAAAGTTTTAAAAAATTCCAACAGCTACCTCCTCTCCCTATCTTCTCTAAGTACACACGAACATTATAGGAATTTCCTTTCGTGCGCTCCAAGAGATAAGAAATGACCGATATGTTGAGAGGTAAAAATAATAAATGTGGCTGTCTGACTGCAGGAAATTTCTTTCTTGATCATTTTACACATAGATGGGCAAATACCATTTGTTCATAATATTCATCATGGATTGCAAAATTGATGATAAAGAATATGTTTATTAAATTGCAAATATATCCTCCAAACAAGGACCACTCATTCAAGGTCAGCCTCTTCCATGTGTGAATCGTATTTTGGTAAATAATTAAAAAATAGACATAAAGATGAACAAAAATCATGTTTGTTTATCATGATATATTGGGCATAATTTCAGATGGAGAATGTGACAATCCGGGGATTAGAAGGGACATTGCACTTCATTCGATTTCCAACAAATGAAATGAAAAACTTCTTGGCCTTAGCAAAATACAAAGGAATGGCCAAATTGGTGACCACTGTATGTGCTACAGGGGGTGGAGCTTACAAATTTGAAGATGATTTCAAAAGAGTGAGTTTTTCCTGAAGACCAATAGAAGAAGTATTGTCAAATAATTGACATTATCACATACTTCACAGCACCCTATTCAATGAATAATTGTCATTGTAATGAAGATCAATGCATACATTTGCTTCAGCTTTTTGGATGTGAAGGCTGATTCAATTGATTTGTTTCAGGAAGTCAATATGAAACTGGCAAAATTTGATGAGTTTGACTCTTTACTTACTGGTCTTCACTACATAGACAGGCATAACCCAACCGAATGTTATTATTGGAGCAATCCGACAGAGGAGAGTAAATGCAACAAAGTTAAATACGATTTTTCCAGTCCATATCCGTTTCTAATTGTCAATATTGGTTCTGGCGTTAGTGTCTTGGCAGTATATTCTGCTACAAACTATAAAAGGGTATCAGGTACGAGGTAAGATGGTTTCCCGCAATTGTAGGCGGTTTTAAATACTCGAAAAATGTTTATAGTATAGGGGGCGGTACTTTCTTAGGCCTTTGTTGCCTATTGACTGGATGCAATAGCTTTGAAGAAGCTATAGAATTGGCAGCCGAGGGTGACAATACTAATGTTGATAAATTAGTGAAAGATATCTATGGCGGTGATTATGCAAGATTTGGACTTCCAGGAGATCTAGTAGCTAGCAGGTTTGTTTTGCTTTTTCCCCGTTTTTTCTATTGTATTGTATGCTTTTTTTACTATTTCCTATTAATCTAGCTAATAGATTTAGTGATTTCACTTTTTTTTCAAGTAGCTCATAGAACATTGTTTCCAAGGAATACCTATTTCATAAGATGCCAACAAAGAAAATTGTATTTACAATACTTGTGGTTCTTTCGAACGCGTCAGTTTCTATACAGGACTTCCAAGATGTGTCTTAATCGTTGTTTTATTCATGAAGAAAACGAATTTATTTAAAATTTCGGTGACTTATTTATTTGGCATCTTGACATCCACCAATTGACCATATTTCAGTTAGAAAAATTTTGACTTTTGCTGTTTTTTGGCAGAAGTTGCTGTCAAGTTGAGTGTAATTTGTCGAATGCATTGTCATTTGTCAATGTCAGTTATGATCAATTTGGAAAACGAAGGGTCCGTGAAGTTGGCTTTGCTCTTATTCTCAATAATTTGACATTTGACACATTCGTTGCCAACATCAAATATGATCAATTCGGACATATTGGAATGGGGGCTAACATTTTTAGTCTCGTCAGTTGGCACTACTAGAACGTGAGGTCAATGTCAAAGTCAAAAAGGCTATGGCCTGTTTTATGGAGAATATTCGAAAAAAGTTATGTTGAATATTTGAACACAAAGAAAACGTCTAGTTATGGAAAGACCTGAGCAGACGTTGTTTTACTGTCAATGTGGAACTCTACTGCCAATTCTTTCATTGATGTAGAAAAAGATATTGTAGGAAGAGGCCAAATGACAGGAAAAGAATCAGTTCTACCAACCCTGACCTCACGTTTCAGTGGTGCGATGTGGTGGACAATGAATAATGTTGACCCTCATTGAATTATAATAATGAAAAAAAAAATGATCTCCTGTGAAAATTTGGATTCCTCAGAAACAATAACTAGTGCAATTAACGCTCTTTTGTATTTGATAACTGTGATCTTTCGTTATGCCTGCTTGCTTGTAACCTTTTTTTTTTTTCTTCTTCTTGTTCTCTGCTTATTTGCATGCTGTATCTCCGTTGACACTGAAGTTTCTCGGCCCTATGTAGCTTTGGCCAGATGAACTCAAAGGACAGGCGCAACAAAGCGACCAGGCAGGACCTTGCCAGAGCCACTTTGGTCACTATCACCAATAACATCGGGTCGATTGCGAGAATGTGTGCCATTCAAGAGAAAATCAAAAGGGTGAGTTATAGCCGTGACTATTTACCTTATCAAGATAAAATATCCCTATGAGAGCGATGAAGCCAGCAGGGGGATTCTGTTTCACGATCGACGATTATCGTACGAAACGATGATGAACTCGAAGTCAAATTCACTTCCTATTCTATTTCTCGATCAAGTAGCGATCGAATTCGACTTCGGAAATCGTCGGTTTTTTGGCGAAACGTTTTGATTCAATGAAACGAGCATCGAGGCCATAGCCCCAAAGCCATCACAAATTTGAGGTTATGGTGGTTATATTGTTTTTATGAATTCCATTTTTTGCAATCCTAAGACAAGAATAAGAATTATTCTGATTGTTCGAGTCGAGGTGGTATTTCAGCAGCTAAAGATAGGCAAAGAAATTTGGATCAAATTCGTCGGACGGATATTTTAGATTCTTGTTGTTGTCACCTTATGTTAATTTATTATTATTGGTTGTAATCAACTTCTTCATACTAAAATTTCATTTCTGACTGGATTTTCTCAATAAACAATAATCTATTGTGTGCCATTTGAAAAAGTTGGATTTCCAGCTAACTGTTCCAAATGTGATGCTCTAATTTCAAACGATTTGCTAATTAGGTTGACTAAACAATCAAACCTTGTTAAAAAAAATTAGGTTTCTATTCAAAACAAGAATATTAGTGTCAACTTCCGGAACATCCTGTATATCTGGGGGACTAAAAATATTTCAAATAGATTGGAAATGTTCGATTATGACACATTACTAATTTTCAAGTTTCCAATTCCATTGCAAGTTGTAAAAGTCGTTTACGTAAATCACTCTGTAAATCACTAAGCAATGGTTCGTTCGATCTGGCTGATATTGAGCATGAGGTATAGCAACATTAACAACCGACGTCAATCGAATTATATTGGAAGGCAAAATGAACAGAATTCTTTAGCAATTTTGAACAATGCATTGGCACATAATTTACAAAAAATCACATTTGAATGGAATGAGAAATATTTCGAGGTTAATAACACAGTGTTATAATGGTTGAATGTGAAAAATTCAATGTCAGTGGAGTAGCCTATTAATAGATAATTACATATATTGATTATTATGGAAGCTGTTGTTGAAACTATTTTCTTAATTTTACAAAATATGTAGGAAAAGGTCTACGAAAATTTAAAATAGGTTTAAACTAACTAATTATAATAAACTAGGATTGTATTTTTCCAACCCTGTATCTCAGGCGGGATGATTTTTAACATACAGTTTTGTTTTTACCTTAGAATAAAAGCAAGAAAACTAAGAGCAAAGTTTTTTCTACAGATGCATTCGAAATAGCTGACATCCGGTTTGACCTGATATAACTTTTTTTTAATGGTTTGGCTACCTTGATCTTTCATTCAATAACTTTTTTAGGTTGTTTTTGTTGGCAATTTCTTGAGGGTGAACCCTATAGCAATGAAATTGCTGGCATATGCTATGGATTATTGGTCGAACGGCACAATGAAGGCACTTTTCTTGGAGCACGAGGGCTATTTCGGGGCCGTAGGATGTCTTTTAAAATATCATGAGGCTGTTGAAAGTTGAAAATTTACCAAAGTGTTCGATATTGCCAGTTATTCGTCTCGGCATTCCGCAAAAACGTTTCAGGGAGGTTCCAGCTAAAATGGTATTTTTCTGTGTAGTGGTATTTACTGTTATTATTTATTGAGGAAACTGTTTGTATATTATTGTAACGTACGTATTTATACATTTTTATACATTTATTAGGGGGACAACCTATTTTGAGAATTATGAATGTCAAATTCGAAAAGGTGTTGGATTATTTTCGTTTCAATGGGTGAAAAAACAACGCACATTTGAAAACAGTTCAACAGGGTTATTTACAAGACGAACAATGTAGGGAAAACTTTTATATCAAATTAGCATCTAATGTTTTTATAATATGTGGTCTAGGCTTGGTTAGTTTGAGTCAAACATTCCTACTTTTTTTAACAATATAACTGAGCCTACTACTAGCAGAGCCAGGTTATGAAGTTAATCATGGTTCCTGTATTGTTAATTTGTCCTTGTCCCAACACTGTTTTGGTCATGCCCTCAATCAGTACCCATGAACATAATAAATTGCAGCTGTATTTGCAGGTTGAAAGTCTTATTGATGACATTTGTTAAATACTACCAAAGCTCCGATTACTGTCAGCTCAAAGTGGCAAAATCAATTGCAACGGGCATAGTTGATAAATAAAGGAAACCATAATTTATTGGAGAAAACCATATAAAAACCATTGTTGATGGAAAATATGATTTGCTCGAACCACAATAATTATTTTTTAATCGTATTCTGGTTCTTGATGTATAGTGTGAGACAGTCACCAACTGTTCTCAACCACTTTTTGGAAAACGCTAATAGACGATTTTAAGGTTTATCGATTGATGTCACCCTATATATGGAAAGCAACTCTTGTTCTGTAGCCCACATTTGAGGATCTTATTTGAAAAAATATATAGGGTCAAGAACAGTTGGTGACTCACCCTGTACCTGATATCCTACACACAGCATCACCGGTTTTACTTCCTTTTTGTTGACATACCTACATAACGAGGTGAAGCTTTGGAGCCGGTGGTTGAAAACTATTGAAACAGTATAGGTACTACCCAAAAAAACACAAAATAGATATTCAAGTACCAAGAACGAAATACTGTCTATTATAGTCGAGTCCTCAGATTGATGGCCGAGGCGAGACAAATGACAGTTTTTTGCCGAGGTACATATTGCATTTTTTCGTCGACCTCGAACACTTATATTCACACACCACGGTCTTATTAACACGTGAAATCTATCGAATTTCGTGAATAATTGATTTGAAAACTGCAAATGGCAGTCATTTTCAAATGATAATTCAATCGCCGCCCTCGCACCGTGCCGTGTCATAGTGACCACAGTGGACGAAGTACTTTCCTGCAAAAATAGTCGATTTTTCATTCAGAAATTAGTACTTGAAATGTAATTTTTCGTAGAAGTCGACGAAAAAATGTATTGTAAATATGTTTCTATTTTTTAGTGGATCTGAAAAATAGAAAAGAGTTGTATGTTATTCTATCAACTATATTTTCTTATCAGTTGAGTATTTGGGCATTTATTAAAATTTTTGTGTTTTTTGAAAGTAGATTTGGCAGCAGGCTGTCATAATTGTAATTTATAATATACTTATATACTCTTTTATATTTGGTTGCTGATAAAAACCAGTGGATTTGATTAGAGTACTGTCACTGACGACACCAATTGGTTTATTTATCAATTTAAAATGACTGGATTCACCTGAAGTTCAGCTTTAATATACCTCGTTATATACCTCAAAACATACTCAGCATGACGAATTAAGAGAACTGAGAAAATGCCCCTTCCTTTGCTGTCTACGTATCACAAAGTGAAGCCGAGTCGGTCATCTTTTCAATCAATCAATCAACTTAATTATTCCAAAGAATGGACTCAGCTGTTAGGTACTCAATGAAATCGTATAGTAATTGAAAGAAAACGAAAAAAAAAATGAGATAAGATGTCCATATTACATTACTGGAGTTGATGTTTCTTGGATTCTTTTTTAAAATTTTCAATCCTATCAATCAGCTTCAAGATTTCGTAGTGAATTTGTATTGTATCATTCCATTGATGCTTGGTGATTTTGCTTCAATATGAGCAGTGGATAATATAGTATTAATACATTTTTCGTGTATTCACATATTTGTTTAAAGCATGGTGACGTGTTCAGCTTATAAATGTGCAAATTCGAGGAATAAGAAAGAACCTGGGATCAATTTTCATAAGTTAGTCATAGATCTAAATACATTTGGATCTATGTAGATCTATGCATTAGTCCATCATTGAGATCGTGGTTTTCGCGTTGTTATATGAATAAAAATAGACGTTTGCTGAATTCGATTTCATTATGTTATATAGCAAAGCTTGTCAAATAATAATTAGACAATCAGTTATTATTCAAGAGGAAGTTTTCGAACTGATATAAGTGTAAGGTTAATGCGTACGTAATATGTTTGGTGTCTTATGTATGACTTCACTTCCCGAGTGATTCGGCATTTTCTTAGTCCTCTTAATTCGTTGCTCCGCAACAACGTATGCACATATTTTTTACAGTTATATACTATTAAAGATATTTTGGTATTTTGCTTAACTATTTCACGACGCTTTAATGGCATTCATTATAAATAAACAAGCCATATTCGATTCATTCTGATACCAACAGCTAAAATTATTTCATGTCAAATTAACAGACTTTTCTTTGCCATCCATGGTTACATCATTGAAAACACAAATGCTAATAGACCAAATGTCTTTGGCTTGCAATGAGGGCTAACATTATTTATTGTCCACCGAAATATGAGGTCAGGATTCTTCTTCCTTGTTTCTTTAACGTCGGCCTTTTTCTGCTACTGAGGCTAATCACCGACGCCGGTGAGCACACTACCCTCAACCAGAGGTACGGATGTTTAACGAGTTAACATGACGATGTTAACATCCATGACGTCGGGACCGCCGGCTTAACGTCCCCTCCGAAGGACAGCATATCCGTACCATATCTTGTGCTCATTGATATGGTATCTGTAGCTTTGATATGCTATTCCGCTACAGATGTGCGGGCTTTCCTTGAATGGTCACCCATCCAAGTACTAACCGCGCTCGACACTGCTTCACCTCAGATATCGAACGGCTAGTATTAAAGTCGTTTATTTTTCTTAGCTCAGTTATCAACAACACAAATTTCTAACACAACATTCCATAATTTGTACTGCCCCTAGATGTCCCTCCGCGTGGCGCGAAGGTGAGAGGATTTGTGGAGTGTTCGTCACAGAGACCCATCTCCTCGGGCTAGGCCCTTTATAAAGGTAATCTCGCTGTGGGTACCCAGAGGGGCGGGGGAGTTGCTCATACGTGATCAGTGCAGTGTTTCCGGTTTTTGGAGGAAACAATATGTAAAAAAAAATCTCCTTCTCGTTTGGCTCGGGCAGCTGGACCTCCACGTTTTTGTGTTTGTACACATGTCCGAGTTCAGTGTCGGGTTTGCTCGTGAGCCATGACACTATTTTATTTTCTTGTTTGGGAGATAGTGTTGACTAGATCCTCCCCGGTGTCTCAGACGTGCCGAGAATCCGGGAAGATTCCCGGATATAGATGTTCAGTCAGGTCCCCTAAAAACATCGGTTGATGCATATAACAGCCCGTGTTTTTTACGAATGTTGTGATGTTGTCTGACTGCGGTGATATTCCGGGCAAGTTCACTTCCAGCGATGTGGTATTTGTAGAATCTATGAGATATTTTCAAGATTTACTCGCTGATTCTAGGCAAATTACCACATCTCTCGTGGAGATCTGCCACTCGAGAGTATCTATCACCGTTGGTGATAATACGGAGTACTTTGTTTTGCAGCACCTGTAACCTATTCATATGAGTAGCTGGGGATGCTGCAGTAGGTCCTGGATAACAAGAGGTACATTTTCTTAATCTATCAGGTAGTTAGTATTTTTCCTGAATGACATATGGGTGTCCACCTTGACTCCCAGGTATTTCAAACGGCTAGTGCGTTACTTGAGAAGCTAGGGCGATGCCCGAGGTCTGGTATCTGATATCTTCTTCTCCGTCAATATAATAATTGGTCGTAAAGTTCCACATTGAGAGTGAATAAACGTAAGACGGTTCACATCTTTCGATAACTTGAGGTTTTTTATTTGTTCAAATATTCTACATTTTATTCAACTATTTTCGATAAAACAGGCCATAGCTTTTAGGGCTATCCGACAAAATTTTGGGATTTTTGACTTTGACATTGACCTCATGATATAGTGGGAGGGAGAATGTTAGCCCTCATTGGGCAGATTATGTGAGAGTTTAAAGATAAGTGAAATAGCATGCTCTCGTGTTGTGACGTCAGATGACAGTTACCACAGTTAATGGAATATATCTATCATGGATATTAAATTGCACTCATCTACCTATTAGAAATATACAATGTATTTTGTGGTAGAATTCCATTGCATCTCATAGTGGAAAGATACATTTCAAGTCATTTCTACAATTTTGATTTACAGTGTGGTCCGAATTATACCAGCGTTGAATTGAGAACTACAATCAGTGATGGGTTGATGGGCATATTCTCATTCTAGGGATATTTTATAGGAATGGGAGTTTTGTACCAGGCATAATATGCTTTCAATATTTTCATTCATAGTATTCAATTTGCCCTAATTTCTGTAGAGATGACGGAAAATTTAATGGAAAACTAACCTATTTGATCGAAATCCTGGAAATTTTTTATTCTGGGGGCAGGAATTTACCAAATACTAGCTCCAAATGGAAGAAGTTATATAGGTAAGTAAAACTGATCGACAGTGGAGTAGTCTAGGAAAATTTTTGAGTGAGTCATATTTTTGTAAAAAATAAACAATCATGAACGAAAAGTCGGAACTATTTAGAACGCAATGGATGTAATGATTGTTCAGGAGTTGGGTCAGTTAAGTCTAATATGCCAAAGAGATGAAAAATACTTATTTTGAATGGGTATTACGGACCACTCTGTAACTATAATTTGGAAAATAGCATGGTGAATTTTCAACAAATCTGTTTTAAGTACATACACCATGGTCACCATGTTGAGATGTAGTGGGGTAGCCTATACGCAAAAATAAAATAGGAAATAATATAATATACATAAGTTATAGAATATTATATAAGTTGTATAAGTATGTTTAGTCATTTGCTCTGGAAAATAAAAATTCAAGAACTAAATAATATTTTACGATGAGTCATTGCATATTTTTTAGATCAAATAATAAAATACTTATGCAATAGATACATTTTATTTTTAGTTGATCATGGTTAAACCAAGTCAAATGATTTATTCATGATCAAGTCAATGTTCATTTATTTCAATAAATGTTTTTTTTATTCCATGACACTGTGATTTTTTTCTCTAAAGCCCATTGAGGAAATGAGTATTATTCTTTATTTTCACTGTTTACAGGCTTGGACGTTTCACCGTTTATTAAAACATCTCTAATAACGTGAAGTACCTTTTGATAAAGAAATGAATGCCTGCAAAAAATCAATACTTCTATGATTTCCAGTTTCCACAAACCTGAATACCCCCAAGGATTGTTATAACTCAACAGGTTGGTTCATATTTATTTTAGTACTGAATAGAAACGAAATGCAAACCTCAAATTGGGGCATTTTTATTTTGAGAATATCATGTAAGTATAAGACTAATTGATCTGCTCAATATGGAATTGAATTCTAGCAACAGTTCTAAAATGGAAATGAGAAATTTTCCTCCTAATCAATCATCATTAATGATGTTCATAGTCCATGATTTAATGGCATCCACTTCAATAAAATAAAAAAATATTCCTTGAAATTTCAAAGCAAACTTTGAGGTTGACAATTCTTGACCATTCTAGAACACGTGATTCTGACATGGTTTCTTGAGGGGCACACAAACTATCTGTTAGGTTACCTTTGACGAGCATAGCTCCTGGCCATCCCTGGCACATCCACAATATAATAACAGTTTCACCAAACAAAATCATGAGATTGTTTCTGGTTCCAAGGGAAACGATCCCACTAATTCTGGTTTTATATGACAAATCTTGACAAAATACAATGTTTGCCCCTCAGCAACCTGTCAAATGACGTAATTCTGGAATGATTAATGGGTTGGCTGCAAGAACTGTCAGATGACCGACCCTGGAGGTGAAATATTGAAACACAACCTCACTTTTCTTATTCGTCTACAAAGGATTGGAATAGTTTTTCACAATTATTTTGGCATACCAATCGTGTTTTTCGGCTATCCATTAATTCGCGCGCGCGCACACAAAAAGTGCAGCGAGAGACGAAGGAATCCGGTTGGTACATTAGGATATAAGGGTAAGTATCTACTATAGTCACTCACATATAGTTTACATTTCGAAATTTGGTAATTTCTCTGATTCCTCATCAGAATTCCTTCTGCAATAGGAGCTAATAGAAATACTCGTGGAATTTCTAAAAGAATGCAAGAATATTGGATATATGCAATCAAACGGAAGGACTCTGGTCTGACATGCTGACGAAATATGATAGTGTGTGACATTTTCAATCTATTAGCAGTATTAGCTTCTATTGCAGAATGTATTTTAATAATAAATGACAAAATTTCATAATGAAAACTATGTGAGATTACTATTTACCTGAAAAATCATATTCCTTCTTATCTAACTGCATTTTTTGTGAATTGTACAACAGCACAATGAGATGGCATGCTTGAACCAATAAATAGAGCAAAACACACGATTGGTATGCCAAATTATTTTGAAAAACTAGTTCAATCCTTTGATTCCTCTGTAAACAAATAAAAAAAGCGAGGATGTGTTTCAATGTTTTACAGAAAAGCGAAGTTGAGTTTCAATGTTTTACAGAAAAGTGAGGTTGTGTTTCAATGTTTCGCCTCCAGGGTCGGTCATCTTGCCGTGACGTTGTCATTCACTCATTTGATTGGTTACGGTTGATCGGTCCTGTTGAGCTAATTAACAATTCTTGGAATACCCCTACTTACTTTGTCAATGGTTTGCAAATCCCAAGATGATCCTGTGGGACCTCGTAATATTCGCCGACTCCGGGATTACCGGAGCTCGGGTCCACCAACAAAAAATTGAATTTCATAGCAGTAACCACCGTAGATTTCGTTTCAACGAAAGTTACTATCTTCATAGGGACCGACTTGACAATGTTGAGGAACTTTTCATGGATTTTCTTGAGCTGAGGTGAATCTAAAATTTACAAGGTGTTGCAAATTTCAGAAATTCGTGCTTTGTCAGTAAACATATTTCGGTGAATTACTATAATTATCTTCTTATGTACAGAGCAAGTAAGGTCCATTTTGAACCAAATTGGTATATTTTCCCATATTTGGAAATTTGGAAAATGATTAGTCATCGAATTCCTTATCGGGGATATATTTTGATATATTTGAGGTAACTTTTCGTTTCATTTCAGTTTTTTTCTACGTCCTGTTGAAGGCCTATGATAATGCTTTTTAACGGAAGGTTCGTTTAGAAAGATTAGCTCTCTTCAAATGTACAAATATAGGTACGTTTCCGAGAAGAAAGGATTCAAAGTTGGTATTGTCGTTTCCAAATATGAAAACGTTTGTAAATTTGGCTTGAAAAAAAGACCTCAAAACCTCTTTTCAGATTTGTTTTTATCGTTTTTCCTCTCATAATAGAGCTGGACATCGAGTTTTGCTCACCCTGTACAGGATTGTGAGGGACGGTTCATACTGCTACCACCTATAAGTCTCTAAGGGCAATATCAAATAACCATATCAAAAAAATCACCCGATTAATGGTTTTCGTAAAAGAGCATGAACTGGTAACAAAAATATCATATTCAAAATGTTCCTTACTACTCATACAAGTGTTTGTTTTTGAAATATAGGGTGTCAAAATTGGAAGCATTAATTGTTATGAACATCTTTTGTATTTGCTTTCACCTTTCACATCATAAATCAACTCCTCCACACAAAACGCTATTTCATGATGACGTGAGTCATATTGACATCGATAAAAGAGGATGCACCTTTTTTATTGCTGCAAAACTGCCTGTTCCTTTCATCTAGTAGGTATGCACCTGATGTCACTCCAATTTCTCAATCTTGTCAAGTTTGATTGAATGAAACTAGCAAGATCGGCCGTTTTAGGAAAATTTCGTTAGAAGAAACCACAAAAAATACAAGTAACACAAAATAATTAATAAAGGTAATCATTATTGTTGTTTATTTGAATATTGTCGTTGATTTATCTTGCCCATCATCGATCTAAATGGCAGTTCATAAAAAAATACAACATTGATGAGGCGAAAAAATCTCGTTACTACCTAGAAATGAGCAGACATTGACAGATGGCTTCACAGTAGCCATAGCAGTACTATCCCTCCCCTCCCCCAAATAAGCTACGGCCATCCGCTTCATTCTGTCAGAATCTATCCTGTAATTATCACTCTTGAATCTCAATATTTAGTAATCAATAATAATAGAAGTGAGTAAAAATTCTAAAGACGGCAAAATTGAAACGAGGTACAAACGACAACACTCTATATGAGATTGACATTGACAAGTGTTTGAAGTCCAGATATTCACGTCCGTAAGACGTCCAAAAGTTGCCGTCCATGTGACGTTGGAAAGACGACGTCCTTTTGACGTCATGATTTGGACAAGTGACGAACTGGACCAAAAATAACCGAAATTAGCGGTTCTATAGACGTCATTTTCATCAGTGTGGCTGTCTGGGGGATAGCAGCTGTGTATTTTGGATATCAGTTAAAACAAAGAATGATAGTTAATTATTCATGAAATGAGAAATATTGTGTTAGTTGCTGAAAATGTGTGAACAGAAATGAAATTTTGATAGCTACAAAAGTAAGGGGAGAATGAAAGATATACACACTCACTTTCTCTAAGTTCTCGTACTTCTACTGATGGCCAGAGTAGTAGGGCAGTAGCATGACTCAAATTTGCTAGTCTTGATCCATTATGAGGAGTACTGTAGAATACTATACCTCTAGTATTCAAACAGACATTTTTAACGATAGGATTGGAACTCTCAAAAGCTACAAGTAGAAAAGATCAAAATAACCTGAATAGTCTTTGGTACACTTTCTTACCATTACACAGGATATTTTTGACAATCAGTCCACCCATAGAATGTGTAACCCATACTATAGGCCTATTGCCTAGCCCTGCTTCTAAAAGTTTGTCCAGGAGATCTTCACTACGCTCTTCCAATGTGAATTTAACTTTTTCTGCTGGACAAATAGGAGCCCACATTGATAAACTTGTATCATAATTTATACCTTAGAAAAATTAAAATAACTTTTTTGAACATCAAGATGAAACCTACAATATACCTACCAATTATTCTCAAATTACAGCAGTCTTCTGGTAGCCAGTCTTTGGGCCAACACTGTGTGTAACTATTACACCCATGTTGATGGGGCTTGTAATTTATCCCTGGACATGTATATGGCCCCTCAGCATTGGGAGTTGTATTTGTAGGAATATCATCCCAAACTATTTCATAGTCTTTGCAAATATCTTCAATTTCTATCTGCTCTTTCAGATTCTTTAGAAACTGTACTGGGGATTTATTAGTATCATGTGCAGGCAAACATGAACTTGGAACAACACTTTCTATAAAAAAAATTAATGACCAATTATTTGAGATACCTTTTCATAAGAATATTGTGGTTATTAATCCTGAATATAAATCTATTGAATTCTGACATAATATCCTAAATTGAAGCTGAAAATATATATATATGTATATTATGTTCCAAAGTTGGTAGAGATCATGAAAAAACTGAGAACAAACTAAGAATCAAAGAACTCTGCATTTCAAGAACTTATGATGAGCTTAGTGTTGAATCCAATCTCAAAGTATTCAATGTCTTTTCTTATTCAAAAACTGGAAGGATTCTCTCCAGTTAAAACAGAAAGCAATAAATTAAACTCTACCTTGCCAGTTGCATGCTTCTAATACAATCAAGAACACAATGTAACATTTTGAAAAATTGCTATGTGGGTACACAAACTACTTGAAAGTCTCAATTTGAAAAAATAAGGAATTCAAAAATATAAAATTGTTTTGACCATTATATGGACCATTCAATTGTAATCAAGTTGAGTTGTGGTCTATCCATTGAAGATATATACATTTGGTCAGCAAATAAACAATGCATACCTCTTTTTTCATTCTTACCAATGATACCAACAGCAGTTTTCTGTTTATTTCTTTGTCTCCAAGTGTAAAATACACCACCCAGAAGTCCATGCACAAAAACCACATCTACATCTTGTTTTTTAGCAGTTCTCATTACAGGGTGTAATAGATACAAACGTTGGGAATAATATACATTTTCATCCATGTCCAAATTTGCAAGAGCCCTAGCAGCTGGTATGGATATGCGCACATTTTCATCTTTTACCCATTCTGACAGAATTCCTATCCAACCTAGGAAAAATTTGCTTATATACAGAATGATTAGTATTCTTCAAATAAATTATTGATATATGGGTAAACTAGAAATATAATTATTTGCCTTACCTGATTTATGAATGGGTTCCAAAAGACTTTTATCATAAGACAAGAATGATATAATCTGACACAACTTCATTCTGATATCATCATTGTGTTTGTACCTATGGTGAATTTCCATCAGAAGTGGTAAACCATTGAGCAATACAATATCTTTTGCATGTTTAGCAACACTTGAATGGTGCAAGAGTGACTCCAAACATTTTGGTAGAATATCACTTTCTGATTGGACAAATTTGCTCAATTCCAATGCAGAAGAGTCATTATCAACTATGTGAATGTTGTCCTAAAATCATGGCATTGGTTGAATGGCATTTCAATAGAATCATACACCTATTTTATACCTGATTTTCCACGTTGCAAGACTAGCAGCATGTTGAAGAATAATGAAAAAACGAATAGGTACACATATATGATTGATTGTAATATACTTACATGTTCATAAACAAATACTTTGGACAGAAAATACCCCAAGCAAGGATGTTGAGACTTCATGTGAAGATTGATTAAGAAATCCCTCATTACATTTATCAACATATTTCTATTATAATCATGATAACGTAATGGTGGTTCCATAAAAAGTCTTTTGTCAACTTCTCCTGATCTAGCAAGTCCAACAGCTGTTTTAGAATCAATCATATTGGCCAGTAGAGAGCAATGCCACTGATCTAGGTTCTTTACTTTGGCTAGGCCCTTGAGAGCCTTGGTTCTGCAAGTCATATCTCCACTATTTGCTACTCTTACTAGTCTACGTGCATATGCAAATTTGAGCATATCCAAAGTGTTTTTAAATAAATTTGTTTTCTCATAAGGATAAAATAGTTCCAAGTCCACAAATTCTCCTTGATCATTATAATCATGAGCATCAGGTAATGCTGGTTTCCATTTTAGTACTGAAGTGTCTATGGTATTTTCTAGTATTTGGCGAGTTTTCTTCACTTGATAATAAACCCATCCTGCACTAATATATAGATTACAGTGGTTATAAAATTTTTTCAATAGTTATTACCTAATTCCTATGAATGAGAAGCTTAAGTACTTCAAAAACTTTTGATGGTGAATTTTATACATTTATTCAAATGATGATCGATCACTGTTCTAGTACAGGTTGCAGTTAGGTCATCAGTCATTGCACACTGATCAATGGGATTCTAATGTTTTTATTTTTTGTTTTTACTATTCTTGTAATTTATAATTTACCATTTACCTGAAAAATTCAAAAGTGTTCCGACATAACTTGTCAACATCTTCCTCTTCTTTTTCTTTCGGAATTCGTAAGGTAGGTGTACACCAAAAAGTATTTTGGCCTCTTCTAAAGTACTTGCGTTTGGGACAAAAGTTAAGGAAGAGCTGTCAGCTGTTGTCAGTCGTCAGTTGTGCCAAGCCAATAAGGTGTCAATAAAATCTTCAGTTTTCATCTTTGCCAACTTAACGAAAATTGTATAATGGAGTATCAGGAATAATTGGAAATTCCCACTATGCCAGATCCAGAATAAACAATAAACTCTTCTAAAAAGACAATAATACCATACTTTTCGGATTAAATTTTTTTTGGGGGGTTAGATAAATAGTCTATCTGGAAAATTAGAAATACGACCTTCATAGCATTACGGTTCTTTCTGTTGATATCCAGTTCAAACCAGTTGTATTGAGATTTTACATTTCAATAACCCATTGAAAAGTCACTTTCTCGGTCTCTTGTTGGTTGGGCTGTAGACCGCGCCATTTTGCTATACGTACACGTTTATTGGTTTTTCGATTTTTGCAGTTAATAAAAATCAAAAATGTCAGAAGAAACTTCAGCCGATCGAAACGTAGAAATATGGAAGATCAAGAAACTGATAAAAAGTTTGGAACTAGCTAGAGGGTAAGTGGGGCGATTATTGTGTCATAACCATATTGCTGTAAATTCTGAACTACCTATTAGTTTTTTTCCACGTTTTCTTACAGAAATGGAACTAGCATGATTTCTCTCATCATACCCCCTAAGGATCAAATTTCCAGAGTGAGCAAAATGTTAGCTGATGAATTTGGAACTGCATCAAACATCAAGTCTCGAGTTAACAGGCTTTCAGTACTTGGTGCAATCACGTCTGTCCAACATCGATTAAAACTATATACCAAAGGTGAGTTTCTACAATCTTAGAACTCATTTTTGTGCTCCTAATTGATGAATCTCATGTATTTTATGCATATTATGTTCATCTCATGATCTCACATGGTTTCAGTCCCTCCCAATGGTTTGGTTATTTACTGTGGAACAATAGTAACAGATGAAGGAAAAGAAAAAAAGGTCAACATAGATTTTGAACCTTTCAAACCAATCAATACCTCTTTGTATTTATGTGACAATAAGTTTCACACAGAAGCTCTTACTGCACTCTTGGCAGATGACAACAAATTTGGATTCATTGTTATGGATGGTAATGGTGCTTTGTTTGGTACTCTTCAAGGAAATACTAGAGAGGTGAGGAGATGTATGTTTTTTGTTGATTATAAAAAATGAAAGGTAAAGTCTACATTCTACTTAACATGGCAACAATAGGATGAAATGAGTACCTAGTAGTTGTCTATCAATATAATTTTTCTTTTCAAGGTTCTTCACAAGTTTACAGTAGATTTGCCAAAGAAACATGGTAGAGGAGGTCAGTCTGCTTTGCGTTTTGCCCGTCTCCGTATGGAAAAAAGGCACAACTATGTGAGAAAAGTGGCAGAAGTGGCTACACAGCTATTCATCACCAATGACAAGCCTAATATAGCTGGGCTCATATTGGCCGGTAGTGCCGATTTTAAGACTGAACTTAGCCAATCTGACATGTTTGATCCTGTAAGAATCTTTTTATTCCTCTACTTTACTAATACATTTTCATATCATTTTGTACACCTCCAAAAATGTCCTGATATATTGAATAATACCCTTATTCTTGAATAGAAATTCTAAGAATTCTCTCAAATTGACAAATATTCATTATCTCTATGCCCTATGTTGCAAAAATTTCAAAATTCACAATAGTAGATTTCTGACTCCTGGTAATAATGATTCAATTTTTCATATATATATGTCTAATGGTATTTTTATTTCTGGAATGTAACAATATTTGACTATGACCCTCATGAACAAAAAGAACATGTCCCTGAGTTGCAATTTTATTCTTCATAGATAATTTAAATTACTGACTGACATATTTACTGAAACTCACTATTCATGAGCAATAGGGTGTTGGAAATTATTTTGTTCCCATGCATTTTCTATACCATTTTGTTTCCTTGCATATACTATACCACTTATAATACACACATCTCAGGCAATGTATTAGGCAAGTAATAACTTCTAGAATATTATGTGTATAAAAATCAGATTTGATATGGTTGAATTGTATAGGAAGGGGAGAATTTCCACATATTTTTTACCATTTTCACAAGTGGCTATGATTTTGAATTTTCAAGTGGAACACCCTGTATTTCATAGCAGTTTTGGATTTAGGAGCAAATTATGGATCAGAATGTTACATCATTTTAAGAAGTTTTCACACTTCATTTTTTTGAGTCACCTATTATATTGCATCTGGGTGTGGAAAGTGACATGTTTCATGCTAGTGGACGCTTAGAACTAGATGCAGAGCGGTAAGTGCAAAAACCAAACGGAAATGCACTTTCCAATGAGTTCTGTACACTATTTTTTCTAGGACCACAAATATATAGATTCAATCATGAGTGTTTACCAGACCTGAGTATGTATCATGTTTCTAATCATATCCAATCAAATGGAGGTGATAATATTATTATTATTTAATTTGACTTCAAAATTGACATTAACTCAATATTACCTTTACATTAAAAATCTGCTGTTGCCATATGGAAACACTAGGCGCTTGTGATACATGTTTTTGGATATTAACACATATACCTACATTACATTATGATCATGAGCGGTAATTACTAATATCTTGATCTATCAGATCAATTTTGCCCATATACAAATGGTACTGCTTGATTACCTTCAAAAACAACGCATACCACCTGGTTTCTTCTGGCAAGTGCTGAATAACTTCGTCGTTTCCCGCTCAGGCATACAATTATTTGACCCAGCACATATTGAAATGGAAGTATTAGCATAATTCTGATGAGGATATTGACCTACCAATGGTTCAACAACATCCAGTAGCTCGGCCGGAGAGTCACCACACTCGCTAGGTATAAGCGCCTAGCGTTGCCAGATGGCAACACGAATATTTGATGCAGATATTCTACACAAAAAACATCCCTGCATTTTTTTTTTCAATATGTCACATTTATAACTTGAAGCATGTGCAACTTTATTATGAAAACAAAAATTGCGAAATCGTGACGTCCATGTTTTACTTCAGTTCAATTAAACTAAAGTTTCACAAATTCACGTGGCCGAACTAGCTTACTCATAACAAGAACTGACGAGATACATAACATAACTGGTTCATTTGCAAATCATGTGGGCTGTCTTTCACTCTTATAGCTAAATATTTGAGTTCTTGGGGAATTATTTGAATCCACCTGACTAGCGTTGCCATACGGCAATCTGATGATACTAATTTATTCATGATTGGATTGAAATTAGAAAATATTAGGACATCCGGAATTGATCAACACACTTTTATTATTTTATTTTCTATTTCTTTTTGGTTTGATTGTCTATAAAAGCGTGTCTTTACTCTAGTTTTACAAAAGCGTGTTTGTTAATGTTTTTATATTTCCTGTAAGTACCCAATTTTGACGAAAGAATCATTATCTCCGACCCCGAAAATTCTCAGGTACTAATTTTCAATAGAATCGGGTGATAATTACATAACCCGTTCACCATATTGTATCCGCCATATTGAATTTTTCCATTTTGACAAAAGCATCATAATTTCCGACCCCAAAAGATCGCAGATACCAATTTTGAATAAAATCGGATCATATTATGATTACAAAACTCGTCCACCATATTGGATCCGCCATCTCGAATTTTCCAATTTTGACGAAAGAATCATAATCTCCGACCTCGAAAACCCTCAAATACTAATTTTGAATAGAATCGGATCATAATTACAAAACTCGTCCACCATATTGGATCCGTCATCATGAATTCACTCATTCTGACGAGAAAATCAGAATCTCCGACCTCGAAAACTCCGAGATACCGATTTTGAATAGAATCGGATAATAAATAATACAAAACTCGTCCGCCATTCTGGAGCCCCAATTTTGTTTTTTTGTCAAACAAAAATTTTATGATGCCGATGACATAGATACATACATACATACAGGTGAATAATAATATAAGCATGTTGAAAAACTAACAGAACAGGCATTAATAGAAATCCAAACTGAGAAAAAGTAGAAAATAAAATATCAAAAGTGTGTTGATGAATACACAACATACAGTATACTGATTACCAAGGGCGTCGCCAGCGGAAAAAATAGCGGGGGGGGGGGCACCATAAAAAAACTGAAGAGAAAAATCAAATAGAAAGAGTTTAATGAGAAAATCAAAAAACAAAAAAAAATCTATACAGTAAATCAGTTGAAAAATAATCTTCTAGGGTTCTTTGGGAATTCGTTGGTCACTTATTGACGAAATCGTTCAAGTTTTTGAAAATATGTTGCCTGTGTATACTCATCATTGCGAGGCCATTGAGTCGAGCATCATACATGGTGCTCCTCAACCAGGTTTTGATTCTCCTAAGGCTACTAAATGACCTTTCAACTGTACAAAATATACTTTCGGAAGTTCTTTGCTCAAAGTGAGCGTTATCATAAGTAATATCACGATATTCTTAATATTCGAGATAATTCTGTCGCCTCATTGTTCACGAAATTGTATTGCTGAGCAACACCACGAGTCAGGACGAAAGGTAGGGCTGTACGGCAACACAATAGATTTGACAAGGAAATGTAGAATTATGAGAATATATTCAGAACAGAGTGGAGACTATTTCACGTTCACGAAGCAAAAAGGATTTATTTTGAATGAATGATTCATTCTGACAAGTACAGTCATTATTTTTTGCCAAATTGACAGACTTCGCTTCGCTACCTATGGTAACATCGTTGTAAACATCTAGTTTTCGCGATAAGCACACGTTTTCTCTGGCTTGTGATTGGTCAGATTATGTGATGAATGAAATAGTCGTTTCAATGATAGCAGGGTGACTGGTGAGCATTAATCGTAGGGGGGGGGGGCAGCTGCCCCACCCTGCCCCTCTCTGGCGACGCCCTTGCTGATTACAGAGTTGCTAATATTTTCTATGTTGTGTATTCATCAACAAACTTTTATTGATCTATTTTCTACTTCTTTTTCGGCTTACTATAAAAGCGTGTCTATTTAGTTGTTTAAACTACTATTTATTTGAAACAGAAACTTTACGAGAGTGTAACTCTTATTCTGAAACCCCTATTTGAAATCATCCGTCATCCAAACAACCGATTTCCAGAGACTGCAAGCGAAAGTCATCAAACTAGTGGACGTCTCCTATGGCGGCGAGAACGGCTTCAACCAGGCCATCGAACTGGCCGCCGAGTCCCTCCAGAACGTCAAGTTCATCCAGGAGAAGAAACTCATCGGCCGATACTTCGACGAGATCAGCCAGGACACCGGCAAGTACTGTTTCGGGGTGGAGGACACGCTGCGCGGGCTCGAACTGGGGGCCGTGGAGACGCTGATTTGTTGGGAGAACCTGGACATCCAGCGGTACGTGCTGAAGAACCACGCGACCGGGTCGGAGACCGTGCTGCACTTGACGCCCGAGCAGGAGAAGGATAAGTCGCATTTTAGCGATAAGGATGTAAGTTTCATCATCATCATCTTCATTATTCCCAAGAAACAATTGACAAATATGTTCATAAAGGAAAACGATATAAAGAGCAAAACATTTACAACAATTTATACACAAAAACAGAAATTCACCAAATGATTTGCAGACAATTGAATATGGACATATAATATTCCAGAACTTGAGGAATTCTGCCTTGAAAAATCTCTAAGTAGCTGAAACATCTGCTCTATTAATCATTACCAGAATGAGACATCCTAACAATCCTATCCACAATCTAGAGTACAGCCTATTGAGGCTAGCCCACTTTCCAAGTACAGTGAAATATCCGAAAACAAGAATTTCATCTCCCCATTCTGTATCATAAGGAACTATATAAGAACACAATATAAACACCCTGAGCACACTTTATGTGAGAGGCTAGTGCGATATTTCTTCTAGTACAGATCAGTTATTGGAACTTTTTTTTTCAATATAAAACTATCATTTCCATAACAATAACCTCAGAGATTATGGGGAATGTATAATTTCTGATAACCTTGATATGTATATATGAAACTTGTACTGTGGCTGAAGGTCCTTTTTAGATGACCTTTTATTATTAAATAGATAAAAACTTCTGTTAATAATGAATGAACAGATTTCAAAACGAATTGGTTTTGATTCTTTGTATGAAAGGAACGCCACTGAAAACCATCTAAAACCCCATTGAACTTGCTGAATAACACGTATGGAATATAATTCCATACATATCTTGGTCCTTCGAGCCAGATTCCATTAAAAAAGCCTTGCCAAGAACTTGGAACGTTGAACTTATCAACGTGCACCAATAGGCGAGTGTACCGCTAATGGTTACGTTTCAGTGTTCCACGGAGTTCTACAGTTTCCAGATGGTGCTGCAATATTAAAAATCGCCATAACTATGCATACATATTTATTATACAATCTGACAGGTATTGGTTTAATCATTTTCAGACTGGGGTAGAATTAGAATTAGTAGAATGTCAGCCGCTATTGGAGTGGTTAGCGAACAATTACAAGAACTTTGGTGCTACTTTAGAAATTATCACAGACAAGTCCCAAGAGGGTTCCCAATTTGTAAGAGGCTTTGGTGGAATTGGAGGTGAGAGATCATTTTTTCACGATTTATTTGATTTGTTCGCTCATTTTACTGATAACTAACATTTTCCCTTTATTGCTGCTTGGATCATGAAGGCATTCTACGGTACAAAGTGGATTTTCAGTCTTTGCAAGCTGACGAACCTTTGGATGACGTAGACCTTGACGACTATTAAAGGTCTGCTTTATCCATATTTTTACTTTGATCAAGGTACAGGAGTACTTAGCAGAATCATCGTAGTTTTTCACAATTTTCACCTTTTTCACAAAGAAAGATGAGATTGATTTGGTTTTAATAAAAGTATCCATCTGAAAAGTTGGTTCAAAGTCTTAAGTTTGTAGAATCCTTCAAATACAATGCATGAATGATGAAAGTAATGTTAGTCATGAAACAATTATTCTTCTCATTGATATTTTATTTATTTTCACTATGATGTGACATGTAAACAAAAAACTATTACTGAGCTTATCTAATGTTTTAAAAAATAACAGATGGTGATCAACATTGGATACTTTTCAGTGTTATGCACAGTATTCATAAATGACTTCATGTAATACTAGACAGTTTGTATGTTTATGAACTATAGACATCTGAGAGTTTTTTTTTTTCATGACAGTATTCACTGATGTAATCATGAATTTAACATCATAGAAACAATCCCTATGAACAGTTTTTCAAAGCCAGTTGTCCACAGTTTGTAAACACCAGTTGGATGGAAGTTTTAGTTTGTTATTGGATTTTATCTGTCCTTGTCTTCAGTGTTCCAACATAAACTATTCTAACCTTTTTTATATTCTACCTCTGGTTGGAATACCAGAGAATTCGGCGAAATTTCTGGTTGGGGATAGTGTGTTCACCGGCGTCGGTGATCAGCCTCAGTAGCAGAAAAAGGCCGACGTTGAATAAATGGGGAAGAAGAGGTTAATATGATCTTCTTCTTCATTTTTCCTATTTCCAATGTTACCAACATGAAATTTCCATTATTTTGCATTGGAACACTGAAGACATGGACTGGCTAGCTGAACTACTCTATTATTACTCCGGACTCGGATTTTTTGCTGACTATTGACTAGTATGTCAATAGCTTTGGTGATAGAAGAGCATGTGCACCAAATAAGTAAAAAAAAATCGTTGAAACACCCTATATTTTAGTGTTGAGGATTATAAGATCCAACAGTTGCAGTATATTAAGAACCACCTCCGTGACCGCTAATCCAAAGTTTTTCTCCTGGAAACTATACTGGATAATTCAAATTCGAGGACCACCATTGGGATCTTGGAATTTATATAGGGGATAGGAAGATGGTTCAATTAGGTCAAAGTTGCGCATTCATGTGACTAAAAATGTGCCGTCTAGGAAATTTTTGAATTCTGACTTCCTGGAGATGTTAATTTTTGAACAATATCTAATTTGATAGCATATTTACATTGCCACTTTTTCCCTGCTATACGATGACATTTTCAGATTCACTATCCGGCGTTTCATTAACTTTATTTTGTCATCGTATAGCAGGGAAAAATGAGTGCTCTAAATTTTCATATTATACAACGAATGACACCCGAAAAAAGTAAAAATGATTTACCAAAATCTTTGTTTTTTCGTATATCTCTGAAAATACTCCCAAAATTTTCTTGACAGCATATTTTTAATTACATAAATCCCCAACATTGCCCAACCATCTTCGTATCTCCTATAGTTTCCGACATCCCAATGGTGGCCCTTGAATTGTTTTAATTACCTGGTATACTCCACTTTGAGCCAAGACAACTTTCTCCACTCAGTTTGAATTTGCTTATCATTTTTTCTCTGGCATACATATTTTGAGTTTCATATTTGTTACGACAGGTTTGTTACGATACAAAGTTGACTTCCAAAGTCTGCAATTAGAGGAACTGGACATCGCTGGCGACTTCGATTTAGACGATTACTAAAATGTCTGTTGTTGCAATTGTGTGAAACTGACGAATTGGGGGAGCGGCGAGTGACGTCATTTCAGGAACCGCCCCTTCTTAGGGACTCAAAAATATATCATATTTATATGCCGGACATACTTGATGATGTTATTTATTAAATTTGTATTGATGTCATGTGCGCAGCACAGAGAAATAAACGATGTATTATTTCAAATAACATTTATTGCTCATAGATTTGTTTTAATTGTTGAATTTTGTATATGGATATTGTTTTTTGTAATTGGAAATATAGAACCCTTTTTAATTTTGATATAGGTAATGTAGATATACAAATTGTCCTGGAATTTTTTTTCTTTGCTATGTTTGTGTCTGGAAAAGTGATCATATAGATAGTTGTATTGATAGCATTCCGAATTTGATTGGAATCACAAGACTAATAACTGAAATAAAGAGGGGAAACTGCATTTGAAGTGTAACGCCCTGTATATAAGAAACTTATCAAGTTGACTTTTTTTATCCAGTCTTGTGCCTCCTGAAGGTGGGACACGATACAGGGTAATTGATTTCTCTAGATTTTTGGGTATATCCTCGTATTTGACACCTCAATATTCCTAGCAGATTTATCAACTGATTAATTTTTCAGAGAAATAAATTAAATTACCCTGCATATTATCCTTTTGAATAGGTTCACAAATTCAAAAAGATAACAGGGAAATAAGACATACATATTTTGATTTTGAGTTTAATATTACAATAGTTAGATGACACTCCCTCTCAGACATTCAATATAACAAATTGAAGAAAAGTTTGTAGGACATAATATCCAGGTTTGAAGTAATTTTTATATTTGAATTTAGGTATATTTTTTATTGTAAACCCAGTCAGCCTAGGTTACCAATGACTTTTAGTAATTGTGGTGCCAAATTGAATCTGTGCAGAGATATTGAATGAATAATTGAAAAGTACTGATTGTCTTGCCTCTGATGATTGGTCAACATTAAATAAAAAATGCGTGTACCTATTGTTGGTTCGTTTTCACTCTTTAGCTAACCTCATGCCTTATATTATGAGAAACTATCTGATTCATATTATGGCATTCCTGCTGATAGCATCCAAGTATTTCAGGATGCCTCGACTAGTTATATTTTCTGTCATGTAGAGGTCCGAGAAAACTTTCGTTGCCAAAAGGTCACCAGAGACATTTTTATCATTTCAAGACTTCACCTTTGCATTACCCAATCAAATTTTGGATCTAAAAACGAGCGCATGCGTCTCAAAAATATATCTATATGAAAAGGCCTATTGGATATAAAGTTTCAACATTTCCATCATTTAAAGAAGAAGTCAGAAGGAACAATAGATCAAAGAATGAGATAATAAAAGTATAGAAGAAGAAGTATTTAACCTAGTATTCTGCAAGTGACGTTTATTATATTTTAAATAAATAAAGATATTTAGTTAAATGTTTCAATAGATCTAGGACACAGTCTAGATCCTGGATACCAATATTTCCATACAATGGTGAACTACTAACATAATTCCATACAAGTAAATAGAATAATGAATTATATTTTCCAGAATATAAGTTCTTTTTCAAGTGATGATTTTGACACCAAGACCTGGATCAATGATATCCTCAAGAATGTTGAGAAAAAAGAAGCAAGTTGTCCTCCAACAAGTTCTGCCTATGCAATATCCATAATTTCATCATATATTTCTAGAGCAATTACACCATGTCTTTGGTGATGAAGCTGCAGCTTTATGTGCAGCAAGTGAATAATGCCCTAGAAGACACTAGCCAGCAAGTTCTTGCTTCCCTACCAAAAATTCTGAGAGATTCCAAAAATCTACAACAAGAAGCTCTGGTACTGAAAGAAAGAATGTCTATAGTTCGTGCTGAGATTGAGAAAATTGAGCAAGATACAGGAAAATCTATTGATATAATTGCAAAGTTAGATTCCATGCAGAACACATTGATAGTAGCCAAACAAGGACTTCATGAAAGTGACAATTGGACAATATTGGGTATTATTATTATTGTGCTGAAATTGATTGATTGTTTTTATTACCCCAAGAAACATATCTGTTTATTATAGGGATACATGAACACATAAAAAAAATTATAAAAGGTTAACTAATGAATTCCACTCAGTGGAAACAAACTCATTCTTTTTCTCAAGATGAAAGTTACAACATTTCAGTAGTAATCAAATCATGCCAAATATTGTTCAATCAAATTGTCCTGGCCAGGTATTGTTTAAGATTGACTTCAAATCTCCTTACATCCTGGAAATTTTTCAATTCAGAGTTTGTATCTCATTCAATACCATTACTTACATTAATCATTTTCCTGTGGTAGTTTGATTCATACTCAAACAGTGATGCCAAAGATTTAGTCATGTGGAGGAATACATTATATCATTTTATCCTCAAAATCAGTATTCAGTCCATTAATCCATCATTAGGAAAACATATTATAATATTGGTCCAAGAACCTAAGGACATTTTGAGCCCCCTTTTAACCAAAATACACATTTTTATATGTATCCTATTTTATGGAAATGTTCTACAATTTTAATTTGTTGACCATGCTTGATTTCAGAACTTCAATTACAATTGTCCTAAGGAAGTTATTATAAGAATCCCAACAGATTTGTAATAAGTTTGGAGTTGCCAGAGCCAAATTTTTTGTTAAAAAAAATCTCAAGTTCATTTTGATTTTACATAAATATTTGAGAATATGTGTTATTTATAGAATAGTTATTTATTGTTTTACTAGGCAGAAAAGCACAAGATTCAATGCTTTTCTGCATTAAATCTTCAAGCCTAGTAAAACAAATAACTATTAAGATTCCCTACAAATTAGTGAAAGTTGCCAGAGCCAGATTAATTCAGAGTCATTTATTTCTAGTGAATGATTTGGAGGAAATATTTGATTCAAAAAATGTTGAAAGTATATCTGAAAAAATTGTGGGAATGCAAAATTCCCTCAAACTTCTCATCAATGTTGCTGATTATGAAGATCGAAAATTACAACTGGAAGGTTTGAAAAATAGGTTGGAAGCTATTGCTAGTCCTTCAATAGTCCAAGTTTTCACAACTCATAATACAGGTATGAAGAAACTACTGTTCATTTTACACATGTAGATAACATTTGTAAATTTTAAATGTAGTGTTTCACTTGCAGATTATAATTACTATTTGTCCGGAGATTTATCCTATAGTGATCATATTTCCTTCTATCAATATACCAACAAAGTTGATGTAAATACTATGGATAAAAAAATTCCATACTTTTGGAGAATTCAATACTGAAAGTTCAAACACTACAGCATATTTCATATAATTTGTTAAATTTACAATACAATATTATATTCCTTAATCTAATGTTCAAGGTTCTTTCTATCATCAGTGCAATTTGTTTTAGAACAGTCTCAAATGTATGTGGATATATTCACATCAATAGGTCGTCTCCCACAATTATTGAAATATTACCAGAAATGTCAGAGAGACATACTTTTGAAAAAATGGCGAGATCAACTAGAAATAGAGCAAGATGAAACCACAATTCAGTGGATTCATAACTATTTCAATAACTTACTTTCAAATTGGCACACCCAATACAGGTATGTATTTGAATCAGAAATGTTGAATCATTGTTTTGTGCAGATGGATTTGATGTTTTTATTTGACAAGCAGAGACAGTCAGACATAACCACACATGAATGTAAAGCAGATCATATCCTCTTCTGCTTACACCCATAGTCTCAAACCTATTCATACTAATATTATCAAGAAGATTTGATTGTTTGTTTGTTAAATTCTTTTACGATTAGAAGCGGACATTATCCCTGATGCTACTTTTAACCGCGGGAAAATGCTTCATTCCTGTGGGAAAACGGTAATAGGACAACGGGTAGTAAGAATTATTGATTGATATTGATTGATTGTCTTTATTACCCCAAGAAAAATTTCTGTTTATGATAGGGATACATAAATACATATAAAAAATATTAATATAGGGTTAACTATAATGAATTAAACTAAGTGGAAACGAATTAATATTGTGTCTTATAAGATTATTATTCTTATCTTTCTTACATACTTACCTTTTAAACGGCTGTGATCGGGTTGAAATTTTATATGGGTATTTCAATGGTTTCCTACATGATGTGGCGCTGCTGTCATGCTCTCAGTCTTGTTCACAAAATTCAAAATTTCAATATCCAGATGAATAATGTCATTGAAGATACTGTGTTGAAAATCAATCAACGATAATAAATTGTACTGTAATTTCAATAAAGTGGTATAACCATTTTTTGTTTTATTGCATTCTTATGAAGATATATAATGATTTTGAAATCCAAAATAACTCCTGTGTATAGATGATGTGGATTTTCCTAATTCTGATTTTGGTATCTAAACCTTTTTCTCCAACTCTCCACCATTTTCTTCAATCTAAATTCTTCACTCTTTTTTACTGAAGGATCCTAAATTTCATTTGGGGCAATATTTTCTTGTCCCATTATTGTTCTAAACGATTAAACCGGTTAGTTTCTCTTTATATTTTTCTTGTTCACATGTTAATTTTGCTAGCTGAACCGATATTCCACGCCGATCGCTTAATTTTTTTCCACCATTTCTGTAATTGATTCAATATCGCCAGTATTTTTACAGTTTGAAATTGGACAAACTTGTATTCAATCAATTATTTTTCCCAATTCATACTCAATTTGACACTCCTTTGAAATTGATGTCATGTATATTCATGTTCTTGAGCTCCAGCTTATTGCATCCATTCATTTGTGATTATGTCAATGTCTACTCTATAGACATATATAAAAACTTCAAAATCATTAAGGAACTCTAGTAAGTATTCACATTTCTCCAACTTAATTTTTTATAATTCAGATGGTTCAATCAAGTTTTTGTTGATGAGTCTGCATCACGAGCATTGATGCAAATATACACTGATGTCTTATTGTCTTTGGACCCCAGTTTAAATGATTGCATTGATGCTGCTTTGAAACAAGTACCAGATAAATTGAGTTTTCTGCATGAAGTCAAGCAAACTACCACAGAGTTCAGAGATAGCTTGACTAATATTATTGATCAATCAAGTCAAGGTAAGTAGATGGCTTATGGCATTTATGTGAAATGTCTGAATAGATATAGAAACCATCCAATAATCAGTGTATATAAGAATTATTAGTATTTTCAAATTCAGGAAATTTACTAACAAATGCAGGTTTTTATAATCATGAAATAAAAAATGAAGGGACCTTTGCCATTCCATTCTTGAGACTCAAAAAAATATCAAACAGGTGCATAATATGATCTTGGAGTAAAACTCTAATTTGAAAAATCTACCGTCTAGGAAGTTATTCAAGACAACCAAATGGAAAATGCTATTCAAAATGCATTCTATTCAATTTATCAATTTTCAGACTGACATTTTCAGATGTTTCTATGATTCTATTTCATGGTGTATTGCTCCAAATTTCATTCGCTATGGGGAATATTTATATGTATATAAATGCTCCAATATTCTCTAGTAAAAGAGTATAAAATGTGTATTATATATTATTTATTATACAAGTACCTAATATTTTTGGCTCAATTTTTGATTGATGAAAAGTTAACATTGGACAAGCATATTGGCATGCTCAAAGAAAAAAATTCTTCCATAGTTGGTGCCCTGAGGAGATGTCCAAAACTTATAGCAAATACTGTTCTATACTCTCACATCCTTAGTAAAATGAACTATCTCATAAATAGTTGGAGTTCATGTTCCAAGAATAATTTTAACAAAATATCTGTACTATATAAAAAAAAGCATTAAAAGTACCGTATCTCTTCCATATGACACCCCATCCAATCAACTTTATGAAGAAATAAATACATTTTCTTTGGAAGAGCACTATCTGATAAATACTCTCAAAATTTCTTTGATATCATCAACAAACACCTCAAATCTAACTTCATTTTGGTAAGGAATTCTCAAATCCAAGAACATCATACTAGACAAAATGACTTGTTTCATCTTGATGCTGCTAATTCTACACTTGCCCAAAAAAAGTTGACTCACTGAGCTGTCTCAAAATTCAATAAATTACCTGATATCAAAAGTTTCACAAATATCACCTAATTCAAAATTAAAGTCAAGAAACATATCCTCTTGCAGAGAGAAAATCAAACCTGAGTGAATCATTTCTCATTCACTAATTTATTTCATAATGTTATAATGAATGTACTTTTCATGAGCTTCGATCTTGTTATATTATTATTATTATTTTTGAATCTGTTGTTTATTTCAATAACTTGGATTTAATAACGCATGAATAATCTCATACCAGATATGAATCTGTCTGATTATTCATGTTATTTCATTGTAAATGTTAATAAAATATATTTATATTCATATATTCACAAAGTATGTCAGTCTGAATGGGAACTGCGGTTCACTTTACCTACACTACCATTGAAAATATCTTCCAAGTCTTTGGAACAGTCCCTTGTCATTTCATGTAGATTATTCAGCAACTCTTTACATACAGAATGCATGTACTGCTTGATGCTTTCTTTTGGTCCTTTCAATTTTTCCTCACCTAGCAATGCTTCTAAACTTTTACATATCGCTTCAATACGTGCTTCACCGTCTTTCCACAGATCATTCAGTATTATTTCAGTTTGTTTTTCCACTTCTCTGATTTTTTCTTCATTTTTGACGTGTTCTTTGTCCAAAGCATGTTTTAGTTTTTTGATATCCTCCTTGTGGGCTTCGGCATTTTTGAGCATCTCTTCTACCATTGCATCTTTAATAGTATCCATATTTTTCTTTGCCACATCTAGAGCTTCATGTAGAACTTGTATTATTTGCGGTTTTAGTTCCTCTAATGCTGTCAATGTTTCATTCGCCATTCTTTCCTTTGGGATGTATCACCAGTTAATTTAGACTTTTCTCGTCATATTTGACAATTGGTGTACAAGGTGAAAGATGAATTGAAGCTGTATTTTGGTATTTCACTGTATGGTGTCAAAATCTGGTTGCCGGAAATATGATCAAAATCATCAGATCGAACTAGGATTGAACTTCATTTGATCGAAAATCAAAAGATCGAAGATCAATTTATCGAAATATCCATTGATCCATAGTATATTATCCTATATCCCTTTGTATAGATTCTAGGAATTCATTGATATGAAGGATTTCATTGTGAGAAGCTGTGAGGAGTATAACCTCAAATATAACTAGTGTTTCAACATAGTCCAGACTCGGTTGCGGTTTAGAAAAATGTCGTTAATAAATATAGGTAGTGAATGTAGAAAGGAAAAATTGATATGAGATGGATATTTTTATGTGAGAGAATACCAGCGCTATGACACCACATCGAGTCAGGTTAGGTTGTTTAGAAACAGATGCCTCTTTTATTCTCTCAAGTAATTTTCCCAAAAATATACTTTCTAGGAAGAAGGTTCATTTAGCCGAGTTAGGTTAGCTTATGCTATTATTTATGCTTATTTTCCTTCCTCAACCATCCGGCAAACAGTATAACGGCTGCAAAACGTGAAATGACTATAGGCATTTCAGGGTTCAATTCATATTTCGATTAAATGAAATATCGATCAATTGATTTTTCGATCAATAGATTTTCTATCAAATGTTCGATCAAACGATTTCGATAGAATAGTTTTCGATCATATTACCGACAACCTCAAACACTGTTTGGCATCATATATGGGAACATATTTTGATGATTATTTGTGTGACGTTTTCGTTTTTTCAACCGATAGCAATCGATTGTTCTAGCCAATCATTCGGTATCATACTGATAGCATTACATGGTCCGAACCGAATTAGTTGAAATAGTTGTCCTATGAACTCGGTTTGTTTTCATATTATTGCCAAATAAACAAGTTTTCGTAGAAAATTCAAAAAAGTTATCGATAATATTTGAAGGACTCTTGGTATTTATTATATTTGATAATTTATTCCGAAATTCTACTCCGACGTTACATAAATACGTGAAGTAGACGAAAATAATAGGGATTCCCATTTGTACGATCCAGAAGTTGAAAAACTGCCATCACCTAATATTTGAAAAATTTCAAATCTTGTAACTTGACGCATCTTGAAGCTACCTGAAAACGCCCATCTGTACAAATTATTAGAATAAGGCACCAAGGAGTGTAGATGAAAATCAACTTATAATTTTTGTATAGCAAAACCTGATCCAGATGAAACCTTCAAACTACAAAAATCTATTTTCCATCACATGGTCCCATACATTGGCAAATATGCGGCCTACGAACAGGCCAATCTGATGAAGCAACTCCCCACTCTCAACTGCATGAAAGATGAGTTAACAGACACCATCCAAGCTTTGGGGCTCTGCATCCCATCTGTCCTAGATATTTCTCGAGAAGCTCTAAAACGCTGCAAAGAAATAACTGAAAATTGCGGTTACTGTGGACTACTGGTAGCGTTACGAGCCTTTTTCCAAGGCTTCGCGGATTTTTACAGAGTCGCACTCAGGCAAATCGACAGGAACAAGAAAAGCGAGGAAGATTGGAGCGTTTTCCAGCTGTGTTTGTCGTTGTTACAAAACAGCGGCGAGATGATACTGAAATTACAGCAACTCGAGAAAGATTTGACTAACCAAGTGTTGGAACTGAACAAAAAAGAAATCTTGCAGTACAAACAACTGTTACTTAACCCGACGGATCTGAGGGAATTCGATTCTTTGGTTAAATGTGTCACGGACGGCACTCAGTTGTCGTTGCTAGATGCTGTTATGATGGAATTCAACAAGCTTTGCTCGGACATTCACCACACGACGTATCAGGTAGTTTTTGCACCCATCGCTACTCAGTTGGGTGTAGTGCAACTGGCAGAGACCTGGAGCCATTTCGATGGGTCCAGTATGCTGAATACTGACTTGCCCGATTACAGTTTCAGTCCTCAAGAATACATTACACAGGTAATTGAATTCACAAAAAATCAACAGTAACAATAAATAATAGTCATTGCCTCAACAAAGTGAACATATGTTTTTTTTTTCAAATTAATTACACAATAATCTGCTTTGGACTCATGTCATGTCATCAGATCCACAGAAAAACGTATTAAATGAGCTATATTTACACCTAAAATATAGTTAGTGTTGATGTTCGTGAATACGGTGATTGCATGTACTACCTGTTTGCCCAATATATGTATAGCTCATTGGGACGAGGGCCACACTTAGGTCTTTATTTTTCTTCAAAAAACTCAATGTTTTATTTGTTCTATGTATACCGGGTGTCTACAAATCTATTAGACGGGTCATAACTACTATGATATTAGGTGTATCAAAATGGGATTTGGTATTTATAGGTGTTGCATATTTTTCACTTTCTCGTCATTCAGTTTCACCAATGACTCTGTATATTGCAAAATACATTGTAACATTTATTGGATTTCTGAGACACTTCTGGATCAAAACGTGATATTTTCAAAAATTGTTTGTCTTTTTCAATATTTTCATGTAAGAAAGAATACTTGATTATATTATGCATCACGACTATCCATGGCACAATTGACAGAAGTGGATAAATTATTATTCAGTATGCGCCTCAATAATTAATGTGTCAAAAATTCCTTTTTTCGGAAAATGCTTGTCAAAAAATGGTCGCCATTTGAAAAATCAGACACAAAAATGTCATTTTGCCAACTCATCTTATACCTTTCTATCAAATTAATCACAAAAATTATTTTCAGATATCTTCTGAGGTCCTTAGTTCTGTATCTAGTAGTATCTGATCATGGCCACATAGATGCAATATTGAAAGTTACTTTAAAAAAGTGAAATATGCGTGAAAGATTTGTTAAATGTCACAGTCTGATCCAGAATTGTCTCAAAAATCCAAAATTGTTACAATATATAGGGTGTTCCATTTGAAAATTCAAAACCACAGGCATTTCCGGTGAAATCGAAAGTGATCGGAAAGTTCAAAATACACGAAAACTTTCCTCTTCACATACCATTTATCTATACCAAATGTCATTTTGATACACATAATATTCAAGGAGTTATGACTTGTCTCGTAGATTCGTTGACACCGTTCAGGTGTCCGGTTAACCTAACCTAACCGAACGCCTTAAAAATTAAGCCATTTTTTCTGTTGTTTATCAATTATAAGTTGAATAAGTGATTCTTATAATTTTGTTTTCCAGATTGGCCAATATTTGTTGATACTCCCCCAACATTTAGAGCCGTTTTTGTTCAAAGAAAACCCTTCTCTGACTTGCGCCCTAAGAGCAGTCGACCAAGAATACAGCAATGCCTCGGAAGGGGAGGGGGTTATGGCTCATATTTTCCTTACCATAGTAGCCAGGGGAACGTCTCAAGTTTTTTGTGAGAAGATCTTGTCAATTTGTCAACTCAGTCAATCAGCTAGTCGGCAGTTAGCCCACGATATAAGTGAGTACTTAACTACTTTTCAGTGTATGACATCAATATATGTATATATAACCAATTACTTAAATACAGATGACACATACCAAAATAGTTTTCATTATTGTTTATATTCATTTTACATGGTTAGCTTTGTTCAGATAGCCTCTTTTCATTAAAAGAATTATCAATAAATAATGACTCTTGATTTGTGGTTTCAACGTCTTGAAATCATGAATGAAGTAATAACACTTGTTCACTTCTTCCAGGAAATGTATAATCTCTGTTCCAGGTTACTTGCAGAACATTTTTGAGGAACTGGGATTATCTATGACTGAAAATTTGCAGCAACTCTCCACACTACTGAAACTGCCATCTGACCAATATCAATCACAAAGTGGAGGATGCTCAGCCCGATTAGTAGCAGCAGTCCGACAAATGAGAAATATCAAGTCATCTAATTGATTATGATTTAAGAAATATTTTATTGAGATGTTTGATTATGAAAGTTTTTATTATTACATTCGAAATTGAGCACTAAATTGAAATAGATGTTTTTTTTGCAAAAAAATACCTTAACTGCTCTCGTCATTCTTGGGGTCTTATTTGTTATCGATATAGGCTGAAAACAGCGATTTTCGAAATGAATGGAGAGTTTTCAGAGGACTTTATCTTGAGAAAAGTTTCCAAAAATCTGCCGACTCGATATCACTATGGAATCCGTTGACCGATTTTCAAAAACGAAGCTCTCTTCGAAAATATGGACATCTGAAATATTCAGATTTTCAAGGCCTACTATTGTATTTTTCTCTGAAAAGTGGTAGCCTATTCGATTCAAGCATAGCTGAAATACCCTCTGTATCAAAATCTAAGAGGTTGATATAACCACTGAAGTAGTAATTACGAAAATTAATTATGTTATAACTTTGTTGTCAATCAAAATTTTTCGATTCAATTTTGCGATTATACCTATAATCAATTGAAGGAATTTAGTGATGAAGTTGAAAGTGGCTACTGAAAATTGGAATTATAACTTGAAAATGTGCAGACTTTGGTAATTTTTCTGCTGAAAAAAAAATTGAAACGGTTGAAAACTATAGATTTTATCAGTTGCTCCGCTCTGAGTTTGCATTCGCGAACCGCGAATAGTGTGTCCTCAATTCTTGAGACCTGTCACACCCTGATGACGAAGTTTCCAATATTGAGATTTTTATCTCACTGTGAAGTTTGTAAAAATTTAATAATCCAACGTATTCTTTCGTAAGATAAAATTTTACTTTGGAAAAAAATAAATTCTGGCTCCTTCGCCATTTCTATGACAATTAGAAAAGCTACTTTCACACAGAGTTAAAATAAGATTCCCTGTGTCAGTAAGACGATGCCGCCATCATCAATATGCTTATAGAATTCCGGAAATTGTTCTTTGAATACATAATAACTATATCATATCAGCAATGGGATATAATATTTTTTTAATCCTACTTCGTCTAGTATTATGAATAATTTTCATAAATCTCTTAGTTGCTGGATGAAGTTGATTACTAATAAATGTTTATTATTATATTTTGCTATAGTATCTATGATTTTTCACTTTCGTTTTATTACAAAATGATAATCATAACTTGTCAGTATCATTATTTTGCAAATGAATTCGCTCCTCTATATAACGGAATGGATGTTTCAAGGAAAGTTGCAGATTAAATCTTGCAATAGCGCATAATACTTCGAGCCCGTCCACACCACACAAAATACCAACAGGCACACAGAGAGCTGATCTGATATTGTGGTTATGTATGGTTTTGTTAACCAGTTTTACTTGGGTCGAGCTTTGATCTCCAGTTATTCGTTCGCCTATGTCTATTTATAGTTTGTAGTTGTTTTGTTAGTTAGGTGATCATCGCTATTTTTCATGATATAAACATCAATAACTATGTCAAGTTGTATTCTTCTTCAATATTTATTATTCGTTAGATATTCGCTAGTTATATTCTCTATCATCAGCTATATTCAGCTTAGATTCAGAATGTACATCACAGTTTGACGGTTTTTGCTGGTGATACAGCAATTCTTGCATATTCGACAAATTTCGAGCAAGCAGCTAATTAACCTCCAAAGCGCGCTGAATTCTCTTCAGGAGTACTTCCTACGATGGAAGATCAAATTGAATCCTGCAAAAACACAATTGGTCGCACTCGTCCTCAGAATAGTCGTGGATGGTCATGAGTTAGAGTGGTCTTTACAAGTTAAATACTTAGGTGTGTGCATTGACAAAAAGCTCACCTGGGCCCAGCACATTGAACAGCAAGTTTCAAAAGCTAAACGAGCCATTGGAGCCCTGTATCCATTTCTAAACAGACGAAGTAAATTGGGTTTGAGGAAAAAAAATAATATTTACTTCATGGCTATCAGGCCAATTTTACTGTATGCCTCGGAAGTCTGGGGCCACACAGCTAAATCTCATATCACCAGATTACAAACATTACAAAACAAAATCGCGAGAATGGTGACAGGATCTTCTTGGTATGTTCGGAATAACCAGATCGTCAGAGATCTGAAACTCCCTTCAATCGTGTCCATTAGAGAACGGATCATCAAGACTCTCTGGGGCAGAAGAGCTGTTCGCATCAAACTTATTCAATACCGTTTTCATTTTGTTTTTTTTTGTTTCATGATAGATATAAGGATAAGAGGGACTCTTCCCTGGTCTGAATCAAATAAAAAAAAGATCCAATAATATTATGTACAGCATGGATAGAAAACTGAGAAGTTCCGAACTCATTTGATGAAAATTGATCTCCATTATTTCTAAAAAAAATCAATTACCCTTTATATTGAAATATACCATGTAAATAATACCAAGTTGTACATAAAATAATAAATTTATTAAATAAAACTACTGCGAAATTTCAGGCGTCCAAAACTTAAAAGTCCTATCATATGAGCTACTCGCTATGTACTGGTCATCAGGCGACACATCTACCGACATGATCTTACCGTCGTGCCCCGACAGCGTCTTCAGGGGCTGCCAGGTCCTGTTCGTCCAGAACTTGATCGTATTGTCGTAGGAAGCGGTCACCAGGTAGCTCCCCGTGTCTTTCTGGAACTTCACCTCGGAGATGAGGTTCGTGTGCGCGGGTATGGTGTAGAGAATGGCCCGCTTCCGGAGGTCCCAGATCTTGATAATAATAATAATAATATCAAACAATAACACGAGTTTCGGGCTTTCGGCCCTGAATCAGTACGGCGAAAGGAAGTGCAAAGGATAGGCAGCAAACAAATAAACGGAATCAACAAACAGAAGCCAGTTGCACATTTCTGAGAGCTATGTCCAATAATCTCTTCCTAGTGACGTTACAATTCCCTTGATAGATAGATGGATGAATAGATGGATACTTTTCTTGATCTCTTTTGATTATTTACATAACATGAGACAGGTCCTAATACTAGTAGTTGTAAGTACAGATATGTAATATGGGTAATGAAAATGGCGATGTAATATCAAAATAGTCATTTATGTATTAAGGGAATTATGAGGGCCTTAATTACCGATGGCAAAGTTTGCGTCCCGAGGGCCTCTGGCCCGAGGGACAGCAATTGCCAGAGGTTATTAAGGCTCTATTATTCCCGTGGTACATAGATAATTTTATTTCTGACTGACCGATTTTCATAATAATATGTCCATATTTAGAACGCAATAAATGTTTAAATTCATAACCTTTCTGGTATATTTGAATTAGGTAGCGTTGATTGTAGCATTGTTGGTTGTTGCTAGGTTGTCGCTATGTTACATGTTTATTTTTTTTTTAAGCGGCGGAAGTAATTTTCAGGGAACATTTGAAAATTGTACATTTATTATTTGTAATGACGTGAATTAGGAAAATATGCCTTAGTTTTCATCACATATAAACGTTTATAAGCATTTCTTGTATCATTTTCACCTGTAAAAGGTAAGAGGGAGTTTTTGAACCTTAATATCCCAAGGGAGTTATGACCCTCATTATAGATATCGTAACTATGACGATATAAGCTTATAATGTCACTGTCAGAAATAAAAGTATAAAAGTAAACACTCGATTTGGACTAGGACTAGCTAGAGTTCCTAAATGTACTTGACACTGCTGTTTTGACGTTTTTTGTATTTTAGAGTAGGGACACTATGACAAGCACTGACAATCAGACATAACCACAAATAAATTGATGGAAAAAGCGGGAACGGACAGTACACGGCACGGTACACGGACGTACATGACATAAATATCAAAGGTTTGACAAATTGAGAGAATTAGGAGAAAGATGCAAGTTTGTGCAGTTTCTAACTTTGAGAACACGGGAAATCAATTCACTACTCGAATTCCCATCGGATAACGTAATTCTACAAAAATGGAAACAGAATATGATGCGGCCGGCATGGAATATACGTTCAGGCCACATAATTTGCGAGGTATTCAAATTCCTTGGTAGGATATTGAACATTTTTCAACGCATTTTTATCAGGTACACTTCAGAACGGAAGATTCGATATTGAAGAATAGGATCGTATTGAGAGAAAGAGCCGAACCCACAATTTATAAACTGAGCGAGTAGAACCTTATTCCAATATCGAATCAACAAGAAACGAAGAACTTGCAGATAATGAAATTCATTTCGAAGATATTTTAAAAGAAAAAGACTTGAGAATGATCATCCGATGACCGGGTCCAATCCAACAATCCCCTTTAGCAATGTGCGAGGCGATCTATATAATCAGTCATTGGTTGAAATTTATCAGTTTTTACCCCATTCTATTAGTTCTAATAGTTATTTTGATATCTTTTGTTAATATCGTTAATTTGGCACTCTGTTGAATTCAAAAATAGTTCAGTGGCACAAACTAGATGTTAGAAAAGGAAATATTTATCGGACCTCTCCATATTTCAATGCGGCCAGGTTGGTAGCATTGAAGAGAAAGATGGAAGAGGAGAGAACTTTCCCCTCTATCGTTGAGGGTAGAAAATAGCTCAATTCAATCATTAGAATGGCTATGATTTTGAATTAGGCGCCATATAAAGGGTTTCTCAATAAGAACGCTCGATCTTTAAAGTGTAATAAAAAACAAAGTATCAATAAAACTGACATAATTCAATATTTATTTTGAAGCATATGTAACTACATTATGTTTTAAAAATTATGTCACTTGAATGTCCGCTCCAAATTCGGCAGTTTTGCTTGTTGACGAAGCCACTTGACCAAAAATGTGCCTCGTCACTAAAGATTGTTTTATTCGCAAAATCGCGGTCACCCTCCAACTGTTCTAGCACCCAGGCAGCGAATTCACGTCGATGCCTATGATCGTTGGGCTTTAATTCCTGCGTGATTTGCACCTTATATGGGTGAAGCGATAAGTCGTGATGCAGAATTCGCATGGTTGACATCCGCGAAAGTCCAAGTTCTTGAGCACGACGCGGAATAGTGTCGTGGATTCTCATGCACACTTGCTCGGACGGCCGCAATATTTTCAACGGATCTTACTCTTCACTGACGTACAGGAGTTCTTTGATCTGCCACTGAACCAGTTCCATCAAATTTGTTCATTAAACGGCGAATTGAGGACTCTACAGGACGATCATTAGCACCATAAATTGCGCGAAGTGCGCGGAATGTTTGCCGAACGGAACTTTGGTTTTGGTAATAAATTTTGACGATTTCGACACGTTGTTGAATTGTGTAACGCTCCATGATAAATGTTAAAGCTAACTGAATATTCCTGTCAAAGATAACGCCTGTGTGACTTTCGACCTTGTAATGCGCTGTTGCCAAAGATCGAGCGTTCTTATTGGGAAACCCTTTATTTAAATCTTCAGTGTTAACATTCCTTCAGAGGCAGCGCCACCTACTATCTTTTTATTTGGAATGTAGTATAAGGCAAATTTGGCTCCAACATTTTACGTGGAGGTGGATCATCTTGTTAGTGTAATAGTGTAGATAATCAAGGTTTTGAGTGAAATGGACGAAAAGGCATACTTTGCAGGTATTGTCCTCGCTGGCGGTAGCGATGTGGTAGCCGTCGGAAGAGAAGTCGATGCCGAGGATGCCTTTGAGGTGGCCCTCCATGAACATTATGCACCGGCCGGTGCGCAAGTCCCAGACGCGGCCGAAGGCATCCAAGCCTCTACAAAAGAAGAAGAAAAGTATCGATGAAGAATGATTTATTCATCCTTTGGAACATGTAGATACAATAATACGTATACATATAAAAAAATGTGAAACGAAATTGTTTACACTTTGTCCCGATCAGAAAACGATGATGACGAATTTATGCGGATTGCCCTAGATCTACCGGCTGTGTTAGAAAACGAGGGAAGCATTTATCATACAATAAATATACAGAGTGCTTCATCATGTATATGTGCAGGACTTCTGTATGTTTGTTCCCTAATTGAAATATGTGAACTCGGCTATTGAAATGATTAAATTTTTTCTAATTTCATCATCACCCAAAATTATAATGAATTATGGAAATAAGTTTGACAACTCTTTATTGGCGTATTTACAAACGCATATTTTCCTTTAAATAATTCACATATGTCAAAATCCGACATTACAGTGTTGTTGTGTTGTGTTTGTTACCATTCTAGGACTTTTTGTGTTTCAATTGATTTTCAGTGTTTTTGTTATGAAACTATATGAAGACAATAATTATTAAAATTCAATTATAGTTCGCCAGTGCATAGATTGTGAAAAATCTCACAAAAAATGTGAACATTGACGCACAGATCATAGTCCTTCCATTTTTTAAAGCCATATCTCTCTAACTTATTTGAAACATTGGAAGTATGTATGATTGTAAACAAATAATGTTTAATGAATGACTTGTTATGTCTCCCCTCTCTTTATATGTCATGATGTGTCATGTAAAAATTCACATATTTTTGATTAACCTGAATGAATGCACTGGAGCAAAGTTCTTTAATTACTTGTTCTACTGAAATTTCAGAAAATGTATTATTTCAATCATAGTGTTATTAGTGTTTCCATGTTCTCAATCATAATTGAAATTTTATGGCGTTTTTCAGGTCTTTAGAGGAACCTAATGTAGTTAGTGTTAGTGATTTGAAGCTAGAACATGTGGAGGTCACCCCTACAGACTTACATGTTCAAACAAAAGAAACAGCAGCATATCTTTAAGCATGCAAGAAATCATATTTTCCATACATCAGAGAAAACATATCAAGCACCAAGATTTGCATCAAATTTTATATTTGGAAGACTCTGAGTTTCATCCCTTGATAGAATTGAAATCAAATTTCCAGCATCCCTGCTCATATTATTATTGAGGACAACTTTACATACTTTAGGACATGAATCTTGTACTATTCATTTTCAATAAACCTTTCTAATTTCTATCCTTGAATAATTTTCTTCCTCAAACAGCTTCATTGTTCTGTGTTGTAGAGAAAATGGAACAGTTATGAAAAATTACAAGAAATGTAGGTACTTTAATGAAGAAACCACAAATAAAGCATACATATTAACAAAAACATACATCACACAGAACTGGTCTTGGACTGCAGATTTGTACTTACCCTGTAGCACAGACAGAACCATCACACTGGAATGAAATGCAGTAAACTGGTTTGACATGGCCCTCCTGATGAAGCACTTCAGTGCACTGCTGCAAATCCCATAACCTCCAAGAGTTGTCATAGCAACATGTTCCTAGAAATCTTCCTGATGGGTGGAACCTCAATCTTGAAACTCTGTGAGGCATGTGACCCTCTATGTCTGCTATTGGTTCCTCACTGGAATTGTGCAATATAGATGAAGATCAAGATTTTAATTTCTTTTACATTTTATGTCACTGGGTAGTGGGTTACAAATAAAGAACTAGCTTGAATCTCCTGAATGTTTTCCAATCATTTCTTCTAGTTCAAGGTATCAACAATGTATTACTAGTTTTCTATTGAGAGTCATATTCCAATTGTATCAAAAATATCCCCAGACTTTCTTCCATTTTTTCTATCAGAAATGTGGATATGGAGTCAAAATGTCACTATTATTAATAATAATTATAAAGTTTATTCAAAATGTTGACATAATATAAATTGAAAGTATATATATTGGTATTGAATAAACAGAGAAAATCTCATGAAGTATAACTTGTTGTAAGGTATATAAAATAGAAATTATGGTTTTTAAATCAATTGATCAACTCAAGACAGAAGAAAGTTATAAATAAAAATGTATTGTTTTTCATTCAATCATTGAAACCCCTGTTATTTGAAGTTACAAAATGAAAATCAAACTATTCACTTCCAGACCTATTGAAAAGTAGGAAGAAACCTAACCTAACCAGCCACACTATGAATTTAAAAAGGGAGTGAAATCACAACTCACCTTGTAAAATCCCATAGTTTAACAGATCCATCTGCTGCACATGAAGCCATATTGCAAATGTTATTTTCTTGACTTATAGTGGCTCTTGGATGGAATACAATAGCTCCAACATTACAAGTATGACCTTTGAGAGTTTGTACTAGTTCACAGTTAGGTACTGACCAAACTTTACACAGACCACTCCTAAAAATTAAAAAAAAAATCTGCACAAATTGTATCTTCTAACAAAAAAACTTACCAGGAAGCAGTAGCTAATAGTTGTGAGTTTGGACTGAATTGGCAATAAGAAATTGGTCTGGTATCACCAATCTGACTAGAGTAAATTGACATGGCTTGAATTTTTTTCTGTAGCTCTTGAGATTTGGCAGTCTTGGTAGCAGCTGGAATATCCACCATTTTTCTGGCTTCTTCTAATCTATTTTTGGCCCTTGGAAGTGAATACTCAGCTAACCACAGTCTGGCAATTCTCAAAGTATCTGGACCTTCATGGTACCATGTTGTTTCTTGGTCTTTTTCAAATAACTTTCTTTCTTCTTCAGCTTCCCTTCTTACTACTGCATCTTCACCTATTCTAAAATAAGCATGACATGTGATAAAATTCGGATAAAATATTGAATGAGTCTTTGGAAAATTTAGCACAAAACACAGGACAAATTCAATAATGAAATCCAAACACCCAGTTCTTGCCTGCTTAATATATCTCTCAATCTTGATCTTCTGTCTGCTGGGCCTTCCCCAAATAAACAAATTGGTTCTCCTAGCTGACGCAAGTTTCTCTTTACTTCTGCATCATCAGTTGATACATTAATAGACCTAGCTTTACGTCGCCTTTCAAATTCTTCCAGTAAGGCTTGTTTGTCTTTGGTCATAGCATCTTCTAGTTCCATATATTCTAGAAAAAAAATAATGTGCTGTTATTATCTAGAATTTCTTGAGTATCAGGTATTTATTTCTAGTGAAATATGTTATTTAGAACGTATTAGGTACCAGAGGGTTCTTGTATTTGATTTGCAGAAGGGGCAGCATCTGAATCATTGCTTTCTTCATTTTGAGCTTCTAGTCTCTCCTTTTCAGAGTCTTCTAGGGAGCCATAATGAATGGTTTTCGTCTTTTTGACGTACTGTACTTCTTCATCATCAGACATTATTCGATAGTTTGATAAATTTAAAGTAATTCACACTTTCAAATTCAAAACAAATAATAGCTGTTCTCCAACTTTTCAAATTTGTCAATTTGTTAACATAACCTTAAAATAGCTTAAGAAAACAACTCAAACTCAACATTCTTCTTATTATTCTTACTACTCATCAAATCAAGAGTGATTCGGCCGGACACCCTCTAGACAACAGAAACAGCAGAACATAAGAATTAGAAGAGTTTATGAGGTTAAGGACACCGTTGAAGAAATATTTTGAAAATGTTGTAATTTTTATTATTATTACTTTTTACCAGTTATTCCAATCTCAAATTAAAATTTATTGTAAATTAAAACACTCTATCATTACAAATAATAGTTCTGAAAATATTTTACGTTATAATATGACCAAAGAAATAGTGATAAGTTGAAGGATCTGAATACTTGAAATAGAATATTATATTGCCTCTCTGTGGGCCTTGCTGCAAGCACGCAAGTAAAGGTGATAAAAGCTTACATCATGCAAAATCAAACAAACTTTGGTTTTGGTGCCAATCCAACCACTCAAGCAACACCTGGAGGATTTCAATTTGGTGCACCAACCCAGAACACTTCCACAGCTCCAAGTTTATTTGGTTCTCAACCTGGTGGTAGGTATCACCCATAGCTAGAAATTTCCACTATCATAAATATTTCCTTTATGTTCAGCACCTGGAGTATTCAAGCCTACTACTGGATTTGGTTCCATTGCAACCCAGCCAACATCAGCTGCCCCAGCTTCTACAGGGGGATTTTTTGGCTCCACTCCAGCACAGCCTGCAGGTGAATATGATTCTCAAATCAATATATTAATTCATTGATTATTTTCCAGCCACCTCCACACTTGGGCTTTTCAACACTACATCAGCCACAACTGCAGCTCCAAGCCTATTTGGACCAGCTACTTCTGCTTCTACTCTTGGTTCAGGTACAACCCCTGCTGTTGCTTCTACTGGCCTCTCATTCAATTTAGGAGCAGCTGCCACTACATCAACCCCTGGATTTGGCTTTGGTCTGGGAGCTGCTACCAGCAGTGCCCCTACAAGTGCTGCACCTAGCTTTGGGTTTGGTCAAGGAGGTACTCTTGCTCCAAGTACCACTCCTGCTAGTGTTGGATTCAGTTTGGGTATGTTGATACTTATGCTAGTAAGCTAGGATCTGATCAGATAGTGATAACATATTTCTTTTCAGGAGGACCCACTGCAACTACTGCATCCAGTTTCAGTCTGGGCCTTGGTGGCAGCACTGCATCAGCTGTTGCTGCTGCAAGTGTTGCTCCTTCTATTGTAGGCCTAGGTGGTGTGGCAACTACTCAGGCAAAAGCAGTGTCTGCTGCTAAGGATGTATGTCCTAAAGAACAACCATTGCCAAATGAACTACTTCAAACTGTTGATGCTTTCAAGGAGATGGTTAAACAGCAGAAGTTGCACAGTTCTGATATTGCTAGATGTTCAGTTAGAGACTTTAGAAAGGTAAGGTTGATTAAGAGTCAAAATCACAGAAGTTTTTATACCATAAGATTGATACCAGATATCTTTTTGGATCAGTAAATCATAAATCATGGATTTTTTGTAACTAATCAAATCTTTCATTTTTTTATTCCTTGGTATCCTGAAGGAACATTTTATATGACTAATTATCACATGATTTAATGGATCAAAACCAACTTGGAAATTAATGAGCCCTCAGAAAATCAAAATTCAAATTACTGTCTGTTTATTTTAACAATATCTAACCACATACTCAGTTTCTGTTCATGTTCTCACCAAATTCACTCAGCACCATAGTGCATGACTCAGCACATTGAAAAAAGTAAATATCTTGAAAACAGTCACTTCCAGCATTTTTGAGGAAGTGTACCTTTTATACTTTAAAAAGATATGGCATTCAGGTTTTTTCATGAAGTGCTGAAAGTTTATTGTCAAATGAGGAATTTTAAATAAATAATCACAGCCTATGGAGGGCCCTGTAGGCACTATTTGAAAATTGATAGGAAATTAGCCTTTCTAGTCATTTCTAGAAAAATATATATCAGAATATATGGCTCTTAGAAGGATTATTTGAGATTTTTTTTCCATCAAAATTGTTACATGAGTGCACCAGCAATTTATATTGGTAATGACATTTCCATGGGGGCCAACAAAATGCACAAATTGCCTTGACAATGATGCCAATTTGGACAGAAAGCTATGATTAGTCTGATATCCATTACTTGATTTCTTCATTTCAGCAAATAATACAAATGTGGTTAGATAACTGAATAATACCTACACACCTACCTACCTGATAATTCCTGGTACTGAATAATTTCATTGCATATAATTAATTAGTTGGTTGGTTGTTGGTTGATTTCTGTTGGTGGATTATTCAAAATTGTAAGTGAAATTTTATTTTGTATTCAATCACAGTGCAGATATCTATGACATTCAGTTTCAAATATCTTCCAGTAGTATAGTACTTTCAAGTTTAGGTACTTACCTACATAAACCTAACTATAGTATAGGAAGAGGAACAAATTTTGAATCAATCATTACTAAATTGCTTACTTGGTTCTATTTTCTATTAATTTTCGTAGAAGCATCAACATCACTGCCATTGTTAATAAATATTATTAGAGTTAGAGTAATTAGAACACTGAAGCTATGGGAAGATTCAGGTATTATAACTTGGCAACATTGTGTGTTAGCACCAGTTGCTTCATATCTTCTGCTTGTGACCATAGTTGCCACATTAGCAATTACATTTTCCGGAAATGAGTACTTGAGATATAGTATCACTGATTCATTTGTTGATTATAACAATATTATTAGTCAACAAAATCATAACAACATAAACCAAACCATATGAAAAACATCTCACTGTTAGATGCCTGCATCACATTTTATCCTAGCTAATCTTGAAACTTATGAAATATTTTGGAGGTCAGAGTAAATTGAATGTGATTAGCAGTGAATTACCAAGCAATAAATCACCTACTACATAATGATTTCAAATCATGGTATTTCTTGCACCATCTTGCACATAAGATTCAAAGATTTCATAGAGAACTGGCAACAGCGGCGTGCTCTCCAGCCGTCACAAACTCCAACCAATCAAATTGCTAGGAGACATTGACATCACAGCTCAGGTATTGAAATGCGAGAATTGACAAGCCCCGGGGTTTATCGCGGGAGAGAGAAGGACATATAATGCCCTCTCACTCGCGAGAATGCATTTGGCACATAGCCGAAGCACAGTACTTCATCATACTTCGTCTCGTAAGCAACTGGTTGGCTCAGTAGGCAGAGCATCGGCATGCCAAGCCGGCGGGCCGGGGTTCGAATCCGTGCGAGGCTCATCTTTTTTTTATTTTTTTCTTGTTCTCAAGTGATTTCTAAAAAATATTCTCTATGGGAAATAGGTTCATTTAGGGGTTTTCTATGTTTGTGGTTTAGGCCAGAGGTGAGGTTCGGTTAGGTTAGGTTAGAATAGAATAGAATATTTTATTTGGTGTTAATAAACATTAAGTTTTACACAGGTCAACGAAACAAGTACAGATATACTCATAAAATAGATAGGTTAGGTTTTCTCATTTTTTATGCAGAAACAATATTTTCCTTCCTCAAGAAAAATTCTCCTTCTTCAAGAAAAAAGGTTCATCTGAGCGAGAGCGAGTTATACGTCCTTCTCTTTCCCGCGATGAACCCCGGGGCTGGTCAATTCTCGCTATTGAAATAGCATTCCCAATATTAAATAATTCATATTTTGTTCTTCAATATTCTCAATATACAGGCTGATTTACGGTGGAAGGCACATTATACGTTTCTGGAGAACGCAACATAGGATTATACTGAAAATTTGGTTTCTTGGATAATTAGTTGTGTTCTATCGACCTAAAATATTCTCAACACTGCGGCGTTGCCGCTTATATTGAAAAGTAGCAACATCTTTGAGTTTTTGAATGGAACATTCTATATATTATTCCATTTTCAAATTCTTCCTAAAGAGCTGATTTCATCGATCTATTACACTTGGGTCTAGCGGGAATGATAACAAAGATATAGGGTGCGACAAATCGAGATTTTTCAACTTCAATAATTTCTTGTGTGGAAACTATTCATAATTAGTCAAAACTGTTCTTATGTCTCTATCTCAACTTTTCATGTACTATCAATTGATATTTAAATGAAATAAATACAGGGTGGTTGAAAATCTTAATTCTGAACCACCCTGTACCTATTTCAATTAAATATTAATTGATAGTTAACAAAAAGTTGATATTGGTTAAATCCGTTTTGACTAATTATGAATAGTTTCCTGAAGTTGAAAAATATATATTTTTCACACCCTATATCTCTGTAATTGTCACTGCTATAGATCCCAAGTGTTATGGGTCAATAAAATCAGCTTTTCAGGGAGATTCTGAAAATTAAATAATATACAGGGTGTCCTATTTAAAAAATCAAAGTTGTTGCTACTTTTCAATATAAGCGGCAACATCGCAGCGCTGTATATCTGGTCAGGATAACGTTTTTGACATCCTATAACATCCATTCATAGAATTTCGGTGTGCACGGAAACCTGTTGGGGTGGTTGACTTCATATATTTCCGAGAGATCTCAGTATGTCCTCTTGAACGGTTTTAGATCAGAGAGAAGGTTATTTGAGTCCGGTGTACCCCAGGGATCACACCTAGGCCCTCTACTATTCAGTATATTCGTGAGCGACATTGAGGACCAGTTTATAAATTCCAAAATAAAATTATTTGCAGATGATTTGAAAGCATATAAAGAAATTAGGCAGCCATCTGACTACCACGGGTTTCAAGATGACCTAAATAGATTTTCCGCTTACTGCCTCACAAACAGACTATCGATTAACCTCAACAAGTGCTATCAGATTCTATTCTCTAAAATCCTTAACCCCCCTCATGAACACCTTTACATAAACAACCATCAGATCGTTGTTGTCAACGAAATAAAAGACCTTGGCATAATTTTAGATCGAAAGCTTACGTTTGAAAGTCACATTGAATGTACAGTCAGAAAATCCTTGAAAATATTAGGTTTCATCCTACGTAGTACGCACGACTTCAGAAATCACACTTCAATTTTAACAATGTACAAAACTTTAGTGAGACCTATCCTCGAGTACAACTCTGTAATATGGAATCCTGTTTATGAAAAATATGTTAAGCGATTAGAGTCTGTCCAAAGGAGGTTGATTAGTAATCTGAATTATCGTTTTTTTCGTCATAGGCATTATATTAATTATGAAGTGAATCTTGATTTCTACAAATTGGAACCGTTATTCTTGAGACGCGAATTCTATGACTCGTCTTTTGTATTCAAACTTATGAACAACCTCACTGACTCAGCATTATGCTTGCAACAACTATCACTAAATTGTAATCCCCGTATTTCATGAAATCGATTAACATTCTATCCACCACCATATTCAACAAATTACTATTGTAACTCTCCCCTTATCAGATGCATGAACTCTTATAACATAATCTGTGACCATGATATTGACATCTTCAGCAACAATTTCACAATGTTCAAGAAACAACTCAAGTACAAATTAACTATATTATATGGTAGAGCTGTAACCTGAGGCAGCATTGTACTCACTACATTCAGGTATATATATATATTTTTTTTCTCTTCTTTTCTTTGATCCTCAATAATAGTGGTAGTTCATTTAATGATATTTATATATTATTATTATTATTATTATATATTGTTACATTTTGTATAAACTTTAGCGACTAGCATAGCTCACATTGTAAACCATGATTGTATTCTGTGTCACCCTGTAATTGGACAAGCTCTTTGTTTGTCTGTTGGGTGTCCTCATTAAATAAATAAATAAATAAATAAATAAATAATAGCGAAAAGGGTCACATTTTACGATAGTAGAAAGGCCTCAAAAAAGCCGGGGTAGGAAATTTTTTGCAAAAAAATATCTTTTGCACAAGTAATTTTGCTAAAAATCAATTCAACGCCCTATATCTCCAAAACGAATTATTTCTAGACACAAATTTATAAAGACTGTTCTTATAGAACTTGTCTCAGGAATACATCATTTAAATATTTCAACATAACATACTGTAGAGGTAATCAAGTGTTTCCTCTATTATCATTCTCAATTCCAGGTGGAATCAGAAATTGATACCCTGACCAAACTCTTAACAGACGTAGAGAGTCAGCTCCAGAAAAACAGACACCTAGCTGAAAAACTCAAGTATGACACAGCCAAGTGTCTACAGAGTGTGGAAATAGCCCAACGAACACAAGACACACCTCCCGGACTACAATACGAGAACACTGCACCCCTAAAGTACTTCTTGGACCTCGCCGATAAATTCGAGGCAGAAATGCAGTCCTTGAAGGTCCAAATAGAAAGCGCCGATAACTACGTCAAAAATTACCGCAGTCCCAACACTCTGACCCCACAAGACCTAACTTTGGGCATCAGGAGACTGCATGAAACCTTCGTGGCTCTGGCAGGAAGACTGCATTCGGTGCACAGCCAAGTGGAATCGCAAAAGGAGTCCTACTTGAACATACGCCGGCAGGCTTACAACGACAACTCCAACCCTTTCGAGAAGCTTTACAAGCCCCAAGATATCATAATGAACAATCTGAAGAACAGCCTTGTTTTCTCCCCGCCCAAAGTAGCCTCCGGTCCTACGCCCTTCAGTAACTTGGCGTTGGGCAATAGTAACGCGATTTTGTTGCAGCAGAGCCAGACGGCTAGTAGTTTTTCGAGTAGTGGGGCTGCCGGTGGGTTCGGGAGTGCTGCGAAGGCGCCTGATACTTCCCTGTTTGGAAATAGCTCTTTTGTGCAAAATTCCAGTGGGTTTATGTTGCAGAAACCGCCGACTGGTACGAAGAGGGGAAAACAATGATACTCTTTGGGGTTTTTGTTGGAGTTGGACATCAATGATCAGTGAAGAAAATATATAAGATTTAAATTGATTTCGTATTTTTCATATGTATTGGTACAAGTTTTATTAAAATGAGTTGAAAATTATACAGTGATATCTCATTTTCACTACAATGAATCTAAAACAGTGATGACAGACCGATTTCTTGATGAATACACTAAGGAGTATAGAGAGGTTTCTAGTGAAAATATTAATTTGAGTACGTAATAAAGATTCCCTTTCGTGCACCCCAAAAGATTACAAATATTGCTTATAATTCCCATTCTGTGCTATGAGTATATTTTTTCAATAGAATATTCAGATCCAAACAGTGCATGAAGCTACTGTATATATCAGGATGGGTATATTCACAGTTCAAACCATGATGCCTATAATTACGTTATTACCTGTCTAATTCTGCTAATACCTAGATATATACCTAGCCAACTGACTTTGGATATACTATAATTATATTCCTACAATAATAAATAACCCATAATAACAAATTACACAAATAGGTATTTTATAACTTATGTTCATTTCAAAACACAGACTTACTGCGCCATTTGAATTGTTGTTGTCAATTCATTGGTGTGACTAATGTGACGTATTAATCCCAACACGCCTATTGTCCTTGAGCTGGCCAATCACACTGCAGAATGGCAATAATAAGGTATCTGAGAAACTTGAGAGAGATAGCTACAGTTCAGGACTATGATACGTCTTCGTAACGGCAAAACTGCGATATTATATCACGAATGTTTACATCGCTTCGATGTACAGAAGCAAACTGATCTGCGAGAATTTTTAGAAAAATTATTCAGATTCTCTTCTTCGGTGAAAAAGAATACCTACGTGATACGTTTCTCAACAAAGTGAAGATAAACCCGCAAGATCAAATATTCGTTACTTTACTATCAAACTATTCTTGGTTTGCTCACTACTCGCCAACAGGGAACATAATTTTTGATACAAATACAAATAACTGATCATTCTGATACCAAGGATAGCGCCGCTGAATGGACAGGAGCCTCGAGGAACACCAACCAGTAAGAACAACACATTTATATGTCAACGGAAGTCAGTGATGGTGTTACCTATATTATCACCTCAAGTTTGAAGACACATTTTTTATCGTTTCACTGCGATGTCACCTCGCATTACATCGTTAGTTTTATCGCAAAAACATATCGCTTTTCAATCACGAATAACATCGCAATTACATTGCGAAAAATATAACGCTGTTATAACGCAGAGAGCGACGTCGCATGGATGAAACTTGAGTGGGTCAAAATAACATCCCTCTGGCATCGCAGCGACGTCTATGCGACATAGAATGCGACATCGTAGGTCACAATTGTTACATCCCTTGGTTCTCACGATGTTCTCTGAACATAACAGGATATCCCTTTTCGTGGGAACCAGAACATAAAAAAATCTCTGTGATATAGATGCTAATGGGAATGATGGGATATAGATTCGATATTCACTCTTCAACTTTAACTTATAATATTGATTGTCAATCAAATGTAAATCTAAATCATGATTCATCAATTGAAACAGGTTATTTGGACAGATTTCATCCCTCGCCTTGGACTTGTTTGGTTTACTATAAAAACATAGAAATATTTGGAGTTCTTTGAAAACTAAAAATGATAGGTTGAAAATTCTTTCCATCAAATTATAAATCTGCGCAAAATGTGCATAACCTAGCACGAATTAATTATTCAACATCAACCGATTTCATATCTCTTCTCAAATGACTGATTTTTTCATGCTTAACGGACCACTGCATGTATACTATTGGTTATTGGATCAGTCAACGATTCTGTAAACTTTGGTTCAACCCTCGTATCCAGCATATGACTTCTGTGGCCGCTGCGGCCTGTTTGTTGCGCCGCCAAAAGCGTTCCCGCTTCTCAGAATTGCCCTTAGATGCCTTTGGCGCAGCCGTTCAAAGGCGGCAGGCGGTAATGAGCGGCAAGCGACAAAGAATGAAGAAAAAAAATTAAAATATCTTTAAAAATATTGTTCGAAAATAACATTAATGGACTCGATCCCCTCTATTTCCAAAAGGAGGAAGGTGGTGGGGTGGAAGTTATTCTTGAAAAAAATATCATTACCTTTGAGAATTTCAAAGAGATAGTATCGTGTTAAGTTGCGGAAATTATTTTTATTTCGCTTTCACATTTTTCATTTTGAAATGTTTGGTGATATTAGTGATTTTTCGTTTGACGAAAACTTCGTCAGAAATAATTTGAGTTTTTTGTTAGATGAAGAATCCAGCAGCACGAATTTCCATTTTTCGCATGAAAACGAAAGTAAGTAACACAAAATGTTATATTTACCTATAGGTATAGGTATAATAGGTATCAATAAGGTATGATAATAGGTATTTTCGAAATATTATTATCATTTTTAGTAACATAATTAAAATACTTATTTTGAAAATCAGAGTATATATGATGAGTACCTATAATACCTCTCTATACCTATGTATAAGTACCTACTGATTAAAAAAGTATTCAAAACAATCACATGTATAGGATAATAAGGAGTCAAGTAAGAGTAGTGCGATGATCGAAATTTGAAATCGATTTGAAATGACTGAAATATTTGTTGATGTTGATCTGAGACACTTATATTATCATTCACATAAGGATGGGGCTCATATGTGGTGATGTGAAGCCTTAGAAAATGAATTCCAAAAGATATTGAACTGCAGCACCTGCAGTCACTTCAATGGGAACTTCAAACACGCTGACGCCGCACAGTGCGGATTAAATGAATGTACAGGGTGTTATTCATCGAAAAGGGCCACTGCCTCTGTAAGCTCTCTACTGTGCCACTGCTAACTGCTTTATATCCCATATTAACGATATTTCTTCATCGAAAAAAAAACAATATGCGAAAGTTGATTGCCGCGATGAGGCCTTTTCACAGCCCTTATCAGAAGTTTTGCAGGGTGATCCTTAAAAGCGTGACAAACCAAAAATTAAAATTGATTGAATATTTTGCATTCAAATTCGGTGTATGGGTTCATCTTTGAATGGATCATTTTTAGACAGAAAGGCATTCCGGATATTTTATCCAGTGGTGCGCAACAGGGGGGGGGGGGTTGTGATAGCTTTTCCTCCTTTATTTTCTGAAGGAATTTCCATTATTTTCAATTTCTCGAATTCATTGTTCATTTTCATCGCAGCGATGGAACATTCGTAATATCGCAGTGTTGCCTCATGATTGCATATGAACATCGCACAGCGTTGAAACATTTGTGATATCGCACTCAGGGCCTTTTTCACCAAAAGGCACACAAGGCTCGGACCTTGGGCACGGTGGAAAGTGGGGCCCGAAAAACTCTTGAAAAAAATAATGATGATCCATTTAAATTTATTCTGACCCATTTCAAATGCTTATATCTCTGAAACCATTCAAGTTATCGTTGTGCAGTTTGGACTAGTCTATTTTGATATTTCTCAGGTTTTTTTTACAGGTTCACCTTCTCTCTTGAACTTCCAGTTCTACCGGAAACAAACTAGCCATTATTCAGGTATAGGGCAACTTTTTTATTTCATCGAAGCACCCTGTATATTTTTGCACATTCAGAACGACTGATCTTTTCTGTTCTTAACAATGTATAACAAGTTATGTTTTCTTAGAAAACTCAGAGTTATAACTCTTCGAAGCATCAACTGCATATTAGGATGTTATCCTGAAATGCTGAATTACCGTATATTGAGTATAAATCTGATGCAGATTTATGATGAGTTCATTTGCTTTTTCAGTCAAAGTAAACATTTTTTCAACTCGAAGAAAGTACAAATGCTCGACAATCTTTATTTGACACATCTAATCTGGCATTTCATGTGTTTTGATCAGGATTTCCAAAGACGACTTTGGTTACATTGCAAAATCTCATTAAATCATTCCACATGCAGTAGTTGTTTCAAACAGTTATAAATAACTCTGATAGTTTTCTAAGAAAACATAACTTGTTATACATTGTTAGAAAGAGAAAAGACCAGTCTTTCTGAATGTGCAAAAATATACAGGGTGATTCAATGAAATAAAAAAGTTGCCCTATACCTGAATAATGGCTAGTTTGTTTCCGGTAGAACCGGATGTTCAAGAGTGAAGGTGAACCTGTAAAAAAAACTCGAAAAATATCAAAATAGACTAGTCCAAACTGCACAACGATAACTTGAATGGTTTCAGAGATATAAGCATTTGAAATGGGTCAGAATATAACTGGTCACCCGGTATTTGAAGACCGAAAAATGCCATTAATACTCATATGTGATTTATATAATCATTCAACACGTCGCTAATTCTAGTAAATGAAAATAACGGCACTTTTGTTTATGTCGCCATCAATATGTTGCAAAACTTCTAAAACACCTATTATGTTTTAATTTCAGCAATACAATAGTATTTACCTCTACAAGGCGTTTTTCATTAGAATTTATCCATTATACTCGCATACTCCAATTGAATTTTGAGAAAGAGTTTAAAGCTCAGGAATCCTGTTAGTTTTCATGAACACAATTATTATCGAAACAAATTAATTTTTTGTATATAATACTCTTTGAAACCTGAGAAGTTAATAATTTCTCATACAAAAAACACCCTGTGTATGATATAGACACATAAGAACTACTGAATAAGTGTGTCTTTTATTTTTATCTCTTGGAGCGCACGAAAGGAAATTCCTATAATGTTCGAAGAACATCGTGCGTGCCTATAAGGAGGTAGGTATTGGTATTTTTTGAACATTTGATTGTCAACATTTTTTTAATGATTGTACAAAGCATTTCTCATCAATATAATGATGAAATTGATTTTTTGCTAGAAGAATGCCTGATATTACTAACTGATTTTTTGCATTAAAAAAATTGACAACTTAGGAAAGTACGTTGATAAGGAAGGGTAGAATCTTCTTGAAAAACTCATTGAATGAACAGAATGTCATCGTAGAGACCATTCTAAACGTAGAAAGTAATATTCTCGATGAGTTATAGAAATGAATGGTGCATGATTCCTAAAATTAATGTGAATAGTATTTTTTTTTTCTAACTGAAAATTGCTCAATCAATTATAAATGGGAATTACATTTTCATCAAACATTTTTGTGTTATAAAACTCAACAAAAAACTAAGTGTCAGAGGTAATAAGAAAAAATAGTATTGGAAAGCCATATATAGAATATAAGGGGCCCGCAGTTTTGCTTGGGCCTTGGGGCCCAACTAAATCAAAAATAGGCCCTGATCGCACTGTTACCTAAACGCGACATCTCTAATCTGGGATGATGATATCTCGTGATGAAATCTAATTGATATTTTATTTCAGATAGCATTTATAAGAATGTCACTGCCAAAGTAGAATGCTCAGCGAGCATAACCTGGTCTTCGGGTAGTTCTGGTTCTATTTGTTCTGTAAAAGAAGAGCCCACAAAATACGTGAACGTGTGCCTTTCATATGATAAGCCTAAACCAAAGCCCAGCTTGTCGCTGGAATCCAGATTTTCTTTCGATTTCGATATAGATATCGGCGGCGAGGCTGCCACTTCCACACCCATCACGAAACAGAAAAATAAAGCAGCACGGAAAGAAATACCGCCAGAAGAGAAAAGCAGCAGCGGGGTAAGAACTGATAGCCACCTTACATGATACTTACAGGGTGACCGTGAAAATGAGATGAATTTGTGAACTATATAAAAGATGTTTCACGGCGGATGGAACATTTTAAGAAGTATCTGGAGAAGCGAACGACAGATCATGTTGAAAATTTGTGGGATTGGATAATGAAGCATTCTCTATCCGTCTACATAGAATATTTTCATCAATACAGTGTTTCGCTTTTATAAGGAGATACATTTGTGAAACATATATACAGTGTGTCCCGTTTTTCATGATATCTCAGTTATTAATGATGCTAATGCTATTCTCTTGAAATTTTAGTGGTGATTGTATGTTAGAAAGATGAAATATTTAGCAGACTGAACAGTTTCATTCACCATAGGCGTGCAATGTTGAGGGGTACAAAAAAGGTCATTATTCAGAAAAAGGATATCAGGGCTCATTTTGAATAACTGTTTTTATCAGAACACACAATCATGTTACCTTTTTTTGTTTACCATTATCTGTCAATAAAAGCGATTATTATTATTATTATTATAATTAAAATTTCAAAAAAATCGCATAGTTGATAACTGAGATTTAAGGGTGTTGTGATGAAAAGCGGGATTTTGAAATATTTTATTTTAGCTCTTGGGATCTTGATTATAAGAATGGGATGCTGATTATGAATCTGATAAAAAAGTTATTTAAAATGAGTCCTAATATCCCCTTCCCAAATGACTCCTAATACCCTCTTCCCAAATGAAGGCCTTTTTTTGTACCCCTCAACATCGCACGCCAATGGGTGAATGAAACTGTTCATTCTGTTTAATACTTCCTTATTCTAACATACAATCACTACAAAGAGAATCGCAGCTTTAAATAACTGAGATATCAGGGTGTATTCATGGAAAGCGGGACACACTGTATACAAGGTGTTTCACGGTGGATGGAACATTAGAAGTATCTGGAGAACCAAACCACAGATCATTTCGAAATTTTGTGGGCTAGGATAATGAAACATACTCTATATATCCGTCTGGAATATTTTCATCAATACAGTGTTGTCGCTTTTATATCAGAAAGTATAGTAGCTATACTTTGTCATTTTGAAATCCATCTGTTATTAACAGTTTTCGTGATGAAAATAATTTTGTAATTTTTTCTGCAAAAACTAACCCATGAAGAATTACTATTTTTTCACAATGCAAATTCACATGACGTTGTGATTTGGGTCGTTGCATTGAATATTTTTTCTATGTACCAAATCTCAGTTACAGCATATAGGAAGGTTCAGGGACTCATGCAAATGACTGAGACTCAGTTTTTTAAACGGTTGAAGTTCCCTATACCAGGTGTAACAAGATCATGGTACACCAAAACCATTTTGATGAACTTAATTCGTCAATAAATCAACAAATTTTACATTCTTCACAGGATTCAATTTTTTCTAGCATTACACCTGTCGATATGAGTACCTATATCAGAATACACCAGAATTGTCATGGATCATGGCACACCCCGATGGAAAATCAATAATGTCACTAATGAGGTATACAGGGTGTTCCATTCGAAAATCAAAAGTTATTACCACTTTCGGTGTCACCGGAAGTGGAAAATGAAAAATAATTATGTCAAAACATATACGTTTATCAAGTTCGACGGGTCATTCAAAATTTCAATAATTTATCACTAAAACTAAAGAAGAAAAAGGGGGAGTACCATGATCCAGTTATGTTATGAATTCGTCTTCAATAAAATTATTGTTGCATAGTGATCAGATACAGTGCAGACTCGATAATCCGAACGTTCAATAATCCGAATTCTTCAGTAGTCCGAACAAGCATTTTCAATACATTGAGTACTCTATAATCCGAATTTCATAGTACTCGATAATCCGAACCTATAACTTTAGGCCTGTTCATTTCCTATAGAGATTGTGAGTGGAATGTTCAGGGATTCCCCTAATTGTTCTTTTGTTAGTATCTGGGATTTACATTACGCAAGAAAGAAAATAATATTCCGTTAAATGATATTCTTGTACTTCAAAGATTAAATGAAATGGCCTTTATAAATAATCAAAGATGTGTTAAGCAAACAAAAATTACAAATTACTTTAGAAACTAGTATTATATTCCTACTTTTATGCATATTTTAGTGTTACTTTTTCGTATTTATGTTTTTTTTTGCATTTCGTAATAAAAAATTTAAAAGAAAAACTGCTTCGGTAATCCGAATTTTTTGGTAATCCGAATCTCCTTGGTTTTTAGTTCGGATTATCGAGTCTGCACTGTAGTAGGCTATATGAACCTCATTCAGACAGAGAACTGACAGTATACTGACAATACTGACATATAATAATTCCTTTATTGTGTGACTGAATATCCCACCCCACCGTTACGAGAAAGTACGTTATTCTATTTTGTTGTAGATATGGAGCGACACTTCGATACTAGCCGAGCCTCTCGACAATCCAATAGTCACCCTGGAGTCCGAAGACGTTTGCAATTTTTGCCGAAAAAATGGCGAGCCCGAGCACGTCTATCAATCCCACATAACAAAAAAGTCTGATGGCACCGTCATGTGCCCCATTTTGAAGAAGTACGTATGCGAACTATGTGGTGCTACTGGCCCGAACGCTCATACTAGAAAGTATTGCGTTCTGTATAAGAGGAAGTTCCAGCCTAAAATGTCAATGAGGAGGCTGTCTAATGGGGTCGCCGTTTCTTGCTTCAACCATAAATAATAGTTATAACTTTTTATTTTTGTAACTGTTTTTTTTCTTCGAATTATTTATTTTTTCACTTGTTTTTATATTTAATAATAATAGATACACACAAATATTCGTATTTTTTATATTTCTGAAATCGCTTTGGAGAAATTATAGTCTAAATTCTACAATAAGCTTGGAATATAGGCCATTCCAATACTTATGGTAGATTATAATATTCTTATGTTGTACATACAAGGTGTCGGTGTCCCAGAATAACGCTAATTTATTTAGGGAGACGATTATACGCTGATTATTTTTTGACGTTTCTGAAAACCAATAATAACTTTTGATTTCAGTCATTTTTGTATGTTCTGACCAATCAAAACGCAATAATCTACCTAGATTATTGCGAGAAAAATTTCTTACCAAACATTTTTGATCAATTTAAAACCTGTATTTCATATCGTTACCGTGGCATTCCTCCTTGGGGACGGAGCATGAAATTACAGTGGAAATTTTTTGACGTTTATAAGTTCAATGACAATTACATTCAGCAGATTATTTCGAGTTCATTCTATAAGTCAATAAATAAAAATCATTTATCAACAGTTTACCATATAATATTATGTAGGTATGCTTGCAAACTCTAAATTTACAAAAACAAATGTTACTATGCGTTAGTTCTTACATTTCATCACAAACAACCATCAACATGTAAATTTTCTTAGCGAATACCACTTTAGCTTCAATTAATATCCGGGAATTTTTTCTCGACTCGGGAAATAATTGAAGCTCTCGTGATATTATAAGTGAAAATAAAACTGACAACGTCAGATTTGACTAGACTGTGTCGATGTTTGTCTTCAATATGCCAGAATATGATTGTAACAACACTAACAACAAAAAATAATCAATCGAATACCACTCGAGAGTTCGATAAATTGGAAAATAATTCTCCAGATCTTTTTCTCGAACTTACTATTTAGCAATAGCCACTGGAGCCCAAGTTTTCGAAAGTCTGTGGAATTATTTTCAATTTATTCTCTCTCTTGTGATATTACTACTGAAAATATGTGTAAAAATTGTCATCATTGTGCTTATGCAGAAGTGTTTCCTGGAGATCTTGATTTTAGCCCCAAACTCTAATATTCTGACCACAAAAACACTGTCAATTGACGCATATTGGGTATCATTGGAACAGGGTGTCCCGAAATTACATATGCGTTTTCCTTATAATAGGGTACCAAATTTTCCCAAAAATATTTTTCGATACAAAGTACCCCTTTTCAACATCTACTCGTGATGTTTGACTCAAAATATGAGAGGAACAATAATAAGAATAAATTGAAAAATATTATATTAGGTAGCCTATTGAGAAATAGTACTATTTTTATTACCCAGCAAATTTTTAAAATCGATTTATTTCAAAGGTGGTGAAAATATCATTTTCAGGTAAAAATAATGATATACCTATTCATATTTCCTAGTCAAACTGCCTAAATTTGCATGAAAAAGTTGGGGGAAGAAATGCCCCTAGCCCCACCTAGTTCCACGTCCCTGATAAAAATTTCATAAAATTCTCTCTGTATATGCACCGTAAAAAAAATTGTTTTATCATAAATAACTGCAATAAGATGGATTTAGTGAATATAGAATCCTTGAGAGCAATATAATTGATCAATAGTGATTGTTGGATGAGTGCACATGTTATTGTATTCTCAAAAATATGCCATTTATTCTGCAAGTTGGGTATGGCATTTTGATGACGAATTATGAAAATATTTTATATTTCATGAATGTTCTCATGAACTTATTTTACCATTTAAATTATATTTGACCATCCAGTACGTAGGAAACCAGCTGAATTCATCTCAGAAATTGTTTTGAAAAATACTGGTAAGAGATAACCTCTCGATGTGATTAGGATTTGTTGGAAGAATAATTGAAGGAAATATTCTGTAGATATGCTACAAAGAAGACTGGAAATCTGAAAAGATAAAGCAACAAATATCTCCGAGAATAACGCCAAATAAGCCATACTTATTAATTTATTATGACTTCAAATGCAGTAAACCCCCATTTAACAAAGTTCAAAAGGTGAGTAAAAGCTTACGATTTCTTTGGAATGTTCTAGTTAATCAATATTTCAACTTTCAGACATGTTCTTTTCTTAATTTCAACTATCATTGCGATCATAAATTCAAGAATAGACTATTTGAAAATTAAATTCGCAGTGTTACTGACTACTATGGAAGTAATTTCCTCAACTTGGACAAGGTTCAAACAAAATATTGAGGAACAGCGCTACGAAATACCGGATAAGGTAGTTGGATCCACTGTTTATAATGAACCTGAGAAAGTTTTGGTTGATGTAATTTTCATACATGGATTAGATGGTGCAATGAATAGCTCATGGAGACAAGGTTGGTGTGAGAAAAACCCTGTATAAGTAGGCCTTCATTTCAACAGCATTCACCGTATTATTTCTTCTAGGCACTTGGGATGAGGATGAGCATCAAAAGAACATATTTTCAGATTTATGGAAAAAAAGTCGTAGAAAAAAAACCCGGAAAAATATTGAGGTAGGTATGTATATCTAAATTCTACTATTAGATAAATTCTCATAGACAGAGTATCCTAGTTATACGCGGTTTAACTTGTCTAACATCGACAATCTATGAAAAAAAAAGGCCAGGCTTTAGAATGATTCAAAAAAATTTAACTCTCTTCCACAAATGATTAATTCACTTATATTTCATGTGAAACATGTATTAATGATAGTGGAATACATTCTAAACATGTGCTGTAATATATAAGGTAGTCATTTTAGTTTCAATTCACCAGTGGCGCCCTTATTAACAATTCAAAAGGGATCAATATCAGATGACTCAAAAATAATGATATACCCAGTATAGCACTAAGATTCAACGAATAATTTATCAATATGGGATGGGATACCTATCTGCACTGCAGATCGTAATGTTTTCATCGATAGATTTTGTTTCAACACGGAAAAAATTTAAACCTAACGAATAAGCGAACTTCAACACCTCGCATATTCAAAAACTAAAAACAAAAACACCAATATCTTCAATTCAACTATCGATGTCGAAGTTAGACAAGTCAAACTCTTTGTTCTCAATAAGGTGAACAACATTAGTGGTTGTTGGCCAATAGACTGGATTCCACAAGACTGCCAAGGTGCTAGAGTCATTTCTCTTGACTACATCACAGGATGGTTATGGTGTCCACCATTTATAAAAGAAAGAGAGGGGTGAGTCTTCAGAATATCCTAGTTGATGTAGGTACATTTTTATTCATTCATTCATGTTATTCTTAAAGTGAATAGTTAGAAAGAGATTTTTTTATTTTTTCTTTAAAAAAGACGTCACATTTTAAGGAGCTCTGTCAAATTGACAATCCGAGAGGAATATTCGGATAAAACATCTTATTCATTTCGAAATAAATAGCGTATGACAAAAAAATGGAATGAGTTTCATAATATAATAATATACCCATATCAACATATGTGTCAGAAACTCTGACTAATAATTATAAACTCAAGGTACATCGCAAAATGAAGAATGTAAATTAATTCGAGATGACGTGGCAGCACCGCGAAGTTACGTAGTAGACGAGCAATAATGGTAGTAAGAAATTGCATCTGTCTGTTATAAATGGTTTAGGGTACCTGAATAGTTTTCTTTGTTTCAGTAATTCATATAATGGTATTTATATTATTATTTTTTCAGAAATAACTTGATAACTAGGAGTGATGAAATGATTCAGGAATTGATAAAATTAGGGGTTGGAAAGAGACCTATAGTATGGGTTGGTCACTCAAAAGGTGGACTTTATATTAAACAAATTATAGTTAATGGTAAGAACAAGAACATAAATGAAATACACCAAGCAATAATACAGAGTACACGAATCAAGAAAATATAGAAAATTGTTATGAATTACTTAGAATATTTGTGATTTGATGAAATCTGAGTTTGTTTCCTTATACCAAAGTAGGCATAGGAATTGGGGATCTACTTAGCCTAACTCAAAAACATTATTTTTAGCGTGGGAGAGTCGAATAAAAGAAGTAGAACGCATTTTCAGGCAATCAAGAACAATTGCATGGTATGGAGTACCACATAGGGGATCATCGCTGTCACATTACACCCTCCCTTTGTTAAGAAGAAGTGTACCACTGTCAGAAACTGAAAGGAGTATGTATACGTATCGGTCTCATTTCACGATACAGTAGTGTTTGAGACTAAAGTGAAAGTTTGTTTGGCTAGTGTATTTAGTGCAACAGTTTCAATCACACGTCCATATGTAGGTATATGTCGGCGTCAATTAGTGAAATCCGTCATTCCCTGAAACGCCTAGTCATTTCACGTATTGCCGTCAAACAGCGTAACTTCCATTTTCAGCCTTCACTCCGTTTGCCGGAAGGTTGAAAAAGGAAAATATCCTTTCTGCATAAACATAAAAGAGGAGACTACTTCTCCTAAACAAAATCTAACCAAACTCGGCTAAATGAACCTATCCCTTCCATCATTTCAGGGAATGCTTGAAACTATTAGGCAAACGGTGTAGAAAATGCGTGAAATGACAGATTTCCCTGTTTGACGCCGACATATACACAGCTCAACAACCGTTTACTCAACTTGTCATTATTATTCGCGGGAATCAATGTTACCAGGTGGCGCTCGGTTTTCATCGTTCCATGTCAAAGCCACGTCAAAACTGGGGGAAAACAAACTCAATCCTCACTCAATCCTATCAGTGCCATTAGCTTGTGTATTGTGTACTGATAACAGTGATAAGTTTTCAAATTTCTTGACATTAATAATTGTCAATATTCGATCGAAAACGCTAATAATGCCTGTTGCAGATGTACTTTTGGCAGATAGTTTTCTCTATTTAGACGGAAAAAGCCGACCAGTAGTGGAAGGAGAGCAGTTCTCCGTGCTAATCATGTAATTTTGTGTGAGGCAGAAGACTTCAACAAAGGGCACATTTTTGCACTTTGTCTACAAACTTCGGCGATGAAATCTTCCGCACATGAAGTAAAATTGAAGTTGGTTTCCAGAGGAACTCCTGTAGAACAATGGATTTGTATTTGTTTATGCAAAGCAGGACAATCTGGGTATTGTAAACATGTTGTAGCTGTTCTTTTATATGTCAATTGATTTGCTCGTCATAATTAGTTTGAATTGTTTGAACTATCTCCAATTCTCCACCCGCTCACTGTTCACTAAACTAATAAAAATGTAATAATGTGAAAAAATTAACCAACTCAACCATCATCACTACCAACAGTGCCAACACTTTATGTCATTGATATACACTATGCACTTTATCCATAGACAACAGTTTGTTTTCCCCCAGTTTGATGTTCGTATTATGTAACCTAGATGTCGCCCACTTCGTGAATCTCGCGAATAGCCACCAAAACTCAACTGTTATTTGCAGACTGTGATTTCCTACAAAACCTACATAGAACATTTTTACAAATAATCGAGAAGGAGAATGTGGAGATTGAAATTTCGAGTTTTATAGAAACAAAATGTACCTTAGTTATGCCTTTTGTATATTGGCAAGTTATACCAATCGAATCAGCAGGTGAGTTTCCTCAATTCAATGGCTCTCTTTCTCTACCCCTAAAGGAAAAACAACAATATGATAATCCTTGGTAGAATTCCATGGTTTCTCAAAGTGAAATGAAGTAATAAGTACTAAATGATACACAAAGTAATCTCCACGACATTTATGTTGATAAACACATCATTTAAAATATCCGAAAAATGTAGTGGAGATGACTGTGCATCATTCAGTATTTATAACAATAAAATCACTGGCTGTCAAAAATTCACTTTGAAAACGACAAGAATAAATACTATTTTCATTCTCTTACAGAGCCAAATATTGGGAGGAAGTATCTTGTTCCTGTGGATCACGTAGACATTTGCAAACCGAGAGGGAAAAATTGCTATTTGTATGTAGGATTATCAGAGTCGATCAAGAAATTAGCAGGACAAAAGGAGTTATATCAAAATGTTTAATAAATAAAAAATCTACATAAAATGTTCAATACATAAGACATGTAATGCTACTAAAACATTTTCAAATAATATAAGTAAATATAAATGTTTTATAACAATCAACATTCATAATAATTACTCTTCCGTGATTCCTTAAACCGAACATAAATGTTATACAGATCGTTAAAGAATAATATTAAGTAAAATGAATTGCCCATATCATCTGGAGGTTGCTAGTAAAAAGGAACTTCATTCTCTATCACTTCCTTCTCATCTGAGAAAAGGAGAAATAATATGCGATTTTGATTCTGAATACAGAGACTAAATCAGTACTAACAAATAATACTAATATTATTTTGAATTTTTACACTGGTGTCAATTTACGGGCGTGGAATGTTATAATTTTGAAGATAAAAGTTGAAAAAAAAAAAAATACAGTATTGAATTATATTCAGTGTCTCCACATTTAAGGACTCACCACAACCCCTGTGAAATCTATATTCAACACCAGTACCCTGAAACCTACCATTAAGTATCTTCTACTAATGGCTCAGTTGTTCTTCCTTGAGGTTTTGAATTATGTCTATGTGTAGTTAAGATGTTTTTCAGTTTCCAGTGGTTTCCATTCATTAGGATATTTGTTGAAAACAAGCACCCGATCTGGAAAAATTGGCACCGCAAGGAGTCAGAAAACCGAGAACTAGTCATCTAGCCAATCAAAATATAGTAGGAATAATCTACGCACTGCCACTGGAATTATCAATCTGCATAAAAATCATGGAGTTGGTAACAAAAAATAATCTATTGAGTACCACTGGGGTGCCCCACAAGAAAGAAAATAATTCTATAGCCTTAGCTTGTTTTCCAACAAGATATCTGTCTAATTATTTTCAATTATTGGTTCTCTCTCATGTGATATTAGTAAAGACAATTGTATTTGATTCAATAATGATGGCCGACTTGATCAATTTGATCAGATTGGTTTCCTAGTATTATAATAATTATCAGTGGATGAATTTAGACAGAATATAGAAATGATCTCAGACAGGGATTCTCATCTAGTATCATTGAAAATATACATGTACCGATTTCCACCAATCTAAAATACAGTGTCCGAGAAAAAAACTATCCCTAATTGGAATTTAAACTCGACAATGAAACATTTACATTTTCGAAAGAAAAAAAAACAGTGGGGTTGAGTACTTAATGTGGACACACTGTATGTTTATGTAAGAAAATCAGAAAGCGTACCTTCCCAAACCAACTAAGAAGTGAAACAAGAGCCACTTCTTTAGACTTTAGAAATACCTCCTCAACCAATGCGCAATTTCGGTGAAATATAGGGTTCAAAAATAAGTCCTTCCTAATCTACCCCACATTGTTTTAAACCAGCTAAAATATCGAATCTGTAGAGGGGTAGATTTGAAATTATTGCAGAACGTGTTTGGTTTGAGAAACTTGATCGACGCGCTGTATAACTTCTTACTTGTTTATGACTTATGATTAGGCACTCAAACAATAATTGTATAAATATAGATTGTATAATATAAGTTTGCAATAAGAAAACATGAATTCCATGTTTAAATACAAATATATGACAAATTCTATATGCTATGCTCTATAGTTTTATCCTTAGGTATACATAAATAATGTACTTAAATCTAGATATTTTTTTCTAGCGGGCCAACTTGGATCAATACCCCTACATATTATAATGCACACTTAATAGAAATACTGAGAATGGAGCAAATACATTGCATACCAGGAGAGTTCTGATTTCGGTGGAAAAATTGCAATGCAAAATCATTCATAAAATAAATATCCATATCGAATCAAAATACCTAAGAACTATTGTCATTTTTTGGTTTAGAAATTTTCACTGAACATTATGAAAATGAAATAGGTACATATTATAGTACAAATAAATGTGTTTCGAATGCGTTAAAATTAGAGTTAACTAATTCTTCAGGAATCTGCCAGCAAAAAATAAAAAACTGGAAAATATCAACTGGGGAAAAATATACTTTTGTTCTTTACATTCAAAGAAGGTACTTGAAGTGCCTTGGAATCGATTTATTAAAGTAAAATGAAGAAATTATTGAATGGTGATACGAACTTGTTACATTACTCTTTGAGAAAAGATAATTTCAGTAAAACTAAAGAAAATACACTTTCCATCATGTGATCTTCCATTTGAGGGCTTATCTTTGAAGACGTTTCCAGTTTTGAATAAAACTTTTGTTAACATTAATGAATTCCAGCAATACTAGAGAAAAAAACTAACGGGAAACATTTTTACAAAAAACACGACGGATTTCTTCCCAAGAAAATACACACAAAGTGGTCAGTAGTCCCAATCAGTACATGCAATCATTGATCTGCATCCAGAAAAAGCCATTTTCTATTATCATGATCTTGCCATACTCCCAAAAAGTTAATCGAGACCTAATCATAGTCCAATATTTTTCACAATGTACAGTGTGTCCAGTTTGCGATGCTTTTGCGGGATATCTCGGTTATCTTTGGGGATAGAATCTTGCTATTTTCGCGGTCCTGTGCCAATTTTTTTTTCAAAACTAAAAAAAATGTTTGCGCCACTGGATTCTTCATAACATTCTCTATGGGATAAGATGTTAATTTGACATTATCGCTGAGAAACTTCGTAGATATAGAGGGGGTCCAAGAAGTATGAATTATCAAAATCACCCTGTATCTCATGAACGGAAACAGTTATGCAAAATCTGATTCGGCCATCTTGAGTTTCACATAAGAGTCGCACCGGACCGCGAAAACCACAAGGTTCTATCTCCAAAGATAACTAAGTTATCATCATCATCATCATCAATCAGATCGAAACTGGTCTGGGATTGCCTTCAAAGCCTGCTAACCCTGGCTAACCACAACAAGGTAACTCTTCAATAGGTGCCAGGGCATAGGGGAATTGAAGGCAATGAAGCAGCTGACGCTCTTGCTAGGCAAGGGTCTGCGGCGTTGTTCCTGGGACCGGAACTCCGGAACCTGTGTTCGGTATCCCCTAAACCTCAATACGCGGCTGGCTGGCAAGGTGGATGCAAGAAAGACATCAGGCATACTGGAACAATGTACCAGGACAAAGATACAGTAAACTGATGGTTGGAACACTGTCCAAAACAGTGACTAACGACATTCTGAGCCTGAACAGAAGTCAGATCAGACAAGTGACGGGACTAATAACCGGTCACTGCCCCTTGAGGAAACATATGCATCAAATGGGCATCTATACAGACGAACCCATATGCAGACTATGCAATGAGGAGGAAGAAACTGCCACCAATGTAATATTGGAATGCGAAGCACTAGCGCGTTGGAGATACAACCTTCTGGGAGCAGTAAACTCTCAAGAGGCCTTTCCAAAGAATGATTTGGTGAAGAGGCTGCTAAACCTTTTCAAGGTAGCGAACCTGTTCACCTGAGTCAGCAGCATGATCAGGAATACAATAGGCCCAAAGGCTGCAGTGTTTTCAATCAAGTTATCATCAAAAAGCATCGAAAACTAGACACACTATAGTGTGGAATGTGGCTTCGCCCATGAAAAATCTTGCCATGATTGTCTTGTAAGAAACAACTTATCTGATCTTGGACACGGAAATTTTGAAAATATCTAGTAATAACAGTTCATGAATTATCTCCAAGGATAAACCAAACGTATCCACAAAACCTTAAGCAATGTTATCACCTTCCTCAAGAACCACCCCGTATAATATAACCTATGAAGTAAAGCACTAAAAATAGGGCTGCAACCTCTGAGTCAGTGCAGAAGAACTTTGTCCAGTTACAGACCTTGTGATATGTGGCTAATGCTAAACTAATTCTGTCAATACGTCATGTCAATGTAATTTGTTATGTTTCACGCTGACCGATAATCTCAAAGAGTTTTCATCTTTTTGAGTACAGTGCATCCAATTTTGGTTGAGACTGACTGCCTGGTTTCTCCGTGGTTATTGAAGATAACCTTGCGGTTTTCACGTTTGTGTCAGAGTAGGAGAGCCGGCTGATGAAATGATATATGTCCCTATTCTGAGCAGAATAATCGAAATCCTGTGCGGAAATTTGCACTCGAATTTGCGATTTGCTAACGAGATAAGAATTATGCCATCCGATACCAATTGAATGGTAGATCTCAAAAACCTACCTGGGCCAAATCTACAGCACAGCGATTTATTTGCTCCTATCATTCCGGACATACTTCCGTCATGTGATAACGAGTTGAAACAAAAAGCAAATAATAGGGGATGATGTCACCTTGCGAATATCCAAAGATGCCGCGATTCGAACTGATCTAAGTTAGTGGCAGAGCGTGAATATTTCGCCCTTGTCGAAAGATAATATCCGATGGTCAAGTATTCTAATCCACATGTTGAGTTTTACACTGGTCCATCAGATATTATTTTTAGAAGGGAACGGAATATTCTCGGAAGTATCGACGCTCTGCCACTAACTTAGAGTTTGAATCGCGGCATCTTTGGATATTCGCTAGGTGACATTATCCCTTATTATTTTCTCTTTGTTTCAACTCGTTGTCACATGACGGAAGTATGTCGAGAATGATAGCAGCAAATGAATCGAAGGTTTATGAATTAACCTTCGAATTGTTTTGTTTTGAAGTGAAAATATTTTTTTAGGGTTATGGTAATGTCACTTTGTTGGTAAATATATGTCTACTGATCAATTTTATCGTTACCTCTACTTTAGATAACATCAGTTTTATAATGGATTAGTCTTCGGAGAATGTTGGTGCTTTAATTGAAGAATACCAAAAATATCCTTGTTTGTATAAAATCAAACACCCATTATATCACAATAGAATCGCTCGAGTATAGGCTTTGACAAATATGAAATTTTAATGTGGATTGACCTCATTTCTGGTAAAATACATTTTCATATATTTGTATTTTTTTAGCTTTTTATTTTGTCCAGAAGAAAAGTGAACTGATCATTATTCATTCTCATGAAATTTGTACTTCTATGATACAGTGTCTTCA